TATGTGTATATATGTGCATATGTGTATATATGTGCATATGTGTATATATGTGTGTGTGTCCTCATCTCTGCTGTTTATCGACCATGCTTCTTCCCCTTCTCGGTGCGGTGCTCGGTGCTCGGTAGTTGTCTTTTGATATCACCCCAAGAACCCTATCCTTTCTGATACAAAACAGCCATCCATCCTCCGTCCTCAGCAAAACTCTCTCGTGACCCTCTCACACCAATCCATCAATTTCTGCGCATTGCCGCCCTCCTTGGCCGCCTCGAGCTGGATATCTCGCCTCATACCATCCGCGCCGTCGACACCACTCTTCCGGCCCCACGGCACGACATAGACACCCTGGTCGTCTTTGAGCGTCAAGTCGGGCGACAGCCCGGCATACAGCTCCGTGTAGGCGCCGTAGATGGCGGGGAACAGGAGGAATCTGTGTAGGAGCCAGTTGAACCAGCGGGGCATGGCGGTTCCGCTGTGGCGTTGGAGTTCGGATTGGAGGTTTCCGGGGTTGTAGCACTTGAAAAAGACATAGGGATGGGAGATGTTAGTGATGGTAATGGGATAGTATGATGTGATGATGTAAGGAGATCTCGTATATACATATCGCAAGAGAACAACAGAGGGAAACCAGAGAGGAAAGAGAAAGTAAAGTGAAGCAAAAGGGAGAAACAGGAATCATGGAGTAGTAGGAGGAGATGACAATGTATGACTGCACAACATGACATGCCAGTGATGGTAGAGAGAAAACTCTTGAAGCCCGAAGGGTAGCCTATAGCGCTCGGCTTGAGATGGGAAAAAGAAAAGGTAAGTTTCAAGCCAGTAGTCTGGACAGCAGGACAGAACGACAGAACGACAGAACGACAGAACGACAGAACGACAGAATTGGACTTGATCCTGGATTTTCGGAACTCACGTTATGCAACACTCGGTCTCGATCTCCAAACCTCTTGCCAAACTCCTGGGCAAAAAACCAATTAGCAGCCTTGCTGGCCGAGTAGACGGTCATAAGACCGAGAGAGTCATCGAGCGTATCGTCACCATCCTCTTTCCTCTTCCAGGAAATCCCACCCCGGGGACTGTTGAGGATGATACCTATACTTCCAGCCCAACTGACACGAACTGGGGCAGGAGTAAAAGTAGTCTCTGAAGCAGCAGCAGCAGTACGTCGCAGCACAGGCAAGAGCAATTTCGTCAAAAGATACGGTCCAAGGATATTGGTCTGGTAGGTCAAGTCGAGACCCTGGGCGCCCGTCGAGCCCTCGGGCGGAGCCATGACGGCGGCATTGTTGTTCAGCCAATGCAATTTCGTCTCGCGGGCCAGGAAGTCCTCGACACAGGCTTTAACGCTGGCCAGATCGGACAGGTCGAGATGGAGGTATTCCAGACGCCCGGTCGACGATGGATGGCTCTGGCGGATTCGGTCAATGGTGTCGTGGGCTTTGGAGGCCGTGCGCGCGGCCACGTAGACGGTGCCGTTGCGTTGGTAGAGGATGCTGGCGAGTTGGGCGCCGATGCCGGTGTTGGCGCCGGTGATTAGGAAGACTTTGCCGCTTTGGTCGGGGAGGTTGTGTTCCGTTAGGGAGGGCGGTGGGATGTTGAATGATTGCGAGTAGAATGTGCGTAGGCTGGAGAACATGGTGGTTGTTGTTGCTGCGATCGTAGTCTTGATGATTGATGACTGATGGGTAGATGATAGATGGGTAGATAGAGGTATGTTAGATAGTGGTAGGTATATTAGATAGAGGTGTAACACATACAGAAAGGTGTAAGAGCAGGGGGGTGGCATCCACACCATATGCTCTGTAGATTGAATTTCCTACACGAGTCTGACTGTGTTTGTGTCGTTGCTTGGATCGATCATCGTCTCCAAAGTGGACGTTATGCCACTTTTGACCCGAAAGTAGTAGTATAAGCTTGGTACGTAGATGGATGGATGGATCCTTGATTGAAGTATGGATATGTATCTAGTGGCCTGACAGCTGTGACCCACGCATCTAATGCAAGGTTCGGACTTTAAACACGGGGATGGCGATGGCTTCCCGATGGATTCCAGAATAGTAGTAGGTAAGAACTAATAGGTCTCTTCTCCAACTATAGGGATGCCAGCGGGATCACTAGGACTTCTTCCAGGATTCCACAGACCACCTGAGAGGGTACAGTCCTAATAACTAACCGTCTGTTTGGCCGGCCGGTCTTGACATGTTCGGACATTATCATTATCACTATCATTATCGTTATCGACGTTATATTTGTCTTTGCTTCTTTATCCCTCAAGGGGCTCGACAAGACATCAGTAACCCAATCTAAGGAGGAGAGAAAACCGTGCGTGCAACCCTCTCCCATACTTTGTCCTGACGGACCAGCATTTCGTGGGTGAAGAAGAGCCTCACGTCAGCGTCTTCCCGGACAAACTGTAGCGGTATCAGGGCCTGGTGTTGTTTCGAATCGTCAACACCCTCGCCAGTGTCGAGAGTAACGCCATTGCCGACACGGATATGATTCATTCCGTTGACACCAGCCGCGTCTGGTCGGAACGTTCGTCTCAGCGGAAGATCTGTGAATCGAGAGAGCGACGATATATTGTTGCTTCTGCTGCTGCTGCCGACATCCGCGGCTCCTAACTCATGTTCTGCGACGGCCGAGTCTCCTAACGACACGACGGTTTGTGCAGAGGCCAAGATCGAGTTGAATGACCAGAAGGCACGGCCTTTCGTGGTGCCCAGGGCCTGCATGGGCCGTGGCTTACATTTGGCTTCCTTATACCCAGGTGCATCTTGGTCTTCGCTCTCATCTTCCTCTTGGGTTTGGTTGAAGAACCGGTCTTGTCCGTGACCATGGGCACCTTTGAAGCCAGGATTTGGACGGCCACCGACGACCACCGAGCGGACACGACCCCGAGTCTGCGTTTTCAAGACTTCGGCAAATACGGCACAGGTAGAGGCGCAATAGCCGTCTGTCAAGAAAACAATATTCTCTGGGTCAAAGAGCGGCTCGGCGGAAGCGTTGGCGGGAGTTATCTGAAAGCCGGGTGGAGCGGAGACACTGGGATCCGGCTGGAAGAGATTGGTCAAGGCCGCGCTGGTATCAGCTGTGACATCAAAGCCTTGCTGGCCATCAGTGTCGGACTTCGGACTGTGACCGTACATCTGCGACCAACTCGACCATGACGAGCCATCGATCGTCAGCATCGATCGGACGTCGAATGGATTGCCAGCCGCCACTTCGTCGAGTCGGGATATTCCTAGCCCAAGATCGTTGAGCACTATGGAAGCGCGCATATTGGCGTGCGAAGCAGGAACCAGGTTTGGAAACAGCTGAACGAACAGGTCCAGTCCCAGCTCGACCATGCCGCCACCGTTGGCAAAGACATCAATGATCAGCCTACGTTTTCCTTCGAGCTTGCATTTCTCCAGAAATACGGCAACCGCGGACTGAAACCCAGCAGCGTCAATGTCATTCAGTGCATCGAAGTTGAGGATTGACAAAATAGCTGTCGTGTTGTCCGGCACGTCACCGTCGAGGAAATACCCAGCGATATGGTTTCCAGAGTCCTTAACAACTGGCTCTGGATAGAATGGGAAAGCTGACTCTGCGTCCACTGAAGATGGCCAAGGAGGTATCCATTCTGGTGCTTCTCGGACACAGAACTTGTTGTATGCAGACAGTCCATCAGTCACGTTGTCGAAGCTGGTGGCTATCTCAGCAACGGTCCGAACACTGATGCTGGTGCCGTTGGCAAACTCGATGATTGTTTCTGGGCCAGGATAAAACACGGGATTGACAAAAGCCCCATCTCCAGCAGCGCCGAATTGCACAATCTGTGAGATCTCCGAGAAGAGAAAGTTGTACGCCGCGTCGACGTCGTGGAAGGGAAGCTCATCCGTTCGTAAGGTCAGATAATCTGAGGCAGAAATCCCATTGATTTGAACCACGTATGACGGCATATGCTCACTTTCCAGGTCGACACCGCTTACCAGCGTGTGTCCGTCAGAGATGCCGTCAAGGATGTCAGACCTGAAATAGACTCGCGGCGACTCTATGCCGTCCAATGAGACCGAGACCAGTGCCGCATCTGGAATCTTGAATGTGCCTACGCCGAAGAGATCCGGGATGAAAGAGAAGTGACCGTCTCGAGCAGTGAGAAAGAGCCGATACAAGTCGGTCTGGAACTCATACTCGCCGGCATACCCACCAGTCGTCACCCTTCTAGTGAGATTGTGCAGCGACGCAAGGATGTCTATCGCGGGATACTGGTAGTCGTCTGGGGAATTCGCGAGGTACGCCAACGTCGACTGAAGTTTGATGTAGGGCTCCAACGATTGCAACAGATCCAGGGCGGCTTCTCTGTGGATTGGAACTGATTGCAAGCATTCATGAAAGAGCTGGCCATCGACAACTGCGGCAGCGGCTGAACATTCCTCGTCAGAATACTCTTCAAGAGCTGGTGGGTGGGGGGTTCGTACCTGTGGGTGTGGCAGCCAGATATGAGGCGCTGGAAGCACTGGCTCGCGCACATGGCTCAATTGAAGTCGCCGAGGATCGAAGGGGAATTTGCCTGGCGAATGCGACAGCGAGACATGCTAGGGCGAGGAAGATGGAACGCATGCGTCAAGATGAACCAGCGGAAACATGAGTGCTGGGAAGGATGATCACCCCCACAGCTTCTGAAAAGAATGACCACCTAATATCAGGAGAGCATGGCCCCCGAGAAAGAGGAAGCAGTTGGTCGTCTTGTGCCAGCAATCCGTACGGTTGGGTCCGAGTCTGGTATACCAGGAAGATGGACAGGTATGGCCTCCAGTATACAGGTCAAATATAAAGAACGACGGATTTGGGATAGCAAAAAAGCAACTTCCTTGCGGTATGAGCGACAAACGGCAGGATAGGGAACCAAGAGCAGCAACAGATGAGGATATGCACAACAAGGAGCAAACCAATGACGGACAATAGTGAGTGGAAGAAAGAGGGTATGTATACCAGCACTCACGCTCGTCCATCGTCGCCACCATACTTTGTGGTTCGCTGTTCAGCGATGATATTAGGTAGCCCATTCAAGATTGCATCGACATGTGCTCTCCATGATCTGCGTAGTACTCGGTACTGCTGTTCCAGATTTGCGCAGAAGAATGAGCAAAGGTTGCGTGCGACCAGGTTCATTTCGCCAGAAAAGGGATCGATGGTGGGTCATGAGGAGAAAAAGCGTGAAGTAAGGGGAGCTTCGAACAGAGCCAAAGGCAAAGCTAGAGATCTAGGAGTCGATGGCTTGCTGCTGCAAAGTTCCAAGTAGTGTAGATACTTCAGCGACGAACATGCTAGTTGTGGGCAACAGTGGTGGATGGGCCTGTTCAATTTCCTCGGCTGGTTGTTGGCGCTTAGATGGTCGAAATAACTAACGCAAGCGCGTCCCAGAGATCAAGCCATGGCTTCTTGAGAGCCAGGGGGAGCGGGCTGAGGAGAGCGAAGACTCGAGCAGTTGCTGGTGGTGCAACTTGGCGAATGGCAACATGTCTGCGAGCAATTGCTGGACCGGGCAAATCATGATCAAGATCTCAGCAATCAATGAACAAGGGACAAAGTGAGAGGGGCAGACAAGGATGGTGTAACTACTGCTCTGTACAGTGTACCTTACTCTGTAAAAAGGGGGAGAATTCAAGAAACCAGTTGGACAAAAAGAGTTGGAGTGGGAATACTAGTAGGTAATTAAAAGGGGTTTATCGCTGGGTGAGAGATGAGATGGATGATAGGCGCACCACTTGGAGAACAGTCGTTTCATCTAAGCAGAACTAGAATCAAACGAGTATCATGCCGTCTCTTAGTGCCACAAGCTACAAGGGTCCAACGACGACAAGACCGTACCGCTATACTCTATAGTCAACAACGACGAACGAAGAGGGCGGTTACAAGTTCATCCAGTTCATTCCCATACAATTCTGATGATACACTCGTTTCATCCCCATGGATGCTCAATAACTCTCCCAAACCTGTTGCCCCATCGAGATCAACCGGTTGAACAAGGCATCGCGGTCTTTGATGGCCATGACACGATACTTCTTGCCATCCCTCGTCACCAATTCGATGCCATCCTTGACTTCGCGACTGGTTGCCCATCCCACCACAATCTTGCCCTTCCATCCCAATCCGCCCACCTTCTTCACTTCCGCCAGGTCGGGAATCGACACCGCCCACTCCGGATCATGAGGCATCGTCTCCACCGCCTCATGGCCATCCAGATGGGTCGTGAAGTAGACACACGGTGAGGCAGGTCGGTTGCCGCTGGCCGGAGACACCGAGCTGTCCACATACACGGCTCCTTTGCGGCCACTGTAGCGTCCCAGGTATTCCACCGGTCCTTCCACCGCTTTGGTCCTCATCTCGCTCTTGCTAGGAAGGACACCCAACTTCTCTTTGGCATGACGTGATCCCAGGGTTGCTTTGACTTCATCCACCGTCAGCTTTGTCTCGACGCCCCCCGCCGTGGTGGTCTTGAAGGCAGACATGATCTTGGAGCCGATGCCGCTCTTCTTCTTTTTCTTGCTCTCTTGATCGTCGACTGGTTCTATGCCGTTCGGAGGCTTGTCCACAGTTATGGCGTCTTCAATCTCCGAATGGGAGGCGTCAAGTCCGTTGTTCGTGATGGCTTCTTTGTCGACTTCGGCCGGTTTCTCGGCGGGAGGTTCGTTGGAGCTTGGTGGTGGTGGCAGAGGTGCCCGGTTCGCTTCCCCGATGCGCAATAGCGTAATGGTAAGTTGAGCGTTGGTGGGGACGCCTTTGAGGAGGGTGTTGCGAATCTCCAGATACTTGGGCCAGTCGGGAATCTTCTCATTCAGCAGTGCAATACCTCGTTGCATCAATGGGTCGGAGAAGAACGCAAAGCCGCCAAAGAACGTGGAACCCTTGACCACCCATTCAGGTCGCGTGATGAGGGAGATGAGAAGGAGAGGAGCAAAGATGGCCCCCAGTTGCAGTCGCTTCTGAGACGAGAACGGCGGAGTGGGCGACAACGCGTTGGCGAACCGCTCCCACGTGTCAGAGACATCGTTGAGCACGTGCATCACTGGTCGCATCTGTTTCCACACGGTCTCTTCCATCGGTTGCTTGGTTTTGTCATGCGCCGCTTCTGGGGTGCCACCTTGTGCGGACGACGAGGCATCAGCGGCGGCCGAGGCTATCTTGGTCGGATCAGGCATGCCGCCATCGAGGGTCTTGCTTCCGCCCTCTTCGTCCGGATTTGCTGGATCGTGCCGTCCAGCAGCACTCGAGATAGCCACCGAGGCGATGCCTGTGACCAGATTACTAGCTTCCTGCTCGACAGCCTCGCCCTTGTACTTCTCCGGTGCGCCGGTCACGCTGTCATGACTACCCAGGACCCCGGCCTTTGGTTTCTGAACACCACCACTCTTATGACTGACCAAAGCCAAGGGTGCTGGAGGGAAGAGGATCTGGCGAGACTGGGGTACGGTGATGAGGACAATGATGACGGCGAAGAGCGTCGGCATGACCATGTCGAGGATCCAGGCTAGGAAGTAGACGGCTGCAAAACCGGCGGTTCGACGGGGTTCTCGCCATGATCGCAATCTGGCAATATGCTTTCCAAATCCAATTAGGCCAACAATAACGGTCATGTACAGTCGTTCCAAAGTGGAGCGGAGCTTGTCAGGGGAGAATTCATCTTCTTCGGCAATATTGAGGTCGAGCCCCCCGGGCGGTGCCTGAGGGATAGCTTTGACATGGTACATTTGCTAGGCATGGCGGTAAGCGAATGTTCGGACAGCCGACCTGAAGGCCTGGAGAGAAAAGGTGATACTTGCCTTGTTGAATCTTCTCACCAACGTCCATAACTCATCGTTTGGCAGTCCACCCACCAAAGTTTCTACACCTACAGCGTTGGCTTGCCATCCTAGATTGGTTGTTGTGTCTTCCTTACCGGCCCTCTGTGCGGCGCCCTGGATTTCTTGGGTCTCTGTGGCCAGTTGATGACTGGTAGATGTGTTTTGCCCTAAAGGAGCCTGCGAGGTGGCAGTGATTGGTTTGTTTGCCTCGAGGGCCTGTCTGCGAACCTCAGGGTCGGGATGCTCTTCTGCGGGTGGAGTGGTACCGCCGTCGCGAAACACGTAGCCTGGAGGAGGCATCTTGGTCTGTGACGAGGATGGAAAAGAGGTAGAGGAGGAGGAGAACTGAGAGGAGAGTCGGGTGTAGAGTAGAAGATCGTACGCAGTGGTAGATAAGTGTGTTCGTAGTAGTTGCTATCAGACAAAGAAAAGGACGACTAGGATGGAATCAACTGGTAGTCACTCATACTTGTAACTCGGTGTCTTGATTGTTGCTGTGTTTCTGCTGCTGTTTGGCTGCATTTCGTTGCGTCTACCTACTACGTCATTGGCGTTTTGGTGGAGAAGCACGATGCGCACCTTTCGCCGATGATGCATTTTCCCTCGTCCAGTGAGAAGGGGGAGACTCTCTTGCTGCCTCTGCTTCTGCCTCTGCCATCCACCCTCCACCCACCATCTGCGATCGATCCATCGGTCGCCAACAGCTGGATAGCTGGATATCTAGCTGGATAGACTCCTCCGATAGAGCCATCGCTCTCGCCACCAATCCTCTTCTATCGCCTATCGTATCTTCCTATCCCATCGCCTATCCTGTTCTGCCTCGACCACCTTACTGTGGAAACCACCCAGTCCTGACCAGGATTACGCGGTCGCATCCCGATCCCAGACCCATCTTCAAAGCACGGAGCACCCAACGGTGTACTGTACAGTGCAGTGGTACGTGCTTCACGGCATCTGCCATCTCATCTGGGCAACGGTCTCGAGACACGTTCGATGACGACAGCCTCCCCAGACCCAAACCCAGATACCCTGCACGTGTGTCGGAAAAAAGAGTAGGAGTAAGACAACATGTACAAATCATCATTACCATGTCTTCTGTTCAATTACGGTGCCGTGTGTGCAATCGCTGTGTCTTGAGCTCATTATATCCTCCCAGAATATCCTATTCCTACAAGGCACCCCAGGTAGGTCTCCTACAACCAGAAAGCCCGTGTCCATGGAGTAAAATGCATCCAAGAATGCTGCTCCTCGAATTCGCCCTTCTCCCTTGCGTTATCCCTTCCAGAGGTATGTTAATGTAGCGTCTACACCGAGTAGTACGTCTCAATAGGCAGCAAAGGACCAGCCTGCGCCATAGTGTACGGCTTCCCATGGACGTATTTGCTCTTGATGGGCTCCTCGTCAATGGCGCAGTGGATCTGGCCGTCCCTGCCACGAAACCAGCCCAAAGCATATCGTTTGCCCAGCGTCTTCAGCCGCAGCTCCATGTGCTTGTTGTCGAGATGTTCCGTATCGATAAAGTCGGTGAGCATGTTGCTGGCATAAATGAACGCCAGCACGGCCGCGATGGTCGACGGTTCTCGCGGCAAGAAAGGATGCCGGCGGCGCAGGTAGACCAATGAGGTGGTGAAGATGACAAAAATCAAAATGACCACTGACAGAGCGAGCGACGCCCAGAAGGAGATGAACGTCTCGTCGCCCATCGAGACGTCCTTGGCTTCGCCGCCCACCTTCAAAAAGTCCCGGGCGTTGACGGAGAACGAACCCACCGTCACCGTGAGCACGTCCAGCGCAACCGAACTGCACCCGACCAGCGCCACCAGGTAATGTCGCTTCCAGAGCGCGCGGATCGGCATCCACCCGTACGCCGTGGCCTGGTAATCGAGCGTCAAGCTGTTCTCCGGTCGCGCGTTGCCCTTGGACAGCTGGTAGAAAGGTTCCATCAGCCGCACGTCCGCTTCGAACGTGCTAAACAGCAATTTCAATCCCGTCGCAACCACAATCGGCAGCCAGGGTGCCGCGTTGGGGACAACGTTCGCCGGGGTCAACGTGATGATGGGCACCGACACCAGACAGAAGACCATGAACAGCAGGAACGGAATGGCCGCCTCAATTCGGAGCATCACCGGATGGGGACTGGTCAATTTCCTCTCGCTGTCTTGGATCCGTTCACTCGTCTCGCTCCATTCACCTTGCCAGATGGACGATTTGTACAGCAGGTAGCGCCGATGTTGCAGCCGTTTATGGATCTCTTTGCGGTCCGCCACGTCGAGTCCGGCAAAATCTTGCACAATATGTGATTTGGTCGCCATGGAGGCAATGCCCGCAATGCCCTTGGGGTCGCTGAGAAGGCCTGACTTGCGGCGCAGTTGGATGAACAACATCACCAACACGACGGCCACGAACAGGTAGCTCGCCGACAATAGTCGCGACCAAACCGGCGAGACGCGGACCCAATACTGCTTGTCGTCCCCGCTGGGGCAAGCACCATCATGACATTCGGGGTTCTTCACAAACTTGATGGAAGGGTTCTGCAAGGCCGGCGCGGCCATGGAAGCGACGATATTCCCGGTGGTGGAGAAGAGAACGGCCCACTGTTTGAGCCGGAACGCCTTGAAAGGCACAAAATACTGAAACATGGTCAGATGGTCCAGATTCAAGCTCGCGGCGGCCCGGGCTCCACGAGGCCGTGACAGCTGATAAAACGGTTCAAGTCGACGGATGTCGAAGTCCATGATTGAAAACACGACGGCATACATGATTGTGATCATAGTAGGAAGATCTAAACAACAACCAGTCAGCTCGGGTACCGCGACCACCACCACGACATGACGCCCTCCGGCCAGAGAGGAGACTCGAAGCAAGGTACCGACCACACTCACATTTCCAAGCGAAGAAATCCCACGTCGATATATCCGCCACGCTATTGAAGGCGAGAAGTCCACTGTCTCGCCTGGCGCTGCGGAGCGACCGTTGACACAAATACTCCTGAAATCCAGCCAACGCGAAGGCGAGCACCATCAGCGACAGGATGTAGACGCTCTTCATCGACCAGGGCTTCCAATTCGGGATATCTGGATCCTCGGGGAAGAAGTAGCTCTTGGTCCGTTGCGGCAACAGAACGCTACTGCTATTCCTCATCGACATTGATTCGGTCATCTGGCTGCTGCCTCGAATATCGAACTGGCCACGACCACCGCCATCCAGGGAACTCAAGTCAACCACCTCCTCCACCTCGACGATCATATTTTTCTCTTGCGCAAGGTTCTGCCCGAAATCCCGGACCGTCTTGCTCCGATCGATCCCCGTGCTGGTGGAAGCATTCCGTGCTGCTCCCTCTCCTGCTCCGGACGAGTGTTTCCTCACTACTTTGGTAGGATCGCGTCGAAGCTGCACACCGATGTCTCTCATCCCCTCGCCGACCGAGCGACGCTTGTCAACGAAGGAGCGGAAGCCCGGCTTGTCCATGCTTTTGTTGTTACTTCCTCCTCTCCGTTGACTGGGCGGAACATACGCTGTTCCGATGTCTTGAAGGAGTGCCGGGTGCGCGTCCGCGTCCGCGTCCGGGTTCGACAGATCCGTGAGTTCCCACCCCATCCCTTCCAGCGACGAAATGTCGACTGCCGCTGCCACGGCACCTTGGTCCACGTCGCCATCGCCCAGTGTGGCGTAATGCCGTCCATGTGAGCGCTTGCCAGTGGATCGGAGATTGGATCGCGACAACGGCGCATATTTGGTGGTCAAGCGGCGCAGCATCGACGACGCACTGGATGAGGGTCCGGCGCTGGGCCGACGAGCTTTGGATGGCATCGAAGGCTCCATCATCTCAAATGCGACGTCTCGCATGCTGTCGCTTTCGTCGATCGATCTCAGGCGCTCGTCTCGGGAGTTCCCGCGAGAATGTCGGCCTCGATAGTATGATGAAGGCTCTATTGCCGTGCTGGTGATTCTGGTCCCTGGTGCATCTTTGCTGCTCAGCAAGCCGACTTTGTCTCCGACCGCGACACTGGGTAGTGGCCGCAGCACTGAATAGCCGCGATCATCGTCCAGCGTAACCATTGTGAGCGTGAGGGTGAGCGAGAAGCCCGTTTCTCACGTCTGCGACCGAGTCGAGCCTGGTCATCTCCCACCCAGCGATGTATTGCTGAAGAAGGACTCTGAGATAGTCATGATCGACTGACGAGCAGGAGCGGTGACAAGGCTGTGCGCTCTGTCAATCGCCGCGAAACGTTGTTATCAGTAATAACCCGTGCTGGTGGACGGCCTTGATCTGACACGGCCAAGAATGTGGCGCATACAACAGTTACCGCTAGACAGAGACCTCGACCTCAATGTCGTCACAATTTGCAACGCAAGAGTTCCAGAAGAGACGATATGCCAGCCGCCGGAAGAAAGATCGATTGTTCGAGTGGATGGGGGTCGCAACAAACTTGCAAACACCTGCAAACAACGTCCGACCAGGAGTCGGGTCGAGGTGGGCGGGCTGTCCGGGGCCCCTGAAGGTGGTATCGCGCCCCTCTGCAGGTTGGCGGCGCACCTGAGCCTCTAGACTCGATCCAGTGGTATCGTATCCTAGTCCGTTGTATGTAGTCAGGCGTCCCGAGGTTGCGCAAGCATCGTTAGTTCACGGACAACTTAAAAGGTGTCTTGTTTGTTCACTGTAATGCAATGATTGATCTTGATGTTTCTCTCCGTAACACTGAGAGGGGTGTATCGACAGTCAATGCGTACAGGAGGTAAATAGGGTCGCAAGCCTGCCATCGAGAACAAACGATTGAGAGGTCAAGCAGCAGCCCACCATATATGACCTTCTTACCTTGAGTTACTCGTACGCAGTCAGTCTGTGGGGGGAGCTGAGGCTCGCTGAGGCTCGTCGACTCCCGCGCCCAACCCAACCACTGCCAGGCCATGCCGACGCTAAACCGATCTCTGTTGACTCTATCATAGGGGGTTTCAGCTCGAGGAACCCGATGCGGCGCCAACGGGAGACCAGAATAAGCCTGAAGAACAAGGGTTGAGGAGGAGGCTGCTGCTCAGTGGTAGGGATGGAGGCAGCGGTTGGATGCCACCACGACGGATGGGGCCCTTTGGTCATAAAATGTCGTCCCAATGGTTCTCCTGCTACTCTCTCCATCCCGCCATGCATCCATGAACAGAGTACGAACACAGTAGAATATATCCGGCGTGGTTGCTTCGCTTACATGATCGATGGTCAGCACTATCACAGCTATGATTTATCAGATGTAACATTGTGGCTGCGTGTTCATGTTCATGCCCTTCACTACAGGGGTACGATGTACCTTGTGGCCATTCTGCGGCTACGCCCTGGACGGTCCCGGTCCGAAAGGGATAAGGGGACCATGGCCGCTGTAGAATGCGGCGTCCAGATAAGGCCGTATTCAACCATCATTCCTCCCCTCACCCCCAACGCAACGAGGATATCCCTCTAGGTCATTTCCATTCCCATGCATTGTGCAGTCCGGCGGCACGTCGTGTCGTGTCGTCTGTATCTCCGCTTGGAGGCAGAGTGAACTGGGGCTGGAGCAAAGCTGTCCATCGACGATCATCATACTGCTGCAGTGCAGCATGACGGAGACGACAGGAAGTCGAGTCCCTTCGAGCCTGCGACTGCTTTTCTCCAGTACGGTATTGTCGTCCTTCTTCCAACAATGCCAGCGATTCGCGTTCTTTTAGTCCACGCGAGAGTTGGTTCAAAAAGAACGCTGAGAAGAAATGCATAGAGGCACAGAGGATCTCAGATAGGCTGTATAGAGACCGGTGCAGAGAACCGCACAGTACTGCCGCTCCAAGCCCAGAGGCCACAGCCATTCAATGCGAACGGATCAAAGAGTGTCTCTCTCTCTTTCTCTCTCTGATTCTTTTCAAGCCTCACAGTTTCATTCTCTCTGTAGAATCACCATCAACCCCATAATCCCCAACATGACCGTCTTCAACCACGGATGTTCACTCAACATGATAGTAACGTATCCCACCGCAGGCACATACCCACGCACACTACCGATGATATCGTGTTGGCGGTCCAGATAGCTTTGTCCTCGCGCATACAATTCCGTATCGTCCGCAACATTGTTGTCGCCTTTCGTCAAGAGTTTGGGAGAAGCACTGGATAGAGATATGTTAGCTGTGGGAACTCTCTGCAGATTCGGTGGCCACAATGTCTGTCCCGGCAGAATACAACATACCTCGCTTTTGTCTTTCCGTCCGCTTGTCCTATCACATTGCCATGACTCCTCACCACACGATGCACGATCGGAATATCCTTCCCACGGACATTATACACGACAATCTCGCCCACCTCGGCGGTCTGGTCGCGGTTCCACAGGAAAAGCAAATCACCGCGCTGGAACGCCGGTTCCATCGAGCCGCTGAGCACCACGACGATCGGGGACGGCGAGTCGGCCATCACCGAGAGGGATTTCCATAGCATGAACGCCGTGGAGAGGACGAGGGCGAAATTGAGGACTTGGGAAAGCGATTGGCGCGGGTTCGAGAGGTAGGGCGATAGTGAGGATAACATTGTTCTTGTTCAGTTGCTTGTTCGTTCGGTTGTTGCTGTAGTGTAGTACCGGAGGGAGGATGAGCGTCTCGAGGAAGGCGATGGGGTGAGAGCCTGGTACTCTTCTACGCCCTTCTTTACTCCCCTTCACTTTGCTTCTGCTTGTCACGGTAGATATGGCATGGAAGGTGGAGTCTCATGCCGGTGCAAAGTATAGGTGATAGTGACGGTGCATCAAAGGAGCAATTGAAGTCTGGAGGACGGCCGTATTTGTCATTTACCGTGCAATGTCGCTGTGTGTTCCAAGGGATCTGGGAGTTCTGTATAGTGCAGACACAGGCGCTTGAACCTCCTGAGGTGGCAGAAACGCGACGTTTACGTAGCCAGAAATAAATTTGTCTGACGAAGCACTTGTCTGCTAATTCAGAGCACCTCCGGTAGCAAAATGGATGTCAGACAACAATATATATTCCTTCAACCTGACATTATCAACCACCACCATGATAGATAGGTAGAGCCTCTGCTTGAACTACTCAAATTGTACAAGTTGGAGAATGCTGCAGCCATACCTACTTATTACTACAACAGCGTTAGGCCCAAACTGAGGCGACCCTGGATGTCCCCGAGCTCAATATTCGCGGCTTCATAATACTAGTCATTCGTATATCGGGTCATTATTCAGAGGTACGTTTACCCGACCTCGACATCTTCAAGGTCTTTTGTCTGGCCTCTTAGACATGATGTCGATCCTGGCCTTCGCGCCCTTCTTGTCACTCCTGCTGCAACCGCAGAATACCGGCTGACGGAAAGACCAGGCAGCCCAGATGACCGTGACATCCGACTATAATCGCCATGCCACTAAGACTCAGGATGACACAGAGTAGGACCGATACCAGATTGTTCACACCAATATCTCGAAGTCGCTCGATCATGAAGGACACATATGAGCTCAGATCAAGGCACGGAGTACTCAGGAGGGCAACATGGTGCAAAGCGCCAAATCCAACACATGTCCATCGCTCATCAGACACGCATATCCATCATACCCGAAAAGGAAATTCGTCCAGGTTCATTTTAGGTCGTATTATCAAGATCATTTCGTGAGGCCTCATTTTCGACGTTAGGATGACATCCGCAGCCCAAAGGTTGTACAGTCGTCCGCTGTCGCTGTAATGCCGAACAAAAGCATATTAAAACCAGAAACAACAATGCTGTTCAGGGTCAAAGCCGGAAGAAATTTGTCAAAACTTGGGTGCTGGGTATTCGTATCTCGCTTAACAAACCACAGGTGAGGCATCCCATCAAGTATGCTTGAAGAGGGCAAGCTGAAATATCAGTGGATGCGACGGTAAGAGAGCATTGAGTTCGTGATATGACACCGGAGAAATTGTAGGAGACGTACCCATTGCACGGGCTTGTCATACCTCTGCCGATGTAATGGTCTGTTCAGCGTGCGCTCCTCATATCGGAAGGGTGATGAGGTTTGTGACTTTCGTCCTGGACGTAGAAAATGATCCAGCATCTTCCTCAGCACAGTCCAGCACAGTCATATATCCCAAGGCAAATCCCCCTCTTCACACCTCATGCATGTCAAGTAACCCAAACCACCCCCTTGACCGTCGCTTAAACTCCTCAAATCTAACTCGAGACAATTCCGGGTCAAGGGCTTAACAATGTCTCGCGCGACGTTCTTGATCTCATCGATCTTTCGTTCAAATCGTCGTAGGTTCTCTCGTGTATACAGCGCCGGTGCACTTGGCTGACCGGGCGGCTTGATCTTGAGAAACCGTTTAAGCTCTTCATCAGGCAAAAAGTTCTCGGGGTTCGGAGACGCTATCATCGTAAAAATCCGGCCGGTGTTGACGGCTGACGGCGACGCCAGCGGAAAGGAAGGTTGACTTGGATTCCGGGCAACTGTACCTGAAGCAGGCGGTGGCCCAGGTGGTCCCGGTGGCCCAAGCGGCTGCACGTTTGTGTTCGCAGTAGCACTGCCCGGTCGCGAGGCTGGCCCATTCTTCAAAATCCCACGCACCTCCGGCGTGGTGTTCTCGGCCAACCATTGCCGCCAGAGACTCATTGCAAGCCAGCCGAGATAGTCGTTGCCCGGATTGACTCTCTCACCTCGACTTGTTGTCAGTGTCAGTCTGAAGAGCTTCGCCTCGACTCTCTGCTTCAACTCCTCCAGCTCGTCAACTTTGTCCTCGATCAGATCAATGACCGATTGTGGGACCTCATAACCCCCGCCAGAATTATCGGGAGGCTTAAGGTAAGGCAAGGCGGCAGGCCACTGTCCTACCACGTGGGTCAGAGCTTCAGAGAAGATGATGCGGCTCCGCGCCAGATAGCCGAGCTTCAGGTATGAAGGAGGATACTTTGCTATCTGTTTAAACAGCCGAGACGAGAAGCGGAGAAGATGGTGGTCGACTCGTGGTCCAACCACTGGGAGCGCATCATACATGTCGGCCAGAGACAGTAGAGCCTTACATTCCGAGTAAGCTGCGGCGATGTTGGTCGAATTCAGAACGGGCGGAAAGTTGTAGAAGATGCGGAACAAGTTATCGTAGTCTCGTAGGAGAGGATTCGTGATGGTGGGGTCCGGAACTGTCGTCGCAAGTTGCGCGGTCGATTGTGATGCCGGTCCATTATGGGATAGGGTCAAATTAGCCATTGACCGGAAAAAGGAGGAGTGATGGGCCTGAGGTCGTGGTCGCGGCTGCGACTGGGGTGGCGGTAGAGAAGGTGTGAACAAAGACCCTTCCGGTGTCTTTTGGACTAGGATCGGCTCATCGTCGTCCTCAAGGTTCTCCCAGTCTAGTTCATACCTCCATCTCGGTCTCGGAGGCGATCCTGGCAGCGCATGTGATCCCGATGGTCTTGGAGTCGAGCTAACTCGAGATGACTCTTCCTCGATGGCACTTAGGGCCTGATCCGGCCGCGAAGATGGGACATTTGGGACGATCTGGCTCCGGGACCATTCATCACTGATGCTCGCCTCGAAGAACCCAGAGAACTGCGCCAATGTGAACCTGTGCAGCAGATACTTTTTCTCTTGTCCATCGTATGTCAAGAATATCTCCACATCCCCCGATTGCACAAAGAAGGGAAATTCGTTCTGCAAGGTATGGGAAGTGCCACCATAATGCGACCGACCGCGATGATGGTGGAGATGTCGAGATCGGGATGTTCGAGAACCGACAGAGGGCACAGCGTGAGAGTGATCCGCCAACTCCGCTCGTGAAACCATTTGGATTGACGTCGAGGGCCGCGCGTGTTGAATCGTTTGTGGCAGAAGTTGGTTCATGTAACGCCGTGATCCATGGGCCTCTGGATTTGTGAGTGTCTTGCGAAAAGTGGTACTCGGCCTCGGTGACTCGAAGTAGAACTGCCTTCGCTGTTCCAAATGTCTCTGCGTATACCAGTGTTCCCCACCACGAGTTTACGCGCCTCCCCTTCCGCAGAGGCTACCTGCTTCGATGACCTTGGACGGGCGTCGGCTGGAGTTGGGGAGGTTCCTTAAACTGCAGCACCACTGCCCGTTCTCTGTAGGCATTCGCGTCTTACACCATCGAGATAGGTACCATCATCCGAGTGAAGTCCGGTTGCAAGCTGGCAATTCGACGCCTTTCCGCCTCGCGCGTTCCATCTTGCGGAGGGCTAGGCTGAAGAGGCCACAAGCGCAGCTGGTACCGTGGGACGATGGTGTGGCGCTGAAGGAGCAGACGAAGTCCATTTTGGGATCTAGCTTGGATGCAGGTCCAGACAACGACAGCCAGTCGTGGCTTGAAGCTGGATCAGAGCTATCACAACGACAAGGGTTCTGCCTGGTCACTTGGACATATCATAGCAAAACCAGGGTTGAGTCTTGATGGATTTACCACCAGGCCAACCCGCAACGCTACGACCCAGACTATCATTCGACCACTCAAATCATTCATTCGATTTTCCGGCGGAGGCGGGTGATTATGCCTCCCTTTCATCAACGGACGCCATCACCTTGGGCTGCTCCGGCCAATATATCCTGTCTACACCTCAATGGCATTGCCTACAAATGCAAATCCCAAACATGCTCCAGCAGAAGGGCTTGTTTTATCCTCATCAGGCTCTTTCCTCACCAATCGCCATGCTGACCATCGTCCACAATCGCAACGCTATGCTAAACAGGGTTCAAGAAGAGAAAAAGACAAGGCAAGACACAAATGATGCATCTGCACGAGCTGCGACATTGTCCGTACGAAATCTCAAAACACCGCAGTCAACCCGCTTTTGGACTGTCGCTTGCTAAATCGCTTTCGTCCTTTGAGCGACTCGGAATCGCCACCGGAATGTTGCTTGTGCAGTATTGCTCGCCCAGAATGTCCGTGGCTCGCAGAGGGCGGACTAAGATCAGTGGAATGACTCATTGTGTTCGCATGACTGGACAAAGCCGACGAGGTCAAGGTGAGAGTGTCGTCGGTTGAATAGTTGTTGCTGGAATTCTGCATTGCTATGTCACGAGCACGGGCTAACGTGTCCAACCACTCTTGGGCGGACACAGCAGTTGCCGTGGGGTCATTGGATGCCGGCTTAGGATCCTCGAAGACGTAGTGCTTATCCTTCTATCGTACCGTCAGCCGCTGCCATGCTGGCACCGTGTATCAAACTTACCGTGTCGACAATCCACTGAGTCACCCCCTTGGAGTCCGTTGCGCTGGAAAACTCGACTCCGGGAGACAAGAGTGAGATATCCAGCTTGGACTTCTTCTCCTCTCCACCAGCGGCTGCAATGATAATGCGTGCACTTGAGGTGACCATGACGAGACGTTGGCGCTTTTTCGTGTTGCTTCCCCCAAACAGCCTTGAAAGCTTGCCCCCTCCCTCGTTCCCGTGCGGGCTGTGGGGATTTGGTGTGGACAGAACGGACAAGTTCCCTAGTTTCAAAATCCTTTCATTGTTCCTTGTGAGAACGGGAGACCATTCGATGTCCAGCTGACTGGGTGGAGGAAGCTCCGTGATGATCCTCGGATGTGGTTTTTGATTGTTTGGAGGTAACATGGTGGAATGTGTACTATGAGAGGGAACGTCTGGAGGATAAGCGTCCTGAGAGCTGGTGCCATTCAACTTGATCGGAGCTGCTGGCGGCGGGACGTAGGGCTTCAATCGTGGCGCTTTCTGTTGCCACAAGCCACGACCCCACTGTACGCCAGCAAAGAACGGATGGTTCTTCGCATGTTCGAGAGATAGTCGCCGTTGAGGGTCTAGGACAAGCAGACGCTCGACAAGGTCCCGCGCCAGCTCTGGGAATCCTCGAGGAAATTCATAGTCGAGGTTGATGATTTTTTGGAAGGTCTGATAGTCGTTGGTAGCCTTGAACGGCGGGCGTCCTGCTAGGAGTTGATAGATAATGCACCCAAATGCCCACAGATCACTGGCCTTGCAAGCATTCTTGTCCATCAACAATTCCGGACTCACGTATTCCGCCGTGCCGACGAACGAGTTAGCTCTCGTCTCTTCGGAATTCGAATCTGGTTCAAAGTCCCGTCGGCCGTCGATATTTTTCTTTTCAGGAAGCAGTTTCGCTGTTCCAAAGTCGGTTACTTTGATATGCATGTTCTCATCCAGCAAGAGATTCTCCGGCTTCAAGTCTCGATGTATCACCCCTCGACTGTGCATGTACTCGACTGTGTCCAGTATCTGGGCGCCATAGAACCGGGTACATTCTTCATCAAAGGTCGACATGCGTTTGAGCACACCAAGCAGCTCACCTCCCGGGCACAAGTCCAAAACAAAGTATAACGACCTTTCATCTTGGAAAGTGTAGTAAAGTCTCACGACACCGGGATGATCCGTCAATCGATTGAGTGTGTCCTTCTCAATGTTGACGTATTTGACTTTCTTCTCTTTGATGATATGTCTTTTGTCGAGCACTTTGATGGCGTACTTCTTTCCACTCTGACGATCTGTGGCAGCCAAGACAGTACTGTAAGAACCCTCGCCCAGAGTTTGGCCAAAGGTGAAATCTTTCACGCCTTTCTTGACAGCTTTGAGAACGGGTCGGCCTTCTGCATCATACTCCCGCTTCACTCCAACTGCTGCACCGCGCTCCTGCCAATCATCGGCACTAGCTAAAGGACGGTCTTCCATGTTGTAAGGTGAGGTTGACAAGGACGTCTGCGTTGATTTTGGCGTGGTAGAGAGTGCAGTGTTCCCAGTTGCACTGCCCCCTATTCGGGGACCTGCCACCCCTCGGGATGTTTTTCTGGGAGGTAGAGGAGCATTGCCGGGAGTGTACTGCTGCCCTGGGCCATATGCTCTTTCGGTGTGGCTGTCGTCTCTTGAAATTACACCGGCTACATCTCCGACTCCTGTGCGCTTTGAGGATGTCCGTTGAGGAAAGCCCGCCGAGGCCGACCCGTCATTTCGAATGCGGTATGAGGCTTGTCGAGACACCCCGTTGCTCGCCGTTCCATTGACGGGCATCTGCGAATAATAGGCGGAACCGGGTCGTGTAGCGTTCGATCGCGGATCTTGCGAGTTCTGAGGAACCATAGTCGTATACTGAGGGACTTGTGCTTGTTCCTGATCTTGAAAGGGAAGGGGGATATTTTGTCTTTGTAACGGCCACTCCGAGCCCCGGTGGGCTTGATTTGCCGTTGACGATGTAGCACTGGGAAAGCTCGCCGCCGCTGCTACCTGAGATGTCGCTTCTTCGGCCGGAGAACATGACAGAGGCGATACAGGGCTGTCAGATCGTTGGGGTTCGGCGGAAAGGTAATCTGTCCTCCCATTGGCATCGACTAATGGTGATATTCTGGGGAATTGGGAGACTGATTGCTGCGGTTGCAACGGGGTATCAGGAGAGGCATCGTCTGGATTTGCAATCCTCAACGGGCCAAGGGAGAGGTCGGCCATGATTGTTCAGGTTCGAGACTCGTGGCCGTCGTGGCTTGGTGCGGTATGTGTAATGACGTCCGGGGCTGTGGCTCGAGGGAGCGTCTTTTGGCGGACGTTCTGTATCCTATAGGAAAGGCGCTGTAGTGTTCATTGCTTGCGGCATTGAGCCGATCAGTGCATGTCTTCCTTTTCCTTGCTAGACCGGCCGGTGTTCACGTCGACCGGGTAAGGGAGGGCAGGGTAGAATTCGAGGGCGAAGTTGGAATGGTTTCAGAATCCCCGGGAGCCAAGGGTGTGAGCGCGGTCAGATCAACTACTCGCAACCGAGGATTGCAAAGGTCGAGAGAAGGAGCTCGTAAACGATAGCGAACGTGTGAATGTTGAAAGAAGGTTGGAGAGCAGTGGTCGGTAGCGGAGGATAGGATGTTGGCTGCAGCGAAACCAAGATGGAGGGCTTGGTGCCAAACGATGAGGATCGCCGTAAATAGACAAGTCGAAGTCACTGCCAGCACCGACCTCGTCTCTCTCACTCTCTATCTCTCTCCGCGTCTCTCGTCTCGAGCCCACGCAACAATCGACTATCCTTTTTCCTCTCTGAAAGATCCAACTTGGACCTGCGAGCTCAACGGTGCTGCTTCGAATGTCTCGGCTTAGCCCGACAATTGTCCACCTCACGCCCCAACAACATAGTCATCTCAACCTGCGCAGGAGGATTCGGCGCAGATTAACCCAAGATTGCTGTGGAGCTTATGGTGAATGTTGTCAATCGATCCACCAGCAGACCATACCCTCTACCACTCTACACATCCCATCTCGGTACCACGGGTGCATCGGGCTCTCTTACCTCTGCGAAGTAGTATCTGCAACGGAGTATAGGCTGTAACATGTCATACAAGGTGGGTGTGAGGAGGACGAATGGGCTTGGGATAGGTCGAGGAGCGTAAGTGAACAGCGCCGAGTGAAGTGTGAACTACTATTCCTACTATGGCGTTCTACATTGCGGTGGCTGCCTTCTGTCTGGTACATTGTGATGATAGAGCAAGGGAAGATGTCGCAAACGAAACAGCGCACATCGCTCTTGCTCCTCATCACAAAAGGTGAAGATTCAGACAACAATGAAGTTGATTGTGCTAGGGCAGTGCCTCCAGCTAACCACTCTCGAGTCATCAAGCATCGAGCTCTCTCACGCACCAGCAGGTTAGTCAGGCGAAAGATAGTCCTATCAAGGTTCTCTCAGGATGATCCATCCACCTCCAAGCAGTATCTCTTTGTCTGAGAGTGATGTCGAATTCCACCTACAGCAAGCTCAGATCTACCACGGCCTATTGAGACAGGGCTTCAAGAGGGATGACATTATTCGGTATCTTGCGGACCACCGCAGAGCGATCTCAGAGGCGGCCGGGATCAGTGTGGATGATGAGCTGCTTCTTAGTTCTAGCACCGTTGAACTGGCCTACCGACGGCGTCAAAGTTCTGCGCAGGCCGAGTCGCTTCAAACTGGACAAGAAAGCCGAACTTCCAAGCCTCCCTCATCCTCAGAATCCGTGAAGACCTCATCTCGTCGTCCAGGACGGCAGTCCACGGAGCTCACTGAATCACCAGAAGAGGATGAAGACTTTGAACTTCGTCAGTCGGACGGGCGGTCCGTCTCGCCTGTGTCCATGGTCCCAGCCATGCAAGTCAACAAACACGCCCCTCGTAAAAGCTCCTTGCTTCGCTTTGCGACAGCAGCGTCCCAAGAAAGCCCCCCAGCAGATGGCGTGGAAGGTGATGGTACACCCGCTCGAATTGTCACATCTCGCACTCCCGTTGAGCCGGATGGATCGTCTGAACTCGACGAGGCTTATGGTCATTCTAGCTTGCCCGACTGGGTTGTCGAGGAGATGAGGCAGATATCACTGGACAGTACAAACGCTCAGAGAGGTTCGGTCAGCGGACTGTCCGATGATATGCCCTTTGTGCTACCAGAGCCACTTTCAGCCACCCCTCGGATGCAGTCACTCCAGTCTATCGGTCCTGCTCGGCCAACTGTCCGTGAAGGCTTCGCTTCGGCCTCTCGACGCCTATCCAGCTCGGATTCCACTCTGCCTATTTGGACGCATCACCGGAGCTATACGGAAGGCTCTGTCGAAGATATGCCGAGCTCGCCTCCTGTCTTTCCTGCTTCTCCAGTAGAGGAATCCCCACCGGATGACGGCCCCTCCACTTCCTCTGGCCTACCGGCGACGCCAACGCCCATCAGGAGAGCCATTGCGTTCCCGCGGACAGAACCACGAAGCCACAGGCATCGCTATCTGGATGGCAACTCGTTCTCAGTATATAATGAATCGCTTCCCGCCACTTTCCAGCCCCAAACTCCGGCAGATCTGGCGAGGGGACCATACATTACAGAGCACGATGCTGCTTACACAGCCCCACCGGGCAGGATTCGAGTAGGGTCGGCATCCGCAGTGAACGTCGAGGGACAACAGTGGGATCTAGGGGAAGGCGAACAGAGCCCTACCGTACGAGCCATAGGTCTTCGTGAGAGACGAAACAGAGAACTGCGGCGCAGCGTACGGGCAGAGGGGATGCGGCTGCGAAGAATGATCACGAGAGAAGAGGCATTGTTCACCCAGCACGGGATAGAGGCACAGCAGACCGGCGCTGGTGGTGGTGATATTACGCCAGCACGAAACCCGGCTAGAGTTTTCCAGGCCATGATGGATGATATGTGGAGAGACGACCTGGAAGCTGACCGAGTGGGCGAAGAGAATTTCGAAGGTGACGCCGACATCAACCGCCGAGGAGTAATGAGGGTTGTCAGTGGCAATGCGAGATTTGAAGGTTGGGAAGGTGGTCCTGAACCTGATCGGTAGGACTGTCCTCAGGCAGTATCAGTGTACAGAGCCAACATGCATGCTTGTCCTTTTGGGGTTCGGCACGAAGAAGTCAACGAATCTGATATTCAAAGCCGACATTATCAAAGTAGTGTTGATATAGTATATGAATTATAGTCTTATAGTACTCATCGATCAACATCGATCAACCTTATACCAGCAAAGCAAACATGTCCCTCGTCCTCTGATACCTCGCCTTCAACATTGATTCGGGGTTCTGGTTGCAGAGCCTTTGATTCCGCCAGGGAGTACTTCTAGACAGAGCATCGACGACGTGGAGAGGAGCACTTGAGGCAATATCTGCATGCCCATTGAGTGTTATGTGATCATGAACATAAAGTCGAGACTTCTCGCGAACGAACTCCCAGTTCTAATTGATAAGATACTGTCTAACTATCTCATATTTTGTCTATCCATCATCACCGGCAGGACGAAAGGCCAAGTCCAGCCGACGAACAACCCCCTTTTCCTGTTTTCTCTCCCATTTGGAACTGTACAAAACAGTCAAACATTATGCGTTGGTCTTCTGAACGACGCATACCACCGGGCAGAAATCGGATTGACACCACGAACTGGGCCTAGCCGGCGAACATGGAAGATTGGTCGCTTCAACTGAATTCGCCGACCGCGTAGCAGTCCCTCAAATACCTCCCTTTGACCTTCTTTCCCGTCTCCACGCTCAAATCAAAAGGCCTTGTGAGGATAGACAAGAGCAAACCGAAAAGCTTTATAATATCAATCTTCTCAATCACACAGAGAATTCTCCTCCGCTTCAATTGAACTACCAGTTCAAGAGCTTTTCCCGACAAGAGCTTCAATGGCCTCGATCTGAGCCAACACGGAGCTGCGACTCGTGCCGCCCGTGGTCGACCTCTTCTCGACGCTCCTCTCAAAGTCAAAGACTTCGACGACATCCGCCTCAAAGAGCGGCGAGATCTGTTTCAGATCCTCGAGGGACAGTTCGGCAATGGACACCTCCTTTTCCTCTGCTTTGCGGACGATGGCGCCGGCGATGTGGTGGGTCTGGCGGAACGGAACACCCTTGAGGACCAGATAATCGGCGACATCGGTGGCCAGCATGTCAGCCGTCAAGGCAGCCTTCATCTTGTCGCCGAAAATGTGTAGCGAGCCCAGCACGCCCTGGATGATGGTCAGGCATTGCGAGACGGTCTTGACGCAGTCCAGAAGCGGCTCAACGGATTCTTGGAGATCCTTGTTATAGGACGTCGGAAGACTCTTCAGGGTAGAGAGGAATCCAGATGCCTGTGCCAAGGTGCACGTCAGTATCGATAGAATAGAAGAAAAAGCGAGAATAGAGATAAGGGAAAACAAAAAAGCAAAACAGAACAAGCAGGCTAAATCTTACCTGTCCCATGACTCTCCCTGCCTTGCCGCGGATCAGCTCCAGACTGTCCGGGTTCTTCTTCTGCGGCATCAAGCTGCTGCCGGTGCTGTAGGCGTCGGCAACACGAACAAAGCCAAACTCGGCAGTGGAGAAGAGGATCAAGTCTTCGCTGAGCCGGCTCAGATGCACCATCAACAAACTCGCCCACTGGAGGATCTCGACGACAAAGTCTCGGTCAGCCACGGCGGCCAAGCTGTTCTGATGGACAGACGAGAAGCCCAATTCGCGGGCAAGAAAGTCGCGGTCGATGCCGAACGGATTCCCAGCCAACGCACCAACGCCCAGGGGACAGCATGACACTCTCTCCTGGACTCCCTCCAGACGCTGGAGATCGCCCTGGATGAAATTTGCGTGGCCTAGCAGCCAGTGCGAAAAGCGAACTGGCTGGGCGCGCTGTAGATGGGTGTAGCCCGGCATCAGGATCGGGAGGGAAGATTTGGCCTGCGTCGCACAAGTCTGCAGGACCCCCTTCATCGACTCCGCCAGACCTGCCAGCTGGTCTCGAGCCCACAGTCGCATGTCGGTCGCGATCTGCTCGTTGCGAGAGCGTCCAGTGTGTAGCTTGCCCGCGATCTGGGAACCGATCAACTCTCCCAGTCGACGCTCGTTTGCTGTGTGTATGTCTTCATCCGACTTGGTGTCAATGACAAATTTCCCTTCCTCCCATTCTTGCGCGACTTTCTGAAGGCCCGACACGATCTGGTTCAGCTCGTCGTCCGTAAGGAGATGGAGCTGGTTGAGTCCTTTGGCAAAGGCGATGGAGCCTTGGACATCCGCTTTGCAGAGTGCTTTGTCGAATGTGAGAGACTCGTTGAACTTGAACATAAGGTCATCGATCGCCCCTAGACAGACGTAGCATTGGAGTTAGCATAACTGTGCTTTTCGATGTACTATCATATGTTCGTCCCATGGGTTCTCCTTACCGGTGAAGCGTCCTCCCCAAAGGAGGGTGGGAGCGGGATTTGCCATGCTGCAGAGCCTTGGAAAGCAGTAATGCGCAAGCTCAAGTTGCTGTCGGATTCACTGTGAATCGGAGCTTCCGCTTATAGTGTGCAAGAATTTTCTTTTATGAGGCTTGAACTGTGGTTTCTTTTTCTGATAAGATCCTACAATGTCCCAGCCAGTCCACAATTTTTTCTCCAAAGATGCGTCACGCAGCTTGTTGCGGGGATGCTTGCAATCGCAGCATTATAACACGTGAAGATAATGAGTCAGACTTTATATCAGCAAAGCCTTGTAACAGGCATCAACCAATGATTATCAACCATATCTAGCCTCGTCGGGAAGTCTATTCGCCGGCAAGGCTGAGGATGAGGGTTGGACTATAGTACCACGATCATAGATCCTCTTCACCATTCTACTACCCCAACACACCCAGTCTGTTAAGACCTTTGAACTCGGTAAGAAGGCCTTTTACAAGTCTTGGGACAGTAACGTGCGGGTAAGTAGGTAGGGACCAGCAACGGGAACTGTTCGATGAAGAAATGTCCTTATAGCAAGAAGGGACGGCTCAACCAGCAGAAACCCAAACCCCTGACAGAGGGAGAGTGTATGCATGATATCCTGCTGGAGACCCAAGGGTCAGAGTGCATGGAATATCAGCTGCGCAATTAGTCCTTATCATGGCGTATAACATGCGCTCTCATTTCCGCATTCCCATGCCTCAGGTGACAAGTGACTGGGCACTCTCCAACGAGCTAATCAACTCGGGATTTACTCATTCGAGATCGCAGCTGGTGCCAACAATAACGGGCGAGTGTCATGGAAGACGACAGTAACGGCATGAAGGAGCCCATTCAACTCATGTTTGCGACCCAACGAAGTTTTCAGAGGTCTCATTGTCAAGACGACAACGTCGTTGGGCTGGTCCCCGCTTGCACCCACGATGCTTCTTGTTATGCCAAGCTAGCCCTGTCAGCAAGCAAATGAGCTGTTGTCTTACCGTCCGCCGCAACCCACCTGTCATATTACTAGGTCCACGAACAGATAACCGAGTTCGGCTAGGACAATTGCGACAATTGCGATATCTGCTGGGGCTTGTATGACCAGGCTTTAGATCCACTTGCCCCCCCCCAAAGCATCCAAGAATAGAAGAAAGGCAAGATGGCTGAGCCGGCGTGATGCTCAGTAGCCGTCCCAGATTGGCAATTTGGTATTCTGGTTTGGAGATGTACTCGCAAGCCTCAAGGCTGAGCCGCGAGCACCCGGGACCTTTTGCTTATGGGGCCAGGGAAATTCGCATTTGTCACACCCGAGACATGGGTTGGAAAGGGTAGAAAGAGGGTGTACCTTATTACCTTTATCTCCCAAAGCGTTACCGTCCATGCATTCTTGTCTCCAAAGACTGCAACTTTCTCTGAGGCTGTACCCGATGGGCTTACATCCATAGTGGAGTATTTCCGTGATACAACGAGTTTGGGACGTTCGCTGCGTAGCTCATATTGTGTGGTGGTTGGCTAAGTAATGGTCAGATCCAGGACCGCGTTCTTGGGGACGTAGCACGACGAGGCCAGTCTCGAAGATGAGCTGAAGTTTGATATCATCCGTCGTCTCGTGAGTATGACCGCGCCCACATACTCCCGTATTGTTTTGGTAGAATATTTTGCCATGCTTGGATCGCTTGTGGCACGGTCCGGGATGACCACAGCAAAGAATAGGGCTGTGGAGAATTGACCAGTATTCTCCAGATGACAAGGCGGGGTTTGAAATACTCTGTACAAGGCGGAACGTCCTTTCTCGGAATCATCCATGGTGGCATAAGGGAAGGCTGAGGCTTACTGAGCCCATCGTGACGATAGGGGCAGATGGAGCAATAGTGCTTATCTCCAACAAGACGCTGATGGCGGTATACCTGGTAAGGGTGGATAGAAGATGCTCTGGAGAAAACACGTACTGGTTCAGTGGTATCACAGGAGTTTAGTCGCCAGCAGCGGATCCGCCTGTCGTGCATTGGAAGAAGTTCATGGTCAGCCTGAGTTTGACGACCACTCTTTCATCGAGCCTCAGGCAAGTAAAGATGCCGGACCAGCCTCACCCAGCGGCTGGTTTTCAGAGTGTTCTCGGGGCCCCGCCAGTGATAAAATACGGAAGAGTCGATAGGGTCGACCGCATCGTCCGAGATCGGCTAGGGTCTTCAACATCGGTAGTGGGAGTTAAGGATCGGTTGGGCGGAGGTCTGGTTGCTCCGATGTCTACAAAGTAGTATATGAGGGTGTAAATGTCCCAGACTGGCAGGGTTTCTCGATGACTGGGGAGGATAAAGAGAGAGCAAACCTTAATCATGTGTAGAATAGCCTAAACACCGGCTATCACTGCAGTGCACTGCAGCCAGGCACAGGAGGCGTTGCCATTCATTTCCTTATGGATGATGTGCTGACGAACGCAGTCCACAGGGATTAAGTCAGTGAGAGTTGAGGTTGAGGTATACGTGCACTCTCGCCCTTCTTACCGTCGCCGCGTACACACGGTCTGTACATGCACTGCCAGGGTTAACTCATAAGCTATTAGCTGTTATAGGATTAGCTCATTGTCACCACCTTCCCCTTACCAACTGGCGCATGACATTAAGCTGCAGTAGCCCGCCATTTGTATAAGCTAAACCCTGGGACGCCCTACTACTAGTATAGTACTATAGTACCTACACTTGTGTTTCTACCTGGTGAGGCAGACGGCGTGAGGGACTCGGACGCAGGCACTTCAGTTGCTCATCGACTGTGGCATGGATACTGCATTCGCACTTCTGTCCTCGCTAGAATCATTTATCCACGTCATCTCGAGTAGACGACCTCGCAGATACCTCTACGTGGGCACCTAAGGTGTTTTAGGCACTTTACCCCAAAACTTACCGCTGTAGCCACTGTACTTTAGCTCCCGCGCAACGCCAAACCCAGAATGGACTACCTACAGGTAACAAGTATCCAATGTATGTGCAGTATTCAATAGACAGAACGATCCTCTTTCCATCCTGTTGCTGGTGGCGTCTCTCATGTAGTATGCTGCATCTATTCGCGAACCTGAACACCCCTATAACGAGATGCGGGCCGGCATTCTCGTAAACACTGTGTTACTAGTACATACACTGGCGCCGGTGGTGGCTTCAAGGTTGTCACCAGTCTGCTCCCGCCTGCCTCTCGGTAACTACGATTCTACGTCTCCCAGGCCACTGACTGGCTGCGCCTCGTCCTGCTCTCCATGTCGACGACCTGCTTCCAGTCGTCATCATCCCACCATATCTATCCCTCCCTTGCATTCGAGAACGAGGACCGCAACTTATGTACCTACCTAGCGGTGCTTATCTACCATTCGAGCGATTCGAAGTTCGAATCCTCCATTAGACGAGTTCGTGGTCATCATTCCTCTTCGCTCGCTCATCACCGCATGCCGCCCTACTCTATACCGATTATTGACCTCCACTATCACATAGCCCCCTGTCGCTCACGCGCTTTTGCAAGAGCTCATCCGAGCAGCTTCCTGCGTATGCCGCGAGAGCACTGCCTCTGCGAACCCGTGGCTTGATGACTAAATCCTGGCTTCGAGCAAGGGTATGACCTTCGCTGACAACTCTCCAACACTACAATGCGTGAGGAGAAATCCAACAAGACTTGCTCGGTTCTCGCCATTGTTCTGCAAGGCTTGGTTATGATTTAATTCAGGACCCGGCCTCGCTGTGATCCCCAGTGATTACGATTGTCTGCCAACTTCACGCCAGAAAATGCCTACTGAAATCGACACCAAGCCCAAATCCAAGCATAGGAAATCTACTTGTGCCGGTTGTCGCAGAAGAAAGGTATTTGCCCATCTGCTTGCCTGTCCCCCAGGGTTTCAGCTCCTGTCACCGCAGCTTTCAGTCTATGTCTAACTGCATAGCAACGATGCTGATCTGAAAATAGTCAAAATGCGATGGGAAGACACCAAAGTGTACAACGTGAGAACCCCAGCCAGATCACAAACACCGAGAAAAAAAGGGACTGACTATCGTTCAGGTGTATAGCATACAAAGACGAATGCCACTATGACAAGCCACCGTCGCTGGCGTATGTGCGGTCACTGGAGGAGGAGGTACAGGAGTTGAAAGCACAGTTGCGCCAAGCCAAAAACCAAGCCTGGCCGAGTAGAGTATGGGATCCTTTTCCGACAACATACCTCGCTCTGTGCTGACTTTCACCAGGCTTCCCAGGATGAGAAGAAGGTGGTTTCCGCCTCGCCAGCGAGCGACACGGCGCAATCTCAAAGCTCAAGTCAACTTCCGCATCGCAGTCGTCAAGTCAAATGGGAGACCGACATCAGCATGGACGAAAGTGGAAGTGTGACATTTCACAACTCGACCTCTCCTATATATGAGCCTCCAATTTATCAGCAGCATCATCCACTGATAGCGCCTGCTCAAACCCACATGACTGGAGCTGATCTAGATGACCAGTGTGTCAGGCGAGATCTCATTCTGAATGCCACCCGTCAAAGACAAATTGAGCCCCTTGCAATCGCCAACGGCGCAGCCACGGCGAATGTGACAAAAGAAATCTCACAGGAATTGCTGAAGTACCACTGGTGCTGGATGCACCCTCTTTTTCTCTTCGTCTACCGACCCGCATTCACACGGGGAATGGCCATGGTGGATATGAACGCTCCCGCAGCCAGAGAATCGCGATATTTTTCAGAGACATTATTGAAGGTATGATGCACTTGTTAAACCCCGTGGTGTTGAAAAGCTCACCAATCTATAGGTCATTCACGCGCACTCGGCACGATTTCTGAATCACGACGTCTATCAGGATCAATATCGGAGTGTACTAAGTCAGCATAGTCCACCGGGTGCTGCGCTCACAGCCGGAGAGTTCATGCAAAGGATCTCTGACGAGGCAAGGTTTGGCTTGGCTATGGACGTCTTAAAGGATAGCTCTATACCCACGATCCAGGCTCTTCTACAACAATCTGCTCGAGAAGTTGTGTTTGGACGATCCTCACAGGCATGGACATTCTCCGGTGCCGCTTTCCGAATGGCTTTTGACCTGGGTATACATCTCCCGAGTGACAAGGTACAATCGTTCGTAAAGGGCTTGACCGCCGAGGACGTTGAGGTTCGAAAGCGGCTTTTCTGGAGCTGCTATACATGGGATAAGATCCTGTCCCTGTATCTTGGAAGAATGCCTGGATTTACGCTCAACACCGAAGAAGTACCTCCTAATTTCATGGATGACTACAGTGATAGCGACCTGTGGGCTCCTTACTATGGCGAAACCCCTCAGTCTGATCTGGCCAACGCTCCCAACTACCCCCCATGTCCGGGTAATGTTGTCTCCTGTTTCAGACAGTTGTGCAAAATCTGCGTTATTCTCAATAGCCTGATGCAGAACATTTATTCTCCAGAAGCCGCAGCCCGACGGGATATGGATGAAGAAGAATTTTCCGGAGAGCCCAAAGCAGCCAATGAAGCTCCCTTCATTCGCATCTCGCGAGACTTGCGAGACTGGCTGGTAGCTCTACCACCCCATCTTAGGATCGACCAGGACCAAATGCCATCATTAGCACCGCCGGCGCATATAATGTCGCTCAACCTCCTATATCACACCACACTTATCCTCCTACATCGACCTGTTGTACTCGGAGCACGCGATATAAATGCATCTGGACCGGCAAGGTCCTATCAGATATGCATTCAAGCTATGGGTGCCATTCACGATCTGATTATGTTACAAGGGAACACCTTCGGGCTTTCCCACGTGTCTTATCTCAATGCTTACAGTGTTTACATTGCAGCCACAATCGCAGTGTTAAGGTTTGAAAGAGACTTCAAACCGGGCGAAGATCATGCCATAGCAGCTGAAAGGAACGGGCTGAACTTTCTGTTGGACGTCATGCAAAAGGCCTCCAATGCGATGCCAGCTCTCGAACGGAGCAATGCCATTATCAAAAAGCGAATTAAGGCTGTTTTAGACAGACACAAGGCATTCCAGCCCCGTGCAAGCTATTCGAACAGTTCTACGCCGCCGAAATTCAATATCCCGACTCCAACAAGCCAGCAAATGGATCTGACGCAACCTACAGCTTTTCAGGCACTATCGAACCCATCACTAGTCCATGGGGTCTACTCGCAACCTGACACTGGCGTGTCATATGGGTCGGCGATGGCGTGGCAATCTGCAATGAGGAGCAGTCTCTATGCCGATCCCGCCATTGCAGTGGATGATTTTCTACCTGCTTTCCCAGGCCAGCAGTTCCCCGTTGGCTCAGAACATAGCTTTGGGAGCAGTGATGTCGACGCTCACGCGAGGACAACATTGCTGGGGTACAACCTGAACCCTCATCCGAGACTCAATTCTGGCGATATCGATTGGAATTTCATGGATACATTTGAAACGAACTCGGTGCCTGTCTAACAGGTATACAAGAAGGCAGGCTGCTGTACTGTTCATGGATGATTCCTTCCTCGAGAGTTTGCTCTCTGTCGGCTTCTGCCGCACAAAATTGAGCACCGTGGGCGCGAAATCTTTCTACAAGATCATCAATCTCTTTCTGGAAGGTGGCTAGGGAGGGAAGCAAATGATGTTACGATGCCATTTATTCAATGGTCGGGTAGGTCCGGCTCTCAGCACTCATGGACACACCGGTGTCTTCTGTTACCTACACTACCCATATGAGCCTGAAGTATGCGCTGGTTCAGTTCACTATTCTTCCAATTCTTGGGCCGCCGTTTGTACAAAAGTCTATTTATAAATACAAAAAACTGGTTTTGACAAAAGGTGCATCAATGTGGTTTAATACCATTTACAACAAGTTGTCCGGTATGCTGGTCTAATGGCGGCAGGGGATAGACGCAGTCGCCAGGGCATGGTATGTATGTTGAAATAGAACAGAAAACGAAGTACTTAGCCTACGAATGGACTGGTGCCAAAAGACAGCGATGGATACAGACTCGAAGTAGGTTAAATGTTGACGCTGTTATTTCTTTTCTTCGTGGTGAGTGTTGTCAGGGTCAGTCAGCGTCGCCGAGCGTTTGGCCCTTCTATCTAAGAGGCAAACGGCATTTGCAACCATGCCGACCAATCTAGTGAATTGATTGACTGTAGCTGCCTGCGATCTCTTTATTTCTCATCCAGATCTGTCGAGCACGTAAGGTCCTTCCACTGTTCCAAACCCTTGAGGGTCTCCTCACATTTAGCTTTGATCCGAGTGTAGGCGTCGGTGCCCAGAACCAAGCGCATGGGGATCTCTCTGCCCGAGGCACCCGTGAGGACGTCGAGGAGGACCTTGACGCCTTTCCTGATATCACCGGGCTGCTTGTTGTCATAGGCGTCCATGAGCTCCTCGCCCTTCCGGACAGCTGTTCCCTCGTAGTCTGGAATGAGATTTCGCTTGTGCTTCTTGTTGCTCGGGCTGAGGAAGTTGGAGCGGAAGTAGCCCGGCTCGACGGTGCAGACTTTGATGTTGAAGTCGGCCAGTTCGTAGTACAGCGTCTCCGAGAGACCGCTGACCGCCCACTTGGACGCGCAGTACAGGCCGACCCCGGCGGAGCCGCGCCACGCACCGACGCTGGAGAAGTTGGCCACGACCCCGGACCGTTTGGCGCGCATGTACGGCAAGATGGCTCGGGTGACGTTCAATGGCCCGAACACGTTGGTGGCGAACTGCCTTTCCGTCTCTTCTGGACTGGGCATGGTAAGATTTGTGTGACTTTTTCGACGATGGGGTCGGTGGAGTTGGAATTTCAATTGGGATCGGGATTGAAAAGCGAATTGGAACTGTAATTTGACCTTAAATTGGACTTACCTGAGTTCTTCCAGTCCCCCTACCTGGTTGAAGCCGGCATTGTTGATCAGGTAGTCGATGCGTCCGTAGATGTTGTGTGCTTCTTCGGCCGTTCTTTTGAGCTCGTCCAATGGTGAAGTCACGTCGAGGCTCACCACTGCTGCGCCTGCGTCCTTCAAGTCGTCGAGCTTGCCGGCATCGCGGGCAGTGGCGATCACGTTGTCGCCGCGGCCCAGGGCTTGCAGCGTGAGTTCCTTGCCGAAGCCGCTAGAACAGCCAGTGATGAACCAGACTTTGGTGTCCGTCATGTCGCGGAAGGTTGTATACGACAATGCAGACCTAAAGTGGTGAACACGGGAAGAATTGGTGTAGTATGATCCCCAGCCGGTGTTGAGGGCGTCAATTCGGCGGGCTGTTTGTTTCAAGAGTAATATCATGGGACCTTGACCTCAGGTTGGAAAGGAGGTGGCATTGCAGCATCGTGTTCATATATCTCGCGAGATCAACCGCCTGGACACCTCGAAGCATGTGAACACGTTGTGAATATGTCGGGGTTTACCACCTGGAGCTTCCTGGACATAACAGTCGGATGGGCATTTCTCTTGACGAAGCGATATTGCATAGAAGTCATGGCGCGAAGCGACGGCCGCCCATCACACTTGAGCATAACACTGTGGCTCATCTTCTTCACCCATGTCGTCCATGGCGTTCAGGCATTCCAATGAAATCCATCGAAATCCACATTGTATATGTAGGTCGGTGACTAAGAATTGAGTCAACGCGCAATGGGGCCAGGACTTGGGCGATACCATTGAGCAAATCTGAAAACAAGATGCAGTTGTAAGCCGTCCTGGCAAACGACCCTATCCCCGTCGAAGCTAATAATAAAGGCTTTACCCGGTGGAGGCTTGGGTTGTGAACGAACTCGAATAGTCTGAAGTATATGTATGAAGTTGAGGTTCAGGTTCAGGTTCAGGCTGACACTGATGGCGTCTGGCGGCCGCAACGGCCGCAAACTTTAAGTCCGTACACACAGCTTGGCACTCACGAGGTAGAGTGGAAGGATGCGGTGTACCACAGTACTAGCAACGGGTGAGAAAGGCACTTACTCATAGTAGTAACAGAAGCATCATAACGTACTGGCAGATGCCTTTGGTAGGTAGGGATGCAGTGTAGGAATACGTAGTATCGTTATTTGGGCACATATTGCTCGAATCCATGCAGTGGTAGTTGCTAGTGGATCGGTTAGGAGACTCTCTCTCGCCCCTTTTCGACCCCAATTTGAATAAGAAGTGCGATGAAAAGACAGCACACTGGATGTGCTGGCAGGGCCGTTTGAAGATTGGATTTCCATCTTCTACCACCTTTGACAGGCGTCTCTGCCCGGCCGAAAAAGCCAGTTATACCTCTTATCAACCGGTGACTCTTTGAGACTTCGCAATGCAGGATTTACGAATGATCACACACGAAACAAGGCGAGGAAGACTCGAACAAGCTAGTCAACATGCCGTGTAACTTGCAACTTGAAGACCGCAATACGAGATTCAGTCAGACATTGAGTCCTTGCAAGAGACACAATGCAAGAATTGGCTTCCAGTTTCGGTGTGCAAACGCAGCAGATATATCGGTCGAGTGCTCAAACCTGGAAAGACGGTGGAAGACGACTTTCGCTGCCTCGGACGGTCTGGCACGGCATTCTGTGATGTTTCTGTTGGCACAAGTGTATTTGCCTTGTTCTATCTTTCCAGGTTCACTTTTGAGATCAAACTAAGAGCAGACGCCCTGATTGTTGTCGCTCGACTATTCCTCATCGTCAAGATCCTCGGTCTCAGCTTCGGCAGCTGCAGTCTTGCTTTCGGAACCGGTGATGACTTTGGTCTTGACGGCAGGTTCATCTTCTTCTTGCTCTTCCTCGTCGGCCTCATCCTCCGGAGCACCATTCTCGGCATCCTCCTCTTCCTCCTCTTGATCAGCTTCGGCTGTGGATTTGGATTTCTTAGAGGCTGGCTCGGTAGGTTCGGCCTCAGCCTTGCGCTTCTTGGGAGGGGGAGCTGCATCATCACATTAGTAACTACGCCGGTTCCCTTGGAGGCTATGGCGTACCTTTTTCTTCCTCCTCCTCCTCTTCCTCTTCTCCTTCTGCTTCTTCCTCTTCGTCCTCTTCTTCACCTTCCTCTTCCTCGTCATCTACCTCGGAATCCTCATACCTGTTTCATCGAAATATCAGCATCCTCCAAAGAGGCAAACGCAACGACAAAATTCTAGACTGAGTGCGCGATGTGAACAGTCTCCATTGGACAGACACTTTGCAGCCTAGAGGCTAGACAAAAGGGCGCGCACAACGGCGAGAATCCGGAAAGAAGCTCTGGATGACACGAATCCCAATCATGCAGTACATATTGGAAGAGGATCTGGAGAGCGATTGAAGCACTGGATGGTGTGAGGTATCTTACTCTTCTTCTTCTTCATCTTCGTCGCTGGGAAGAGCTACAAGCTCCTCTTCCTCCTCGTCAGAGTCCTGACGTCGCTTTCTAGGCCCGACCATGTTGTGAATGTGGAATACGTATAGGAATTGAAGCAAAGTATGACTGAAAGACCGGAGAAGTATGGATGCAGATGAGGAGATGATCAGAAGAAAAGGAAGTGTAAGAAAGGACAGAATATGTGGGTTGAAGTAAGTTAGGGTCAGCGTACGGCTGAGACTTTGGAAACCTGGGCGAGCTGTTTCGCAGACGTCAGGCCTCAAGACTTAGGGTCAGGTCAACTACTAGTGAGGAGGCAGGGGAAGAAAGGGACCGACAGGCGGATAGAGGAAGGGATAGTCAGGGAGAGAAGCAACAAGACCAGACGTGAGGAGAGGCACAGGGCGAGCAGAGCCAAAGGGAAGGGCGCAAAGAGCCATGATGCATCGGTAGGTGGGCGGTCGGCACCCAGTCTGGCAAGGCGACCTAGAAAGGAGCTCCAGGAGCACTGGCGTCAATCCATGAGAGGTGACGGAGCTGGGAGCTCGGGTCGCGGGAGGAAGCTTGCTCGAGGGGCCGTGAGTGAGAGAGTGAGAGTGAGAGTGAGAGACCGCGCGCCGTAGTGCAGTGGGAGTTGTGAAGGGGAATGGGAGAGGGAGTGGGAGAAGAGGTTGGCCGGCGGGGAATCCAATAGTGCCCGTAAGTGGGTGGAGGTCGATTTTGACAGCTGTGCCAGTTCAAGCTGCTGGCAGGCTTCCTCTCAGAAACACACCCCCTTTGCTGGGGGGAGAGAGCCTGGAGTCTCAGCCATCTGTGATCGTGAGGTTCCCCTGCTGAATCTTCTTTTGGTTCCTTTTGTCTTCTTCTTGCGCTCATTAGATCACAGATGAGTTGATAGCATGGCCAACAGCCAACGCAACTGTTCGAGTCTCGTCGTACAGACAAATCCGTCTCGAAAGCAGTCGATTATGAAGGTCATCAAAGATGTGATCATGACATGTCCAAGTTGGCAATCGCGAGGTTCTCGCGTTTCTTGCTTGCCAAGCCTGTGAGGGGTCGTTGCCTGCGCCTGCGCCTGCGCTGCCCGTCGAGGTCACAAACAGCTCTTCAAGTTGGTCGAGCAGTCAGAGTGGCATTCATGTTGAAGAGAATTTACCAACATCAAGTTGAACGTCATGACACACGACTGTGCGCTGAAGGTTTACTGCCTCTGCATTGAAGCGTATCGGTAGTTCTTCACAGCAGCCCAAGTCGCCGCGGCTGAGGCCTAAGGAGCCCAGTACACGCACCTCCTGTTTGATACTATCACAACGAGCTCGATAATTCCAGACCTCCCACTTACATCGATCCTCGCCAACGAAATGTCCAGACCGACTTTTGACATAATTCCCTTCCTTGCTCCCGAAACAGAGAAGATTGGACATCGAGTCTCCAGCGTTGCTTGTGGCCATCTGGGGTCCGGCAATGAGACTCTTCCGCCTTCTCTGACCTGAGCACCCGCACGCGTCCAGGGTTACTTGCTAGACATCCAGGTGGGTGAGACAAAACCGACAACGGACATAGACAAACCAGTCCCCCATGTCTCTCGGCGACACCCTTCACGTGGGACAGTGTCACCGCTCGGGGAATTCTTGCCATCCGGCTGTGTTCAATTTTTACCATTGATCACATTCGCACTTCCGACGAAGACGACGAGGACGGCCGCAAAAGCCGTTGTAGACATAAACACGTCAGCCCGTCTTTGAGCAATGACATTCATCACCAATGAAAAGACCAGACTCATCATGCTAATGGCGACCAGCCTGCCGCCCATGCTCTTCACACAGAACAGCACCAGGATTGACAGCGGAGGTATAATTGCCGACAGCAGCATACAAATTGTATTGCCCACCTGCACCAGCCTCTCCGGTCTGTACTCCCAGGTCCGGTCGAACGCCTTTTCCGCCATTGACCGGTGAAGCCGGTAGCCCAGCAGTCGATGATACGACGGCAACACTTTCTCACTGAGGAAGTTTGCCAATGAGTCCTTGCTCCCGACGCTCTCCTTCAGTGTCAATAGGTCGGCCTCGATACTGTCATCACAGAATATGCCCGCCTCAACTCCATACAGGAACTGGTTGCCTCCACTCTCCTCGTCATACCACTGTCTGCGTAGCTTCAAGTTGTCTTTGTTGGGATTTTGCAGCGCGTTGATCTTTGCTGTCTGCAATAGCGTTCGATCTGTGCCACTCTCAGTGTCAATCCCCGATTACTGGTCTCAGGGCAGCTTCTCACGATACTGGTCCAGCAAGGTTCTTGACCGCTCAAAGATTTGACGTATGCCCTCTTCGGATAGTTGTTCTGGACAGTCGATCCAGATCTGGTTGAAGCCATTCAACTCCGGTATCTGCCTCACTTCATTGATCACCATTTCCAGGTGTTGTAGCTCGGCTTGCATATGGAGGATGTTTTCCATATTGAGACTGGAGAATCTTCTGAAAGCTTCGGTGTTCTGATGGCTCGCCATCATGGTGGCCAAAGCCCCGTAGCCCGAGGTCATCTTTACAAGGTAATGGTACAGTCGTCTTGGTTGCAACCAAAACAGTCAGGGGCGCATGTCTAGGTCGGGAGTACAACGAGCGGGCAACTGCTTATATTCGGAAGGCAACTCATTGACCTTGTCCTACGCAGTTGCCACCCTTCACCATTGGAGGCATCGTTCTTTCTTCCCTCTGCACCGCTGCCCAAGAGGACCTATGGGCCTTGCTTCCGACTTTAGCCTGTTGGCAAGATGCCGCCCCAGAAGGAAAGGCCTTTCTCCGCTCCACTGTCTGAACACGACCTCGGTCACTTGCAGAAGCGAAGCGCCCTTTGAGCTTACCCGTCATCGAATCCACCGAGCCACGCCCAGTCTGAGTTGTTTACTACGTACGCCTCATGCTGTCACCTTGCGAGCACGTGGTATGACATGGACAAGGCAATACCTAGGTACGTGGTATGATGGCCCATGTCGAAGGCTCAAGTGTGAGTGAGGCTGCGGACTCGATTGAAAACGATGCTATACAAGCCTCCTCTTCACAATGAGTTATTAGAGGCTGTGTATCGATATCCTTAACGGCAAGTCAAGACAACTTCTTGACCTCCTTTGAAGACAGGCCGGAATGGCAGACTTCGGTGCTGCAACTTCCCTTCGGGGCTTCGGTCTCAAAATAGATATTCTACCACTGCCTAAGTATCGCCGGGTCAATCCTGTCAGTCATCTTCAGCCGCTACAACGCTGCAGAATGATATTATGGCGGTGACACTGATCCACGATAGCGGGAGCCTTTCCCACATTATATCCCAAACAGCTCCCAGAATTGGCATGTCGGAGGCGTCTGTTTACAAAATAAACAACGACAATGTCTCAAAAGCTCGGTCTGCCACAGCTGTGGGTCGGAGAAATAGGTGCAGAGTTCACCTCATGCTTGCAGGAGTTTGTTACATGCTGCCATCGTGCAGATGCTTGAAGGACGAGCCCGTCCCTTGTGTGACGATCAGCCAGCAGGCAGTAGGTGGACGAGTTCGGCGTGGAGTGAGCGTTTGCTCCGTTCTATTATTTAAGAGGCATAGCTGAGCGTTCGACCGGCCGTCTTTGTCGAGTGCTGGCGTCAAAGCTGAATATCCAATTGCCTTGCTCTCCGTCGTCAGCTGGGGCATTTCTCTCTCGGAGAAGCGCCGACATACGGCAAAACAGATTCCTCTTCGGTAGGAAGATTCTCCACGAGCAATACCCAGCGTTGAGGCCTCCCTAACCTGGCCCTTAGCTTGATGGCGGCGGTCAAAGTCCATAATGCCAGAACCAGGTCGAGTCGGCTCCACAAAGGCTCTCAGCATAACGAAAAGTTGAACAAAGATAATCTTATGTTGTTGCGACGATACGGAGCCAGCCTTTTGCTCCGGCAGAGGTGTCAGAACACCGATGGACTGGATCGCTCCCACGGATGCATGCCCTCAGCCTTGCTTCGGAAAGACCTGAGGGATGGCGGCAGGAGAACTCCCAATGCTTTTGTGGCTTTGATGTTCATTCATCTGAACCCTTCCGAGATATTCGAGCCAGGAGATCCGCAGCCGACAATAACTCCTCGACGAGTGCTCCTTGACACTGGAGCGGACTTCAACTTGATTTCCCATGGCGCCGTCACAGAGCTCAGTTTGACCAAACAGCCGTACGAAGGGCGCGTCCACTCGATTGGCGGATCCGCAACGTTCAACGGCACACTGCCTCTTCAGTGGCACTTTCGTAGCCCGCTTTCCACCTCCAGTTGTTCCTTGCTATTGCATCGTGCTCCCTTCAACGTTCTGGCTGCTGGCGAAGAGGCCATGTTCGATTGCATTATCGGCCGACAATGGATCGATGAGAACTGGACCGAATTTATAGCCTTGGTTGAGATGAATCGACAAAGGGCGACTCTTGCGCGATGCAGTCCGGCGGACTGAAGGCATGTGCCCGAGGAGCAAACGATTGCGTGGAAATCGATCCTGGTGTATCGATCGGCTCTCCCTTCCAATGGATAGAAGGTCAACCCTATGGCATCCGGCGCAGGCAGGCTATTTTATGGGAAAACTGGAATTTCCAAAATGTACGACCAAAAGCGGGACACAGGATTGCCAACGCGAACGAGAAAGTCATTGACACAGAAGGCCTGCTGATGCGGAGACGTGTGACCGGAAAGGCCAGCGCGATCTGGATCTGGACCGGCCTGGCATTTCTTGGAAGGGCCATCTGCAAGGAAGAGACACCTGTTTGGACGCAAGGTTACACGGCGGGTTGGGATAGACATTTTAAGCAACCAAAAGCATGCCTCACGGTCCATAGCACCGCCGAGATGGAAAAGGATCCTTTGGACCAGTTGAGCCGCAACTACCGTTGGCGAGGATAGACTGCTCTCTTTTGTATCAACCAAAAGTTTCTTGTTCAACCTGTCAATCGTGCCGGGTTTGCCTCGATCTCCGGTCCCTTCGTGACAAATTTCAACGTGGAGTGGTTACTCTTGATGATCCTGTGACCGGAAAGCAGCAGGTGTGATGAACTGAGGTCTCGCTTGACAAGGATGTACTGTTGAGGCATGGCTATCTCAGCAGCTCCTGTTTGCGGATATATGAAAGGCTAAGTTCCTCCAATACCCTCCTGCCAACGCATTTGCCATTGCAATCCGGGCTTGGGCACAAGTTTGTCCGAGTACACAGATTTTACGTTGGCCGATTGTTGTTTGTTGTTTACCCTCTAACCGTGGCCCTGTGGTCAAGGGGATGGCAACGGGGCGCAGCCACCCGCCTTCCAATGCCCATATGCAAGACAGTCATCTCGAGTCCTCATATCTTTCGTGGCAGAGCCGTCATCCAGAACTGTTTCGTCGATCACCTTCCATCGCTCCAATGGTACGCCCCTGTTTGTATCCTCGCCGTGCCGTCCCTTACCCTTGGCCCTTTGAACCGTCCTCTTTCTTGCGATTCCCCGGATTGGACATGAGCTGAAATGGATGCTGACCGATTCTACAAGGCTAGCAACACGAGAGTCTGCATCTTCGTCATCGCCGAAGGCCAAGAACACACCGTCAGACTCGCCAATACCCTTTCGGACAACGCTTTGAAGAAGAGCCTGATATCAAGAGCGAAAGCTCTCGCCACCCACGGACCGATCCAATCGAAATCCCCCACCGTCCTGACTGACCATAGCGGAACAACCTACACATCGACCTCAACCATTTCTCTTCGCTGGTACTACGACGATGGGCTACAGACATTTCAAGAAAGCTTCTACATCGTCGACAGGTTGTCCCGAGCCACTGGTGAAGGAGGCGGAAGTGGAGGAGATTGGGATGCCATTCTCCGCGCTGATATCGAGCCCGGCTCTGCTGTTGGTCAGGCCTATCCCTACTGCACCATCCCTGCAGGCCAGGATCCCAGAAGAGAAGCCGAACGGAGGGAAAGGCAGGAACGAGGCCTGAAGCAGTTCCAAGCCCAGAAAGAAGACCAGCAGAAGAAGATCCGCGAAGGTCTGACCAAAGGTAGCAAACAGAACACCAAGCGTTGAGAGTCGTGACAGGGACCGTGACTACCGGCTGTACTGTCGACATTTGAACTGCTTTTATGCGACTGAAGAAGTAACGAGTCTTTTAAGGGTTGACTTTGATTGTTTTGCCTGCTTTCCGTTGCGTGGTTGGTGGAACTTTTTGCAAAGTTGAGTTACTTGCATGATTCTGACTTGTGATCTTGTTGCGCATTAGATAGTCCCTGTCTATGTTACATTGTTCCAAGGTTGTGTGATGTTGGTTGATTCTTTCTGTTTTGCAACATCCTTCCTACAGGTTGGAGCCGCCGGCGCCGAACTATACCATGATTGAAGGGTTCAAATACCCCTGCAAGTACCAGCCGTCCTGGGCACGTTATGGTATTGCAGAATGCGATTTTCGGGAGAAATCAGAGAAGAGGAAAATGGCAGAACAGGGGGGGGGGGGGGGGTTGGAGCATACGGGCGTGGGAGAAGCTCGGAGAGTAGTGAGCATTGCCACGGAGGTCTTACCTATTGGTATGCAGCGGGGATACGATGCAGACGGAAGGAAGACTGTAGCCTCTGTGTCCTGCCTTAGACCATGATCACTCAGACACTCTTTCACTGTCGTCGTTTCTGCTATGGGTGGTCGCTCTCAACGCATGTGGTTATGTTATTGCAGCATTTACCCGAGTTTGTAGTCATGGCATCGTCCATGGTCACTGGTGCCAGCAGACCGAGTCATGGGTATTCGCTGGTGCTTTTATGAGTAGCAGATGATATTGAGATGTAACATTCATTGAACCGATGTCATGTCTACCTACAGAAAAAGCCCGAGAAAGTAGACTTCCTCCAGCCGTTGGCACTCTAACCCAGCGGCCAGGTTCATACCGAACTTGAGTAACGTTGATGACATTCTCTCACCTCAAGCTTGTCCATCCCAGCCGAGATCGTCACAGACAGACATACATACATACATTCATACATACATACATTCATACATACATACATACATACATACATACATACATACATACATACATACATACATACATACATACATACATACATACATACATACATACATACATACAAATACAGACCCATATGTATCTAATGTAATTTATGCCTGACCTCCATTGACCCGAATGGTCTGGCCACTGATCCACTTGGCGCCGTCCCCAGAAAGGAAAGCAATGGCTGCGGCAACCTCCTCGGGCGTACCGATGCGATTGTTCGGGTTGAAGCTCGCGATCATCTTCAACAGCTGCTCACTCTTGCCCTGGTAGAATAGCTCGGTACCGGTGGGGCCGGGGGCGACGGCGTTGACGGAGATTCCCTTCTTGGCCAGCAGATCCTTGGACATGGTGCGGACGAGCTGCTCGACGGCGCCCTTGGTGGCACAGTACAGCGTGTACGGGCCGTTGACCGTAGAGGCGTGGTTCTGCGTGGTGGAGATCAGCACGACAGTGCTCCCGCGCGCCATGTGCGGCAGGGCCTTCTGGACCAGGAAAAATGGCCCCTTGACGTTCAGGTTGAAGGCCTGGTCGAAGTCGGCCTCGGTGGTGTTCTCGACGTCGCGCATCGGCAGGATTCCCGCGTTGGGAATCAATATGTCGATCTTGCCGTACTTGGCCACCGTCGCCGCCACCAGGCTCTCGATCCCCTGGATGCTCCCGGCGTCCGCTTGCACTGCGTGTGCGTTGTCCGCGCCCAACACCTTCTGCACCAGGTGCTCAGCCGCAGACCCGTCGCGGCTGTAGTTGATCACCACCTTCGCGCCGAGCGCCACCAGCGCTTGGGCCGTCGCCGCGCCGATGCCTTTCGACCCGCCGGTGATGACGGCGATTTTGCCCAGAAGGGAGCCTGTCGACATGGTGGAAGTGGATGGGGTGATAGATGCGGAGGCGGGGGCGGAGGCGGAAACTTGCTGGTTGCTTGTTTGCTTCTTTGGTAGTAGCGGCACGGTTTTCTTGCGGAACAGGGGCATATATAGGGATATAGAGGCTTGTGGGAAAGTTCCGGTAGGGCCTGCTGAGGGAGGAGTTTGGTTGTAGTGATGGGTGATGACAGGTATGGGCTGTTTACTTCTGTGAAAGTGATGGATTGTCGTCCTGGGAACCCAAGAAAAGAGAGTGCGACATCCTACCTGATCACACGATTCTTATATACCTCGAAAAGAGCATTGTGCACCTTCGAACCGTTGCTCCGAAAAACTGCGTCCAAAGCGTATACGTACGGACGATTGCGTCGCGTGCAAACTGACCACCATCGTCGAGAAAATATCCGGGTCTGTTGTTGCTCCATGTGCCTTAGTAAGGCTCGGATATGCTATGTCCATGGACAAGCGATGCCGTAAAAGGAAATTATCTGCTCCGGTAAAGCCGGTACGCTTGGTGGATTCGGGGTTTATTTGTACGACTGGATCTCCGTCCAGGATGAGAGCGCCATTCTGACTCAGCGTACGCTTAATCCCTCTTCACACATAGTTCTGGGCTCATAGACGCTGTGATGAATAACGTGCGAGGCTTGATCCGAGAAGAGTATCGAGGATCAAGGATTGAGGATTGAGGGCCCCTAAGACCGCGACTCGGGGTTAGAAAAGGCTCGGAGACAAGTGGGGACACTAAACCCCATGCCGTTAGGTATTACTATTACTAGTAGTTGGTTCCGATCATGGATCAATTCTCCTACTATGTCCCTGACCCAGTCCCAGTCCCAGTCCCAGTCCCTACCAGAGCCCAACTATGTAAACGCAGCTGGTATCACAACGACAGTCCTGGACACAGCTAATACTCTTCATCACACCTACTACTCCAAACTCCCCAGACGATTGACAGGAGACACTCAAAACAGGTCATCCGGATCTCCCAGATCCCACTTCCTCGTCGTCAACTTGCGCTGCTTCTTGACAGTCGTCGGCGCTGGCTGCTGCTGCGGCTGATCCTCCTGCACCATGGCCCGCGTCACACTCGAACTCCTCAACGACAGTTTTCGCGGAGAAACATCCAACACTTGAAGATCATCCTCGCTGGCCCTCCCCTTGATGGTCGCCTCGCTGTCGCGCAGTCTCAGAGAAGCCAGAAACGGATTCGTTGCGACGTTGCTGTTTGAAGTCTCTTGCAAGACCAGTCCTCCTTTGACAGGGGCCTTCGTTACTGCTGCCGCACCCCCTCGAGCCTTTTTGGTGGGACTTCTGGTCTGCATTTCCTGCTCCAATGCACGTAACTTGGCGCGAAGGGTTTCATTCTCCCGCTCGAGCTCGTCCACTCGGGTCTCACTCGATATGTCTTCGTGAATACTGATTTTGGTTGTCTTCTCCAGGATCTCGAGCTTGCCGTCGATGAATTCTTCCCCGCGAACCTTCTCCTGCTCCCAAGCCAACCTCCATCTCTCTTTTTCTTCTTCCATCCGCTCTTCCATCTCGCTCCAACATTCTTCTCGCACTTCTTGTTCCATGACGCCTAGCCTCTCTTCGGCTGCTTGCAGTTGCAGCTCAGCCTCCGTCCTCTTGATTTCTTCTTCTGCGAGACGGACAGACAACAAATTACATTCTTCCGCCAGCCGTACCGCTTCGTTAGTGGCTTGTTCCAATTCTTGAGCGCTGAAATAGTTGTTGTGCATGTCATGTGGAGTGTGGCGTCCATTCTGCCCAGGCTTCCCTTTTGTTACGCCGCCGAGGATTGCACTGGTCACGCTGGGCACCCTCGGGACCGTCACTTCTCGAGCCAACGCCGAATATCTCAGGATCTGACTCGTGGCATTGAAATCTCCTGCTGGATCTGCCGTCACAATCATAATGGCCTTTTGCGGCGGTCTGCAATTTGTGGCATGATTGGACGAAGGGAAAGAATTCGAAAACAGAAGCTCCGTGAGCTTACATTGTCGGAACGGCACGATGGGTTTGCTCCCTTCTTGTTGAGAATCACTCTGGACCTGCAGACATTGGCCGAGATACATCAGACTTTCGTTGATCTTTCCAGCCTCGGCGAGCGTTGATCCAGTGGTTTTGGCATTCCTGGCACGTTCAGACCCGGCCAGATCGACAATCGACATGGTACCTCCGGTCCAGGTGGGCATCACGGGCGCGCCATACCCTTGCATCTGAGGTCTCTTCTTGACTTCGATGCAGAAAAAGCCGTGACTTCTCGAACTAACACTGTTGCTGCCGGTTCCTGCAACTCGTCTCTCGGTCAAGCCAGTCTCGAGGACCAGCATGGCTTCGTCGTAACTTCCGCATACGATCTTGCGGAGGCCGGCAACGACTTTACGGTCGGATGACATCTCTGTATTCTTGAAAAGTAATGGTCGCCGAAGCAATCCCTTTTGCAGTGCGGCTCCTTGTCTGGTTGCCATTGGAGCTGCATTGGGTGATGTGGGATTGGACAGCAGGTCGAAAATGCGGTCATTGTAGACTTCGTACATGGAAAGGAGGACCGCATACTCGGAGTGTGCGGCGCTATCCATGGAGAATGATGCCACGTCCGGAGATTGTGGGAAGGTGCTCGGGCGTGGTAGCGGAGGTCTTCGAGTGTAATGCGATGCGGTATCCTTCACAACACTGGGTTTAGCAGGTGACTTGCGCAGACTCTTCAAGCGGGTAAGGAATGGAACTTTGGATGGAGGTCGCCATGGCTCCTTCTCGGACGAAGGTTCTATTTCAGGGGTATTCGGTATCATCCGTATGGAAGGCGGTGTAACTGCAGAACGATCCAGGCCAAATCTTGAGGGTAACGATGGTAGGGCTATGCAGGGTTGGAAGTCTGGAGAATGGGGGAATGAACCGGGAAGTTCAAGGGTTTGTTTGCCTACCATCATCGGAGTCTGCGCTCTTGACATTGGTGTTTGAGCTCTGGACAGTCTGGCTCGGTCACCATCACTGTAGCTTGAGTCTAGAAACGTCGTTGCCGACAGGACCTGAGCTTCCGAGGCATCTGAAGCCTGAAGAGATGAAAGAAGTTCGGTATCTGTTGGTAAATCCGGGTGATGAGGTCGTCGGATCTTCTCCCCTATTGATCTGAACAGCACATCCAGCGTCATCTGAGTCAGTCCTCGTTGAGAATTGGATCCAAGGATAGTGTGGCTCTGATACAGGTCAGCATCTCCCCTGTTTATTCACATTTGAGACGTCCTGCCCAGATGCCCAAGACAGCTGAAGCGAGGGTGTCCAATGCAATTGATTACCTTTCCGCTCCCCGTGACCCCCAGAGTTGCCACTAGACCATCTCTACCGGTCTGTAGAACACTTTGTATCGCATCGGCCGTACCCGTCTCCCGAAAGACGTCCAGCTGGGTCGCCTCCTCTTGGAAGATCTTGGTGAACCCAAACCTCTCGATCGCTCGTTTTCGTGAATCGTTCGGCGGTTGTAGTGTGACATGTTTAGGGAAAGTCTTGGTCGTATTTTCATCCTCGGCCGTTGTTGGACTTGGAGGCTCGACGATAAGCCATGGTTCTGGCACCTCTTTCTGCTTCGGGATCGGAGGCTGGATAGGTGGCCGCAGGCGGAGGTACACCTGGAAGAGCGAGGTCTGCGGCGACGGTTTCGATGAATTGTCCATGTTGAAGCTGAATTGGCCGACGACCGTGTTCAGGAGCGTATCTGTAGGTCTCAAATGAAGTCGACGCGTTGTATTGCACCATGAATTTCATGTTCAATCGTACGTACCTACATAGGTAGTCACTGTCCTTTCGATGACTTGGCATGGACATGTTTCTCTTTCGGGAAACGCGTCAGTTGCTACGGCAATCGGCCCAGTCACCCCTGTTTGAAGCGGGCGCTTTCAGCCTTGTCTTGGCAAGGCTGAAGATCATAATTACGAGTAGGGGTAAGTCGATAGGCTCACTTCTCAAGAGATACTATAGAATAGGCTTTGCAAGCAGTTGCCGTCAGCGGACGGAAGGTTTAGGACGCTGCATTATTCTTCATTCGAGATCATTGTGACGAGTCCCTTGGGAGGTTTGTAAACGAAATATTGGACTTTTGAGCCGCTTCGCCAGATCGTTTCCCTTTTTAATTAATGGTTTCAGTGCTGGGTAGCGCGCCCGACCAGCTGTGTGTTAGTAGGACGTTGACACTATCGCTGACCGTGTTGGACAAAGATAATACGGTCATAACGCCCTTCGCATCAACGGTGGACACATCACCCAACGACTCAACGCCAACCACGCAACAGCATGCTTCAGAGCTCTCTCCGATGCCTTAGATAACTTTTGAAAGCATCATCGCTACGTAACTTTTTAAAACAGAATCTTCCGCGACCAAGTAAGGTCTCCAGGCCGCAGTATCGAGTCGGCTTCAATCATCTCGTGGCCCATACTGTTGTCAGATGGTATCGTGGATACGGCCATCGCCTGTACAAATCGCTCGGTGTTGGTGTGAATTGAATTCTCCCCAGAGAGAGGCTCAACGACCTGTTCTTTGCTTCATAACAGCCCTCCGCTCCTTTTCTTTGGCTGTGGTTGAGCTAGTTAGCACATATCCAAAGCTCGGACGGACGTCTCGAACATACCTTCATCGTACACCAAAAATTCATGCAATCCCTTGCCAGCTGGCACCATGGGCAGTACCGGGACTTTTTTATCAATAACGATTTCCAAAAGCGCCGGACCTTCACCGCTGCCACTGATCAACCACTCCAAACTGTCCTCCACGTCGGCGGGTTTGACACATCTCCTTGCCTGAACACCCATGGCCTCGGCGAGTTTGACAAAATCGGGGTTCTTTTGGTGGGTATGGGCGAATCGATCCTCGTAGAACAAGCTCTGCCATTGGGTGACCATACCCTGTTCATCGTTGTTCAAAATGATCACCTTAACGCCGATCTGGAACTGGTTGGCGGAACTCAATTCCGTCAAGGTCATGTTAAACGAAGCGTCGCCATCAATGTCGATGACAAGAGCGTCCGGCTGAGCCACCTTGGCGCCAATGGCCGCTGGGAGACCGTAGCCCATAGTTCCCAAACCACCGGAGGTGATCATAGTTCGGGGGTGCCGCCAACGGAAATGCTGAGCAGCCCACATTTGATGCTGGCCCACGCCCGTAGCGATGATGGTCTTCTCTTTCATGTGGGATGTCATCTCGGACAGCTTCTCAATCACTTCTTGTGGCTTGATCAATCCATCCATGGTTCCCCTTTCAAAACTGCTCAGAGGGAACCTCTCCTTCCAGTCATTGATCTGTGCAAACCATTCCGGTCGCTCCTTGACAGCATTGACTTTCGGGATAAGCTGTTGTAGGTTGGCCGCCACCTCACCTTCGACGGCCTCGGTAGCCTGTACAACCTTGTTGATGTTCTTGGGCATGATTTCGAAATGTACAATGCCTCCGCGCTTCTCGGCTGCCGCCTTCTTTGCTTGTGGTGCAAATTTGGCAATGTTGAGAGTCACCCGGTCGTCAAATCGCGCGCCCAAGGCAATAATGAGATCTGCCTCCTGCATGGCCATGTTGGCATATGCCGATCCGTGCATGCCGAGCATATGTAGAGCTTTAGGGTCCAGTTCGTCAAATCCACCAAGGCCTTGCAGAGTGGTGGTCACTGGAATACAAGCCTTGTCGGACAACTCCTTCAACAGCCGGGGCCCTTCAGGAGTTCCCAAGATACCCTGACCCGCATAGATGACGGGTTTCTTGGCCACGTTGACGAGCTCGGCTACGCGCGAAATAGTGCCCTCCAGCTGTCTCCTCGACAGTTCTCTCGCGGCCAGGGTGGCGGCAGAAGGATGTGAGGGAAGAGTGGATTGCATAGGAATTGGTCTCCGGAGGATTCCCGCCGTGACATCTTTAGGCAAGTCAACAAGGACGGGACCTGGTCGTCCTGATGTCGCAATCTCGAAAGCCTCGTTGATTCTCTTGGGCAGTTCCGCCACGCTCTTGACCATGACGTTCCACTTGGTGCATGCTCTTGAAATTCCAACAATATCGGCTTCTTGGAAGGCGTCGGTGCCGATAGCTGTTGTGGGTACTTGGCCGCAGAAAACAACCATGGGCGTGCCGTCGGACATGGCGTCCTGCATGGGGGTGATGACATTTGTTGCGCCAGGACCTGAGGTTACCAGAACCACCCCAGGCTTGCCCGAGGCTCTTGCGTAGCCCTCGGCCATATGTCCTGCCCCTTGTTCATGTTTGGGAAGAATGAAATCGAAATGTTTTGAGTTGTAGATGGCATCGAACACGGGAAGAATGGCACCGCCAGGGTAGCCAAAGATGTGTTTGACACCCTGCCGCAGCATCATCTCGTGGAAGATCTCTCCTCCACTGAGACCCACGAAGGAGTCATCGAGCTCAGGCATTTGCCTGTTGACCAAGGGTGAGGGTTCATGTCGGCGGAAATCGTTGTTGAAGGCGGGACTGGGAATTGATCGGGTAGTTCTGAGAGGCGCCCAGTTAGTATGTTATGAGAATAATGTTATTATCTGCATATTGGCCTACTGTGCTTGAGCTGCAGCAGTCGTTGCAGGTCTTCGTGACTGTTCAGTCGTGGATTTCTGGGATTTTCGGTATGGCGACACTGCTCCCGCTGGTGCGGTGGTGGAAAATGAATGGGAACAGGAGGGTCTTCGTCTGGATAATGAGCGGATGGCACTGGAGCCCGTCCGTATGGGCATTATTTTCGTTGCCATGTTGTCTGATTCAAGGACAACGACAGTAGGTGTAGTCTCGACGGAAGGAAGAAGTAATAAGAAAACCGAGGATTGGGTGAGATTGATTTATGAGTCAGTGCCCGATTCGCGCGGGCGGGTGACAGTGGTGCTGACTTTGGCGGTGCTCTGCGCCGGCAGTGGGCATTGGGCAGTACGTAGTAGGCGTGTGGCGTGTAGTAAGTGTGCGCATATTTGATCGATTACACGGTACAATAGTAATAAAATAATCTCTCGCTCTCTTCTTGCGCCTCTTCCCTCTTACACGCACGCACTCACACACACACACTCTCTCTCTCTCCTTCTCTGCGTCTGTCTGCCATCTCCGACGGCGGATTCGGAGTCAAAATTGGCCAGGGAATTTTTTCTCTAGCAGGCGACTGGCCACGAGCCACCACGGGCCCAAAGCTGTTTTGCGGAGAATCAACGCCACCTCGACTTTTGACGAGGTTCTAGAGCAACCTTCGGCCGATTTCGCTCTTGGCCCTGCGCGCTGACAGCGGTATCCCTGAAGTCAGACGCCAGTCAGATCGAGGCCTGCCTCCACCGGCTGATGAGGCCTAAACGACTCGTTTCTAGGCGCTGCAGCAGTGTAATTAAAGCAGACTTACATACCTAGAAGAACCAGGAGGAGTGCACATCTGCTGTCAGCGCAGCTTCGCAGGCCAACCGTGGTCTATCTCCTACATGTCGGCCAACATTTTATCGTGAACAGGTACGTACTGTCGCTGTCTGTAGATCGATTCATTCATTGCAAGCAACCATACCCGGAGCAGCGGAACTGTCCGGCTGAATGTGGACATACCGATTCTTAGGTATCAATTGCTTCACTTTTTTATATCCTACTACTCCTCGTCGAAGGAGCCGTCAAATAGTATGTGGGCACCACTAGTAGGTCTAGCATAGTATAAGCATATCATGCCCTTCTTCCAAATATCCTTATCCGCTTCACGCCCCCGTCCGGAATAATCGACATCTTAACATGTGTCCAAACGTGACCCACCGGAGGCTCAGAGGCGACCAGATCCTGCTCTTCAAAGACATGTTCCGTGTCGGCCTTGCAAGGCTGTTCTCCCCGGATCAAGGGCACCCACCCAGCATCGCCAGCCTTGGGATCCGACTCCGTGCCCAGCGCAGCCTTCGCAGACTCGGTCGACCAGCCTTCCACCATGACGGCCTTTGGGAAATTACCGCGGAAGTCCTTGGTGTCGACGACGACCTTTTCAATCTTTCGCCCCTTCAGCCCCAACCTAACAATCACCCAGTCGGTGTGACCCTTGGCCCGACTCCGCGAAGTCTCCCATCCGTCGCCCATGTCCTTCCCTCGCCCAGGTAGAAGCAGGTAAGCCTTGCCGCCAAAATGCTGGTCGGAGCACTCGACCGCCACACCGCCATTGAGTGCGTACGCCAGGTCTTCCAGTGGTCTCTCGTCCGCAGCAGCTGCACCGGCAGGGAGCGGTGGGGGCGCGACCTCGCCGTATACTCTCAACCTGGCGATTCCACCGTCCGGATATTGCTTCAACCTTAGATGCGTGAATTCTTTGCCCGCGATTCCAGGCCCAGACACTTGCCATGCCTGCCGTTGACTGGGCCCGCATTTCGACGGTGGCAGCACCTCGTTCCAGCCTTGGAAGTCTTCCTTGTCGACGCCGCTGTTCTGCTCTTGTTCGGCGGTGAGATAACATCCGTCCAGCCCTGCAAAGGGAGCCTCGTTGCCATTGAAATATGCCGTGTCGACTTCGATCGCTTCAATCCGCCCCACCGCACCCAGCTTGATCACGACCCAGTCGAATTCCTTGGGGTTATGTCTTCTTGTCTCCCACCCGTCATACCATGCACCCGTGTGCACGAAATAACCCGGTTTGCGGATCGGTGGAGTGGGCGTGAGCAGGTTCGAGGCCGCGGCAAAGTATTCGTCTGAGCATGACACAATTGACGCCCCGAGAACCGTGGTCGTCAGCACCGTCGAGGACGAGAATGTCGTATCGATCAGGGCAGCAGGCACGGGTGTGACCGTTACGTTGGAATCGGTCGTGGTGCTGGTTGGAATAATCTTCTCCACCGCCTCAGAAAGTATCCGTGGCTGGACGTGTACCTCCATTGTGATTGAAGTCAGTCCAGGCGAGTGTAGGTAGAACAGATGGCTCCCGTCGGGAAGCGAGCAGGGTGTGGTTAGTGTTTCCTCAAGGGGAGTGCAACTCGAATTACTCGTCAACAGATATCTCCTCAAGGTTTCCCGAAAGTATTTTCCTTCCTCTGCACTGGTGTGTCCTTATAGGCGGTACGGCAACCATCAAGGTACAAGTAGTTCTTTATTTGTCGGCGGGCCCAACGCGGAGGCCGCCGATGTACGAATCCTAAGCGTCAAGACAAGGATTAACTTCTGCCCCTCTTCTTTATTACTCGATGCGATTTCGTTCGAGCCTCTCACGTCAAACCTCCCTCCCAGCACGTGATTGCGCCGCAAGTGCTCTGTAGCGAATCAATGCGAGCGAGGTCTTCTAGCAAACTTGAAGTGAACAAAGTTAGAATAATGAATAGCACCAACTTAAATGCTACCTCCGCTGATGCAGACATCTGGACTGATAGGATTATCATTGGCTAATCAGTGAAGCCAATGTAGGATCATCTACTTTACCCCTGAAGCGCCAGCCTTGCATCAAGCTCCGAGAAGGGGGACGGCGCGAATAAGGACGGGGGTCTGAAGCATTCGGTCTGTTGCGTGCTTATATCAGATATGATCGTTGGGGCACAGGGAGCGTGGCAGTAGCCAATGTCAGGGTGTTCACTTCACTGCTCTTCTTCCCTCCTATTCTATATTCTGCCCAACCTCTTTGAAGAACTCTTGGTTATGGCATCAAATCTTCTGCATGGTTATTACATGTGGACTGTCTTCGCCCATTAAATGCTGATGCCAGAACATCCAGCCAACATCCCCGAGAATGACCTGGTTGGAGGCCGAGAAATCCCCGGGGACCAGCGTCTCGCAGGTTCTGTAGCAACGACCATGCATGGACGGAGACTGGGATAGTCAACAGGAGACGGATCCTGGCTCTCGCCCTGGAGCTCGTTAGGGGCAAACAACTTCCCCACAGCAACGGACATAGCTCAAACGCCTTCTTTTCCACCATTCTTCTTTTCTTCCTCACTAGCTTTCGCCTTGCGTTTCTCTCTCTTGCGGCTGTCAACAGCATGTCTCCATCCCTCGCCCCACACGGTCGTAGCCCATACAGCCACCGCGGAGACGATCAGAAAGCCTGCAGAAATAACACAAAACCAACCGACGCCAATGGATTCAATGGCTGGAAGACAGACTGCGCTTCCTGCGGCAGCGAACAAATAGCGGATCATGTAGTTGCCCGCCACGACTTCGGCGGACCGGCCTTTAGCCTGCATCACATCCAGGCAGTAAGTGTTCAGACTCGGGAAGCAGAAAAGCTGTGAGACGCCTTGGATGAACATGGCGATGACGGGCAAAGGGATGCCACCAACTTTTTTCTCCACCGACCATCCGTATATCAGCATGCAAGCTGGAATGGCGCCGCCGATAAATGCATAGCATGATCGTAACCTATCCTCGGGCACTCGACGACCCTTCTTCCGCATCCACTTCTTGACGATATGGTCGGCCCAGCGGCCGCCGAAGAACGTTCCGAGCAGATATCCGCATCCGGGAGCGATGTAAAAGAGACCCGATTGGATGGGTGATGTAAGATGAAAGCGTGGGTTGAGCACATATCGGATAGGCGTGAGGAGGGAATACATGTTCCAGACCAAAGAGCTGGATGCCAAGCCAGCCAGAATGAGGTTCGGATAGGAGAATAGAAGCGACGCGACTCGGAGAGGCGAGACCCAATGAAGGATCCGAAGTGTCCGCTCTTTAGTAGAGTACTCACGGAGTTCATCGATTTTCTTCTCCGGAATCGTTTCTGGTAGGAGTAGGATCACCAGTATCGTCGCCAGACCGCCCAGTCCTGACTGCAGCCAAAAAATATCTCGCCAGGAGCGGAACGTGACAATGATGCCGCCTATAAATGGGCCGAACGCCGGTCCTACCAGAGTTCCGGACAGAAACCAGCCAAGAGCGGTAGCGCGGGCGGTGGGCGTGTAGATGTCGCCCAGACATGAGGTTCCGACAATGAGGAACGAAGTGCCTTGGTATGCGGTGAGCATGCGAAAGATGAAATAGGAGGCAAGATTCGGAGCGAGAGCTGTGCCGATGCTGAACGCAAAGAACAATGCTGCAGTGACGATGCATATCCACCGCCGCCCGTAGATGGTGGACAACGGACCCCACAGACACGGCGATAGGCCCATGAAGACGAGATAAAGGGCGTTCGACAAGTTGATGATGGTGCCGGTGGTGTTGTATGTGGCTGCTACTTCAGGGATGGCGGCGAGGATGGCGGTTGAGGAGATGGGAGCCAGGAAGCCACATAGTGCCAACACACATGAGATGACGACTTTCCGTCGATCGCTGAAACGTTCATATTGAGCGGCGTCGATTTCCTGGTAGGAGCTGGTGTGACTAGGGATGCCCTGAATGTCATGCTGCGAGAAGGTCGACTGTATACGTGAGAGATCCTGTTTCTCGCTTGTACGCTCCTTCATCGCCGCCGTAGGAGTTCTCTCGAGGTCCAGTTGGACACCCTTATTCTGGTCAGATCGTACCGCGACGATGTGTGGTCTGACATGGTCATCTTCGAGATTGTCGAGATGGAGTTCGCCCGCCATTGTCGGATCCTAGTTCGTTATAGTGGCGGACAGATTCCAGCATTTCTCTCAAAGAACGACTAGATTTAGATGCAGATCGCGAACGAACGTGAAGTAAAACAAAACAATTTTTCTCTCGGGAACCACCGTTCGCATAGGAGAAGTATCTAGGTAAGAATACTCCCTGGCTGGACAACGAGCGTGCAAGGAAGGTATAGATATCAATAGGAAAATGACTCAAACCTCTGGCCGATATTCTTGCAGACACATCGCAACTTACCGTCACCGTCAATTTGAGATAATTCCCCTATACAGTAAGCGTGTCGGGTCAAGCGTTCCCTCTGCCTCTTTTCAGGTTGATATCAGGGCCGGCTCTAGAAGTTCAAGTGGTCTGCGTATCTCTGCCACCGACACCCGCCAATCTGTCCAATCAAGGTACCGGATCAGCATTTGAGGACCGACGTTGGGCACCTCCTGGTCGCTAGAACGTGTTCTCTCGATGGGTCGGCAGCGACATGACCGTTGCCGAATCCCGAGTTGGCCAATCAAGAAACTCTATAAAGGGTGTTGTCCCCACGACGACTTGTGCTATAACGCCCTTCGATCGCTGTGGCCGTGACAGCCTTGAGTTACCGACGGGTCGATCTAGGGTCCCGGGTCAGTTCCGTCGGCTCAGAAGTCTGATAAGGCTCAGGCTGATGATGTTTTCATGATGTTCGTGTCTCTTTCCCGAGACCCGAAATCGTGCTCGAATTTTACAACTTGAATTCCAAGCCTCAACACGTGATCGAGAATGAGTCACGTGGCGACTTACTACTTACCTGGTACCTACCTACCGTAGTAGGTAGTGCAGTGGTACCAAGAAAATACAGCATCGACACGACTGGCAATCAATTGTAGAACACTTTGAAAGCATCTTCGGCCGACTTTTGTACTGCCAGAGTTAAACCTTGTATTGCGAGATGAGACTGACTCCCTGTGTGGTCAACCAAAGATGCCTCCTTGATCGTATGGGAGCCTTTGCGCCAACGCATAAACTTGTATTGTACGACCAACCACCAATGTTGTTCGCCCACTTACAACTTCGAGCCGCCCCCAAGACTATGCGACTTCAAGGTCTCTTTCAGTTCCCTCCTCAGGATCTTTCCGCTGGGGCTTTTGGGGATGCTATCAACGATATAGAGACCTCCTCTAAGTCTCTTGTGGTTGGCGATCCTGCTGTCCAGCCAGCCATGGATGCCTTCCACCACGGCTTTTTCACCCTTAGCTCTTGTTTCCTTCGTGACGATGATGAAACCCACTGGCAGTTCAGTGGCTTGCTCTTCGACCCAGTGGCCGACCACGCAAGCATCTTCCACCTCGGGGTGTTCTAACAGTTTGCCCTCCAATTCGGAGGGAATTACCTGAAACCCTTTGTACTTGATCATCTCTTTCATGCGATCAACGAGTGTAATGAAGCCGTCTTTGTCGATGGTGCCGATGTCCCCGGTGCGAAGCCATATATTGCCCTCCTCATCTGGCACAAGGCTGCTCTTCGTTGCCTCCTCATTGCGATGATATCCTTTCATAACGTTCGGTCCGCGGCACCAGAGCTCACCAGGTTTCGTAGAGCCGTCTGCCTCCACGTCGACGTCCTGCCTTGTTTCTGGATCTACTACTCTGAACTCCATGCTGGGGGTCACGTTTCCGACTGTGTGTCTCTTATCCCGCCGAGTGGGAGGAACAGCGGATGCTAGAGGACTGGTTTCAGTCATGCCCCAAGCCTGTAGGCCAAGAACATTCGTCCCATAGAGCTTTTGGAGCCTTGATTCAACAGCTTCGCGAAGTTCCGGGCTCAAGGGAGCGGCCGCAGACACGATTCTTTTGAGACTGCTGAGATCGTACTTCGCCACAAGTGGATGTTTGGCAAGCAATAACATGATGGGCGGCACGACGCTAACGGACTCGGGCCGATATGTCTGGATGGTGTTGAGATACAGTTCAGGCTCAAAACGAGGCAAAACAACAGTGATGTTGCCAACCAGCATGCTAATACAGACATATGAGGTCAGTCCATAGATGTGACTGAAGGGCAAGAATGTCACTGTCGTTGATCGTCCTGTTGTCTCATCAGGTAATTGGATCAGCCATTGTTGGATGTTGGACACCATGTTCCGGTGGGTTGTCATTACGCCCTTGGCTCTGCCTGTGGTGCCGGATGAAAAGCACATGAAGCTGAGTCGGGTATCGGCTTCGTTGGGTTCGATGCTAATAAGAGGACTGGGCGGACAGTTTGCGGCAAGGAACTCGGCGGTCGGTTTCTGATACCGGTTGCGGTTACCATCTGCCTGGATGAGTTCAATGGAGCTGTCGAACTGGACGGCCTTCTCGGCCGTATCGAGCAAAGAAGAATGTGCGATGAGGTATCTCGCACCGCTTGTCTCGAGTTGTGCTTGCAGTTCCCCAGGGGTATAAGCCGCATTGACTGGAGACACTGTGGCACCACAGCCAAGCACCGCATAGCAAGTGATAGCATAATCGATGGTGTTTGGGCTTATGAAGGCAACAACATCTCCCGGCTCCACCCCTAACTCGCGCAGACCGTGAGCTAGGGACTTTGTTCTCCGAAGGACATCTCCACGTGTACGAGAGAACCCAGTCACGGCGTCAACGTAGAGCGGTTTGTCGTCAGGAGTCTTTTTAGGATTTGAAAATAGGAAGGTCAACAAATCGACATCAATCGGTTGGATATGGGGGTATGGAGAACGAAAGACTCTGGAAGGCATGATGAGCTAGTTCAACGTACTGCTTAGGAACTGAGTGAGAGTAGTGATGCAGAAGGAGAACGAAAAGACGAGGGTCGGCGGAACATGAGCTTGTGATATAGAGTCTGAAGCTCGCATGGCTGCTCCAAACCTCAACAGCATAGCAGCGAGTTCGCACCCCTGGTTGACACTACAGTCTGCCATAAGCTGCTAGAACGATGGAACAAGTAATTTGCCAAAATTCGACCTTCTGTGCTCTCCGCCGTTGAGACGTCAGCAAGCACGAGAGGAGAAAAATGCGCCCTGGCGGCTGGGCGGCATGCTGGGCTGTAAGCGTCTGAAAACATATAGTCTGGAAAATCGTCTGATTCGGCAGGGAGGCCGCCTCGTGTCGAATGCCATTGCTGGGCTGTGGGCTGTGGGCCGTGAACACGAGTTGCTGAGAAACCTCTATGGCTTGGTTGTAAATGAGGAGATTCGGGTGAAGTGAGATGAACAAGGGCTTCACATGCGGTGAGAGCTATGTTTGGTTCCACCGCTACATCTGACTAAGCCGTATCAGTTTCGGCAGATAGTTACATGTACGCTTCTTCTGGGCATTCCATATCTCTGTCAAGCGTACGGTTGAACCACCTGCATAATCGATTAATAGGACTTTCCAAATGAGGTTGAGGGGCTGCAATTCCTCAAACGTTCAGGGCGGACCCGACAATAAGAGACGATCCTTGACTGGGTTTGGAGAGCACCATGGCTTCTTCAAGTTTCTCTTCGCTGATGTTGGGAAATTTCTTGAAGTAGTACTCCTTCTTGAGGGCATCAGTCACCGCCGTGACTTTGTTCTGCGGCACCAGGTGGACTGTGCAACCGCCCCAGCCGGCTCCGGTGAGTCGAGCACCATATGCTCCCGCGCGCCTGGAGATCGAACATATCTCGTCGATTTCAGGACAGGAGCATTCATAGATGTCCCGGCAGGAGTCTTGTGTCTTGTTCATCAGCTCGCCGAGGTAGAGAAGCTTCTCCTGGTCCAATTTTGCGGACGTCGTCAATGTATCCCGAAACTTGACGACGCGGCCAGCCTCTTCCAGAACATGCAACGCCCGTTGCCTGAGCTTGAAAGACTCCGCCCGAACAGGGAATTTGGACAAGTACTGCTTCTCCACCTCTGCCACAGAAATTCCTAATATCTCTGCTATGTCCTTCCTGGTGTAGCTCTCTTTCTCCAGTGTCGTTTTGATGGCCTTGATGATTGCATCCAGCTGAGTACCAAAAGGCTCATCCCGACGACCTTGCTTTTTCATAATTTCCTCCTGAAAATTCCGCAAACAGAAACCCAAAGAGCTGTCGTCTGGGTCGAGAACAATGTCATGGAGTTTGGCCAATACCACAGTAGCCAAAGTACATTCCACCACCCTAAGGTTATAGTGGATCGGAGCCGTCACAGCCTTGTCTGATGTCACAAAGGATTGCGCAATCAGGAAGGTGAGTTCCGGATCTGATGCCGGTACAGGGACGTGCTCTGCAGAGAAGGTGGGGAAAAAGTGACAGTAAAGAAGATATCCTCTCTTGGAGAATATGGAAGCAGCCTGGTCCATACCCCCAGAGAAGACACCGACCGCGCGCTCTGATACGATGCAGATGTCCAGTAAATCTTGCTTGGAGATATCGTAGTTGTTGGCTGCCATAATGGCGAGAGCGGAGGCGCAGACAAGGGCAGCACTGCTTGACAATCCGCCACCAGCTGGAACGTTTCCATCTACCAAGATTTCCATTCCATTCGCTCTGAATATCTTACCATCCTTCTTGCGAAGATACTCCAAGGATCCCTGTAGGCCAGCCAAAAAGTAGTTGACCCAAGAATGGTGCTTCTTGTCGATTTCAACGGTGCCAGAGCTTGGGATTGTTAACTCCTTTGGTGCATATTTTTCAGAATTCATGTTCGCAATTTTGACCAGCACACCCTCAGTGCTGGCATCTTTGACGACTCGGACTGCCATGAGTACGTCCACCAAGACTGCAGCAGGCAACACGTTGTACAGTGAATAGTCGATGTGCTCACCAATTATGTTGACTCTACCCGGACTTCTTGAAACAAAGTCTGGCTTATGCCCGTATCTGCTCTCGAAGGATCTGACCACTTTATTGAAACGATTCTGGACGTTACCAGGCACGGTATGGCCTTCTCCTGCCCCAGCGTAGACATGTTCGAGGCTGTCCACCTTTGGCACCAAATCACTCATCTCGACCTTCGTCTTTCGGCGTCAGTGGTTGAAAGGCTGTTTCTGAATCCAAGCTGTCTAGACTCCTTGCGAAGGGAGGTTACGTGTTCGTGTTTTAGTTCGAATCAGTGCTTTGTGAATAGGGGAACACATGTCCTCAATTTTCTCAGCTTATGTGGTAGAGGAAGTGGTACCACAGTACGTAGCTGTGGAAGAGAATTAGAGACATTTTGGCGTTGATGTCCACTTCAATTGGACATTTGAACTTGAACCGTTGGAAGCGGGAAAACGTCATAGCGAGTCACCACGTACTACTAGTAGTAGTACGAGTGGCCTGCGCAGGGCGGCTTCAATCCCTGTAACATGGCGCTCCTATCTTCAAGTCTCCGTAACACCTCCAGGACGTGAATACCTAATACATTTGATCTGTCTGGCGCATTGATATGGTGCTGCTACGTTGACTCTGTTCATGAGGTAGACCTCCAGTCGGGGACTGATCTACTGCGCTCACCGGGGAGACGGCATCGTCTTCTATCAGGGTAGCCTACCGAACCCCTCTTACGCTGCGCCCATCAACACCCTCACCACTGTCGACCACAATCATGGATTCCGAAGACTCTGCGTCCGTCGCTCCAGAGACATCATCCACAACTCCTCCTGATCCCCACGCCGCAGACCCTGGGTCGAACCTGCGACCTCCTGTCCTATCTCGTTCATCAACACTCGGTTCCAAGAAATGCTGGATATGTATGAGTGATGCGACGGAAGATGATCCGAACGATCCTCCAGTTTGGCGCTCGCCCTGCCAATGCAGTCTCACTGCCCACGAAGCATGCCTTTTGGACTGGGTAGCGGATCTCGAGAATCCTAAGAACAGCAAGCGAAAAGCGTCGGGCAAGATTCTGTGTCCACAATGTAAAGCCGAGATCAAGATATCGAGACCGCGGAGCTATGTTGTGGATTCCTACCGGATGCTGGACCGCGCGTTGGGAAAGTTAGTATTTCCCGGTCTCGGCTTGTCTGTTCTGGGCTCTTTCTGGACCGGAGCTTGGGTTCATGGCTTCTATTCGGTTTATCTGGTGTTCGGCCAGGAAGATGCTACACGTATATTCACGGACGCTCTCCAGCATCCACTCCGAAATTTCGCGTACGCGCTCATTCCGATCAACCTTATTTTTGCGCGCACGAACTATGCCGACTTTGTGCTGCCGTCGGGCTCATTGGTCCTCCTTGCCACACAGCTCAGCGACGGTTTCGAGATCGACCTGACTGTTTGGCCACCCTTACCCTCTACAGTCTTTGCATGCTTACCTACCATACGATCAGCATACAACTGGTGTTATCACAAGGCTTTCTGTGACCTCAACAGGAAGTGGTTGGAGGAGATACAACCTAGCCATGCGCGGCAAGAGGACGATGAAGTCGGAAACGGTGGCGGCAATCCGGACTTCCCAGAGGAGATTGGGGAGGGAGGCGTCCTGTTGGAATTAGAGGTCAACCTTAATGCGGAACCTGAAGCCATGGATGGCGCCCCGGCCGAAGCTGGAGAGCAACAAGATGGACAGGCGGAACCGCAGAACGGTCACGTTCATCATATCTTCGGGGATAGAGGAGACCAAGTCGTTGAAGGCACATCCTCGATTGGCCAAATGGTTCTTGGAGCATTAGCCTTCCCAGCAGTGGCCGCAGGAATGGGCACTCTTCTCGGCTACCTTCTGCCATCTTCATGGTTGAGTCCATCGAACCAGATGAACGGTCGACCTGGACTTCTCAGAACTAAATGGGGTCGAAGCGTCGTGGGAGGGTGCCTATTTGTTGTGCTCAAAGATGCTCTTGTGTTATACTGCAGATGGAAGCTTGCACAGGGCCATCGACAGAGACGGATCATGGACTACGACAAAAAGACGAAAAGATACTTGCTTTGAATGGACTGAGAGTGTTCATTGGCTTGTACTGACTTGCTCCAAGTCTAATTATGCTAGAACAGTCTTCTTCCACTCAGATATACCGCAATTTGATGATCTCGTCAAGCAGAGGACACCTGCGACGGTATCCCAGGATGCGCTGTGGACATACGCTCAGAGAGAATACCTGAGGTAGGTAGATATGGCAGTACACGGCTGTACTATGGATTCCTCGGTGCCAGCTATTAGTGCTGCGTAATCGTGCTTTCGTTAGTACGCAGCAGCATCCGACAATACCGTTCCATGGATGAGGAGGGCACACCCTCGGCACCCTTCGCCCCCTGAGTAAGGGGAGTAGTACTGCCACTGCGCCAGCAATTGAACAAGGCAAACATGCCAAGCCCCAGATCCCGTGACCTCAAACTTGGACAACTTCTAAGTTGGACTCGACGAGACTCAACCTCTTCGTGAGCGCAAATCGATCGAATCGTCGACTGTTCTTCAAAGAGACTTGCTTCCCGTCATTTCGCGAGGGTCAACTCGCAATGCACGCCTCATCGATCCGCGGCGCGCTGGCGCAAGTATTCCAAATTCCTTTACGACCGACACTGCGCAATGCTGCCGGCCAAATAAGCACCGGCATAACAACAACGACGACCTCCTCGTTTTCCACAAGCGCAAGCCGCGCCGCAAAGAAAGGCCGCGGCGCCAAACCCGACCAAAGAATAAGTACGCAACCCCTGTGTCTTCTGTCAGAGGCAGAATGGCCCTGTATCTAAAAGATATGGGGGTTTTCGCATCCACGATATCCGGCGGTGTTTACTGGCTCTTTACTAACCATTCTCTTTCCTCTGCGACAGCTTTAATCCGCTACTTTCTCTACCACCCCACAACGCTTACGCCGCGACCGTTACGGTTCTCCCGAAACCGATATCTCCGACACTGGACGATCCATCGTGCCTGGAACCTCTACCGGGCGAAAGTGAAGCAAGCTCGCCAGTTGGAGCTCGAGCGACAGTATAACGCCATGCACGCGGCGAATGAGGAGTTGCGCGTCGGCGCTGGTGACGGCGGTAAGCTCTTCCGCAAGGCGCAAATGAAGACCGGCGTCTGGAGTATTCCCGAACGAGGCGGAGGTGTGCCAATCGAGTATGCGAGGGGTTTGGTCGAGTGGATGGGGAGTACGGGTGGATTGGGCAGTTCCGGTACTGGGTTAGGGGCCAAGGCAAAGATCTGGGACAGTGAGTGGACGAGGTCGTGATGGATCAATGGAGGTTTGTGATTGATCGCAGAGAACAGAGTGCTACAAAGGGTTTGTTCTACAAGAACACATGGGGTACATTATTTTCTTCTTTTTTTGGCGCCAAATGCGTCGAGTTGGGTTGGCTCTCTTGCTCTCCAGGTTGCTGGCCTTTTTGGATGCAGAGCGAGACAGAGAAAAGAAAAAGGTGCTGTTACCTTCTATAAACATAGTATTATGGAAACTTTTTCTCCACCCGACAAGACGCCCACTGCACTCAAAAGTTCGTTCATTTCAATTCTAAAAGCGGAAAAGGAAACAAAGCATCCGTCATTCAATACTCGCTAATGCCCAGCAGGAACCCCCTTAACAAAAAAGCTGTCGTCACATGTATAACAGAAGGGCCGGGACTCAAGACTCCCAAGGTAATGCCAATCATGGCTTCCAAGATATGATGGCGTCGTCCATCTTTAGACATTCATGCGTGGAAGGCAGACTCCAGGTACTCCAAAAGGCCCGGATCAAGTGGAGGCTGCCACCCTTTTTGTTTCTCTCATCTAGCATGACCCAAGCATTACCCGGTCACAGGATGACGCAGCAGCCACCTCCGCCCTGCTTGCCATTAAACGTGAGAAGGGCCGCTCTGGTGGCGGCCTCGAACACGTCGTCCACACCCTCACCTGTGAGGCTGGAACACTCAAGATACTTGCGCGCACCGCATGCCTGCGCCATTTCCGCTCCTTCTCGTGGAGTGACGAACTTCAGACTTTTCTTTCGCATCTCTTCTATTGCCATTGGGTCTTCTCGTAGGTCTTTCTTCAGTCCAACCAGGATAATAGGCACATCCGGGCACCGTTCTCTCGCTTCTTCAATCCACTTATGCCGTACGTTTTCTAGACTATCGGGACTGTCGACACTGAATCCGATCAGAATGACGTGCGATTTGGCATAGGCCAATGGCCTCAATCTCTCGTAATCTTCCTGTCCTGCGGTATCCCACAAGGCCAGCTGCACCGATCTCCCATCAACACGACAGTCTGTAACATAGTTTTCGAATACTGTTGGAACGTAGTGAGTGGGGAAATAGCCGAGAGTGAACACGGACAGAAGGGAGGTCTTGCCACAGGCGCCATCACCTATTATGACAAGTTTCCTGCATCACCGTTAGTCTGTCTTCCGCACTTGAATTCACTTGGCTAACGCGCGTGGGAAGAAAGTTCAACAACACTCGTAAGATGTCCGTATTGACGGGGCGATGGATAATGCTTGCACAGGAAGAGGGAAACACACCGCCTCATCACATTCTGTTGTGCCTGATTTTGTGCCATATTGAATGACCTCTCTCTCACAGCGCCCAGTTGGCGGACGGGGGACACCGGGAGAGCTCAAATCGGGTTACGATTGCGGACAAAGGACAGGCGGGTACAACCGATTAATGAGTTCGCCGTCGGAGGACAAAAGGGAGTAGGATTTAAGGTCAGGTTTTTCGTAGACAGGGTCGAGTTGAAGTAGCAGATCGGTGTAACAAGACGTGACGGGTGTGGATGGCGCCAGAGTCGCATAGAGCGACAAATCGCTCGTAGCAGCCTTGGAGTCTTTCAAGACTGCTACACGACGGTCGCAATTTACCAGTTCTTCTGCAGGTTTGAGGCAAGAAGATTGTAAATATCTGAGACAAGGCTTAAGGTACTCGTGGGGTCCAAACGAGGACTGTGCAGCCGAAGTGCAAGCGCACCGGAGCGACGAGGCGCAGCCACAAATAGAAACCTCGGTGGAGAGGGAACAGAGTGATTACAGCGTAGGAGGAACGGTCCGAGCTAGGAATCAATACGATCCAATCGTAGACGGTAGCAGAACGTCGCAGCGGACGGGTCGTTCGTGTGAGGTTCAACGGGTCCGAAGTGTAGACGTGGGCTGCGGGAAGCTGAAGAGGAATGAAATGGTTGAGGCTTGGAAGATGAGGAGGAGGTGGTGGTGTTCGGTGTTCGATGCGGACAGTGTTAGGTAAGGTAGGGACGTACTGTACAGCATACACTACGATAGAGTATCAGGTAAGGTAGGTACTAATCAGGTAGTAGGGGCGTTAAAAGTACTGGGCACTGCAGGTTGCAGCAGCCCGCCGCTGCTTTTACTTACGGCGGACAGAGGCAGGCGCAACCGCAACTTGCCTGTGACTTAACGTTGATTGCCCACCCCACGAAACCGTGAAGCATCGAACGTTCGAACTTCCTCACATTCAACAACCTCGTTCTCGCCACAACATACGCGACACCACGCTCAGTCCTTCTGCCGCCCTCGACCGCTACCTCTTCGACCTCTGAGCGATCACCTGCCAACCTTAGCCGTGGTCCTGTCCTAATTTGTCATACCCCACCGGCGGTGAAAGCGACTTTGATGTCGAACTGACTGGATCGTGAAACGGCGCCTTGCCTTGGTCATCCTGCCCTTGACACACCCCGACTACTGCGGATAAACAGTCTTCACCATGCCGTCCAAGAAAAAGGCCAATACGCAGGTCAACGCCGCGAAGCCTCAACCATTACACGACTCTCCGAAAAGTGCGCCTGTTCCTCCGCAGCCACAACCCCAAAACGACTCCCTTCCAATATCAAGCTCGGCTGTAAATGGAGAAATTTCAGCAACAAAGCAGGACTCGGATTCGAAGACCGGTGACACAACAGAGTCTGCTGGAGAGCCTGCATCCACTCCTGCAGTAAATCGAAAAAAACAGAAGAGACGGGAGAAAGAGGCTGCAAGACGAGCTCCGGAGCAGAAATCGCCAAATGGGACTGACCACCCCGACTCAAAGCAGAACGGCCAGCTACCTCCCGTAAAGCAGGGTCGCGGACCGGTTAAGGGGTATTTTACTGAAGAGGCGGATTATGCTGATCCCGCGCACCAGTCTTATCCAGACCTTGGAAGCCCCGAAGAAGCCTTCTACAGTGGCGATGAAGACCCAACATATGGTGAGGAGGCAGACGCGGTTCCGGATAGCTCATGGCTCAGTACAAGCAAGCGGAAGAAGGCGATGAATACCAAGAACCACGTTGCCGACTCCGACCTGTCGAGGGCTTCGACCATGCTCTCGAGATCCCATATCCCACCCTTGTCGAATGCGGCCATACGAGCCTCGCACAAACTGTCCAGCGAACAGATTTGGAACACTTCCACGCAAGCGGAGCGAGAAAACATCAAGCAATTCTGGCTGGAACTGGGGGAAGAGGAGCGAAGGTCTCTGGTCAAGGTGGAGAAGGAGGCGGTCCTGCGCAAGATGAAGGAGCAGCAAAAGCACTCATGCAGCTGTTCAGTATGTGGTCGAAAGCGGACAGCGATTGAGGAAGAACTTGAGGTTCTGTATGACGCCTACTACGAAGAACTGGAACAGTTCGCCAACCATAATACGGACCTTTCCAACGTCCCGCAAATGATGGCGCCTCCGCGGCCGCCGTACAAACACGTCGCACACACTATGGCAGGCTCATATCCTTCCCGAGGTCGTGTACACGAGATCGACGAGGACGATGAAGATCTCGATGATGATGAAGAGTACGATGAGGAAGACGAGGAAGCATACAGTGAAGATGAGGAAGAGCTTGAGAGCCACGGCCTTCCACCGGGCCCCCCCGACTTCTTCCAATTCGGCAATAGCTTAACAGTCAAAGGTCTGTGAATGCACTGCTCAGGAAGCCACCCACAAACTAACTAGTATAGATGGCATACTCACAGTCGCCGACGACCTGCTGAAGAATGACGGGAAGCATTTCATTGATATGATGGAACAACTGGCGGAGAGACGCATGCAACGTGAGGAAGAAATTCGTTACCCTTCTTCTTCATTAGCTCATCGTGGTATCCATGAAGGTCACAATCATCCTCCGATAGACGACGATGATGATTATGACGACGAGGAGGACGATGATGACTATGACAGTCAGGAAGAAGATGACTACGAGGGCGACGAAATGGTCAGCGATAACCGAATGCGTGGTTGGCCAAACTTCTGACAGATTCTCTTAGGATTCCATGACCGAAGAACAACGGATGGAAGAAGGCCGCCGGATGTTCCAGATCTTTGCTGCTCGAATGTTTGAACAGCGTGTCTTGACAGCTTATCGGGAGAAGGTAGCGGAAGAACGCCAGAAGAAGTTACTTGAAGAGCTCGATGAAGAAAGCCGTCTTGATACGCAGCGCGAAGCCAAGAAGGCCAAGGAAGCCGCCAAGCGAAAGGAGAAGAAGCGTCTACAGAAACTTGCCAAAGATGAGGAGAAGGCTAGAAAAGAGGCCGAGAAAGCGGCTCAAGAAGCAGCGGCAAGAGCGGCGGAAGAGAAGAAGCTAGAAGAGCAGCGCCAACGAAGAGAAGAGCAGCGGAAGAAGCGTGAGGCTGAAAAGAAAGCTGCCGAAGAGGAACGCCTGCGCAAGGAAGCCGAGAAGCAGCGAAAACAGCAGGAACAGCGCGAACGGCAGGCCGAAGTAGAACGCAAACAGCGCGAGGCAAAGGAGCGAGAACGGCAAAAACGCGAAGAGGCGAAGAAGAAGGAGCGCGAAGAACGAGAAGCGAAGGAGAAAGAGGCGAAGGAGCGAAAAGCCAAAGAGGACAGGGAGAAGAAGGCCAAAGAAGAGCAGGTCACAAAGGAGAAAGAAGCAGCTGTGAAAGCGGACAAGGAGCCCAAGGATCGCATCGGTCTACCCACCGCCACGAAGCCGCAACCTGTGGCTCTGCCGCCGGGCCTTCATCCTCCGTCTCGAGGTTCAAGTATACAGTCGCCTCACCTGCAAGTCGCTACTCCGATCGTGCCTCCGAAAGTCCCTACCCCAGCTCGCAGCCAACAATCATCGCAGCCAGGGCAGCAGTCACATGCATCGTCTCCAAGATCTCAGAAGGCCAGCACTGATATATCGCGAAGCTCTGCGTCTCCTGCGACTGTGGCCATACCACAGACTCCCGGCCCTGGGCATCCGGCCAAGACGCAAGGCCAACCTCCTGTTCTTCACCATCCACAGCCGTCCGCTCCGAGATCTCCGCTGAGCAACCATGGGCGTGGTCAATATCCGTTCAACGTGAATGGACTGCCAGGGCTAGGTGTCAATGGTCCGCCCATAGGTGGTCAGGGCATGGTACCGAACATGATGCCTCCGATGCCAATGTACCAAGGTCCCCCAATGGGTAGTGGTCAGCCACGGTTCGTACCGAATGGGATGCAATACCCGCCAGGTTTTCCGAGAGCATTCCAACCCGGTCAGCAAATGCCGTTTGTCCCGCAATCTCAGAATCAAGCGCCACCGCCTCCTATGGCCAATCCGCCACCGGTCTCGAAACCGCCACTACATTCCAGACAAGCATCTCACGACAGCGGCGCGCAACCAGCTCCGATTGCCCGACCAGGACCAATTGCTAGACCATCCAGCACGACACCAGACAAACAGAAGCCCATAAAGCCGAGGGAGTCTGAGGTTGAACAGCTAACAGCCCAGCTTGGTAGCAAGGCACTGTTGGACGACTCGGACGAACCTTTCCTGGAAACCTCTGATCCTCGAATGATTCTTCCTCCCTTGGGTCCTCCGGGCTCTACACGCATGTCATTTGCGAGTAGTTTCACCGAGCCAAAGCAGGAGTCATTCGGGTTGGGGAGCCCCGGCTGGGGTAGTTTCAATCCTGGCCTCAACGCTGCACCAGGCTGGGCGCCCCCTGCACCACACCGGGTGAGTAACGGTTGGTCGCAGCCTCCATTTGGCGCCAATGGCCTTCCTGTTGCGAGATCACATCTTCCTCGACCGGTAGCTGTGCGGATCATGCTCGTTCAGGCCTGTCGCCATTTGTCGCAGGTCCCCGGGGCCAGCGCCGACGGTTATCACCCTGTCCAGGCCGTTCTTCGGCAACTCGAAGCCCTGAAAGCACCCGGAGAACCTCCTGTTTCCATGGACGAGATGCTGGGGATCTGTGATACCGAGGGCAACTCCCAGAACGGCGGAGGCTCGTTTGAGGTGATCATTGACAAAGCACGAGGGCAGGTGATCAAATTCGTCGAGGACACTCCAGGTCAACCAAGAGGCAGTGTGGGCGAAATTGGCAGTCCCGTTCTCGGACACAGCCAGCATGTCCAGACCAGTCCCTTCGGTGGCATTGGCCCTAACAGCTTCGGCCCACCGGGCAGGAGTTTCTAGTGGTCGACTCCTCCTCGAACACGACTTCAAAGCGAGAATCGGCGTCAACTGTTGGCGCTACAATATCGCCGCAGCATGTCGGCCACATGAAGTCGTTTGCGCGGGGGTTTCTTTCTCAGGTTGAGGCCCTTTGTAAGACAAGGTTCTGCGGAGTTTCAAGGTGTATTGTTGTCCCTCGCCGAAATGATTCGTGAAGAGACCAGTTCGGTTGCAGGGCATGTATCCATCTACCATTGTTTTCTCATTACGTGTAATCGCATCATGGCGGCGGCAATGGGTTTGCTGTCAAGACAAGACAGATGTTAGGTTCTTCGTACTTTGAGAAGTAGCCGACAGAGCAGCTTTTATGCTTATGGCTTGAAATGAATCATCTTGATTCTTGATCATCTGTGAGTCTTTGGTCACAAGACTCGACTTTGCCCACGAACCTCACGGCCGTATACTGTGTTAAACCATTGATAATCAATAGTGCTTTTTGGCTGCAACACGAGCACTTGAATTGAAGGCGCGCCATGGCAGCATCCTTCCTTCAGTAAAGTAACGCACGCCATCCAAAGCTTTGACTTCTTCTCATGGCACATCGGTCCTGAATCCCGCATCGAGGCCGCCAACATCGCCTGTTCGCGTGCCGTTGTTGCGCATCATGTCCACTGCCTCCTGACCTTGTTTCGTACTCAGAGCAGGAGGGGTACGCGCAGAGGCCGAGGCCCCTTCCCTGTCAGATCCTCCCAGATTTCCATGTCGCTCCTCAGTTCCGGCCCCTTTTGTGAATCCGCCGCCTCCATAATCTTTACCGTGTCCATGTCTGGTGCCTGCCACAAGGGGGGAAGAAGAGCTTGCGGGAAGCGGAGTGTTGTCATTTTGGTCACGGGAAGTAATAAACCGTGTTGCTGGTGCTGTGGCTGCGGGTGGCATATCGCCGTCACCACTCGTGATATCATCCGCCGCTGCTGCTACTGCTGGCCTTTGTTGTTGTTGATTTCCAGTATTAGCACCAGCCTCAATCCCTGTCACGTTCGAATTCGAAGTCACGTTCCCTCCAGCCATAAAACTACCCTCAATCAACATCTTATAATACCTTGCCTCCTCAATGCTCTCCAAAACATCCTCCCGCGCCGAATGCCTTAACTGCTTCAACGGCGCGGATTCCAACACCTCCGGTCTCGCCCAGCGCCTTACCATCTCCTTCATTGCACTGACATCGAACAGCCGATAATGTAGATGCTCGAGCACCACATTCCACGGCGGAATCATCAAAAAGGCCTTGTCGGCGTGAATGCTATTTCCCGCCAACAATGCCCGACCTGGTTCGGGAATGTACCGCTTGATATAGGCCAGGAGGGCGTCGGCGGCGACTTGGGCCGTCGTGGTGCTGGCCAAACAGCGCTGTGTTAGGCCTGTGGAGCCGTGGGTTCGGACACACCATTCAGACATGCTGGATAGTTGTTGGGGCGTGTGTTGGATCACTACTTCGAATCCTTCGGGGTCGAGGGGTTGTAGGTCGGATGTTGTGAGAAAACATGCTACGCTCATGATGGTGTCGGTTTGGGGATTGAGACCTGTCATCTTTTGGGGGGAGGGAATTCGGTTAGCCGTGGAGTCTGAAGAAGGATGAAGAGGAGGGAAGTAGGAAATGAAAGGACTGAGGAAGGGATGTGGAATCGAGGGATGGAATAGCGATTGGGGACAGTGGACATGCAAGTGTGCTGTGTTGAGCTGGGATTGGCCACACATTGGCTCGGGAACGTTGAGAATGGCATCGAGAGATGATACACAGCTGGAAAGTATGACCTCTTTCAAAGAAAAAGGGGGGACATGTATTTGGGTAGATGGACTGATTGTTATCTACACTCACCTCACAGTCGATCCAGACTAGTGGATCTGTTGACCTTATGAGAGCCATGGTCGATGTATTGCGCTTCAATGATTCTGCTGCTGCTTCGGAATCGCTGCTTCGGCGACACTCGATCAGGTCACCATGAAGTGAACTTCGTATGGGTTTTCAGATCACGTAGGGGCTCTCCCCCTCTTCTAGGGGTTGTCGAGTTCAGAACAAGTCTCGACAGTTATGTATGCTGCTCTCGGAGTGCCTTATGGGAAGAATAGACTGATTGTGGAGGTCTGATATTGCACAAGGCGCGTTGAGAGTGGTAGTCAAAGATAGACATTACTCTCCATCATGAAGGCGAGACCATATGTTTCCTTCGGTGGCAATCCCTAGATGGAAACATTAGGAGAAAATATGTTTGCGCTTTGTTGCCAATCCTGAGATCAGATGGAAGCGCATCGACAGGATGACGCGCGCATATAATGGGAACTCTGTGCAACCAAGGTCGGACAGGCAGGTGTTGGACCCCTAGTCCGAGTCCCTGAAACCCAAAAACCCCCAGTGCTTCGGGGCTTGGGCCAGTGCCCGCTCAATGTCACAGGATAGAAACTCGCCGCCCCCGTCGGCAAGATGAAAGTATAAGCAGATCAAGGTTTCAAGTCTCGCTTTCCTTTGAATTCTGTTCCCCTCCTCCCAGGGTGTGGACTGGTGGACAGAAGGAACCCCGGCCACGGCGCTGCCGATCGGAGGCTTAGATTCAGTTTCAAGTTCGATAATGGATGGACTTGATTGGCCGGGGCAGGATGGCAGGCCGGGGTGGGGAGGTGGGCGGAAGCCGCGAGAGAGAGAGAGAACGGACCAGAAGGCGGTACAGAAGCGAAAGATGGGAACAGGGAAAGAGAATGACGATCATGCAGGACGTGGGAATTGCAGAAATCGCATACTGCGCAGTAGTACGTGGGTGCGAAGTGACGTTACTTCCCAACCAATAACGACAGAGCTTGGGTCGACCGAGGAGCTCCACGTGATTGCCGAGTCCGGCTACTGGAGCACCAATCAGAGATGGTGACTCTTACGGCCGACCGGCGGGGAGACGGTATATTTGTGTATGCGCGCAGTCCTTGAGTCAATGATGCTGTATGAGTAGACAGGTAGGAATGAAAACGTAAGGGATTTCCAGGCTTACTACTAGCTTTGAGATCATCAATCAACGGGGAAAAAGACTGAGCTGCTTTCAAGCAGTAATACCTCTTTTGCTTTGATCGGGAGTCCTACAACTAACAAGCAACTTCTCTGGCCGGAGCAAATGCAATTGTGCGCCGGCGGCAGACCTGTGTCGTGCGCACAGCAGACGACACCGCCTGTCTCCATCCATGCTTCTGGTCTGTGGAAATCTTCTCGTGTTCAAGACTGATGCAAGAACCCTCCTGTCGTCACACCTTGTTTGCGCTTATTGGGCGCCATCCATGGGCAAAAAGTCCCAACCGCTCAAACAAAATATCCTCCTGAGGTTGTGACATTCTCCTTGTCTGGCACGACAAACAAAGCTGCAGATTCAAGACCAACCTCGTGTGCTTCCGGCCCGCGCCAACTGCAATCACGTCTTTGCCTTGAAGGAAATGCTGCATGCCTTTCCGGGATGATACGAATACCCTATTAGTCTTTCCAGCCCATACCGCTGAGAAACGCGCCGGGGCCTTACCCTAGTTTCATGGGCATTGTGGAAGGGATCTCAAACCCTCTTGGAGAATCATTCAAAAGGAAAAATTGCTGGGACAAAGCAAAGTCGGACCATATTCCGGTGTCGGGGTGGCCAAGAAAGTATCTGGGGGTCAAGAAGATTGGCGCGAGCGCCTCTATAACTCCTCGTCGTCATCAATTGGGCCTTTGGCCAGTGCTCCTCCAAACTGAAGACCGGAAGGATTCGAGTCTGTCGTAGACTGCTGAGATCGTCCGACAGAGCCTGTTATCTCGCCAATCGTGCCTGACGATGTCGATACACCACTGCCCAGACGTGTCTTAATATCGTCGTCGTACTCGGCGACGCTTGCCCGTTGCCTCTTCATAGGACTTCCTACCATGAAGCTGTCATCTTCTCTCTTTACGTCGAGGCCGGGCCCAGTCATCGAGTTGCCGATGTTAATCGCTCCCGAAGGCGATGTACCCAGCTCGTCAGTTCCGATCTGGGGTGTGGAGGCTGTCGAGGGACTTCCAGATTTGGAGCTCTTGCGAGCTCCAGGTACGCCATCGCCATTGAGAGGTTCAGCCGAATGCTGCCGTTTGAGCTGATAATACGTTAGCCCATAACAAGAGTCCACTGCCGAGGGTTCTCTTACCTTCATCTTTCGGATCCCCTCCGCCACCTGGCCTGTTCGCTCAGCATCCTCTGGGGACAACAAGCCAGGTTCTTTCTTGACGTCGGCGTCATTGATGTCCTCCATCTTGCCAATAATACCCGCAGCATCGTCTTCATCTTCACTTTCCATCTCATCATCGCTGGTCTTCTTACCTTTGCGACTGCGACGCGCTTCGGCATCTCGGAAGGCAGAAAAGCCAGCGGTCCCCTCTTTCTTGAGCGGTCCGAGTTTCGGAAGGTCGGTGACTATGCTGCGCCTCTTCGTACTGGCAGCTGCTTTCTCCGTTTTGGGGGTGGGGAGGATGCCCATTTTCTGCAATTGCCGCTCCCCGCGGTACAGGAATGTAAATACGGCATAAGGCTTGTCGGTTGGATCAATGCCTGTCACGGTCTGAGTCGAAATGGTCTTGGGGTCCAGTGTTTTGGGTTTCGCAAAACTGGTCGTATGATCGACATCTGCTCGGTTCTTGCCCTCGCCATTCGTAGCGGCGCCCTCAGCCGCATCGGACTCTTCCGAATCATCGTGGGCGTCGAACTGCGGGGAATACTCTCCTCGCTTGATCTCTCCCGATGCTAGGACGCGAAATAGCGCAACCTTGATCTGGCCTGTTGCTTCGGGGATGGGATCGTCGTCGTCGGAGCTCCCAGTGTCGCTTAGAGAAGCGTCATCGTCGGAGACATCCTGCAATTCACCGTTCTCACCATACCTCAATGTACTCTTCCGCCGCGGCCCTTTCGGCTCTCCATTCGCCTCGTCATCACTTCCAATGACCTCCTTTCTCTTTCTTCTGCGCTTCTCCAGCTTTTGTCTTCGTCTCTCTATCGTTGCAGCAGCGTCTTTTCCTTCCAGATCCAGTCCATTCAGCCATCGTTCAAGCCCCACCTCACGAAACAGGAATTCCCGTTCCGCGAGCCCGCCCCCTTCCTTTTCAGGGACACTGACCCATCGAGAATTGACCCAGGTCTCTTCACCCTTCCTCAATAGTGTCGCAACTTCTTCTTTGGCCCGACCGTCAAAATAGATGTAGGCTGCGATCGTCTCATTCGGCGAAGTCGTTAGAGGCACATACGGGCTGATGGTCGCTGCGGACTTTGGTCGATCGCCGGTGTGACCAGGTAAGCTCCCAACCAGTTTAGGCTTGGGATCTGGGTTGTCCGGTGTGGCTTTGGGGGTTGAATATGGGACCTCTTGACCAGGTGTCAGTAGGGTTATTGAGATTGCAAACGTGGATTGTTCTGGTTTGCCAGTGAGGGAATCGGCGGGGATCTTCGCAGGCGGGACAGGGATGTAAGCACTGATTCGCGATAGACGAGACGTCTTTTGCACCGAGTACTCTGGCAATGGTCCATTTGGAGTATGTATGCTCACGGCGAGTCCCTTGAAGCAGGGCATGATGGGGATCGTGTCGGGAGGATGTTTACAACGTATTGCTCAGTCCTCCGCTCTCTGCGCCGCGAAGGCGGATTGCGGAGAAGCCGCGGGTTAGGATGGTTATTCTGCAAACTCGTGCACAGTTTCTGTAGATCCAGCTCTTTTGAGGTTATGGCAGTTACGCACGGCGGTCATGAAGGATGGAGGAGCACTCAAGTGTTGCGGGGGATGCAGGAGGAAGCCGGGTGTTCTAGGGCTCGCCTCCTCCGCAACTTTGGGAGACGGTGAGCTGTCAGGTTGATCTGCGATGCGAGGAGCGGGTGATAAAAGAGCGACCGAGAGATGATCGAAAGAGATGTCAAGCGGCTCAGGGAAGAGGATTCCGGATTTCAAGAATTGCAAACAGTGGATGAGGGAAACGATGTCAATGAAATAATGTCTAGACTTGAACAACAACTTGAAGTGCCATGCGAGGCACGGGGCAGATAGAGACAACGGTGCCAAGAGATGTCTGAGCCACTAAACCGCCTCCAGCCAGACTTGGTCGATATGCGGAGAGCCTGTAGTGAGGTACATACAGGTAGAATATTAGAGGTATACACTTCACTTATGGTATTTGCCGTTGTACATTTAGGCGTTAAGGTCTTACGAAAAGACTAGGTGCTGGCATTCCTGTGCGCAAGGTATCAGCATCAAAGGCGTTCTCCTGTCTTAACAGCAGCTCTCATGGGAAACTGTTGAGCTCCTACCCAACAGTGCAAATGCTCGGAGCTTGCCCCATGTCCCAGACTGCGGTCTGATTCTCAGGGCGAACTTCGTCGTGCAAGGGACACGATTCCCCTGCAGTGCCGGGTCGAGCTGCACATTGCGGAATTGCGGACTTTTGATTGTTAACTCTGATCAGACTGTTATATCAGATTAAGCGTCCCGATCACAATCCAGTGCGGCACCCATAGCCTCTGCGATGCCTTCTTACTCCTGGTAAACACGAATGGTCGGACAAACGAAAGGTGTCAGTCCCCAGATTCAGATTGGTCCGATGAACCTTGGAGGACGAGGGCTTCTACCTGAGCACCTCGTCACAGATTGATCGACGTCGTCTCGTCTCCGCAGCAGTGTTTAAATGCTGCTGCGCTCCAGAGTTAGATGATGGGGATAAAAACTGCTACAACCCATGGGTTCTGGAGCGAGGCCCATGATCCCTCTATGGCCCTGGTCAAAAGTCAGAAGCGGTCATGTCTCAGGTACCAAGGGCATCTTGGAGCAGCCTCCTGGTCGAGCCTAACCGCTGGGGCCTGCATGTTCTGCAGCAGTTGGGATCCCACTATTACTCGTAGCTGTTGCATAAAACGCGCCCGCCGATGAGCTTCTGAAACTTTACCTTGGCAGATACAGCACAATATACCGTAGCAGCACCATCTGACGAACTTCTCCGGAAGCTCTAGGAGTCCGAAACTAACGGTAAATAACTTACGTGGTGTGAGGGCTGCACCCCAAGAGCCCGCTAGTATCACTTGAATGAGGGCAAGTGACCAACCAGAATGAACAGTCGGCCAGAAGAGCCGTTGTTTGGAAGAAGATTGTGTATGTTGCTAGTAGCATCTTTCCGTTCCTGTGGGTGGGCTATTATGACGTTGAATGTTGGGGATCGGAAAATAAAGTCAAGTATTTACCTGTGGACAAAGAATATCGTTTATTACCACTACGTAGTACTACGCAGTTAGCACGCTCCTGCCCCGCGATTTCCCTCTCTGCATCTAGTATTCCATTCCACGCAACTGAGACAACAACCTCTCTGCCACTCCTGCTACTGACACACATTCTACAATTTCTGAGCACATTGTCCGACATCCTACTCGCGAGATTCTTCACTGGTTTGACATATCGCCCACCCGTTAAAGCGCCGCGTACCCGCCATCATGGTCAAGGAAGTTCAATTTGAGCCCTTCACAGATCAGAAGTACGTCCTCACCGCCTACAGCTCCAATCTCTCATCCTCTTAACATACTTTGTCTGTAGGCCAGGCACTTCAGGTCTTCGTAAAAAGGTCACCGTCTTCCAGCAACCGCACTACAGCGAGTCATTCATCACATCCATCCTCCTCTCCATTCCCGAAGGTGCAGAGGGCGCTTTCCTGGTTATCGGCGGTGACGGAAGATTTTGGAACCCGGAAGTGGTACAGCTCATTGCGAAGATCGGTGCTGCATATGGCGTGAAGAAGCTACTTATTGGCCAGAATGGTATTCTGAGCACGCCGGCCGCCAGCAATATCATCCGCAAGCGCAAGGCCACTGGTGGTATCCTGCTCACTGCCAGTCATAACCCAGGTGGTATGTTAAGCCGCATTGGAAAGGATGTCGCATTGTAGGCTGACGATATGTAGGTCCGAATGCCGACTTTGGCATGAAATACAACCTGGCCAACGGAGCCCCAGCCCCAGAATCCGTCACCAACAAGATCTACGAGATTTCCAAGAGCCTCACATCCTACAAGATTGCAGACATCCCCGATGTCGACATCTCCACGATTGGCACTAAGAAGTACGGTGACTTGGAGGTGGAGATCATAGATTCCGTCGCGGACTACATCACCATGTTGAAGGAGATCTTCGATTTCGACCTGATCCGTTCATTCTTGAAGTCCCAACCCGATTTCAAGGTTCTCTTCGACGGCTTGAATGGCGTCACTGGTCCTTACGGGGTTGCAATCTTCCAGAAAGAGCTCGGATTGGGACCCGACAGTACTCAACATTGTGAGCCTAAGCCGGATTTTGGTGGCGGTCACCCCGATCCGAACTTGACATACGCACATTCTCTGGTGGAGAGGGTCGAGAAAGAGGGTATCCCCTTCGGTGCCGCTTCTGACGGAGATGGCGACCGAAACATGATTTACGGCAAGAACGCTTTTGTGTCACCGGGTGACTCTCTGGCCATCATTGCCCACTATGCAAAGAAATACATTCCTTACTTCCAAAAACAAGGCGTTTATGGGCTGGCGAGATCCTTCCCCACCTCGGCTGCTTTGGATCTGGTAGCTAAGAAGCAAGGCCTGTCGCTCTATGTCGTTCCTACCGGATGGAAATTCTTTTGTGCACTTTTCGACACCAACAAGATGTCCATCTGTGGTGAGGAGTCGTTCGGCACAGGCTCAAACCACATTCGAGAGAAGGATGGTCTGTGGGCGATTACCGCATGGCTCAACATCGTTGCAGGAGTTGGCAAAGATACAGGCAAAGTCCCCTCGATTGGCGAGATCCAAAAGGAGTTCTGGCATGAGTATGGTCGGGTCTACTTCACACGCTACGACTACGAGAACGTCAGCAGCGAAGGTGCCAATGACATGGTTAGCTACCTGAAAGAGAAGTTATCCAAGTCTGATACTGTCGGCACGGAGGTGCAAGGCCACAAGATCACGGAAGCCGACGACTTCTCATACACCGATCTGGATGGCTCCGTGTCAAAGAACCAGGGCATCTACTTCAAGTTTGATGATGGGACAAGGATCGTTGTACGACTGTCAGGGACCGGCAGTAGCGGTGCTACAATTCGACTCTATGTTGAGAAACTCGAGGAGGACAGAAGTAAGGTTCTTGAAGATACACAGACGTACCTGAAGGGTCCCGTGGAGCTGGCCATCCAGCTCTTGCAACTCCAGAAATTCATTGGCCGAACCGAACCAGATGTGAAGACCTAAGTGCACGTCGGAAAGGAGAGAGTTGGGACCATGCAGCGCAAGAAAACTGACATGCCGAAGACTGAAGTCGAGATGGTACATAGTCCACGTAGAGGTTGTTGATCTGGGCAATGAGATGAATGAATGCCGATTCAAAGCACTGCCTCCTTCCCTCCACGGTGGATGCTGAAGGGTTAATGAGCATGTTTTTGTAACCCGGTCATTGTTGAACCAACAGTAGTTTGCATATAGCTCCTTGAACCTTCTCTACTGGTCGGCAGTATACCGGCAATCTTAGGCCAAGGCCCGGCAATCTCTTCGCGTCCGAATCTGACTCGCAGACCAAGCATCGTAGCGACGCCCAATGCAGGACGGAAGCCGTGAAGGTGTCATCAACGCTGCCAAGGTGCAATAGATACCAAGTCAATAACTCCTGCTGATCTGGTGTGTTCTTGAGCGAACCTCACGTTTGGCATGTGACGATATCGAGCGGACCCTGGCACACACATAAACCGGTCTACCTCAGTGGCGGAATACTGGCCGGTCGAGGGAGAAGAAGGGACCAAGGACCATGAATAAGACTGTTGAAGTTTCACAGAGACGGTTGACAGAGGAAGAAGACTGTGACCCAAGATTGCTGAACATGTCGTGTTCCGTCTCCAGAGTCTATTCAGCTTATCAGTCTTCATCTGTTCGACAGGCTGCAGTGAGCGAGATGGAATGAAGGAGAGTCAGAAGTGACACAGCCTCGCGCTTGGCAGGGACCGCAGTGGAGAAGTGACTTCTAAGTTGGTATCTACATGTGCCTGCCAGAGTACGACGGCTACATCCTTGAGATGCGTTCGCAATAAGCATGCCAAGGCTGTGCCCGGGTGATGATCCCAGGCTCATCATACTGGTAGAGACTGATTTGCAGCTGCTGTCTCTTGCCTCTCGATGCACTATGATGGATGGACGCAACGGTATCTGGGGCAAGTAAAACATGTAATTGAAGGATTTGCCCAGCCTTGGCCCGATGGACAACTACAGCAGTCAGTGCTTCTATAGCCACCCTGTGTCCCTATAAATCTTGCTGATCACTCCCTATCCAAATCACCGAGATCCAAGAGACCGATGGCGGCCACGTCACACTCGTTGATAAGGCAGTCCCCGAAGCTTGTGTTCCACCAGATGCAGCAAATACACGGTACACCTCTGCGAGACTGTCCACGGATGAGGGTAAGCGTGCCCACCTCCCTTCTATCCAAGCTCCCTTCAGCCTTCTCAACCTAGTGTCTGTTGACCGACAATGATGATGATCTGTGTTGCTTGACGCAGCCACCCTTCTTGGCTCCCGGTCCCAAGAGCTGTCATGTCACGACTTCCGGGCCCTTTTCAGCCAGTCGTGATGGGATAACCGTAGGCGTAGCCCATATGAAAAGCTGCCGGACAGCTAACAAACGGTAGAAGCTGGCATGGAATGGCCGATATCTCACTGCAAAGCCTCCTTCTCCCATCAGAGTTCACTTTGTGTGACTTGCAAGTGGACTCTTTCAGAGTTGAAGCTGTATCATGGTGTCGCTTGGCTTTCGTTTACCATATCCAGCCGCCGGTGCACAGCAATGACCCGGGACAAGATGGTCGGAATCCCTCATATCTGAGAGTAATATCATCACTCGTTGAATCTGGCGTGTCCCCATCCTACAATCACACTTCCTCCCTCCTTTGTGCAGCCCTGTGTACTTCAGTGTTCAGGACGACACTGGACAACCCTCTTCTTCATTGTCCAGGCCGCGTGCAACGATAGGGTTGAACGTTGATCACATCGCCTCTGCGAGCTCCTTCCTTCGCGCCTTCTCTGCCCGCCATGTCTGATCTTGCCGCGGCCGAGAATGGCCAAAGCCAACCCGTCATGTTTCGGGTTGACTCATCCTCTCTTACCTTGACCGACTCACCTCAACCAGCATCAACAACGAAATCGTCCAGAGACTCGAGCGCCGAAAGAGATAAACAAACAGAGCGTATGGAGAGAGAGGAGATGAGGATGTCTTCGACGAGCCCAGGAGGCACTGTGCAGAGATACCTCTATCAAGACCTCGACGTCTCATACATGAGCATCGTGATCATTATTTGTTTCTTCATCTCCGGCCTCATCGACAGCGTGGCGTTCAACTCGTGGAGTTGCTTTGTCGACATGCAAACTGGTAGGATGCTCCCGCACACTGACCCGAGTCCATGTCCTTCCAGGATCTGAACCCAACTAATCCTTCTTTCCATCGCTCTAGGCAACACTGTCTTCGCAGCACTTGGACTCGGTGGACAACCCAAAGCAAATCACTCACAACAATATTACAAATCTCTCACCTCCATCGGGGCTTTTTGTCTCGGCACCCTGTTCTTCAACACGCTACACCGTTACCCGACCGGACTGTCGGAGCAACCATCGTCGCGGCGGCGCAGCATCCTGATCATCTCGTTCAGCATTCAAACTGCGTTCATCATCGTCGCAACAGTCCTGGTGTCTTTGGACCAGGTCTCGAACCAGCCCTTCTTACCTGGCCACTTCTCCTCCGGAAGCGACAGCAAAGCCAATCCACCGGAAATCACCAACTTCCTGGATCTCTGTCCCGTGTCGCTTCTCTCATTTCAGGCTGCGGGGCAAGTCACGCTGTCACGGCTTCTGGGGGTGGTCGAGTTGCCTACAATCGTCCTCAGCGCATTGTACCATGACTTTACCGCTGACTTGCTCGCCCTCCGGACCTCGTGGAGAAAGAGTGTGAGCGTTTGGGAGTTCCTGGCGGTGCAGCAACGCAGACAGGAGAAAAGGTTCGCTTGTATCATTGCCCTCTTCGTCGGAGGTATCATTGGTGGCGAACTATACAAGTCCAGGGCAGGCATGGCTGGGGCCTTGTGGATCGCTGCGGGCTTTAAGCTGGCTATTGTCCTAGCTTGGTGTTTCTGGCGCGGAGAAGTGGGTAGTGATGAACATGATGAGACGCTTCCATGATAGCATTCTGGTCGTCGTTTCAACCACGGCAACAAGGATGCATATCGGGGCATTCGTTTGGCCTTGCGGAGGCCGGCCTCACCAACCAAGCCGTTTGCGGGTTGTGTCTAGGCCAAGGAGCTATTTGAGATGATTCAACGACGAACGTAACGACGATTGCATATCCGGCATGAAAATGACAGAGCTAGGTGGTTAGATCGTTTTAGACAACGGAGTCTGAGCAGATTAGATTCGAATTGGTGCTCTGTTCACCATTGAAGTGGCTGGGGCAGTCAATGAACACATTCAAGACGTACTGTTGACGCAGATATATTTGATGTTTGGCGAGGCCTGGGACTTCTTTAACCTTGAGCAGAAGCTGTGGAGGGGAAACATAGACAAAAGAACCTGCAACGCACCATGTTGTCGGATTGCGTATTGCTTTGCGGGAGAGAAGCGGTCGAGGCCAGTGTTCGTAAGAGGTGGCTGGGATAACAATATACAAATATATATATTCTGGGCTGGGGAACCCATCGAGCTTCGGGTGCGGGGACGAGTTCGAATCCCTTAGAGCAGTGAGTGCAGTCACCAGGCGTGTTCTAAGAATTGAAGGCTGGCGAAGTTTCTTCAACAAATGATTGATATGAATACCTTCACTTACGATGGTGTAGGTCAGCGCTATGTATGCCTGTCATCGTGGGCTCACTTAACAGTCAGCGAAGATTGGCAGTGGTTCGGCATCTCTTCAACACAAAACGATCCCGTCAGCGTGTAGGGAGTATCAAAGGATGTAGAGCGAAGCGTATGTTTGATGGCTTCCAATATCATCTATAAGACTCCACAACCGTTGCAGGTAGGGTAGAAAGGAATTGCCGTCGCCACATAACGCTCACGGGCCCGGACGTGGCAGGCCGTTCCTCACGTGGTAGGACTCTTGAACAACTTCCCGCCTTTCCAGACATGCGTGATGTTACGGGGATCCTTGAACAGATCCATATGCTCGAGCGGGTTGGCGTTCAATGCAATCAGATCCGCATAATATCCAACAACAACCTGCCCGCTCTTGGGCGCCATGCCCAGATCACCCAAGACCTCGGGCCCCATGGCGGTCGCGGCCTCGATGGCAGCCAAAGGCTCCATTCCACCATCGACCACCGCATACACCAGCTCGCCACCACTCTTGCCCAGAGCCAGCGGATGCGTCGCAGGCGTGCTGATGCCCAGATCAGTGCCGAGAGCGATCTTGACCCCAGACTCGACGGCCAGCCTATACGCGGCGAGATGGTGCTTCGACGTTTCGACCATCTTGCGGTATGATTCAGGTGACATGAGCTCGGGATGGTCGACGCCGATCTTGACAATAGTCCGCGTGGGGACGTAGATGGCGCCTTTCTTCTTCATGAGCTCGACACACTCCGCATCCATATACGTGCCGTGCTCGATCGTATGGCATCCAGCATGCAGGGCGGCCATGATTCCGTTTTTGCCATGGCAGTGGGCGGCGACGACACGGCCGGCCCGAGTCGCCTCGTCGACGATCACGCGCAGCTCGTCCATCGAGAACTGCTGCCGTAACGGGTCGTCCGCGATACTCAAGACCCCGCCGGAAGCGAAGACTTTGATGCATTTGGCTCCCCGGCGCGTCAAGAGTCGCACCGCGCGTCGACACTCGTCCACCCCGTCGGCTAGTAACAATGGGCATGTGGCAGGGGCGAACGCATTCGCTTGGGTATCCCGCACACCTAGACACGAGGTCACGAACCCGGAGGGCAGGTCGAAGATGTCGCCGTGGCCTGAAGTCTGTGAGATGGCGGCGCCTGCGGAGTAGATGTTCGGCCCGACCAAGCTGCCTTCTTCGATTGCCCGGGATACTTCGATCGCGTACCCGCCCAGGTCGCGGATCGAGGTGAAGCCGCTCATGAGGATGTCGTGCACGTTCCGGGCGATTCGGGCGCCGGCTAGAGCTGGGGGAGATGCCGTGAGGAGTTCGCTGAAATTGAACGAGGTCAATCCTAGGAGGTGCGTGTGGCAGTCCCAGAGGCCCGGGAGAAGCACAGGCACATTTGTCGTCCGTAGTTTCTTGAAGTGTGGAGAGAGAGATGACCTGGACTGGACGGCGGTGATTTTGCCGTCTTGTACAATCACGCTCATGTTGCGCTGTGGCTCGCCTCGGCCGGGAATCAGAAGTTCCGCGTTGATGAGGTGCGTGGTTTCACTCTCGTCCACTCTATCGGTTTGGCATGGCGGTCTGATGAATGACGCCGAACTTGTTGCATTTCGCAAGAGGGCGTCTTGGTGTTGCTGACTCCTGCTGACTCCTGCAGTCTCTACATACAAAGTGGTATTGCTGTCAGACGCGCTTGAAGTTGTTGTTACTGTTATCTTTCGACGGGTCATGATTGTATATCTCGGCGGGTGGAGACAACTTGGTCACAATTGAATCTGGAATGTCTGACAGGGGAGGCTGTAGAAGGTCCAGTAGACTCTGAGGGATGATAGCTTGTTCGTAGTCCCGTGGCTGATTATGATCAAATATCTGATTTGGTTATGGTTATTTGGCACTGCTAGGCATCAGACGTTAGCATGATTTCGCCGCCAAAGATAGTATCCCGAGACTGTGATCGGGTCTGATGCTACTGGAGAACCAGGCCAGGAGAATGACATATGGCGAAATGCAGTCTCACCTCCGCTGGCCAAGGACCACGGTAGCAAGCCGAGCGTATTGGAAGGTCGCCGATGCGATGATGGCGGCGGTACACAAGTAGAGCGTCCGTCTTTTTGTTGGCTTCATGAACAGACTCTTCGTTGGTCGAGGTGACTTCTTCTTTCTCTTACAGCAGATGGATAAGTCAGAGATGTGGGAATCCGTTTCTCAAAAGTACTGGAGCTTCAAGCCGGATACTGATAGAGGAGCAGAGACGTAGTCATGATGGACGAATAGAAAGCCAGCGTTGGTGAGGGCCTAGTACACAAGAGGAAGGACCAAATCTCGGATAAATTGTTCATCCATTCCGATACATATCAGTACATACTCTCTCCGTACTTGTCAAGTGATAGGTTCCTACCTACCCGGACACGAGGTACTTGTACACAGTATGCACCTGTCAATGTTGCCACGTTGACACGATGTTTCTTCTGCTCCAGGGAAGGTGATGTAACTACCAGACTCGACAGTCTCTCGCCCTATATGCTGAAGCGTATAGACCGAGAGTGCTAGCTCTTTTCTTCCTGGACGGTGATCGCTCAAAAGCATTGTATTTGTCAAAGATGGGAACCAGATACTAAGGGGGAGCTGACGGGATCAGAGCTTGGCTTTCTCAGTATCAGAATATCGTCTGTCCTAGAGCTCGAGCTCGCCCTCTCGCAAGGCCTAACAGCGTTGTGGAGCTTGCCAGCCTTACCTCGTACAGCTGGTATTACTGATGAGTAACGATCCCCTGAGCACTCGCTATTGAGACATGAAGGTCAGGACACCTGATTTGGAATTCACTCGCTTGACTCCAAGATCGCCGTGACTTCAATCCTTGAACCTAGAAACCGAAAACCCACAAATATTACCTCGGCACCATCATACTGTTGTCCTCGGGAGGGATGGGAACTCCCCGTAGGAGAATGCCGGTGCTGATTTCTCCGAAAAGAGCATGGTTGTCCTTAGTAGTGCTTCGCGAGACCGACCAAATATGGGAAAGTTTGTCGGTCGATTTGAAGGCCTCTTTCCAATGCTGAGTTTCGTAGAAGCATGCGTCCCGTCACACCATCAGTTCGTCGGGAGATTGGATATGAACACTCTTGAGAACGAAACGTCATGATAGCAAGCATCCTAGAGATATTACGTACCATCACGCGAGCTGAGGGCCGGCCGGCTCTGGCTTCTGAGCTTCTGAGCTTCTGTCTCCTGACAACGATCGAGTCAACCAGCGTGCCGAATCTTCACGAGCGCTGCGAACAGCGGAAGTTTCAGTTGCATAAGGTGACGCGCAATCTGTGTCAGCAAATACGGACATTATTCACGTGACAGCTCGATTCAAGGATCACGTGCGACATGAGGTTCAGAAGGTCCGTCCGCTTCGTCCCGATGGTTTAGGAAAATCTCCCGGACAAGATGAGAAAAAGGAATTGCTGTCACCTTACCATTGACGATCTTGAACATTCGACTCAACGACTACACACCACGTCCTATAGCTGTGTGTCTCATGCCGAAGCGAGGCTGAGAGGCAGACCGGTATTTTGGGGCGCTCGAAAAACCATTCCGATTCTGTTGCGTGTCCAGCTGCAATGTGGTATGGCAACTCTGGATGCCTGAAATGTGATGAGTGAGCCCCTGTACATTTTGGGCGCGCACATCTTCGCGTGAACTTGAAGACTCCTTCCTTTAGAACCATTCGCGGAAAAACGGTGCAGGTAGGTGTCGCATCCTGGTCTCAGCGTTACCCTGTCCTCTACTTCTCAGGGATGACACCTTTCTTGCCTGATCGTGGCTCAATGGAGGTTGTCGGCCCAACGATCAACGGAAATACCTTGCGGACTCAGAAAGGCATTGCTTGAGCACTGGAGGCTTGTCGGTCTGATCGGGAAGTGTGTCCTGGTAATCCTCGCGGGAACGCTATGATCACACCGAATCAACAATGGATTCCTGTAGTAACATCTGCCCCTGAAGCTGATTATCATGCGCTGAAGTCATTGATGCATCTTGAACTGGGAGCCAGTTTTCATGTCGGGACTCAATGATGATCGCCCCGAAACAGCTGTGATTGTCCGGAGAACCCAGGTCGTGACAGCAGGAAGCAATGCAACATGATGCAAGCGACACATACTAAGGTGGATGTCCATCCGAAAGAGAGATCAACGACTACAAGACGCATGGAGGTTAGACACGTGACACTGGCTGTTTCGGTGGAGCACGCCAGGAGTAGAGAAGTGGGATACGGCGAAGCGTCCATCATCCAGACGCAAGGTTTCTCTGCCGCCTGAGCAGCAGCCATCGCACGCGTCTCTCTTCAACCACCACATCTATCGAAACTTCAATCACTACTGCACAACTTTTGCTTTGCAGATCAATCACCCGTGGCCAAATTCACAAGAGAACCAGGACATGGGCTAGTAGCCTCGTGATCTCCCGTCTCTTGGACGACTCCAGCTCTCTCACGTTGCTCAAGGGCGCCATCTCGCCACCCTCAACATTTGACTCGTCAGGCAACGTGGCTTGAAATCTGTCAAGCAGAACGTCTGCAACACGAAATTCACGCCCGTCACCTACCTCAGGGTCTCACCGACAAGTCTCACAGCCTCACACAGGCTGGCAACCGATGTATTCTCCTACGTAATCTAGTGCTGCTGGCGTCGTGGTTACTCGACACATCCATGCGAAGCTCGTGTCAGTCAACCCCCTAGTCCTTCTTCTCCCCCCTAAACCCCCAGTTTAGGCTTCTTTATTGCCGCAGGGACTACGAGTCATGGATGGCCAACGGCCCAAAATGCATGCCACAAGCCCGGCTCCCAGTTTACTCTCGAGTAGAGTGTCCACACACAAACGCTTTGATCAATTTCGGCAAGGCTCATGGAGGCGGCGCTATACAACTCACTATTTGCGCTATTGGCCATTGGCCCTGACTCCTGATCTTCTACTCGCGTCTTCGCGAGGGCAACGGCGGGGTCCATCTGGGTAGAGGAAGAAGTCCCCAAGAGCGGACTCTACCACATTCCTCACACCAATCTCCAAATCGTGTCCTGCGGATCGTATAGTACGTACACGCTCCAGCATTATAGGCTGGTGAAACAGTTCGGCCCGCTTCCTCTGCTGTTGTTTGTGGCGAATGGGCGTTGTGTCAGAGCACAATAATTTGCAAGCCACTCCAAAGTCGGCACCCGAAGCTTCCGCCCAGGGCTGGTAGTGTTGCTACATGACTCTAAGCACAAAGGGGCGATTTGCATGCACCTCGCAGGCATGCTACAACTACCCACGCCCACTGCTATTGTGAGGCCCAATGTGTTAGGCTCCATCGAGGACATCAATTCAGCCTAGAAGGCGACTGGCGAAATTGTTTGACCCGGGGGCTTGCACTCCTCGATGATCCCGCCTGTCAGAGTTCAGAGCTGAAGATGGCGACTCCGGACGGATACTGTTTGTAAACAGGGGGGTCAAGATACTCTGAGTCTCAGGAGTGACAGACCAGTGGACTGGCTTCTGAGGCAGAGTGTAGCGTAGCGCTGACCACAAGGTGGCCCTCGCCAGAGATAGGATTCTCCGGTTGTGAAGCCTTGTGTCGACGGCAGACCCAGGCCTACCCGCAAGACCTTGAAGGGTTGCACACTTCAGAACGGGCTTGGGGTCATTGGGCAGGAATAGAGGTCACTGCAGCATGCCGCTGTTCTATCAGTCTCTCGAAGACGCCCATCGTACCCTGGGATGGGCTGTGAAAGAGCACAGATGATTGGGTACTAGGTGTGATTGGGCGCGAGCATTGCAGCGAGCGAAGCTCCAGCAGTCAGAACGACCCTAGTGACAATGGGCAGCGCTCAAGGCGTACTTCTCAGTCCGACAGCTGCAGTAGAAGGTCGAAAGGTGTCCCCTATCCTGTCATTTTCATGTCTGGCAGTTCGGCTGTCCAGATGTCTAGCCCACCGCCCACCAGCTTTTTTGAAACACGAGCGAATGACAAGGGACATGCAGCGGCCCAGGCCAGATGGAGTCTAGGAGACTAGGGCCAGCATTTCCGCCTCTGTCAGGCGCGAGGCGCAAAAAGGAAACACGATCTGAGGATGCTCACCGACCAAGCCGCTCACCAACCTACCGATGGGTCGATCAATTGTGCTCGTCTCATGTCCGATGCCGTCTGTGCTGGCGTCAGAATCCGCCAATGGTTGCAGCCGTGCACCCTTCACATTGAACCGGGAGAAGCAACTGACCCATAATTGAGAGACGACGGGTTGGGCAAGGCTAGGAGAAACACAGCAGACGGGGCAGAAGGAAATCTGCTTGATACCCGTGGCATCACAGGATGGAATCTCCCGTTCAGAGGCATTGGCTCTGCCTGTCCAAAAGGCAAATTCCCGAGAATGCTGGCTGGCCAAGCCTAAGTGACGAGCAAGCGCCAGCACTGTCAAACAGCAGAGGGGAAAAGCTGTGCATGGGCATGACCATCTCGAATTTCACGCTGCCCCCCTGATTGAGGTGGTCGCCGCCCGGGCGAGCAAGCATACGACAAATGCAGGCAGCCAACTGCCCCCTGTCTCTGCTCCGGCATCAGTGTTGGTCGACATACTGGGGCATACTTTCGTCGAGGAGGGCCACAGGGCTGGCGAGCTACTGGCCGAATCTCCTAGCGCTGGCGTGCGGTCTCGCAAGGAACGCTGATCGTTGGTGACCAGAAATGCGCCCAGCCACCTGGTGATCCGTCCGTCTCTTCTGGCACTTTAGACGAAGCATGCAACCCACCGGCCCTTGCTGCCAGGCCGTGCCCGCCTCGTCCTGCTCTGTCTAGCATGCCTTAAACCGAAACGGCTTCTGGCGTGCCTCGTCATCCCAGCGTCGGACCACAGACCAGGGTTTGCCAACTTTGACGCATCGCAGTGGACCTCTCTTCTACCTGGCGTTCTATTCGCAGCATCCTCTGACCAGGTTCTGACAGCATTTTTGCCCCACTGGCATGGGTGACATGGGGGCAATCATGTCCGTGCGTCGACGTTTGCCATGCTCGCCATGCCTCTGGCTTCGAAGCTACCGTCATATCTAAATGGACCAGACGTTATATTGCCTCTATACCTCGATAACCTCGTCCATATCAACACCAGCATCACCAGCAAACACCAACCACTCCGCCAAACCACTCAACACCATTTCACTATACTTCTACCATCTGTTCTACATATTTACTCTTGTCCCAGACACTTCTTAATCTTTCGCGTCCTTCATCGTCGCTCGACCTCGACCCGACACCGTCCAGACTATCTACATTGGATATTACCTATTCCAGAGGACTGGCCATATTTCCTACTCTTTCTTCTCAACTACACGTCTCTGGAACCTCGTCTGGACCCATGTTTTGAGCAATCGTCCTTTTGGTCTTTTCGTCAACTCCTTTTCCTAGAACAAGTACTCCGTACTTTTGGGCTATCCCAAGAATGCTATTAACGCCGCCAACCTCTCCCCAACTTACGACCTGTCTTGCGCCAGAAGACAGATTGGGGTGCGTGTTAGCCGGCCGACTGGAACTTGTCTCCATCCTAGGAATTGGTGCTTATGGAGTGGTCTACCAGGCCGTCGACATTCTGACCAACATCCCGTACGCGGTCAAGGCTCTTCCCAAAGCCGGATTGGATTCCAGACAACGGCGTTTTCAGCGTCGGGAGATTGCCCTTCACCACCAAGCCAGTCAGCATCCCAATGTGGTTTCATTACTTCGGATCCTCGACAGCCCGGACTGCACGTTTGTCGTGATTGAATACTGCCCAGAGGGTGACCTGTTCTCCAACATTACCGAACAAGGCCGATTCGTGGGCGATGATCAATTGGCCAAGCATGCCTTCTTGCAAATTTTGGATGCAGTTCAATATTGCCATTCCGTTGGAATCTATCACCGGGACCTGAAGCCCGAAAATATCCTGGTCACCGATCAAGGCCACACCGTCAAATTGGCCGATTTTGGACTGGCAACCACGGATGCGGTTACGTCAGACTTTGGATGTGGCTCGACGTTTTACATGTCACCTGGTATGTCGTATTCATCCTTTTGATCCGCTCGAATCAAGCTGACCGGTCTTTCCTAGAATGCCAACAAGCTCCGGCCAGGCCATATGCTCGATATGCGGCCGCTCCTAATGATGTCTGGAGCCTCGGCGTCATCCTGGTCAATCTCACGTGTGGTCGCAATCCCTGGAAGAAGGCATCACCCGATGATTCGACTTTCAGAGCGTTCCTCCGGGATCCCCAGTTTTTGAGCTCGATCTTGCCCATCTCACCGGAGTTGAACATGATCCTGAGACGCATTTTCGAGTGTGACCCAACCAAGCGCATAACTCTCCAGGAACTCCGGGAGATGATCATCAGCTGTCCCAGGTTGACCATGAACTCTTACAACACACTGCCGCCATCCCCACCCCAGACACCTTACGATTACGTGGACTCGTTGGACTGTGCCAACATGGCTTTACCACCCTCTCCACCGGCTTCTCCATGTCCTCACCAACCCTTCCAATCTCAGCCTTCGGAATGGTCCTTGTTCGAACCCGCCTCGAAGCAGGGTTCATCTTGCTCTTCTCTTTCCACGGATTCTGGCTATGAATCCGAGTTACCTTACACGGATGCTGGTCAACGTTTGCAACCTCCCGTCTTCAACTTCTATGGCAACGTCATCCCTCTGCATGATCACGAGAAGGCTTACTACACGCCATCTAACTTTGTCCCAACTGTTGCTGCATTTTAATCACTTGGACATTTGTCTACATACGTTAAGCAGCCACCTTGGCCGGCGCTGTCACGATGTCACGGTGTTACGACCTGGAGCCTCTATACTTGTGGATACCCCGGCGGTCCACGATCTTTTGGCTTGAACCCTTGTTACTACTGGTCCGGATGGGGAAAGATTGTCTATCTGGACGCATTTGGCGACGTTTGCATTGTTACGGAAACAGCGGAAGCATTTGAATGGAGTTTTTCTAGACTTTATCAATCGGGGTTTTTCCTGGTGGGCAGAAATTGTCTTCGTTGTTTCTGAAGATGGAGGAGAGAGAAAAACAAAAAGAGGCGCACCACGCAAGTTATTGTCACTGTCTCTCAGTCCAAGTGCTGGCACGAGACGACATACAACTGGAACCTGGGGGAGGAATTTTGTCATTGTTTGTCCCAAATTTCAAGTTGTACACTCCAGATGTTCTACACCATTGGCCATCACATCTTGATCTGGATCGGCCACAGCAATACTATGTACTGGTCCAATCGGGACTTGTCGTCGATGATTTTCCGGTTGAATTGTCCATAGCTCCTGATGCTTGTTGCATTTTCTGTAGATAGCCTCGCAGAAAACCAAATTCTATCAGAATATTCGACACCGAAATCTACAATCTCATTTGTTCGTGTTCTGACCTTTCAGGTGATCGGTTTATGGGTTGTTGTCATATCACTGCAATTATGTCACATCGTACCTACCTACGAATGTTCTACCAAAGTAAAAACGACTTCTTAATCACGTGATGCACCACTTGCGGGGTCGCCTTCCCAATTCGACACAGACATCCATCAGTACGTTAGTGGTAGATAGGTAGGTAGATAGTAGGTAGCTAAGTCATACCACCTGGGCTTCGGTTTGGCCTTTGAGAAACGAGAATCTACAGACAGTGGCTCCTGTCGAAATCTGCCTATCTTGATGGTCAGGGTGCTGCACATCCTGGCCATCCATCCTTCATCCTATCTGTACCTCCAGAACAACGGATACGGATAACAAGTGATGATACGGTTCAGCTGGCACCCAACATACTTCGGTAGTTCATACAGCCCATGAGACACAACTCGTGGCCGACCCCTCCACGGGATCTATTCCTGATGACAGACCATCTCTGCCGCTTTTCATGCCGGACTAATGCAAGCCTCTCTTGTTCCAGCCCTCGATCTTTGACAGCGCATGCGTCAGTCAGCCCGCCTTCTCTTTCGCTTTTTCCAGTTGTTGGCAAGGATTATATCACTACCCAGGTAGGGTGGCCTTTGGCTGGCTGCCTTACTCTTCTGTAAGTTGGGGTCCCTTCGCTTCTGCCCCGCCCCTCACTAAGCCTGCTCCCATCCTGCCGTTCGTTGCACATCTTTTTCTTCGCCACCCACTACTGCATCTTGTCTGCATCTAAACGGTCCCAGTTCTTTTTTGACCTGCTTGGACCTAGTTACTCTGGAGCAACATACTCCATGCTACTTACTGAACAACGCGCAAACTGGGACGGCACATCTTCCTAGTCCCCCTGGGAGACTCCCGCTTTCTGGGGGTGCGACCGATAGTGCCCGAGTCTTCAACTCTTGGGACGCCCCTGATTATGCAGTGAGCATCCCAGCGGTTCCAACCCAATCAAACCAAAACCGTTCGTGGCTGTTGGTGGTGTCCATCATATGGAGTCCCCATCGCTAGGACTCAAGTCATGACAGAAGCTCATCGCCACAAAATTCCCCTGCCATCATTCTTGTGATCTGCGTCCTGTCCTCTGCCACTGCCACTGCCACACTACCTCTCTCTCTACCCGCCAGAAGTCTACGCGCTCGGGATCATAGCCCTTCCAGCCATCAACATGCAGCGCAGCCCGCCATGGGCCACGCTCTTATGCAGGAGCTTCCGGCAGCCCCTAACTACGGTGCGTGCCCAGTGCTGCGTGCTCTGAGGTCTTGACGAAGCCTTCGGGATGTCAGTGATCGACATCTCTTGTGTCCAGTCTCAAGTACTCATAGTATATTGGCATGCACAACGCAACGTGGTCATGCGTAGGCTGTGACACCGAGTTTTGACACACGTCTACCAATTCACTATCTTCAACTCCCTTGCTTGCTTACCTGCCTTCCTGTGTTGCAATGTTGACACTCCACGAAGAGGGCTGCTTTCAATGATCCATGTGCCAGCCAGGGCAGTGATCATCTTTTGGCAGTGTTGACTTGCCTCGCCCCTACCGTGTCTCGATTTTGGGCTATGCAGAGCCGGTTCTCCATACGATAAGGGAGGGGACCTTATGCTAGCCTCGTTACGTCCGTCCCTACGGTATAGTATGCCTTGCCCCCAATGCACGTCTTTATCGTCGATGCGCCAAGTCCTGTAAGGTATCGCCGATGCCCGCTATCAACAGCCATATCGGAGTCGGTTGTATCAACGTCAGCTTGGCCCAATTGTGCGACAGCAAACAGCCACCTTCAAGTGTAAATGGGGCGCGGCACAATCGAAAGTCAAGACCCTCTTGCTCTGGTAAGGGTAGATTTCCATCTCTGTCAGCTACGTTGAGTTCCCACCCTTAGGCTTGTAGAGAAGTGGTCTTGCTAGCGATAATGTACTGCTAAACCTGTCAATAATCATTCATGTTGACAAGGACACCCCCCTTTGCCTTTGCTGCCGGTGTCAGTCATCTCATGGTCAGTCGACTTGGATTCATCGAGCGATCGAGTTGGCTGAACTGTCACAAGTGTTCATCAACGTGACAAGTGTCGAGCATTAAATGACTCTGTATACCTCCAACAGAGGCGAGCCAAACTACACAAGTTAGTTGCAACTCTAATCAGTTCTAATGATATTATGAAGTTGAGAGGTGGATGCTGGAGGCCTGCCAGACTGATTGTCATTGGCTGTTGAATATCTGGTGGTTGTATCTTCTGCAAGCAAACGAGGCCTTGGTGTTCAAGTTGTCCAACGAGGACGAATGACCGTGTGCATGGCCAAAATGCCGCACCCTACAACGAGACGGTATAGTACGTAGTAGGAGGTGGAAGGGGTAGTGGTGGTTGATCTCACAGTGCGGACTTGTACATCCTAACAAGCCGTGGCATGAGGGCAAGAACCTCCAACCCTCTCTCAACCTCGCCCAACGGCATCAATGGATGATACGGCCGTCAGTGTGCAACTACAGCCAATCCCATTGCAGCAGAAGCCCGTGATAGTTCCTGGTCTTCTCGTCGTACCATGGCACAGGTATAACATACTAATCGATAGGTAAGTATCAGCGGAGAGTTAAAGGGCACTCACCATATCTGGGGAGCCTCTTGGTGAGTCAAATGGATCCCCGTCCTCGCGAGGCCTTTGCTACGTGAAGGTGAAGTTATTAAACCTCGCATCATGAAGAAAGAAGCACAACGGTAGGGACGTGTACTTTTGCGCGAAAGGTAAACACAAGCCAGAATCACGAGATCAATTCCATCGTTGACAGCCCGGACGCTGGTCCGATGACGTTCGTGCCCTTACAGTGATCAGATATCTTTCTACACAGTACGTACTCGTCGGCAGCATGGCTAGAATCAGAGGCGAAAGAGCTCAACAATCTCAAGTCTTCGCCTATTCCGTCGAAGCAATCTCTATGCCTGGAGCATTTCATTTCAGTCGGTCGGGCACTGCTCCATCAAGTGAGGTTTTTTGATCATTGTTGTTGAACACGCTGTGGGACTCAACGAGATGGGAGCCAGGAGGGACATTGGTGCTCTGTACACGGTGTCTTGAACAACATGACTACGCATGATCATTCCTAGGAGCCAGGACCCAGCACCATTTCGTCTGTGGGTAACTACAGAGTATTCATTTCTTCAGTAGTGTTCACTTTCCCAAGGCTGGAGCCTCTCTGCGAGGGCCCACGGCCACGGATACCCAGATGGTACGTACTATGAGGACTGCGCCTCTAGGAAAAGAATGTACTACGTCGTATATGCGGACTACGGATCACGGATCAACGCATTGAAACGGGTGCGCGCGGAAAGGAGATTAATCAGATCACTATTGTGGGAAGCAGGGCCCCTCCAAATACTCCGTGCCGAAACGGTCAGTCCCTGCGGACCAGTCTCCAAACTACAGAGCACCGCTATACCTCTGTAGCCTTAAATCCCAGGCTCCAGTAATCCTTTCTTGACATTTGTTATGGGTCTTAACCAGGCTCCAGACGGGCCAAGCACCCCACCACAGGCATCGATTTTTCCAGGCAGCACGGATGTCGCCGGAACCGGTTCAGCCTCGTCGATCATCAAGGTTTGATTGCTGGACAGTAGTACACAATAGTGGGCACAACTGTGGGAACCACTCTCAGTGATCAAATCTCATCCCTTTTCTCCCAACGTTTGCTATTGCCGTAGAGTGGGTTGTGGGCATTTATTGACGAGGTGGGCCGTGCGGCGTGCGTGGATGTTCCAGGGGAAAGCGAGTGACCCGAAAAATGCAAGATCCAGGTGCCCAAGTACCTAGGTACCTATGATGTCTGTGCTTTTGGAAGAGAACACGTTCCTACAGGATCATTGAATAGCAAAGAAGGAATGGAGGCCTGTGCGGGACGTCGAACAGAATATTCTGTCGTTGACGCCGTCCGTTTTTCGACAGGTCAACTGTCCCTACGACGATGCCTGCGCTTGAACCAGTAGGCGTCTCGGCGTGTATGCGGACACCAATCACCCAGTTTGTTTCAAGCACGGTACATTCCTGGGCACTTCATGGCCGCAACGACAGAGCACTTCATAGCAGGCTAATGAGTGAACAGTGAAGAGTGCCTCAGTGCGTGGTAGTCAGTGGACTACGTACTAGTGAGCACCATGTCAAGGAGGAGAACTGCAGTGTAAGCGAACAGTACACACCAACCACGGCCACAATATACGTATATCGCCACAGTTTGGTCATATGTCACGTGGGTGAATGAGGATATTGTGGCCGTGCGGCGTTGCTTTCCATATTCGTATTCGCATCCACATCCATATTGCGGACAACAGTATCACGTGGCCTCGTATCTCGTTTTATCGCCACTGCCACAGCGAAGTCTAGGTGAGGTTCAGCTGATGAACAGACTTCCACCAAACCTTCTTTCTGTGGATGGCTCGCCGGCAATTGTATAAAACACGCGACGACTTCTCACTCTGAGAATTGCTTTTGTCAGACTAAAACTTATTTTCGCTTTTGGAGAAGAATTTATGCTGGCGACTACACATCTTGCCAAGGAGCGGTCAGACAAAGCCGATTTTCCTCGGACAGACCACTGCCAAAATCATGGAGGTCTCCAAGTGACTGATTGAACTCAGTAGGTACGTACACGAAGACATATGCGTCGTTGCACCATTTTACCTCTGCAAGTGGCGATATTCTACTGTCACTGCTACTGCTGCTACCACTACCACTAGGGTGACACCATTGCTCAGCCAAGTCACAAGACTCGAAACCTTCCAAGGCATCCAAGACCTCCAATTACGCGTCGCGTCGTCTTATGATGACGGGAGTCAGGGTTTGCCAGGGCTTTACGTGCATTCAGGCGCAGTCAGGCGCGGTCGTGCGGCAGGGCTGCCTAGGCTCTCAATGGATTTGCTACAGGTAAGATTCTCTATCACGACAGTCATTGACCTCGGAATCTGGACCACACTCGGGGTTGCCACTGGAGTATCAAGTGCAATCTCCATCTTCTCCTCTGCTCTGCTCATCGTTGTCGTTTCACGATAGATTGTCTTCTCTCGTTTGATCTCACCTGTCACCCATTTTCCCTGCAATCCAGACTGTGGAAGATCCAGTAGGGTCCTTGTCACCGCACCCGCCATAAGGTACGCGAGATCGTTCTTCCTCTCGCGAGCAGTCACGCCGGCATAGACGGCGAGAAGGAATTCCACACGATCCTCCTGACGCAGCATTTCTTCGGAAGCGACGACACCGACACCACCTCCTGTTCCTATTCGCCACTGCTATCTACACTTTGACGAGCATTGCTTTCTATATTGTAGTCACACCAGCCACAACTTTAAAGATACCCTTTTGAACGTTCTCAAACGCCTCCAAAACAAAGTAACGGGCACAAGAAATCATCGGAAACCTTTGATCTGATATCATATCTCGTCTACCACGATGCCCGAGAAGTACCCGCCACCGCAATACCCGCCTCCCTCACACACCGGCGCAGGCGACTATCAATCCCCTCCCCCACCTCAGCCCGGTATGGTCTACGATGCCAACCAAAGCCAGTACGACATGTCCAGAGGTGGTCCGCAGGGAGGCTACTACCCACAGCACCAGCAGCAACAACAACAGTACGGCTACGGCCCGCCCCAAGGCTACGGCTATGGTCCGGGAGGCGGCCCTCCTCCAGGCCAGGGGTATTATCCACCCCAACAGCCTCCTCCCGTCGTCTATGAGCGCCAGAAGAGCGGCGGTGGCGGTGGTCTTTGTGCTGGATTGATGGCCGGGCTGGCGTGCTGCTGTTGTTTGGATTGTTTATTCTAGAGTCCTCGGCGAAAAGACGAGAGGATATCAGATTGGAGCTTGAGAGCAAACTCGTGGAACGGAAGTCAACAACGTATATCACTGGAACGGGTGGTCAAGGCTGTGGTTGCAGGATCGGCAGGGGGGAGAAATGTCACCTGCAACTACATTTCAATGTTGAACCGCACTGGATTCTATGTCGCATGGCAGTGTATCTTGTTTTTTTTTCATGCTGGAGTATTTGACACGCAGCGAGGCGAGGCTAGACTGGGGACGATTACTCAGGCGCTCTATCTACATGTCTCAAATTCTATGCTTATGGTACAATGTGTCGTATAACGTCCCTCCGTATCGAGCCGGGCCTCAGGGGGCATTTTCACACGGTCGTGCGTCTCCAGCAAGCCTGCCGGCCATGTTCAGCAGCAGCAGTAACTTGTTGCAGGCACGTATCGGAAAGTCAAGGTTATCTAGGAATTGACTTATGTTCATCTATACATTTTCAATGTTGCCTTACGGTAGACTCGCAAGATCAGTCCCGGGTACTGTCTTGTCTCCCACTTCTGTTCGCAGTAATGGTGAGGGGCGAGCATGATCGATCCCTTCGAATCATTGTGAACAGCTCCACCTCACCATGTGGCCTTGATCGCAAAAGTAAGAGTTTGCATGTGCCATGAGGCAGGGCCCTCGCTCGCTGTCCAGGACGAGAACGTATTACGGAAATCAGGTTCATAGCTTCTGGGGGATCAAGACATGAGATCTCATTCAAGCGTTCCTTCTCCGTGTCGCACCAGGGGCCGCAGCCGAAGGTACGGCAACTCGTTGGGGTGGCCGTCACGACAAATTGTCTCAAAGAGCCGTGTCCTTACCTGGGTGAGAACTAAACCGCGGGTCGAGTGCTCTTTAAGGTCGGTTCGTGGAGCCTCCCAAGCCAGACGGCTGTGACTTGCAGCCTTTCTCATCTCCGAGTCTCCGACAAGCGCCAGTGGTTTGGACAACATGCAGGAGGCTTCATGCGCGTGCCAGGCTGGTAGCGCAATTGACCTTAGGCTCGAGGCACGAGTTCTCTGGGGTCGTGTTGCTCAAGTGATGACTCGAGATCTGTTTGGGCAGGAAGATCGATCGTCTCAGTGGCTCGAGACGCCCACTCGCGCATAGGTGACTGTCGCAAGTTTGGAAAGCGTTGAAGAACGTTTTTCGGCAACCGATAACGATTGTCACTCGCTGGACTTTAACGCACTGACAGTCACACTTTCATAATCCAGCCCAAGGGTATTTCAACATGATTGTCTTGCTGGTGGCTGTCCATCACCTTCCACCCCCAAACGGATGGCATGTTTTCCATCAGGCACTTGCAAGCATGGGTCAAGACGACTTGCCAGATTGTGGTCATGGTGAAGACCCTGCTCCGAAAACTCCATCTGGAGCGCAGCTATATCCCAAATATCGCGCCTAACCCGGGAAATTATTCACATCACCGAACAAGAATACTGAGTCATCCCCCCATTCTCCGTCGTGGTCATAGCCGCAGTACGAGTAATGTCCTCCAGGGTCTCCCACATCAACTCACCCGTCAAGGCACTACACTCGGCGTAGCGATCGCAGCGCATCTCCTGAGCGACCCGCAGAGCCTCCTGGGGCATGACACATTCAAACGTCCCGTCTTCCATTCTCTTTTCGGTACGTTCGTCGCGCTTGAGCCCCAGTAGCATCACGGGCATGTTATGCTCCAGATCACTGTAGTGCATGGACAGCTGCTTGCGCCAGTAGAACTGGGCGTTGTGGAGGGACTCGCGCGAGGAGACGGAGAATGCGATGATCGTAAACGCTGGCTCGGCTGGGAATGGGTCCACGAACAGCGACGACGTAGAGACGTGGATGCGGAACTTGTATGGTCGCCCAAACAGCGTCACGTCCCAGCTCAGAGGCTCTGTAGGTGCGAATATGCGTTTCCGAGGAGCAGACAGGTTGAGTCTGCCATTGTGGACATGTTCGATTTGACTGGGAAAGAGTGAATGCTAGCGCCAGGAATGAGCTCGCGAGATGTTGCTGCGTGCGGGCGAGGAGAGGGCAGATCTTTTGGTTGCTCAACAACTTACGATAGGAACGTTGCTTTGCCCACGCCAGGGCTCCCCAGGAATAGTATGTCAACCTCTGGGACAGGTGTGCCCTCCAGCAACGTCGGCGTCATGTTTGAGCTTCCCAGCGTGATTGTGCGGGAGCTTCATGGCGGGAGTACAAGAGGACGAGATGCAGTGCTGCCTTGTTTGGCGCTCACATGAGCGCTCACTCAGACCATGCCGCTTTAACACCACCTACTACGTAGTAGGTACCTGCTCGCGACTCACTATTACTAGTAGTGATACAGCATTTCATCCACATTTCAAGTTCGACACATGCCCGACTACTGCTACTCACCATGAATGTGCACGGGCCAATTCGTCGAAAGAGAGATCGGGAAATACGATCCTGTCTGTCTTGTCACCGGAGAAAAGTCAAATGTGATGGAGCTGAGCCTTGTCGCAGGTGTCGGACAGTTGAGCGAATAAATGACTGCCATTACATGAACGCTGGCAAAACCACGGCAGGCCCCCTTAACCCTAGCACCGACAGCCATCCCTTATTGTCAGATGGATTACTACCGGCAAACTCAGACAGAGACGATACTAGAACAGAAATTCAAGGACTTAATCATACTGGCCCATCATGCCCAAACCTCACCTTCCTGACTGATACACGCGTATCCAAACAAGAACATGCTTCCATCTTGAAGGAGCCCGAACAGAAGATACATGTGGTGAGTTAATCACCCAATCAGTGAGGAACGTCTTGCTGGAAAGAACTTCAGATCACGTTACAAATATATTTTCGTCGCGTCCTACTGGCTGAAAATGCCCCTAAGGCCCGGCTCGATACGGAGGGACGTGACACTTGATCCGCCTTCTGCTCGATGCTTCTGGAGAACAGAAGCTATACTTTGCTTGATGGCAACCCAAAGTCATGAATTTCGAAGACCGCATTATCCCACTCAGACACGCCATGTCCGCTGCCGGGCGATCTGCGTCCTTGCCACCAGGATCAAAGCAGCATCCGCCAGAACAACACTTCCACTGAAGATGGCGGCTTCATTATATCCTTTATACCGTGCAATCATGGCGTCTGTGATAGGTGTTCCTGTGAGGCCTGCAACACTGTACAGTCCCAGTCTGACTACCTGTCCCTGCTATACGACTCACAGGCTACCACCTATACTCTGTATGTCGCTCGAACTTGTCGAGTCGAGGTCTGACCGAAATGACTGCACACCGATAGCCATCTTGCCACACTCATTCAGAGACGTGATCACATCCACTAACACCTCCCAAATCTGACCATTGGCAAGCATTGCAAAGTCCCAGACCCACACGGAGGCCTCTCTTGACTATCAAATCTGATTTCCGCTCCGTCGCCTCGCTTCTTAATTCCAGGCGCCAAGTAGGTATGGGCTCATGTACCCTCCCCGGATACCTGGTAATGATATCCGTAATCGTGGCACGGATTTGACAGGGTGAAGGCAACGGGATCGAAAGTCGGATCCAACTGACCAGTCTGGAGCTGGTATTGGTGGGACGAGAACGGATATTCGAAGGGCATGATATTGACGTCCCAGTCCCATCCGCACCCCAACCCCACATTTGGGCTCTGGCTCAGGTCAGAGTGTCGTGGTAAGGTGAAGTCGACAGCAGTGTCACCCATGCCGTCCAGAGAGGCGAACGTTGATTCTAGGTTTCCATCGATCCAGCCTTCACTGTCGACATGGCTCCCTTGAGACGGCAGTAATAAGGGCCCAGCCCAGAATTTCTCCGCATCCGCATCCATAGCCATATCCCAGGCTAAGGTGCGCTGTTTCTGCTGCTGGCTTGGTTGCGTATCGGTGTCGCCATTCCCATTCCCATTGCCACTGCCACTGCCAGTATGGTGCCGCGTTACATTTAAGTCGGTGGTGGACAGTGATACCGAAGGGGACTCCGACGCTGGTTCGGGGTCCATGGTCTGCCTCTCGGACCAAATCCAATCTGGCGGCTTCTTATCCACGGTCAGAAATATGCATGGTCGGTTCTTCCGTCGACAACTCAGACATTTATCCTGCTCTCTGCGCTGCGTCAGAAGACATCTCGTTTTGCTTCTGCGGCAGCCCACGCAGGCGATCGAGGCGCGGTAGTAGCCGAGTTTGGAACCCCGTGACGGAGGCGGCTGGCGAGGGTGCGACGATGAAAGCATGTGAGTCCAATGGTATCAAGAACCTAGATACTTGATCCTTTGGACGTGAAGCAGTAGTGGTGTAGTGGTAATGTAATGGTAGTGGTCTCTGATAGTCACGTAGAACTGAGGGCAAGAAGGGCGACGTCGGGCCGAGGTCCTTATCTACCTAGATAAATGCTTATCACTGCACTGGGACGAGACTTGGACCCACTCATCTATCGAGGAGGGGTGCATACAAATACGCACTATGGGAGGTACCTGGTTTCACAACGATTGATATGGCAAGGACATACTCATAGTAAATGCGATGGTACAATGGACCTTGAATACGTTTACCCGCGCTCACACGCTACAGGATCAAATGGCTAGCTATGCGAGGTGCATAGCACAAACATGCCTATGTACTCGTACACCGGCCGAGGCGTCTGTACAATCTGGCACCAAGGTGGGAAAGGGACACGTCCTCAGGTGGTCCAAATACCAGATACCTAAAGATACTAGGCCATGCTCTTGTCAGGAATCACAGTCTCCTTTCCATCCACACTGCCGCCATCCGCGGCAGCTCTTCCTTCCAGCCGGGCATCGTCTTGGACATGCTTTGGCACAATGACCGTGTCCTCGTGGAAATAGTTCGTATCACTGACGTAGAAGATGGTGACCACGTACAGAAAGACAATTCCAACGAAGTAACATGCAAACTGAAAAGACAGCTGAGTGATGTACGTCCCTCCGTTGCCGTCGATGATAAAACTGAACATCATGCCCAGCGCGGTCGTTCCTCGGAAGCACGACGCTCGACGTGCGAGGCGCTCTGGATCGTTGGTTAACGTACAGATCACGTACTGTGTTGCTATTTGGTAGATGCTGCATTCAGATGGTGTCAGTAAGAACGCGACAACTGTCGACATCGTTGGGCGGTTGGAAGTTGGAACAAAACTCGGGCTGGCTTACCTGTACACACTTCCGTAGATGACATAGATGACAAACGCTCCGGCGAATTCAGAGTCAGTCCAATCGACAGACGGTCCAGCTTCACTGCGATGGAGGTGGTGTTCGGCAAGCCATGCAGCCTCAGCGGCACAAATGCCAAGGGTGACCGCGCTCATCACAGAGATGCCAATCAGAGCCCTTGTCTTCCGTCGTCCGAAACGAGGGTTGTCGAGGATGTAAGTCATGGCCATACTAGCCGGCAACTGGATGAAGTTGAACATTACGTTATTGAGGGAGCGAGTGCGGAGATTGAAGTAGTAGCCGTTGAGAGAGCTCTGGAGGGCCAAGGCCATCTCAGCGACGAAGATGGCCGGCAGCAGCATCATGAACTTGAAGTCTCTGATCATCTCGAGAATCCCGGCCAGCTCGCTTTTCAATGTTGGGTTCTTGAATATGGCAATTTTGGTGCCGTCGCTGCGCACCACCTTGGCCGGTCGCACAAGCAGTGTCAGAGCCAGAACCATGGCAAGGACCTGGATGACGACAAAGACGATGTACACTGGAGTTGGCGCGCCAGCATCCTGCCGCGAGCTGTGCATGTTGATGCCCAGGGCCACCAGAGCCGCGATGGTCGAGCCACCTATTACCGCGTGGGTTGTCAATAACGAATATCAAGAACCATTCCAACAGTGCTATATAGATGAATCAAGACGCGGCTGGGGCAGAACTGCTCACCTTCACACATGCACCATTGTATCGTCACAAATAAAGCTTTGTCCTTCTCTTCGGCATACGAATACGCGATTGCACCGGCAGAAGCCCAGAGAAGTGCAGCCGATACTCCTTCAATGCCTCCACCCATATATGCCAGCCAGGAGTTGCCGCTTCGGTCGAAGTACCAGAGACCACCTGCCACCCAGCATGCTCTGTTAGACAGATGAGGACGGCGAGCAATATCATGTGCCACAACTCACCGGTGTATAGACTGTAGCCTATCGACCCAAGAAATACAGTGTAGTTGGGACCGATCAGATTCATCACAGACCCGGCAAACCATCCGGTCACGAAGAAGACACCATACAGGATGGCATTCACGTTCGCAGCCACCGTCTGAGACGACGGTTTCCCTCCACCGGCCCCGAGACCTGTCAGAGCCAGGTAGATGCCAGGGAGACATAGGAGCATCAAACTAGATCAACCATGTTAGTCCTCGAGGTGAGAATACGGCGTACATTATGCATTCATGCATATTGCTGCTGCAGAGAGAGGGTGGCATAGAACAGGCTTACCCGGCGATCAGATTCTGGATGAAGGGGTGATTCAGGCGCAAGTCTGCTCTCTTGAGCCCCATTTTGACGCAGGTTGTAACTTGTTAGATATTGTGTAGAAATATAGCAGTCTTCTTGCGAGTCAGATGATCGTGTCGACACAGCGGCAGGCAATGCCTCCTCCTGGGGGTGAACATGGAACAAGTAGCCCTTATATACACGACTTACCGATTAACCAAGTAGCACGCCGACAGTGCTATGGTATCGGAAGGCATGAGGGCATCAAATCATCATGTCTCTCTCCATTACCACCATCAAGCGACAAAGGTAAGCGACCATGTTGATCTACGTCTCCATTTCGGCACTGTATCAGCCAACTATGCAAAAACGGGTCAGATGCAATTCAAGATGACAGGTAAGATATGCGGAGAAAGGCGACCAGAAACTACAAAGACTTGGAGAAGAAGAGGTCGTGCAGAGCATTTTGGGGAGCTGTTGCTACGGAGTACACGTTAGTCTGTCGGCACTGTATCTCTCGGTCTCAGACTAAATAAAGTGGGCATCGGGACTGTATCTATAGCCAATTACGGCACGGTTACGGTTATCAAGGGGCCCGCCCTCATGTGCCCCTCCGTATCCGGCTCGCGACGCAAAATACACCGAGAAAGGCTGTGGGGGAAATCCAGTGCAAATTGCAATTGAGAAATGCTTCGTTGGCCGAAGATGGATTTGGGAGTGGCCAGTAGTCACCGCTGATCGCAGTGGAGTGGTTTGATCCGCTACTAAGAGGGTGGAAGAGGTACACACTACACAGTCCATTATGCGACTTAGGTTCTACCGACAATATAAAGGAAAGTGGCAGGTACGTTTTTCATTTTATCTATAACCATCATGTGTATACCTGGTACATAAGCAAGAGGGCGAAGACAATGAATTCAATACGTTCACCCTTTCCAGTCTTCCACAGCACACTGCTGGCATTGTCGAGAAATGCTTGCAGACGTGCCGTCCGAAGACAATGCCGTCAAAACGTCCTTCAAGTCCGATCGTTTACAGCGAACCCACGACTCGCCGCTGGCTCGACCCTGACCGTCAACCAGCAAAGACTGTGGGACACTCTGCACCACACAGCACAATGGGGCGCAACCCCCGAAGGAGGTGTGCGCCGCCTGACTCTCACACAAGAAGACAAGGCCGTGCGCGACTGGTTCGTTGACACGGTGCAGCAGTACGGGGCGAAGGTCAAGATCGATGAGATGGGCAACCTCTTCGCCGTCCGACCGGGCCAAAATAATAGCCTTGCTCCCATCGGCATCGGATCCCATCTGGACACGCAGCCCGCGGGAGGGAGGTACGACGGCATTCTCGGGGTTCAAGCAGGAATCGAAATCCTGAAGGTGCTGCAAGAGAATGAGTATACCACGTACGCCCCCATCGCTGTGATCAATTGGACGAACGAAGAAGGCGCCCGATTCAACACCGGTATGCTATCCAGCGCCGTCTGGGCGGGCAAGGTGTCACTGGAAGACGCGTACAACCACACAGACTCGGACGGCTTGCGGTTAGAAGACGAGCTCAAGAACATCGGATACCTTGGGCCCATCAAGGCCAGTCACACCGTCAATCCGCTGTCGGCCCATTTCGAATACCATATCGAGCAAGGCCCTGTGCTGGAAGACGAGGGCAAATCCGTCGGTGTCGTGACTGGAGTCCAAGGAATGACTTGGCTCATGGTGACCGTGAACGGCCGATGTCAGCACTGTGGCACCACGCCGATTGATCGACGAGCCGACGCCCTCCTGGCGGCAGCGCAGATGATTTCACGCATCAATACCATCGCCTGGGAAAATAAGGGCTTGACCACTGTCGGAGTTATCAATTCCGAACCACAGTCCCCTGGCACGATCCCCGGAACGGTCACTTTCAGCGTCGACATCGAACACCTCTCCAACGACACTATGGACAAAATGGCCCAGATCGTCCAGGAAGCGTGTGCTTCAATTGCACAAAGTCAGGGCTGCACAGTCGACATCAAGCAGATCTGGAGGAGTGCTGCTGTCGAGTTCCACAAGGACTGTGTTGACGCTGTGCGGTCGTCGGCCATTGAGCTCGTAGGCAAGGACGGGTACAGAGAACTCCCAGCTGGGGCGGGCCACGACAGCGTGAATACTTCGTACACTTGTCCCACCTCAATGGTGTTTATTCCGTCAAAGGATGGTATCTCGCACCACCCAAGTGAATATTCGACTCCTGAACATTGGTGGGTGACCATTGTCTTGCAAACTCCTCCGATATCATATCGTATTGTGCTAACAAATGATTTTTGCCAGTGCACTTGGAACACAGGTGCTGTTAAATGCTGTACTGCGATACGACCAGCGTCTGAGGGCAAAGTCGAGCTGAGACCCAAAATTCAGACAAAGGGACTTCTGTTCAAGGTCAGGCTCGAGTATTGGTCACATCCTGCAAAAATCGGTGTCTCAAAAACCATATTAGTGACTCACGTACGTTCAGGAGCAATCCTTGGCCATGCGAATGCTGTCGCAACTCATTATGCAGCCCGCTGGCGACCGTATAGACTATGCAGATCGCTCGGTCGTAGTGAGTCAAGCTTGCTCATGCTGTTGACGGGGCCCACGGGGAATGAGCATCAATGGAGACAGCCATGATGCATGTCGCGGCAATTCCTCACACGGTTTCTCTTATATGGCGCTTACCTCGTTCCAATCGTGCTACACCTCTTTCTTGCTGCCACCCTGTGGCATGTCGACCCCTGTCGTTGGACTCTGGCCGAGTATTATGACTGTGTGACTCATAACACCCAACACCTCCTTCTCCATTGCCGGTTCAGTGTTGTCCACCGATTCAACGTCAGAAACATCAGCCTTGAACAAATATACGCGTGCTTCTCAGAGACGGTGATCCTCCGTCCTCGCTTCTAGATCTTCTGCAGCTCGTTTCCAAGAAGTCAGTAACCCGGCCTCTGTCCACGTCGCATAGACTTCCCAGGAAAGCTTTCAGAAAGGATGACCGCAGACAGGCTGCCGTGCAAAACACGTGCACGACAACTAGTAGAGGCTCTTTCCATTTCGCCAAAGCGATGGTAGACAGAATTGTGGCTGGGAGCACTGCTGCAATGCCAGGGCGGCTGGGGAAATAGCATGGTACAGCCTAGCCTAGACAATGGGTAGTTCGGGTCGTCACAAGTCGGGTTCCGCGCTCCGCCAAGTCAAAAGCATCGTTTGCTCCCGTGCCCGGGTAGCACGTTTCAAGCGATGAACGGGCGTCCACATTTCCCAGCAGAGGAAGGTATTCAAGAGCGTTCAGCCCTCCAGCCTCTTAATTAATTTCCGACATGCATATGATCTTTCCCCATCAGATCTCTGCTTCGTCCGTAGATGTGGGCACCCATGTCCGTAGTGAAGTAAAAAAAAACCAAATTCCGCATAAGATCGCGGTCATGCATAGGTTGACCTGGTTCATCGCTGTAGAACCCAGAAGTAACAGAAAGAATGCTGGGATGAATAGCCTTAGGTTGAGATTAGATCCGGAGAAGTTGTTGATGTAGGTGTCATAGATGTCCAGATAGGGACTAGCTTCCGTCTCCGCAGCCTAAACTTTAGCTGAGCTTATTTTATCTACAGAATTTACCATCAACTGTGGTACAAGCAACAACCATGCCACTCTGCCACCATATCTACCAAGGTAGGTAGGTATGTACCTACCTCAAGCGATGCTGTCAGGCAGCCCACCAGCAACATCAGTCACTTTAATTGAAAGTGGTAATGATCAAATGCCGTAGCTGCAAGGATATACCTGTCCACCCGTCCAGGGAGACGTATTCGGTAAGTCCTCTAACGCAGGAACAGCACACAGGAAAGGGAAGCATTCTTCCTGACTGGGAAGCTCGGACATGCTAGATCCTTGTCGTCTCCTTCGGCTTGCAGATCGACTCTTTCATTGTCCGGTAAAGTGATGAGGTTCAAATCTACTAGGGCTCTACATCACCATGTCAATGAAGGGTCATCCAGGTAAAACAATCATTGTTTTCCGGAGTTGAATCCTTCGCTGCAACCTGCACGCTATATACTATATATAAGGAACATGCCCAGAACATACATTCACTCTCAAAATGACAACGGCGTCTGTCAGCAAATTCAAGCTGCATACACAGTGAAGGAGCAGTTCACTTGCAAATTCACTTCGTACCTGTGAAGTCATATGTACGTCTGAGATTTGTTATCCTCCTAAACTATTTCTGTTTTTCAAAAATCTTCCAAACAATCTTTGAACAATACAGCTCTCAGAATCCGACCTCGAGTTCATCAACGTCACATTGCAGAACCAACCATCTGAACCCGCGTCAAGATGCATACCTCATTTCTGGTAACCGTGCTGGCCTTGGCCGCTAGTGTCATTGCCCAGCCTTGGAGCCACTGGCCCGGCAAACACACCTGCCTCAATGACACTGGAGTCGCATACCTTGTCCAAGGCTACACCTACCTTCTCGAGAAACCCGGCGGTCCTGACTTCAACGCTACTGCAAATGCAATCCTCTCTGACAAGTTCTTCGTCTTGTCCGATTCGATCAACTCTCTTTCCGGCAGACCTGTAAGTGCAACAAATTCTACATCCTGTAATGCAGCAGCTTGTCGTTCCTCCCGTCATGGCGGAGCTGGGAGCCTTGGACTCCTCTTTCGGGGCGCTGTTTAACCATTCCCATATACCCGTGGAATGTGATGATCTGACTAATCGTGGCGAAATTACAGCTCGGATCACCCGCCTACCCCAGCAAGCAAGGATTTATCGCCTCTCAGTCCCTGACTCCTCCGCTCCCGGTCGTGGCTACCCTCGGCACCTTCTACAACTGCGCCAGCGTCTCCTGGAGATGGAACGCCTCTGGCATCGGCAGCAATCAGTATGAAATCAAAGGGATCATCAACTTCGATGTCAACGTGACGACTCTTCAAATCGACGCTGTTTACTCGGAATTCAATACTGCCGCATTCCTACAAGACTTGGGCAGTCCTGAATGCCAGCAGAAGTAAGAAAGCCACAGCGGAGATGTCTATCCTCCAACTCAGGAAAGTCTCAACAACACTCCGGACGGGTCTGTTCTCCCAAAATCCATAGAACTAGACAGCAGTTGGACCGCGTTGCGCCACACAGTGGCTCATAGAATCAACAGCGGTATGGTGCGTTTACAAAATTCTCATAAAATACATCTGAATCAATTCTTTTGAGATTGTTTTCACCCTAGATCTTGAACTGTCGCCCATGGTGAAGGGAGGTGAGATAAGGGACTGGCAGTGAAGATAGAACTTGAAGCTGTAAGAAGTTGTGGTTGAACATGTATTTGATTGTCTGGCTATGTTTACCCTGCCACACCTTGGGACCACCACCGCTGTTGGATGTCCAACGACGGCAATACAGGTCTGACGGCTTAAAGGCGTCCAGCCTCCTCGCCATTCTCAGCAATGACGACCGCGACTTTCGTGCACTCATCCAGATCCTCCTTCGGCAAGCCCAGTAGGTCATTGTGCAAGCCTTTCCTGGCCTCATAATTGCCACATCCATCCGGATAAAAGTCCCTCGCATAAAGCAGTTTCGTAAACCCCTTGAACACATCGCCCGCCTTCATCTCCTCCACCCCCTCCTTGTACCGCTCCTCGACATCCTGGTACTTGATTGTCCAATCTTTCTCACTCGTCCCCGTGACGCGAAGAACACTGGCAAACATATCGCGCTGACTGACCAAGAACGACGAGACATAGACGAACCCATTCTTGAACTGGGAAAGCGTCGGGGCCTTGTCCGCTTCATCTTCGGGCAACACCTTCAGACTGAAGACGGCCGCCGCAGCACGCCCGCACTGTTGCCAAGTGCTGGTGTTGATCTTGGTGTTTCCGTCGTCGTAGAAAGTCACCTCCCGGCCCGGGATGTCGAACCCATAACGATACTTCAAGCCCCCGAGGCTGAATTCATACCAGAACCCAACGACCAGCGAAATGAAGCTGCTCTTTCCTAGACTGGTGATCAGGTTGCGCGCTTTCTCTCGGGGCTCGCCTATAAGCGATTCTTTCGCCAAATCTTTCATTGACGGGTCCAGGCCCCATTCGTTCGGCATGACCCACGGCACGCCGGCGTCGGCGGCGGCTTGGATCAGTTTCGCTTCCTGGTCGGGAGGTGCCATGACTGACATGGTGATGATGAGCGCGTCTTGGCCGCGCAGGGCGTCAACCAGCGATGACGGGTCATCGTAGCTGATGTGTTTGACTAGAATGTCGGCGGGCAATTTGCTGGTGCTTTCGGGCCGTGAGAGCGCTGTGACTTTGTGCTTTTTTGTCTTGAGCAGTTCATGCGCCACGAAGGCTCCGACGCGACCACCTGCCTGCAAACCAGAGAAGAGGGTCAGTAAGAGTCGGTGACGACAAAAAGTGGTCAAAGTCAGAGTTGCTGGTGTAGTGGTGGGGTCATGGAAATCGGATCATGCCAAGTTGGATTGCCATGTCAATTGACTGTCACTTACCCCAACGATGGCGATGTTTTCCACGTAGTTCTTGAAGCCTTGCGGCTGGTCCTTTGCATATTGCTGTGACATGATGGAACGTTTCGAAGTTTTTTGAAATTGGAAGGGAGATCGGATCCAAGTATGTTCTTGAACAGAAGGTCTGATCACAACTTGAATTGTGGTGGCTGCGTATCTGAAGTTAAGTCTGAAGAGCATGATGGTAAAACCCAGAAGGGAGACCAACTTGGGGACCTGCCATATTTATGTCTTCGATGAAGCTTAAAAGAACCTACCAGAAAGGCCCGCTCTGGGCGTCATTAGGTCCGAGGTCGTTTCATTACGACCGAGAATGCATCCAGCCTGTTGTCTCAATTGTCGCAAGTGTAGAAAGCTTTCAAAGTGTCTCCCTGATGCGATATCATTGCGAACGGAAAGGGAATAGCGCGGTCTGGGAATACGAAAATTGGTTAGCGTCGATCGGGGTGGGGAAACAGGGCTCCGGTTCCTCGGCGACTTGTAACGTTCAAGTTCGCAATACATCGGACAAAAAGGACAAAGAGTTGTTATGTCCGATCCCGAGTCTGGGAGGCTTTGCAGCTGGGGACCATCACGCGATCTGCGCTGGTGTCAACAGGAGAAGCCTGACGACACACACGGCCGCCGGAGGGACGCATGGACGTTTCTGTGTTGTGTGAGGTATGATGCCTGTATATCCGGTGTTGGCTTACCCAACTTGAATGCTTTCCCACACCGGGAGGTTCATATACCGAGGCCGAAGCTGTCACGTGAATGTCCATGCTGCTGAACTCGGAGTATCCCGCATCGCTCTTGATCTCCATCTGCGCTCTCTAGAGTGCTACTGTTTAGCGGAAGGTGTCCTGTCTACCCTAAGGGAGCTGGTCTTGTTACAATCATCTTCTTCCCCAATTCCGTGTATGCTCCGAGAAAGTGTGAGTTGTATGGTTACTATCGAGCATCAAGGCTCGGCCAGAGATTGGTGGGTGTAGGGAAGCGGAGGATGTTGCTGTGGAAGTGTGAATATCGCTTGCATGCGCGACTGTGGGACAAAATGAAGTGGGAGGCTGGACATATCTCCACTCAACCAAGTGTTATGACAACTGCAGCAGGATCGGAGGGAGACAACTATGAGCCTTGGGCTCTATCAGCCATTGAACCGTGCATGCACCGTCGCAGCAGGCTCTGTACGCCTTTTCTATCATGCCAGCACAGAAGGAAGAGGCATACCATGAGTGTGGAGCATTCAGAAGTGGGCATCCCTGGGCCTAGACGGTGTCTGCATCTTTGCCCACAGCAAGTCGACTTCACCTTACAGGAAATCGATCACGCACTGACTCACCCAGGACCACACCAGATGGAAAGTCCAGAGTCCTGGACACAAGCAGCGGCAGTTCTCCTTATTGGTCACTAAGGCGAGTTCTGATTTCCCGACTGTGATCGAAAACCTCTCTTCATTTCGCGATCAACCCTCCATCGACCACAATACTCGTCCCACAGACGAAGTCACTTGCTTTACTCGCCAGAAAGATGATCGCTCCACGGAAATCTTCAGGAAGTCCCCACCTCTCAGCTGGCGTCCTCCCAATGATATATCTGGTATACTCGGGATCATCTGTGTATACCTTTGTCATTGCAGTTTTGATGTATCTGTGTCGCGAACACGAAGTTAGTATCCTGTTACCACAGCTGATTAATACTCAAGGAGGTGAGTTTTACCCAGGACAGATGCAGTTGACATTGATTCCCTTCGAGGCCCACTCGTTGCTCATTGCCTTGGTCATCTGCAACACGCCGCCCTTAGTGCAGGCGTATGCGGCGATGTTGATGTTCGCGATAAACGAGATGATTGAGGCAATGTTGATGATTTTGCCCGGCCGTTTCAACTCAAGCAACTTCCGGCCCACCTCCTGGGCTGCCACGAAGGACGCCTTGAGATTGATTTGGAACACCTAAGATTCCAGAAAGTCAGTATTGACGGAGACTCTCTGTGATACATTGTCCGGTCGGTCAACACGCATGGGGGACTTGTACCGCGTCAATGTCCTCGTCCGTGAAATCCTCCACCTTGGATCGTCTATTGATGCCTGCACAGTTGAGCAGGATGTCGGGCACAATACCGCTGGCCCAGATCCTTGCGAAACAAGCCCTCAACCCTGCTGAATCTGCGACATCAGCCTCGAACACAGACAGCTTCCGTCCACAAGTCTGGACCCCTTCTTCCAACAACGATGCTCTTGGGTCATCTTTCATCTGTATCGAAACGATATCCGCCCCTGCTTCTGCCAGTGCAATGGCCATCGACAAACCCAATCCCCCAGTGCCGCCTGTGCAGATTGCTGTTTTGCCCTGGAGAGAGAACAACTCGGAGACTGAGGGCAGGGTACCTTCGCCCATCTGATTTGCCGACGCCATGTTGATCCTATACCTGATTGATGTCCAAAGGCTTGTGAAGGGAACATGTCCCTCTGAGCCTAGCCCTCGGCGTCAAGGTATGCACTGGGACTTGTGTATATCGGATCAATGTCCTGTAGCAACGAACATAACATTTAGTCGACGAAGGAGTTACCTCCACAAGTCCTTTGTCTCTCCACAACCGAGGTGTGAGTCTCCCTTCGCGGTTCACCAATGATTGTGGCCGCTCGGTTTCTTCAGCCTTTCCCCCGCAAAACCCATCGGTGTGGGCAAAGGTGGAGTACCATGGTTCCATGTACTCTCCTTCAACAGAAGTAAACGACTGATTTGCCCTTCGCGATCACTGTGTGGTCTTGGGCAATCCCAGCTCTCTTTGCATCACCCCGCTCCTAGCTATATCGCTGGCAGCAGCGAGGATTACTGTGTCCTGCTGGGACGACCTGCGTGTCAAGATATACAGCTTCACTGGAACGCCATTATTGAGACTGACTGGGGACCAGTCCTTGTTCTTGTCCTTGTCCTGCGGCAGGTCAGCACACTCATTTTGCCGACTGCCACTGTGAGACTCGGCTAGTCGGACTGTGAACGACACAACCAATCTTAAGTTTTGTTCGCAACTGGCAATCTCATAGTCTGGGTAATCAAGCTCTTCGCAAAAGTCCTAGCCCAGGGCATATCAGAGCAATGGAGAAGGTGCTTGGAATCATCCTCTTGAGGTTTGATTTGCTATACGGGTATTCTCTCGTATCGCAGGAAGTCATGCAAATCACCAGACCTGCAATTACTCGCGAGACGGCGAGAGGTCAGCTGAAGGTAAAGCCAGAAGACATGTATGACAAACCCAATGACGCGATCATGGAAACTGAAAACGGTTCAAGGCGTGATTGTACAAAACTTCCTGTTCAGACCGATACATTACAAGCTAATCTCCCCCTTCCACATGGCATCGTTGAGTCCAAGCTTGTCCATGATGTTCTGCCACCTCGCTCCACCTCTATCCCGGCGTCTCAAGTACGCCATCAACTTCTGTCTCTTGTGTACCATAAGCCTCAGGTTGCGCTTGTTACTTTTATCTTTCTTGTGCAAGTTGTCCGCAAGAACGTTGATTTTCGTCGTCAGGATGGCAATTTGCACTTCTGGCGATCCAGTATCTTGTCCTATCCGTTTTGGAATCTCGACTGCAGCGTTCTCAGCGCTCGAAGACGGCGATGGGGCCCGTTTGCTCAGTAGTCTCGGTGGTAGGAGCTTGTCTGTGTTGTGACGCCCGAACTCCCCTATACACCTCTGCACGTTCGCCCGGGTCCGGTCTTTGCTGCTCCCGCTCTCCAATGATGTAATGGCCAGCAGAGCCTTTGTGGCGTTCTCGTGGGAGTCAGCATGCTCTTTAATCCTTTCCGCGAGGTTGTCGTTGGCCCCGGGAAGCTGGTTCGACTCAGGGAGAGGCTCAGTCAGCCATCTGGAGTATTCCAACGTTTGTTTGAGTTCTTCTTGTTTTAACAAGTAATTCAGGTATGATTCTTTGACCGTCTCTAGCGAAGCAGGTGAATGTAAAGATTCGATGAAAGGCGTCGGTCGTGACCGGACCGGATCGCCCAGTGCCAGTTTTCGTTCCGCATTCAATACTTTCTGTCGGGCTAGATTGGCAGCCTTGCGTTGTCGAGCTTGAGCCAACCGGTATGGGTCAATATGTCGTCGTGCTTTGCGCTTTCTAGAAGAGGCCTTAGCCTCCAGCGCGGGCGTCGTCGAAAATAGACATGTCGAGCATTTTGTAAAGGCTTGACTGCGGACTGCAGATGGCAAGCTTTGGAGGAGGCCGGTCACTGCATCGGGGTCAGCCACATTGTTTGGAAGAACAGAATACACATACAGTTGAATACACTGCTCCCCACCGCTGAGGATGCGCGCGGAGGCATTGTTGATGATGTGTGATAGAAAAGTGTCCGGTCGTGCTCCTGATCGCAGCTTTCTCATTGCGACGGGTCCCGACTAACTCTGGTCTTCGCGGAAAAGTAGCTCCGATCCCGAGACAACGCTAACCCAAAATAAATCTCCGCATGAGCAAAATCTTGGCATGCCCTAACTTCCACTTTCGAGTCGGCCTATGAATCGATCGTCTATAGTACAACTGCTCTTCAACCTCAATCCTTCTTCGCTTCGTCCACGCTCGCTCTCACTTCCACAACTCGCCCTCGACCTCACATTACTTTCCTCCGGTCGCAAACATGGCGAGCCCAGCAAACCTCCCTCCTATTTTCAACCCCACGTCCCAGGACATTGAGATGCTCCTGGCGGCACAATGTCACTTGGGATCCAAGAACCTGCAGGTTCACATGGAACCGTACCTGTGGAAGACTCGCCCTGATGGTATCAATGTGATTAACATCGCTAAGACCTGGTACGAGATTCTCCACAGATTTGTCGCTCATATTCCTGGCAAGACGGCCGGCGACTGCAAGGAGGCGTTCAAGAACAACTGTACTAACTTTGCTGGCGCAGGGAGAAAATTGTCCTCGCAGCCCGTATCATTGTCGCAATTGACAACCCGGCCGACATCTGTGTCATTTCTGCCCGTCCCTATGGCCAGCGTGCAGTCCTGAAGTTCGCCGCCCACACCGGAGCCGTTGCCATTGCCGGTCGTTTCACCCCCGGTAACTTCACCAACTACATCACCCGCTCTTTCAAGGAGCCACGCCTGATCATTGTCACCGACCCTCGCACCGATGCTCAAGCCATCAAGGAAGCCTCATATGTCAACATCCCCGTCATCGCCCTCTGCGATACCGACTCTCCTACGGAATTCGTTGACGTTGCCATCCCAACCAACAACAAGGGTCGACACGCCATTGGTTTGATTTGGTGGTTGTTGGCTCGTGAGGTCCTCCGTCTGCGAGGGACTCTTGCCAACCGTGAGATCGACTGGGACGTTGTGGTTGATCTGTACTTCTACCGCGATCCTGAGGCTGAGGAACAGAAGGAGGAAGAGAAGCTGCCAGGTGCGGACGAGGCTGGACCGGGTGCCGTCGACCGTGGATTCACGGACAACGCGGACTGGGCTGGAGAGCCAGCTGCTGCTCCAGGCATCGAGGGCGCTCCTCAAGCTGACGCAACCTGGAACGAGCCGGCTACTGGGGGAGATTGGGCTCAGGAAGCTACTGCTGCTGCCCCTGCCGCCCCTGCCGCCCCTGCTGCCAGTGGTTGGTAAGAGCTGAATGGACGGTCAACGCGCAAACAAATGGTCACTGCTCTGCCAATCATCTTGCAACCTCTCGCGCCAGGAAAGACACACCGTTTTCAGCACATTCTCCAAAGAATGGGAATGTCCAAAAAATGTCAAAAGCTACAATCGTGCCATCAACCCCTGCCATTCCATTCCTGACGCCTATCCACAGGGCCAAAAGTCGATGGCACTCATGAGGGAAAGATACTCGACTGGGATCAGTTACTTTTCTCGGGAGAGGGAAAGCCCTGTGCTGGAGATGAAGGGATGTACTTAACCGTTGCCCAGCCCTGTGGATGATGATTCTGCTACTATTAGCGCGTGAAATGAGCTTTACGAGCATCGGTTGGGAAACGGCTCAGATAGAGTAATCGAAATGACGGAATCGTCAATCGGCTCTTGGCCTAGATCTTTTTTCGATCTGTTAAATCGTGACATCTGCCTCGGTGATGTGGAGTTTATACCTCTACCTTTGTTGAACAGCTTGTAGCAGCCCGTGTCATCTCGCAGCCTTGACTGGGTGCAGTCTGGTGGCACGTTGTACCTGCAACGGCCTCAATCAGCGCCCCGAACATCCCTATAGACGCCGCTCGGCACCATCCCCTGCGTCCAGACTTCGTTTCCCCGTCATTGTGAATTACTCTGCCATCATTGACCCTGACCCCTGCCTCCTGCGCTACGTGGCTCTTCTAGGAGCTACTACCATGGTGGTTCAAACGTGTAAATGCCTGATCTAAGGTAGACACAACTTCAAGCAAGGAACAAGGCTCTGGGGAAATCATATCGGGAATCTTTGCCGAAGAGCTGCGATTTGGTCAGGTGCAACAACGAATTTGTGCCGATGCTCGTCGAGTCCAAACCTGGCGGCACCTCCAGCGTTGCTCGAACTATCAACGGGGACCTAAATTACTTGTGTCATGTCGGAGGCAGCCGCCCTGTCATCGGCTGCTATCTCAACGATACGCGATGCCGTTCTGTGACTCCGTCCGCGTGTGAGCGCCATCAAGCTAAAGGCGAACTGGCCGCAATCTGACCCCTTGACAGAGGTGTCCCGACCTATGCTGGGGTGCCTTGCTGCCTGTTCTCCCGTTTCCTTTCGGATTTTTCTATCTTGAATCACAACTAGTTTACAGCAGGATGTCAGGTAGGTTGTTCCGTGACATGTACCAATTTTGCACATGCGTGGCGGCTCCGTTCGCGCGCCAGGACAATTGCCGATAAGAAGCAGCCGAGTCTATATATGAGACAATGCGTACCAACTTGCAGACCTTGAGGTGGTTGCACGCGACGGAATGATTGCGCCGCTTCGCGGCCACAATGGCTCATGGTGCACTGTATGTCGCACTCCTTTCTCGCTTCTGCCGACCCCTGGCGGCTCCTGGGCTAGGCGCCTCGACGCTGGGGGCCAAAATCGAGAATCTCAAGAATATGCAACCACGCCGTCTTGAAACATAGCGTCTTCCAGCCTTAGGCCTTGGTGTTTGCTTCCATATGGCATCTTACAGCATGTGCACAATTTTCATGTATCCCCAGGGATTTATGAAGGCCCTGGTTACAGTCAAGACAAGTCAACTGCCACCTAAGCCCGCTTACACTTGATATATAGAACAGCTCGTCTCCTCAATCCGCCCATCAGCTTTGCCATCAGATCCGGCAGAAAAAAGCCAACCAGTCTCGTCATGACCTGGGCACCCTGGCATGTCTTGCATAATTGGTCGCCTTTCAAGATCGATGCCCTTGGTCTCGTCACCTTACTCGGATCCGAGGAAGTCAACTCTGCCGTTGGCCGACTTGTCCGTAGCACCTATCTCGAGTACCTTCCATTGCTGGGCGCTTTTGTCATTGCGGGAGATCGGTTTACAGAGAAGGCAGCCGGCTTCAACCTCTACAACATCTCCCAGGGTATCCACACAACAGATCTCTCTGCATGGCTGACGCGGTGGATTTCTTCTCAGCATTTTGAGGTTACCCGCAGTTTTGTGGTCTGGAAGGTTACCCCACCTCGGTCTCGACGACACGATATCAGTGTGGCTATGACCATCAGCTTCATCCTCGTCGGTTTCCTCGTAGCTCTGGCCATCCTGTCCAGAGACTGGTATGGCTTTGCCAACGCCACAGCCATGATCGTTTCGATTTTGGTCCGTGCCTATGTCATCGGACAGCACCGTATAGCCATTGACGCTATGGTGCACGAAGTGGTGCTTAAATCCAACCCTGCTCCAACGGCAGGTCTCTACGAGGGCGAGAGATCAAACCACAAGTTTTTGAAAGCAAACAAAACAACAGTGAGAACGAGAAATCAAGCATCCGCTACCGTTGTCCCTGGTGGTGACGCACCAGAGCAAAGTGTTTCTTCGCTGAATGGTTCGATTATGAACAAGGCTTCCCCACGGCAGGTTCAGATTACACAACAGGGACAAACAGGAAGCGAGGAGATGACGAAGCCAGATCCGAAGAGATCGGAACTCAAGAACAGTTCTTTGTTCGGGAAACCCACAAAGGTACTCATCATTCAGCCGGACTCCAAAGCAGTGACCTTTTGGATGCCAGATGAGTTGTTACACCCGCCGTCGTTGTTCATAGAAGGACCTCTTCTCCAACATCCGCGGACATACCTGTATGTGAGATCTATCGGATGGCTGGCGTTTGGGGTGCACATCGTCACGATCGGCATGGCAGATTTGGCCAGTCAACTGTACACTGTTGTCTTGCTGGTACTACCTACTGTCCTGCTCGTGCTTAAGTTCGGCTGTGACGACTCGAACTGGAGATCCACCATAGATGTTTGGAGAGGGAGATCCGTCGACCGGGTTCGACACCACAAGATAGACGAGTCGAACGAGGTTGATGAGAATGCAAATTCGGGAGATTTTGTGAAGCAGCGCGAATGTTGGATCGGTTCACGGCTGAAAGCAGAAATCTACGATTGGCCGGCATCCTACGAATTCATCGAAGAGGGAGAAGGAGAAGACAAGAAATGGTTCAACCGTGTCCCCAAGGGCAAGCAGCGCTCAAGAAAGCGACAAGATCTTTACGCATGGCTTGCACTTACCGGCGATGAGGAAGAGAGCATGGACAAATGGGATCTCTTCCCTCATAGCCGCAACGGCAACCAGGAGTGGTGGAAGACGTACTCACTGAAACGGGATGCTTTACGGTGCAATGCAAATTTCGGACCGCAGCGTCTAGTTGTCACTCATTACGACCTGGACGAACGACAGAAAGGCCTTTCCCTCGATGCCATTGGGCAAGCACAGCGTGAGCCTCACTTACGCAAACTCGCCGCTCTTCAGGTTACTACCACAGCCTTTCCAGCGTCCAGCCATCATTGGGTACCGGTTTTTGGGTTGGAAGATACTGGGTTGGGTGATGTCTCGCCGCAGATGATCCCAGACAATGAGGCCAGACCGGTCTATGACGGCAATACAGTTTCGGGGTCTGTTTTAAGTAATAGTCAATCCGATGCCTCTACGCCCTTGATGAAGGACTAAAAGACCACATATGTAAGTCCTTACTGTTAAAGAATGGGACCATGCGTGGTCACGGTGGAAAGACGAAGCCACAACCTGGTGAGCGCAGTATGTTTGGAAAATGTATCGCTTTTTCATCTCCGCGCTCAGCAGGCAAGCAGGAATTTCATTGTCTGCATTCCAACTCCCGAACTGCCGTATGTTAGAAGTGCTTTAATGAGTCTATTGTTGGACGATGTTGCCCACTGGCACGCGCAGATGCCTTCGAAGCAGAGCGTTATACAATGACGAAACGAGCTAGCGGTGTTAAGTGGCAGTTGTCTGCCAATAGTGACAGTTCTTTCATGCAAGGCTGTAGATTGCCGCAAGCTAGTGGTGCCAAGCTCCTTAAAATGCCGCCAAGGCATAAAAGAAAATCGAAACGAGCTCCAGATTCGGACCCCGGCCTCAGTTAGAGTGGCATGCAACTCGGGTGTCGACTCTCTACATAATCATGCCGTTGGTCAACGGGAAGGGCGAAGACGTGCGGGTGAGTCTTCTAGGTAAAGAAAGCATCATCATCAATTTTGGTCTGTGGCGCAACCATGTCGCCTCAGATCTGCTCACCAATCTTGAGTCATCCACTTATGTCTTGATCACCGACACCAATATCAGCTCTATCTACACAGCCATTTTCCAGGAAGTTTTTGAGGCTGAAGCCAAGCGGAAAGCCAGTTCCCCTCGGCTTTTGGTCTACGAAATTCCACCCGGGGAAAGCTCCAAGTCTCGACAGACCAAAGATGATATTGAAGACTGGCTTCTGAGTCAAAGTCCGCCATGCGGCCGAGACACCGTGATCATTGCTCTCGGAGGTGGAGTTGTTGGCGACTTGACAGGATTTGTAGCCGCCACCTACATGCGTGGCGTTCGATTTGTCCAGGTCCCAACAACGCTGCTCGCAATGGTCGATTCCTCGATAGGAGGCAAGACGGCTATCGATACCCCCTTAGGCAAGAACCTCGTTGGAGCCATCTGGCAGCCGCAGAGGATTTATATCGACCTTGATTTCCTTGGGACTCTACCGCGACGGGAACTGATCAATGGCATGGCCGAGGTGATCAAGACTGCTGCCATTTCTGAGGAACAAGAATTCATCGCACTCGAAACCAATGCCCAACGCATCATGGCTGCAGTCAATGCCGACATCAGGCAAGGAGCTGCGAGGTTTAAGGATATTGAGTCGATTCTGATCAGAATCATAGCTGCATCAGCGCGATTCAAGGCGCATGTGGTCACGATCGACGAGAGAGAAAGTGGATTGCGCAACCTTCTGAATTTCGGCCACTCTATCGGACATGCCATCGAGGCTTTTCTGACCCCCCAAGTGCTTCACGGTGAATGTGTGGCCATCGGCATGGTGAAGGAAGCAGAACTTGCTCGGTTTCTGGGAGTGCTCAGTGGCGTGGCAGTGGGTCGTCTGCAGAAATGTCTGACCGCGTACGGGCTACCAACACGGATCGACGACGACAGAGTGCGCAAGCTGTCCGGCGGTAAAAGATGTACCGTCGACGGAATGCTCAAGAAAATGGGCGTGGACAAGAAAAACGACGGTGCAAAGAAGAAGGTTGTTCTCTTGTCAGCAATTGGCCGTACTTATGAGCAAAAAGCCAGCGTTGTGTCAGATTCTGATCTGCGTGTGGTACTTTCTCCAAGTGTGGAGGTAATTCCTGGCGTGCCCCGAGATCTGAATGCAGTTTGTGCGCCTCCAGGATCAAAAAGCATATCCAACCGAGCGCTGGTTCTGGCCGCGCTCGGCCAGGGTACATGCCGCGTCAAGAACCTGCTTACCTCTGCTGATACTGAGGTCATGCTGGATGCGCTTACCAGGTTAGGAGCTGCCACGTTTTCCTGGGAGGAAGACGGCGAGGTTCTGGTCGTGAACGGCAACGGTGGCCGCCTCCAAGCCAGTGCAACTGCACTTTACCTGGGTAATGCCGGAACGGCTGCTAGGTTTTTGACAACAGTTGCTACCTTGACAAGACAGGGGCCTGTGGCATCTACAATCCTCACCGGAAATGCTCGCATGAAACAACGACCAATTGGGGATCTTGTGGATGCCTTGAAGACGAATGGCGCTGAAATGGAATACCTTGAGACAACGGGGTGTCTCCCTCTCAACATTGCAGCCTCGGGCGGCTTCAACGGTGGCGAAATCAAGCTGGCTGCCAAAGTATCGTCACAATATGTTTCCTCACTGTTAATGTGTGCCCCTTACGCCAAGAAGCCGGTCACACTCAGACTTGTGGGTGGAAAGCCTGTTTCACAACCATACATCGACATGACCATCGCCATGATGGCGTCTTTCGGCGTCCAAGTGGAAAAGTCGAAGACGGAGGAACATACCTATCACATCCCGCAAGGTATCTACCGCAATCCTGAGGAATATGTTGTCGAAAGTGACGCAAGTTCCGCCACCTATCCATTGGCAATTGCTGCCATCACAGGCACGACCTGCACTATCCCGAACATTGGCTCGACGTCCTTACAGGGGGATTCACGTTTTGCGATGGATGTGCTGAGACCGATGGGTTGCGAGGTCAAACAGACGGAAACCTCAACGACAGTGACCGGTCCGCGAAACGGTACCCTAAAACCGTTACCGAACATCGACATGGAGCCTATGACCGATGCTTTCCTGACAGCCTCAGTACTAGCAGCCATCGCGCAGGGCACGCCGTCAAATACCACCCGAATTTATGGTATCGCCAACCAGCGAGTGAAGGAATGCAACCGTATACAGGCAATGGAAGACGAGCTCGCGAAATTGGGTGTCACTTGCCGACAGTTTGACGACGGTATTGAAGTGGACGGTATCGACCGAACTCAGCTACAGCAACCCCAAAGAGGTGTACACTGTTACGACGACCATCGCGTTGCAATGAGCTTCAGCGTCCTTGCTCTAGCTGCGCCGCAGCCTACTCTCATTTTGGAGAAAGAATGTACCGGAAAGACGTGGCCTGGTTGGTGGGACACAATGGCCAGAGTGTTCGGCGTCAAGCTCGAGGGCGTCGAATTAGACACAACTACGCACGTTACGACCAAGAAGCTGGACAGAAGCAAGGCATCTATGTTCATCATCGGCATGCGAGGTGCTGGCAAGACTACTTCAGGCCGATGGGCTGCACGGTCATTAGGCAAGAAGCTGATTGATCTCGACACTGAACTCGAGCTCCGAGAAGGCAAGACGATACCAGAGATCATTCAAGAGAACAGCTGGGAGCATTTCCGTGAGCGCGAACTGGCTCTTCTCAAGTCAGTCATGAAGGACATGTCGACAGGCTACGTGTTCGCCTGCGGCGGAGGTATAGTCGAGATGCCAGAAGCCCGCAAGTTATTGGTCGACTGGCACCAGAGTAAAGGTCATGTGCTTCTAGTCGAGCGGGACATCAGTCAAGTGATGGACTTCCTCCAGATCGACAAGACCAGACCTGCCTATGTCGAAGACATGATGGGCGTATGGCTCCGGAGAAGGCCTTGGTTCGAGCAATGCAGCAATCTCCTCTATTACAGCCAGAACATCCCCAACGAGCAGATGTCCGAGGCAGCCGAAGACTTCGACCGCTTCTTGCGAATGGCCACTGGCAAAATCGACGTTCTCTCCACCTTCAAGCAGAAAGCAGAGTCTTTCTTCGTGTCCCTGACATTCGAAGATCTGCAGCCCCATCTGAAGACCCTACCCGAGGTCTGCCTGGGTTCTGATGCGGTAGAACTGAGAGTGGACCTACTTATGGAACCAGAATCACAAAGCCCGATCCCCTCAACAGAATACGTGACAGCCCAACTGTCCCTGCTGCGAGCAACTGTCCCTCTCCCTGTGGTCTTCACCATCCGAACAAGCTCGCAGGGCGGCAAATTCCCTGACTCTGCTCACAGCGAGTACCTCAATTTATGTAGGCTTGCGATCCGAATGGGCTGCGAGTTCGTCGACGTGGAAGTGGCTTCGTTTCCCGAGTCGATCCTCAACACGATCCTCGACCTGAAGAACAATTCGTACAGCAAGCTCATCGCATCCCACCACGACCCTCAAGGCCGACTGTCGTGGTCCAAACCAGGCTCCTGGATCCCCATATACAACCGCTGCCTGCAGTACGGCGACGTCGTGAAACTGATCGGCGTGGCAAAGACGATCGACGACAACTTCTCCCTCCGCAGCTTCAAGCACTGGTCTGCGTCGCAGCAACCCGATCTGCCGCTGATCGCCATCAACATGGGCCGGGCGGGCCAAGCATCACGCATCCTCAACGGCTTCATGACCCCCGTGAGCCACCCGGCTTTACCATTCAAAGCCGCGCCAGGACAATTGTCCGCCACAGAGATCCGACAGGGTCTGACGCTGCTCGGCGAGATTGTCCCGAAACAGTTCTACCTCTTCGGCTCGCCCATCCAGGCCAGCAGGTCGCCGGCCCTGCACAACCGTCTCTTCCACGAAATGGGTCTGCCACATGTCTACTCGCTCTGCGAGACGACGTCGCTGGACGAGATCAAGGCCAGGATCCGGGCCGAAGATTTCGGCGGCGCCAGCGTCACCATTCCGCTCAAGCTCGACATCATGGCCCTACTGGACGAAGTGGACGCGGCCGCGAGGCTCATTGGCGCCGTGAACACGATTGTGCCAGTTGCTGACGCGCGCTCCGGCTCCACGAAACTTCTTGGCCGCAACACCGATTTCTTGGGCATGATGGACTGTCTGCGCGCCGCGGGCGCCTCCGCGGCCCTCGGTGACGGCGAGCAAGCCGGTCTTGTCATCGGTGGAGGCGGCACTGCGCGCGCAGCGATCCAAACTCTCCACAGCATGGGATACAAGCCGATCTACTTGATCGGTCGGAACCGGGGCAAGATGGACGAGCTGGCCGCTAGTTTCCCGCCCGTGTACGAGCTGGTGGTGCTCGACGCTGAGGCTGGAGCAGAGACGAAGTCCGGGGCCCAACAAGCGCTCCAGACCCAAATCCAGCACGCACCGCCCATCGTCGCAATCGCCACCATCCCAGCAAACATCCCCATCGATCCATCCCTCAGCAAAGCCCTGGCCGCCATCTTCGCAACACCCCTTCCCCCCATGACTTTACCCAAAGGCCAAGGCTCCCCGGCGCCGAAGCGTATCCTGCTCGAACTAGCGTACAAACCGGCCCATACAGCCGTTATGCAGATGGCTGAGAGTGTCGTCGGCAGCGACGCTTGGAAAACAGTCCAAGGCCTCGAGGTTCTAGTCGCGCAGGGCGAGTGGCAGTTTGAATACTGGACAGGTATCCGCGTCCGAGATCTCGGTAGACGGATTACGAGGGTAAGTCCTACATACCTAGCATGATCCCTTTCCCCTTTCTCAGCCCGTTGAAAGTCGTGCTCCCAAGGTCACCAGGTGTCGACTAACCATTTTGTATAGGAAGCAGTCATTGGTTTCAATGTGTGAGCTCGATTGGAATATCTATATCGATCAGCACCGATATCATGAAGCCCTTTGAGAAAAGCGACGCCTTGGTCGAGAGTGTCTTCGACGAAAGCGTCGTGTGATTTGTTGTGTCTTCTTTCGCAGTGAACTAGGAGGGAAAAGCAGGTAGAATTGACTTGGAAAAAAAGCGAGGAGTGACCCGAGAGTTTAAGGACGTAGGTTGTTCTCAAGGAGACAGATGAGCATTTCAGACAGGCGTAGCTTTTGTACTACCAGTATCAGGGCCCCTTTTCGCAGTAGAAGAGATAACTATCATCTCTAGGTAGGATTACAAGACCGGTTCCATACATCTCAGAGCGGACCCCATTGACGCCTTTGTTCAACTGGAGCAACACCAGGCTCTGCGAACATTACATTTCACGACCCTTGACGTCGTCTCTCTTCCTGCGCCTGCTTCTGCAAAGCGGCTGCTAGAGCTGGGTTACTAGCCCATGGCCCAGCATTGAAATTCGCCGGCGCTGCCATATGCTGCTGGTACCCTTGATTTTGTGGCTGTTGCTGCTGTTGCTGCTGTTGACCCGCCACCCAGCGCTGCTGGTATTGTTGCTGCTGTTGCTGGAAGTTGACAGCAAATGGCTGCGGGAAACCGGGCATGGTCTGTGGCATGAAAGGGAAATTGGCGGGAGGATTCGGGTTGAATCCATTGAAATTGAACTGGCCGTTGGGCAGGGGAGTGATTGGAGAAGGCGTCATCGGCGAGAACGGATTACCTTGCGGCGTGAGTGCTGGAGTTGGAGGGAGGTTGAGGTTCGGCATGGACATCTGCTGGGGGAAGCCATTGTTTCCAGGACGACCTCCACTTCCTCCTCCATTATTGTCGAAAGCCGCTTGTCTGGGTTGACCGAAACCACCACCACCATCATGACGGCCGCGAAACCCTCCTCTGCCGCCTCCGCGACCGCGACCTCTACCTCCACGGCCAAATAAATCCCCTCTTCCAGACCGCGGCGGCGGAGGCAACGGCGGTAATGAGTGGTGAGGCGGTCTGGATTCTTGAGGCTGCTCTCCTCGAGTGAGCAATTCTGTCAGATTTGCCGGTCTCTGCAACGGTGTATATCCTTCGTCGCCACCGTCCGCGACATCATCGTAGTTCATTTCGAGTGAGCCATTGCCGTAGGCGGCGGTACCGTTGTTGGTATTGTGGTTCTGATTCCCTCCACGACCGCCTCCGCGGTGAGACGCTCTGGAATGTCTCATCCCACCGCGCCCTCTGCCCGTCTCAATTGACCTACCCTGCCTCCTCGCCTTTACCTGGCGTTTATGTTCAGCTTCAGCTTCGTCGTCGGAAAACTCGATTTCGTCGTCGCCGACTTCCTCGTCATGGAAGTTCGACGCATCGCTGCCCTTGACGCCTTTCAGGGGTTGGGTGAAGACAAATGTTGAGTGCTGCGGGACATAGAACACAGTGGCCCCGGCAGCGGACAGGCCGACCTCGTTGATTTCGTCATCGTTGTTGAAGCGGATCGTATACCTGGGTTCTTCGACTCGTCCTATCAAGTCGGCGACCACTCCTACGACCGTTCTGTCGTGGAGACAAATCAACGATCCAGTCTCGAGCACCTGATATTCGCCTGAGGTTTTGGCCTTGATGACAACGGTGTTTTCAACCACAACCTCGACATTGCCTAACTCTTCGATTTTCATGTCCTCGGTGATGGTGATGTCGGGCTTGGGTATGACCTCTTCCGGTCGCTCATGGGCTGTTCTGAGCCCACCGTCTGTTTTGTCCCGATTTGTCCCCCCTTCGTCATCGGACCCTATGTCTCCCTGCATGAGTATTCGCGCCGCTTCTTCAGGGTCGAGCATAGCGTAGTCTCCATCTGCGTCATCTTCATCACTGTCCTCTTCTGAAGAAGTCGTGTCGGATGATGAATCGGAGTCGGAATCCGAGGAAGACTTATACGGTGATGAGTCTATTTCCCACTCGGCGCCCTCCGCGCCGGGTTCTGCAGCAAGCGCGTCGTTTGCTCCAGACACATCCATCATCATGTCAGATGCGATGGCCGGGGTGTCGGTATCATTGCCCACTGTCGGGAGAGTAGCATTGGTGTCAAGCGTGACAGTGCCATTTTCTTGGGCTCCTTCATTATGGTTGGCAATATTGCTGTTCTCAACACCATCTGCCAGATCCATATGGTCGTTGAGAACCGCGGACAGGACTTCAGGATCCGCCCGTATCTCCTGCGATACAGTCTCTGACTGTTTAGTTTCTGTATCACGGCCTCCATCTTCACTCTTTCCAGCCTCCCCAGCATTTGAAGCAGTAACCTCCGTGGATCCGACCTCAGTGGCAGCATGCTCTGCTACGGACGACGGCTTCTGCGGCGGTGGAGCGGATGCGGCTTCGACTTGCAGCATCAGCGCATCCAGTAGAGAATTGGAGTCGTGATCTGGAACTGTAGTCTGTGGGTTTGGGGCCGCAGAATCGGTCTCTCTGCCTTCCTGGCCTCCATTTGCAGGAGCAGGCTCGACAATTGATTGCGGAGAATGCGTTGACTTGCCGTCGGCGGGTGAGGCTGGTTGCGACTCGAGAATTTGGCCTGCGTCGCGGGTTTCTTCTGGAGAATTCGTCCTCTGGCGTTTGGCCGGAGATGTTGGGAACTCGTCTCCAACGTCCATTTTAACAAAAGCCGTGATCTTGGGTGCAGCTGCCGCAAAGGATTGACCTGACAGAAGAGCGAGAGACTGGAAACTGCGTGTCGTACTATGTACATGCGAAAAAGTGGCCGCCTCCAAAAAAGTCTCTGACATGCGGAGAAGAAATTCCTCCGCTCACTTTTGCAGGCTCAATCACTACCGTACATACATTACTACACCGACGATCCATCGACACCTTCTTGCACGCTGTCGACTATTATCCATGTATTGTTTCACAGAGGCCGCATACTCAAGAGGGTATTAGCCGCAAATCTTGACGGGTTGACTCGGCGATACGCCGATACCCTCAACGCTAGATACAATTGACCTGAGTTCGTGGGCAGCACCATCTTCCGCAACGATCTCCCCGTCTTTCTCGTTATAGTGTCCTGACAACTATAGGTAGATAGCTACCCGGAGCAAGCCCAACCTTTTACAGTAGTGTTAAAGAGCAACGACATGAAACCTGCGGTTAGAACCACAGCCTTGTGATTGGTTCATGATGGTAAAGCGGCGACAAGAGCTAACCAAATACTGAAGAAACCATGCCTACCTCTAGGTACCTAGCGAGGCTAGGTACCTACTAGTACCTACTAGTACCTATATTGCATGCATGTATTAAATCTGTCTTCATGTTTCAATCCAACTCTTTTGTATCACCTGGGCATCAAATTCCCATTCCCTCAACAGCCGCCGATGATCGATCGAATAGATCTCGCACAGCATGGATCCAAGTCTGGAGGATTTCAACAGACGGACGGATCCCATCAGGCTACCTGAAGGGTAATGAGTGCCTGCTATTTGGAGAGAGAGAGGCCTGCCGCTGACAATAGATGTAGCTCAAAACCTCAACCCAGTCCTCGTCCTGCTACTATCAGATTCTATCTTCCTCTGAATATGGCCTTATATACCTGTTTTTCATCTCATCTTCTGGCTGCTCTTTACGCTCCAATCCAGGATTGTGACGAGACCTTCAACTACTGGGAGCCTTTGCATTACCTCACCCATGGCTACGGCCTGCAAACATGGGAGTATTCTCCCGCCTACGGCATTCGAAGCTGGGCCTACATCGCCATACACGCGCTTCCGACCAAGGTTGCCAGTCTGCTGGGGCAGTCTAAGACAGCTGAGTTCTATGCTTTGCGGATCATTCTGGCCTTCGTTAGTGCAGCAACAGAGGTTCGCCTATACTCAGCCATATCACGAACAGTCAACCCCAGAGTCGGGGTGATATACCTGATGATCGTCGCCATCACCCCGGGCTTCTTCTATGCTTCTTCCGCCTTCTTGCCATCGAGCTTTGCCATGTATACATCCACTCTCGGACTGACCTGTTTCATGGACTGGCATAGCGGGCCCAGGACTGCAACTGGCATCATGTGGTTCGGTATCGGGGCGCTGCTCGGTTGGCCTTTTGCTGGTGCCCTTATCCTCCCATTCGTCGCTGAGGACTGGTTGATCGCCTTGGTAGGGCAAGTTGACCTGTTTGGAACCTTCAGAAGATATCTTGACGGCTTCGTTCGCTGCTTGATTGTTCTGGCTCTGCAGGTCAGCATCGATACGTTCTTCTACCGCAAGGTTCTTGTTGTCCCGTGGCGCATCGTTGCGTACAATGTCTTTGGTGGCCAAGGCCGGGGGCCAAACATCTTTGGAACAGAGCCATGGGACTATTATGTGCGCAACCTGCTCCTCAACTTTAACATATGGCTCATTCTAGCCTTGTTATCCGGGCCGCTGCTCCTCTCCCAGTGGTTGTTCATGAAACAGCATAGCACAAAGCAAACGCTTCTTAGGACGTTGATATTTCTCACACCATTCTACCTCTGGCTGGCGATCTTTACCGTACAGCCGCACAAAGAAGAGAGATTCATGTTTCCAGCGTACCCTTTTCTGGCTCTGAACGCCGCCATGGCTTTCCATTCACTCTTGCTCTGGATCGGGTCACCAGACTCCAATATCTTTGGTAGAATCCCGGTCAAATTGAAGTTGGTGACCGTCCTGTCCACCATTTTTGTCGCAGTCAACATCGGACTGCTGCGGATCTTCGGAACAGTCAGTGCATATCGAGCACCTTTGCAGATCTACGAAGCCCTAGAAACTTCAACAAACATGACTCAGAGCGGAGACACAGTCTGTTTCGGCAAGGATTGGTATCGCTTTCCATCATCCCACTTCCTCCCGGATGATGTACACGCGAAGTTCATCAAGAGCGAGTTCGACGGTTTGCTGCCTGGAGAATTCCATGAAGGTAATGCTGGCTTTGGGTTCTTCCAAGGCACCTGGTTGGTGCCTTCTGGCATGAACGACCAAAATCGAGAAGATCTCGGGAAGTACACTGACGTGAACCACTGTACTTACTTGGTGGACACCTACATGCCCGGCATGGAAGCAACAGAGCATGAGCCACTCTATGTGCTGGACAACAGCTGGGAGAAGATTTCGTGCGCACCATTTCTAGACACGTCGAGGACGGGGCTTGTGGCTAGAACGATCTGGGTCCCGGACCTCGCATTCATTCCAGTCAGATACCGTCGACAGTGGGGAGAGCACTGTCTTTTGCGGCGGAAAACGGCCTGACACAAAAATTATCAGGAGACATCGAAGAAAGGACAAGAAAATTACAACATCCGAAGGCCCCCTCAGAGGGCATTGACAGCATATTAACATCTAACAGAGAGCCTATCTATGCGAGATAGTCGACGCTGGACTCCGATTCTCAGGCGCTCGCGGTGAGATGCCGCAATGATTTCAACATCCACCGGTGTGGAGGATATTGCACTATTCCCCATGTGGCATATTTGTCCCGGAAAATGCCCGGTATACGATTGGTCAACCTCACTACCTAGCTGCATCAGTGGTCCCTGATAAGAATCCGAGGGGCAAGCACGATAACAACCAGTGTTGCTTTGCGGCTTGGAAGCTTGAGGAAAGACCCTGGGGAAAGAGGCCAGAAGCGTGTTGATTGTTCGCTTCGATGGCGGATCGGCACGTCGAATTTAGACATCGGTTCCTTGTGCGCATGGACACCCATACATATCTACTTCAACAATGCCACCCAGGGTGAAATGTCCTCGTGGTGTGTTCCTCGATCTTCCTGCTGTTGGGAGAAAACATCCGGTTAGACCTATTCCACCGACATGGATTCAGAAACGCTTAGACGGTCCCTCGCAGACCTCGTAGCAAGGTCACAACCATACGTCGACCAAGCAAGCACACACCTCCAAAAGTCTCGTCAACACTGCTCGTCGTTACTGGAAACCGCGCAACAAGATATCCACGTCCTGTCACAGAAACCGCATTTTCGAGAGTTATCCTACGGTTTGGGTCTTCTTATATTCATTACAGTCGCTCTCTCACGCTATCTATACCGCCGCCACCTGGCATCCCCAAGTAGCACTCGGCCTTCGACACCAACGATAGAAAAGGCTCCATACAACAAACCAGCTCCGCCAGCTCGCAAACCTGGAACGTGGCCACCGTCGTCGTTCAAACGGCCCACTCCAACACCATATGCCGACTGGTCAATCGAAAAGACCAAGCCTCTACCCTACCGTCCATTCCGTTATGGACCGAAATACTTTGTGACCATGGGCCTCCGCACCGTGAAGTGGGACGAATGGATCGAGCTGGACAACAACTACCCACGATACCACGCGGACAAAGCGCGACGGATCGCCGAACGCGGCTCGAAATGCTGCAGGACAGCTCCCGAGGCATACCCGGCCGCCCTGGAGCTCCTGGAAGAACTGCGCGGATACCTCTGTGACCGGTACCCGATGCTGTACCAGCGGACTGACAAGGGGATCAAAAACCTCTGGTCTGGCGAGGAACTCGACACGACGTCACGCCCGTTGCCCGAGGATCCGATGCAGACGTGCGCTCGGTTGACGCAGGACGACCTGGCGATCATGATCGAGCGGCCAGATGGCCAATATTACCTGCTCGCCGGGGCGGTCTTGCTGGCCGGCTTCTGGCGTCTGGAAGACAAGTATGGGATGCCTCTGTCGGAGATCCACACGAGCGGCGACGTGCCGCAGTTCAAGGAGAAGCTGGAAAAGGGCATGATGAACTTCTTCCGCCGGCTGAAGCCCGAGGAGTTGGTCTCGCGCAACAACTATTTCCTGCAGGTCGATGAGGACCTGGCATGGTCGCAGTCGATCGGCTCCGAGGACTCGGACGGCATCAGCTGGAACACGGCAGAGAAAAACCGTGCCATTGAGCATCACTATTTCCGCTCCGAGCGCCAGTCCTTGCGCCGCCTGCCTAAAACCGGTGGCGTTGTCTTCACTATCCGCACCTACTTCCATCCCATCACCGAGATCGCCGAGGAGGATTACGTTCCTGGCCGTCTGGCCAGTGCTATTCGGTCCTGGGGTGACGACGTCAGCCGTTACAAGGGCAAGGAAAAGTATGAGGAAGTTCTGCTCGAGTACCTTGACAAGAAGCACCAAGAGCAGCTTGACAGGGGGTTAAAGATGGAAGAGGAGGACGAAAAGAGGAGTTATCCTTGGTGAACTGATCGTTCTTTTACTATCCGTGGCGCATTGTGGTATGCTGACCCAGTCTCTTGACTACACCTATATCGCTGGGTGGAGGAGGGCAACCTTGTAACCCTTGGGTCCTCGTCGACTTGAGACTTCTGAAACCCTGCAATCCTGCAAGGAGGGGCGCGCCATATGCATGACAACTCTTCAACGCTCCGCCTGTGGTTCTCTTTCAGGAAACTAGGTATCTAGGATACATACATGTTTCTGATGATATGAGAGATAACCATATATCCACATGGTACACATACATATTTTGCAAGGATGAGGAAGACACTTTTTTTCCGTCGCCTTTGTCTGCGAAGATGAAAGATATACCACGACCCCTTCCGGGTCAAAATACATATATACACACATCCATCAACACGTGAGAGCAATTAGAGGCCACATAAGATGAGAATGACACATATTGTGGTATATATCTCGCTTTTTCCCTCCTTTCGCCAGGTCTCCCCCCTACAACATTGAAGCAAACATAATGAGTTCTCCGTGGCTCTCTTCTTGCTTCTCTTTCCAGTGCCATCCCGGGGGTGTATTGGTAAAGTCAATGGCTAACAACTCCGTGGGTATCCTGCTCGGTCTTGCGCGTCCATGGCCACAGCCAGTCTATCCGGGTCCATACTAGTATGTGGGTGTAGAAGTAAACATAGACATACAATAATATTTATTATACTCAGGTTCATGAAATCGCATGAGGTTCAATAAATGTATTCGCGGATTCTAGGGGCGCATTCATCCCTCACTTACTTTGAAAGGTATAAGATATACAATCGAAAGCAAACAGACGTGCGGCATCCGAGAGAAACGATAATATAACAGAGAACCAGGTACGTTGGCGTGCTCCTCGCCACAAATTGGATGTCTAGTTTTACTTCTATGGTCATCCAGTCACCCGAAGACGACCAAATAGATGATGTGTGTCTTCCAGGAGTATACTAGCCAAGTAGCTACCAAGTACCTGGTCACTTGTTGCGTGCGAGTGATGCCTGTCTCCCATGGTATCCACGTGAAAAGGCGTATCTCGCCCGGAGGACAGACAATTCCTCAGCACACCTGGAACTTGTCCGCACAGCACGTTGGCCAAGATCCAAATAGCTCGAGAGTCCAAGCACCAGACCAGACCGAAAGGGAGACACACACGTCTCGATCCTCTCTTCGCCCTTGTCCGCTGCTCTTTCGCAACAACTTAAAGAAGTCAGGGATAGGATCAATCTTAGCGACGCATCACCAGAACGATGGCGCAATGCGAGCTCTCAAGTTATAAACCCAGACTTTCGGAACCGTCAGGTCCAAGCTTTCGAGGATCTCAGTAATAATTCTATGATGCGAAGATGTATGCATAGCAGGACACCACCCGAGTTTTTGCTTCCCGCTGTGGCGGATTTCTCGGATAGATAGAGATAGCCGGCGGCCACGCGCTCAACGCCATCTGCAGCCGCAGCCGCAGCCGCAGCCGCAGCCGCATTCGTTCGTGGGCACGGTCGGCCATAGCGAGATTGGGATCTCGGGTGTAGCAATCTGATATCACCACAGACCATGTCCGCGAGTACGCACGTCCAAACGAGCGAGACGCCAATATTGTCAGCTTTCTTCGGCCCTTTCTCGCTGCATCGCTGCGCTTGTAGGCATTCACCATGAACCGTGATCCTGCTCCGAGGTTTCCTTGAATTGCATTTTCTCCCGTGGTTCTGTCCGGTGTCGGCATTCGAATCGGAAGTAGTGATAAGTTGACCCCTAGACTGGGTCTGTTCTGGACCTGCTGCGCTGCTTGTCAAACGGATACACCAGAGGCTGCGGCGTGGTGCTGATTTGCCGAGCGAAACCGCATTGACAGCAGACCCCTGAATCTTCTGGCGAGTCTTGTTCCGGGCGTGGCCCCCAGGCAGCAGTCGACCGCGAACCCAGCATCGTATTGTGATATTGTACCAATACCATCTCATGCAGCAAGGCATGAACGAGAGTCATACCAGACAAGCTGGATTGATGGTATGCAGGTTGCCGCGACGTTCTCGGCATTGAGCCATTCAGTCGCGGTATGTAGCCATGGTTGCCATCCGGAGCTCTTTCGACTGAACCTGCAGTCCCATCTCACACATTGTAAATGCAACTTAAAGGTCCATGGCCTCTAGACTCGACTCCTTCTTGACGCGCCGGACGCTTGTTCAGCACTGTGGCTTTCACCCTCAACGCCGGCTATTTGTCTCATCTTTCTCCTCTCCTCGGCTTCCCGGACTCTCATTTCATTCTTCTCGTGGATCCATTCGCAACCGTCGCGAAACTCGCAGACACGACACTTCCACGCGTCATGCAGGTCGACACCCTTGGGTGCCCGCTCAGCACGCCAGAATGCCAGCGCGTCGTAAAGGTACGATTTGAGAAAGGAGGGATTGAAGATGATGGATTTGCTGCCCAATAGCTTCGACCCGGAGCGAGAATCATAGGACGTTGACACATATCGTGCCGTCAACAGCGACGACAGGCGTGTCGGATAAGACGGGGGCCTGGAAAGTTGAGAGAGCGACTGCGGTGTTGATGAGGGGACGTCGTTGGTAGAGTCAAAGTTGGGAATGTGCTTCCACGGGGCAGAAGCCGTAGGAGAGATCACAAATGTCTCCCTGAACTGAGCCAGCATGAAGGCCCACAGACTGGCAATGTTGTTATGTTGAAGCAGAATATCCATCGAGTCCTGAGTCGAGGGCCAGACTTCGTCCATATCCATGTCATTTTTATTGCTATCGGATTGGGATTGCGAGCTGGAGAAGTCGAAGAAGTCCTGATTAAGGTTGCCGATCTGCGCGATAAACTCGTCTGAGAACGTCTCTTGCACATCTAATCCATACCGCGAGGCGAGGTGGTCCAGCGGGAAATGCCCCTGTGCCAGATTTTCCAGCATGTGGTGGTATAGATGCAGCTGCACGATCGTCGGGCGTATGCTGGAACCACTAGGTAAGGTCGAGGTTCCCCGTGTTTTGACATCCGTAATGTATATCCTCCTTTCCTCTTGCGACTTTCCATGTCTCTGTTCTGTTTTGACAGTGCTGTCTTGGTCATTCTTGCTACCCAGCGCTTCGGCTATGGTCTGTCCCTGCGCGCTGATGTCGCTGGTGACAAGGTAGTCTCTGATACTGGCCTGGTACTCAGGCAAAGGAGGCTCCGAGTCTTGCTTCGACAGTAGCCTGAGACTCTGTCCTTCCAATTTCGGGTCTGGACAATCGTAACTCAGCTCGTCAATCACGCCGTTGACCAGCTCGCCACCTATTGATCCCCATACCTCCAACTCCCGTGTCTTGCCTGTTTCACGTAGCGTCCGCAGCCCCTGTATGATATTCCATATTCGCAGCCCCCAACTGTCTTCTTTCTTGGTGACGGTGACCGGAACTGTAGCGTGCACTTCATCCTCCAGGGCCTGGTGAACCGCACTGCCTTGTTTCATCGCAGGAGTCCTCCTTTTCCGGCCATGCTTGGTCAGTACGTAGAAGTATTGCAGTTCACACCAGGCAGGCGATATGAGGTCAGTGACGGAGAGTGGCTTTTTCGGCGGTCGTCTGAATCGTTCTAGAGGGCTTCGAGAATCAGGTTCAGAGGGCTGAACGTCGTCTCCACCAGGTGTTTCCGTGTCTGGAGTTTCTGATGTTCGCCTTTGCTCCTTCCTATTCTGTGTCCTCGCTTCGGCTAGCCGCTGGTCAGCTGGTCAGTAAGAGAAAGCGCCAGGGCGATCGCCGTGTACTTACTACTCGGTTCGCGTATGCCCTGAACAAATCTAGAGCCTGGGATTTGCTCTCGTACGTCTCTCTGAGGTGTTGTCTCGCGACCAAACACTTTGGGTAGACGAACGCCTCGAGGCGCCTCATAATCTTCGATGTCGGTGACCACCAAAGGCGCGCTTTGGCCTTGGGTCTGCTTTGCGGCGACTTCCAGTAGCAGCTGGTCAATTATCTCAAGCTCTTCAGGATCTTCTGCGAAATCGCTGTACTCGTCCTCATCGTCCTGCCCTCTGGCAGTGATCTTCAGGTCAATGGTATCTGCCCGCATGAGAGTGCCATTGTCTTGTGATTGACTCGAAGTATTGGACATGGCCCGGTCGTGAGCAAGATCCGTTGGTGGCGTTGTAAGCGTCATGGTCCAGCATCCGCCATTTCACGACTCCTCAAAGATAAGGAGATATGAAGGGAGGACAAGCTCATCGTTGATTCACTCTGGATATATAGCAGCCGTATCACGGCATTGTTTGGCTATGGCGTCTCAGAAAAAGTTTGGGAGAGGCTTTTGCCTGGTCTTCGTCTGTTTGTGGACGCGTCGCGGGGCTCCTACACGTTATTTTGGCTTGCAAGACATTGGCGGATATAGTGTCTAGCATTCAAGATGAAGGAGATCTAATACAATCTATATACATGCTCTACTCTGACACACAATTCAGTGCTTCCTGACCAATGAAGCCCACCTACCCATGTGCATGCGACCTCCTTTCTCATGCAGATTTATCCAATGCTCTTGGTTGAGGCCGCGATATGGGATCTCCAACACCTCCTGCATCTCCTCCGAGCCTTTAAGTTCTCATTCAGACAATGCAAAAGCGCAGACGCTCAACCCTGCCATCCAAAGATAGTGTTGCAGCCGCTTCGGGCAGTCAAGCTGCGTCACTTCACTACACATCTTCTGGAATGACAGGTCTGTTCAGCGAGTCCGTGGCCATTTCGATCTTCTCTTCTGTCCTGTTCAAAAAGCTCAAGTATGCCTGCCACGCGACGGCGAAGATCCCGGAGAACATGAACCTGTACTGAGGCATGATGAACCAGAAGCTAAAGGCAGTGACTGCAGGCCACAGCTTTAGAGAATTGACGACGCTCACAGGAACAGCGGCCTTGACTCGTGCAATGATCCCAGAAGGAGGTTCCCCTGATAGGAGGGCTTGCATTCCAAAGAAATAAGTATTCAAAACCGGAGTGAGCAAGGCTTGATTGACCGCGACCTTCGCGCATATGGAGGCCAATTTGGAGGAGTAGTTGAAGTTCCTACCCAGAAATAGAAACCTGCGCTTCCTGTTAGTCATCGTTTGATTGAATGATGGTCGCCACTGCTGTGAAGATGCTCATCTTGCGCTGGGAGTCCAGACGTACCATTTATATCCCGGTATGGCAGCTCCCGCGCCGATGATCAGCATACGCAACGTCCGGATCGGATCATAAGGCTCTCCCCCAATGTCCTGGGCCAGGAGATCACCACACAAGTAGGTTGTCAAAGTCGTACTTAACTGCACGGTGTAGGGTCGCTTCAGTTGCATCCGGTGAAACCAACTGAAGAAGGTCGACACCGGCCCTAGCCTGTGATACCATAGCTGAATAGGAATATCGACCGGTTCGATCTTCGTAGATTGGGTGACGATTTCACTCGGTAAGTGGGGAGGGAGTTGACTCTGGATCTGATTGTTCGGGTTGGTCTGGTCTTTGGACGAGGTGGACTTTGACGAGCTGCGCTGGGCGTGTTGAGGAGCGCGAGTTCGAGGTATTCGTAACCACGGTGAACTGGCGCCGAACCTGCCCGATAACCGCTGCAGAGATATCATCATCGTTTCACGGCCATCACGAGAGGAGGTGAGAGCGATTCCTTCATTGAGAGCATCGCGCTGTGAAGAAGTCCGCGCCGTGTTTTGTGACTCTTCATATCGGAGAGGATTGGAGACGGCGTTAACGGCTTCCCCTCCGAGTGCTAGGGTTTTCTTCCAGGCGAGTTGGGCCCGATTACCTCATGCAGGTCCACCGCCCGATGACGCCTATTAGGCCTCAATTTTGAGGCTTATAGGCGCCCTTGTCCCTGTATTATTGGCGTCACCGAACCAACCTGAAGAACAACTGGGTCGCAATAGCAGTGAGTACTCTCAGGCGATGTCTGTCCTACAAGTTCGAATTGGGGATAGTACTCCTACGGTTGGAAAGAAGAGAGAATGTTCATGCATGGACGTGAATCGTATTTTCAACGTCTATCTCGATGCCGGCGCATTCTGCTCTGTCCAAGTCATATCTATGACTGGATTGCTGTGATGTACAAGCAGAAACGCCTAAAGCCCCAGGACCACCCATGTTTGTCTTTGAAAAAAGCAATACAAGCCATATGAATCATTCCGTTTCGCCGGTGCAACTCGTGAAAACCCCGATACCCATCATCATGCCCAACTTCCCAAGTGCTGATTGACTCATTGGAGCTGTTTGACAGCCAGTGACTCATCATGACAGTCATCATCTAAGATCGTTCGCCACGGAGACGACGAGCAAGCTGGATGTCCTTGGACTGGATGGTGACACGCTTGGCGTGGATGGCGCAAAGGTTGGTGTCTTCGAAGAGAGAGACGAGGTAAGCCTCAACTGACTCCTGAAGAGCGCCAATGGCAGAAGATTGGAATCGCAGGTCAGACTTGAAGTCCTGAGCAATTTCACGGACGAGACGCTGGAAGGGGAGCTTGCTATTGGATTGTTAGCTTTCATGTTCCAAGCAGCGATGAGGTTGGTGTGAACTAACCGGATGAGCAACTCGGTCGACTTCTGGTAGCGACGAATCTCACGGAGAGCGACGGTACCAGGCTTGTATCTGTGAGGCTTCTTGACACCTCCGGTGCTTGGTGCAGACTTGCGAGCGGCCTTGGATGCGAGCTGCTTTCTTGGGGCCTTGCCACCTGTTGAAGTTAGTCAGATGGGCTGCCAGCGACGATGAAGTTGGATTGTGAGAGTCATACCAGTGGATTTACGTGCAGTCTGCTTGGTACGAGCCATTGCGATAGACTGTTTGATGAAGAACTGAAAGTTGGGTGGGTTGTTGATGAAGTTGTTGTGGATGGGAAGATTGGAGATGATGAGTGAGGCTGACAAGGGAGAGATGCAAGTGGTGGAGGTGGGCGGGACGAGGGGGTATTTGTAGGTAGAAGAGAGAAGGCAGCAACCTTGGCGCGTGATCTAGAGTGCGCTTGCCGGGGAAGTGATGCAGTGCAGTGACTTGTCGTGTTGATTGCAGCACTGCAAAAATAATTGATCGCAAAACCGTGCAAAACAGAGATCAGATCATAGCTGCTGAGATGATCCTGTTGTTGGGCCGCTTTTTGCGGGTGATTCAGAATTGTCGCCCAATCTGGCTGGCGGTCCCGCCCCTTGGCGTACCACCTCGACATCCGCCAGCCGCAGTGCAGGACTGCCTACCCCAGCAACCAATACCTGCACCACTTGATAATTGTTTGCAATTACTTTGTAAATGATCGCAGCAAGTCATTTTCTATTCTTTCTGAAGGATCAGTACATCTACGTTGTGGTTGGCGAGCGATCACTGAATTAGCATAATGTTCACGGTATCAGGGCAGTAAAGAGTGGTAGTCGGGTCTGAATTCTGATTGGCTCTGATCTGGGCTGACCAAGTTGATCTGACCGCCCCTGCCGGGGTGCATAAGTTGCGCCCCCGCCCGCCGCCTCCCCAATCAAAATACCACTCTTCCTATTCCATCCCAACCTTGACCATCTCATCTATCCATCTTCATACAAACTCCTCATCCACACCAACTTGAAGCTTCTCAGCTTTAACAACTTCATCTCCAATCTATCATCATGACTGGACGCGGTAAAGGTGGAAAGGGTCTCGGCAAGGGTGGTGCCAAGCGTCACCGAAAGATCTTGAGAGACAACATCCAAGGTATCACCAAGCCTGCCATCCGACGTCTCGCTCGTCGTGGTGGTGTCAAGCGTATCTCGGCCATGATCTATGAGGAGACCCGCGGTGTTTTGAAGACCTTCCTTGAGGGTGTCATCCGTGATGCTGTCACGTACACTGAACAGTGAGTACAATCATCGTCGACATGGTATCTAGTAGCATGTGTACTGACTTTCACCTCAGCGCCAAGCGAAAGACCGTCACATCTCTCGATGTCGTGTATGCTCTCAAGCGACAAGGCCGCACTCTCTACGGTTCGTACTTTCCTTCAGCCAGCTTCATGTCTTGCCATTTCCTAACCATTGCTGCAGGTTTCGGTGGTTAAACGCATATTATCGCAATCATCCACACTATCACGATGTTGTCTCCGGACCTGAATCATGCTTGCCATCATACCCACCGGCATGGTTTATTGTCCACATCTTTTTTGCTTTGTTTTTTCTGGGGTGGTGTTGGGCGACGCGCAAATGGGTTCTTGCAAATGGGGTCGTCAACGGATCATGGTTATGATGGGATGGCAAATTCTCAAGGTGCCTCGATGTATCATACAGGCACACAACACTATGAGTCGGCCTGGTCGGCGTTGACGGGCGAGCTGAGTCAAATGACATAAAGTATCAGCATCAACATGAAATCAATTTTTCAAAGCAGAAGCTTGTTTCCTACCGTAGACACTGTCTTACATCTTGCACACGACTTCTCGGTCCTAGCTCGGCGAGGCCATCGGTGATTTATTTGCTCGCTTCAGTCCGCGAAATCCTATGTTGTCGGTCGTCCCTTCTTGCCATGCTCGGCAAGGCCTGTTACGTCCTACTCTTGTCTTGACGGCTGTCACTCTCCTGATGGTCATGTCGGAGATGTCAAGTTCTGTACGCTTTATTGGCGCTTCATTCCTATCATCGAGGAGCAGCTGAGTGTAGTCGTCTTCACTGAAATTTGGGTCAATGGTGGATTGCGAAAGCCATATCGTTCATACTCAAGCAAGCTGCTACGACAGGGCACTTATGCGGATCATGGGATGCATCAGACCATCCGTTCAGCAAGCTGTATCTGTGCCATTTGAACGCCGAGCCGACGGGCACAGGTGTTGCAGAATGGGGGTTCTGGCATGTGGCATTGTCGAGTGTTGCATGGCAAGAAGCGCCTGCGACATGGAACCAAGAGCAGGTCTTCACCAGTATCACCACCCTACGAACCGCGAGCACGTCGTAATGGACGACACCGGTTGGTAGGCTAGCTTGAGGCAGTGGTCACAATGATGGTGCTTGGGCATCAGCTAGTGCGAAGGCTTCTAGTAGGGTAGATAGATGGGTGTGGGTGCAGGATCACTTTCGCGCTGAGACAATGGGGAGAGAAGGTGTCGATTGTCAGGAACGCCTCATTTTCGAGGCTACTGTCGCTGGAAGGAGAGAGGGTAGCATCAGAACTTGTAAGTCCTCGAGCTAGGGTGAGGCGTTGACCTCTTTCCAGGGCAAACATTGGGTAGTCAATCGCTTTCACAGTTTCGAAGGATCACGAAGGAGTGGAGGGCTGGGTTGCACCTGCTGGGTTCAACCAACGTCCAGTGTAGCAGAACCGGTCTCAGGCTGCTGAAACATTGTTTCCGTTGCCTGTTAGGTAGGTACTGTGCAGTATGTCATGCTCTGTAACGTACAGGTTGGCAGGTCATTCAGGAATCATGATTGATACGACGCCGGAGGTTGTTGTTGTGTAAGTTGTAATATATTTTATTAACCTTGGCAGATTCCATCGGGACATTCGAGATCACGAACCTCACAAACTACACCGAAGAACAACGCAGCTCATATGGCATCAATGAATCAATCATTCCTCACCACACGCACAAGAGTATCCCATGCCTAGATTGTTCTGAGCCCATGTGAAACAATGCGTTGATCATGGTTGCATGGAGTTCAGCTCCTGCAACAGCAGTGAGCTGACGGCCCGAAGGAACGGAACTACACAGTAAGGCAACAGATGCAGCTAATATCGCGAGAAAGGATCGGTAAAGGGCTACTAGTACCATTGTAACTGAGATTACGAACGCTCACCAGCGTAACGGTCCATTGTCAGCCTCATTTACCCAATACGAGAATAAGCATGCCACGAGGAGCCCGGCGATATATATGGTTCTGCTCCTCCGGCTTAGCAAGCGAACTGCATATCCTGGTCGTCGATAACCCGACGCAGAGCATATTTCCATGGCAACGGCACGATAACAGGAAGCCACCAGTGTAGATATCATGTGCCCGAGGCGAGCAGAAGCAACCACAATCTGCCATTCTCATCCACCTCGACGGCCATCAGCAATGCTTCAGCTACTCCCAGAAGTCAGCTCAAAGAGAGTGTGATCAATTTATTGAACACCAATTGGCCTCACTTCCATGACAAGCCTCGACAGGTAACACAGACCTGCGTCGCAGTTATAAAAAAAGCATGCAGACAGCCTTATACTCGAGGAAGGACTTGCCTGAATGGGCAGGTCAAACGATGCCGGGCAAATCTCTGACTTACTCGGAGGCGTGCAGGCCGGTGACAGGATGAAATGACCATGCCGCAGCAAGCAACCAACAGAGAGAAATTGCGCCACAGCGTACAGAAGTTCAGCTTCGTTCTGTCGAGATTGCCCTGCCTAATGTAACAGAGTCTCCCAAATGGCCGGTAGATCCATCTCATCTGACAGACAGACACATGTGGCGGTGCATTATTGCAAGGTCAAAAAGCCACACAGCCACAGCCTCGGAGAAGGACAGAGAAACTCTGATTAGGGCTGTTGCTGTCCAGAAGCAGGGATTCGAGAACGGCAGGATCCAACAACTCATCCAGTCCTACACACCACCACGCCAACCCAGTGATAGCAGCCATTTTGACAGTCTGCTCCGTAGTCAAGCGAACAAAAGAACCCTGGACTTCAAAGACAAAGGTGTTACAGCTGTGGCTGAGTAGAGCGCACACGACTATAGTCCAGGACCATCGTCGGCGTCCCATAGCTCGGAAGACGTCCACGTTCGGAAATGCTCCATGATGCATCCAACTCTGGCACCCAAGTGCGGAGTGCCGGGCCTAGGCCTTCCTCTCCCAGCCTAGAGGCCTTTCCAAAGCACAGGCTCCGGGGTGCTCCGACGGTATCCGACATCCGGTGCGAAGGTTGCACGGGAGATTTTCCCTAGCTGTCCATCGAGGACTGATGGCTGGCCGATCAAAGGGTTTTTTGCAGCTGTATCTAGCTTCTGGACTGCTGCAGGCTTGACGAAAGCCGAAGTGATCGGCTATGGACCGAAACCCTACCAGGATTCAGGTCGGCCAGGTCGGCCTGGTGAAGCGGGTAGGAAAAAGGCGGAGCCCTGGGGTTGGATTAGATGCAGTGTTACTATGCACCACAACCCTGCATCACGTCCCTGCATGTACTAGCAGGTAGACCAGAGATGCTTCGACTTCTGGAAGATCACCAGAAACGAGGTAGGCGCAGCTAGCAAAGGCATGATGCGTAGAAATCTACGCTGACACGACAGAACCCAGTTTAGCAACAGCATCGATTCGACTGACCCCGAATGAGTCAAAATCCACCGAATTTTACGCGATCACGGCCGAGAGATCCGGCCACCAGTCCCGACTCCATCAGCGTAGATCTGGCACGAGACGAACAAATGGACATCGCTACAAGGGTGCACAGAAGTATGTTTAACCGGGCTATCCAATGCAGCAAGGCTACTGCCTAGTAAGACCGTCGTGGCCGTGTACTGATGCGAGGAGCAAGTTTCTATACGTACCAGGCTGGCAGTGGCCTTCGGCATGCCGCATCCGGTCAGTGGTATTGCCAAATATTATTTTCGGACGACGAGCTCCGCGGCCGAGGCAGCAACACCCAACGCACCATATGTCAGCTTGCAAAATGCGAACCCTTGCATAGCTACCTACCTAGGTAGGTACCTAGCTTAGCTTATGCTGACCTGAGTCCTCGGAGATGATGGATTATCTGGTTGGACATCCTGTTTGAGTACTCAAAGCGAGCATACATGACTAAGGTAAGTACGTAGGAGAGACGGCAGAAGATGTTGCACAGACAGCGAGAGAATCTACTGGCATGTTCTGGGTGCAGTGCAGTGGTACGAAAAGCAAGAAATTCCCTCGTTTCGATACGAGCCTGGAAATGCCCACCCAACGTTCTTTCTTTCAGCCGAGATCTGCGTCCTCACACCGACATATGATTGGTGGTCGCAGGTGCACAGCCACAGCCTGCGTTCTTACCGATTGGACGGCTGCTCGAGTGCAAAGCTCTAGCCACTGTATTGACTGGTAACTTGACGGTAAGTTTCTGTTAGTACCGACAAAACTCTGTTCCAAGGGCTGGACCCGACGATTGTGCCAGCGCGCAGTGGCCCCGGCTGGAGGGACACGCAGATACGGTCTACGTTATGGGTACCACAGCACCTTGGGACCCTGACTCCATGGCACCCGAGACGCATCATTATTACCCACGGTAGGGCTAAAGGGTGCAACCTGCAACCTGCAACCCTGTATGCCCCCAGGCTGCACGATCCCTGTTGGACACGAGCGTCTGTTCTTCCTCGCTACCCACATCAACTGCCGCAAAAGCCCGCAGGCTTTGTCGCTTCGGCCGGTCCCTGATGGCTGAAGACGTTTTCGATTCAAGGGAGCCTGTCCAGTGAATATCTGCTACAGAGTAACTCTGTACTGCCTCCTAACAGCACTACCGATGTTAGGTATTTATGAATTTGCCGATAAATGTGCCAGACCCTTCTCCAAGCCTGCGCCCATCACTCACCGCTGTCAACATCATCATCACCACGGATCACCCATTCACTCAACATACCCTGATTTGGTTAGCGGCAAAGGGACCCTGCACCAATATTTTACCCACCGCGGCTGTCATCATCACCGCATTACGTCACCTCGCTGTTGCTCGCATAAGGTAAACCAGGGCCTGCGCTCTTTTTACCCTTCCCGGCCGACAATTGTCCATATCTCGCTCAGACATCATCCCAAACCACGGTAACATCACACACCACAGCCTCTTCCTGGCCGCTTTGCAACGCTGCAATAAGCAGGATCAAGATACGACAGAAAGAAAAAATCTTAAATCGATTTGGTCCAAAGAGAACTCGGGCAACCCTTTTCGTCTAGTCCCGCGCCCTCGCCCGGTACCTCCGTTCCTGCATCATCTGCTCCATTCCACCCTCTTCCAAATCCAATCCAATCCACGGTCACGGTCACCGCGGTGTCTGGACGCTTTTGATTCTCAAATATCTTCTGGCATATACATACATTTGCCACCCTCCATCCTCCTGTATCTTCTTCCCCATACTCAGTCTACGTACGAAACTTCCACCCTGTCCTATTACCAATCTTCAACAAGCAACACAGCCTAACAACTCCCTAGACGACTATACATCCGACATCTAACTCTTTCTCGCCTCTCTCCCTCCTTCCTTTTTATCACTCACACTCTACACCCTCTGATGCAAAGAACATCACCAATAACACGCTCATCGAGTCCGACCGTTCGCATTCAACAACCCACGCCAACGCTCGCAGAACAACCACCAATGCTGGCACAAAGTCCAATGGTTGGTGGATGGAACGACGTATATCATACAGGAGGCTGCCTAAGCGCACTCCCCAAGAATTTTCAAGAGCAGAAATTTCATAAGAGAGGTTCTTCTGGTTCTTCAGTCACCTCGCTTGGCCCACCGTCGCCTCTTAACCACAACACTATATACCCTCACATAGTCGCCACCTCCGACTCTGCAAACTTTCCCTCCACCTACGACTTCGAGTTCAATCAGACTCCGCATACCGCCAAATCGGACTCTGCTATGATGTATCCTACAAATTTTGGCGCCGTTGACATGAGGAGGATACAGTCCACAGGCACCGACGAGCGTGCCTCGTATGCCATGTCCGGACCGCAGTCGGTTTCGACGATGAGTCACAATTCTCCTGCGACGCCGCATACCACATACGAGCCAGAGTACGACGAGAAGCATGTCTATGGTGAGACCACTACCGACGACGACGACTTGTTGTTCCAATACTTACAATTTGACGCAGGCTACCCTTCGGCCGCGTACCAGCAATCACTGCAAGATGTCTTCCCAGACCAACAATACGCCATGGTATATCCTCAGGCACAGCAGCAGATGCAGCGCATGGGAGTGCCACAACACCGGCAAAATATGATGGCGGATAGACTTCAGGCAGCGCAACAAGACCATCTACGCACCAATTCGCCGACGTCGAATCCTCGAGACAATTCACCGTTCCGGCAGAACTCACCATACGGCATGCCTGCGCCACCTCAACGGCCTCCTACTCTGCAGAAACAACGGACATCAATATCACCTAAGGAACTGATGTTGGATGACCATGATATTGAGGACCATCAAACACCACTGTTCCCTGATCAGTCGCATTCCATGTTTGTCAATCACAGAAACCCGTCGAATCTCTCAACCTTTTCGACTCCCACCTTGGCACCTTCGGAGTCATCGATGCAAATGCCTCAGCAGTATACTTTCGTCGGCCAACCCGGCCGGCCGCAGGACTCCACGCCGGATTTTCCGGCACATCTTCTGTCGATGGAATCGACCGGTGATGAGGGACCTTCGGAACCTTCTAGTCAGCAGTCGACGCATCAGCAGCAGCCTCGGTCACAAAACCAGGCTGCGCCTCAAGGGCAACCTCAGCAGCAGCGGCCTGTTGACACATCATCTGACTCGGGCACCTACTCATGCACGTATCACGGATGTCACCTACGGTTCGAGTCACCGGCGCAATTACAAAGACACAAAAGAGAAGGCCATAAGCAGGCATCACCGACTGCGTCAGCGTCTCCTAATCTGTCGCTACGCAACTCTCAGGCTGGTCCTCACCGATGCGAACGCATCAACCCTAGTACGGGCAAGCCTTGTAACTCGGTGTTTTCCCGGCCCTACGATCTGACCCGGCATGAGGACACGATACACAATGCCAGGAAACAAAAGGTGAGGTGTCATCTCTGTACGGAAGAGAAGACATTCTCTCGCAACGATGCTCTCACCCGCCACATGCGTGTGGTTCACCCTGATGTCAACTGGGTTGGCAAGCAGAAGCGGAAGAATGCGAAGTAAGCATTCTGGACATGGGTTTCTAAGAACGTCTTTTCGTCAAAAGGACGCATTTCTGTCTATCAAAACCGTCTATCAAAGCCGCCTTGTGGGCCTGATACCACCGGTCACTGTATGATTATGCTACGATTTTGAATGCGCGCAGGTGTTGGCTGGTTCAGATGGGTTTCCTGTCCTGCTTATGTCAGCGATTACGGTGATGCAAGAAATGCAAAAAGACTGAGCACGAGGAATTATGGGTCTCGGATGTGTTTCATGCAGGGCGCCAGGCGCAGGAGTCGACACCGATTGTTTGTTTCATGCACAGTGACAGAGCGGCGGTCTCGTCCTTTTGTTTTGTTTCCCTTTTTTCCATGGACAGGGCATTATTGATAGAGTGGCTGTACCAACACGGCTGTCAAATGATTCGGGATTGATGGGTACATGGCGAGATGGGTATGTTCTGTTTCCACAAAATTGGTCATACAGTGCACTGCATATGATACACCGGGTGATGAAGTGATGACGATGATGGGTGGATTTAAGAATGAATGCTTATCAGCCTAAGGGTATTCCATGGAAATAAAACACTAATTTCTCTTGATTGATTTTCTAGATAGTATCTATATGTTCTCTCAGCTTGGAATTTGGTTGTTTCCAATACTACAATAGCCGTTCTGCTGTTGATTACTAGTACGAGTATCCCAAGTACTTAATGCCTGCAGTGTACATAATACTTACTACTACGAGTATACCTAGTATAAGTACCTGCCCGTTCTTGGAGGGTTAATAGAGAAATACAACGCCTACTATGTGTATATTCCTGCTTCAGATTCCCACCGTGGGCTTTAACGTGCTTGACGCAGTATACTTATGGCAAGTCACTTACTTACCCTTCAAAAATGACTACTACTTATGCATACTAAGTACCGGAAGCTCATCCCGATCTTCATTTCCAGTACCAGTACCAGTAATGTAATGCGTGCATGCATCATAGTGCCGTCCTAACTCATGAACATCACCAACGTGATGTAGAGGACGGTTGACATCATCGATTACATCACCCCACCTCTTCCCTTGAGTCAGGACGGATCCTGAAGACACTATCGTCATTGGTTGGCTGCTGTGTTACGCTACGTGTTCTGATTCGGCGCCGTTTGTGGAAAATCGAAATCGAAGATCTTGGGAGATCGGTCAACGGATGGCGGGTCAACGGCGGATACCAGGTAAGGTAAGTAAGTGCTAACCAGTATTGTACTTAACTGACTCATTTACAGCGTGCATTTATTGTCGGGTCTACTTAGTAAGAAGTACTACACCCATCATCCATCATCACTCTGGCTGAAAGTGCGGACGGACTTGTGCTTTTCAATGTCAAGTAAGAAGAGGTCAGTCTGTTACTACTAGTTACTGTGGGTGTGTAAGGCTGTTGCATAGGTACCATGTACTAGCAGTACAGTAACTGACTGCGACTTCCTACAGCATGCTACTACTAGTAGTAAATGAGCTCTTTGAAGGAACTACCACTGTAACTACCACTCCGGGAGCATTTTTCGCCGTATTTGTTTCAGTATCGCTCTTTCCTCTGCTTTCTTCGTCATTGGTTACTTATTATAGGAGCCGAGCACTGGTTCCTAGGGATCCCGCATCCCCTACCTCGCTCTCAAAGTCACGATCGTGCCTTCGGTACCTACCTATTATATAGGTATAGATACTAACTCAACCTACTAGTAGCCTACCTAAGTACTTCCCCTGGCACCTAGGTACTATCCAATACCGTCTTAAAGCCGTATCAAAGCTGTATCACAGCTCGAAGCCGTATCGAAGCTGTATCGAAGCTGTATCGATACAAAGCGCATTCAACTTTAAGGTCTAATAGATTTTCCAATCTAGTTTTTAATCTAGTTTTTAATCTAGTTTTTAATCTAGTTTTTAATCTAGTTTTTAATCTAGTTTTTAATCTAGTTTTTAATCTAGGTCTAATCTAGACCTAGAAACTTCTACTACTAGTAGCTACGCCTTCAAAGCAGGTACTTGCTGCTTAAGTAAGTAGAACTCGTCTTGCTGTATATCACAAACCAAAAGAATAAGTTTCCGACTCTTTTAAACGAGTGCTTGGTTGCTTCTTGTCCAGAGCACCCACTGCGTGAGTGGTATCGAAGAAGAGAAAAGCATCAAACTGCAATGACAGCTTCGCGCCGTTGTAGTGGCCCTTGCGCATATCGAGTTGGAACCGAGTGAGACCGGTATTATGGCACACCCTCTCCCAACTTGACCTTCATAATTTCCAAGTCGTCGTCCCACTCGTGGGCGGCCGCCACGGTGCCGTCGTGAGTCCAGCAGCCCACTAAGTAGGACAACGTTGTTGAGCCGTTCCCTGCACAGTTGGCCGAGATTGATTTCGCCATGAGAGATGCCCATGTCGGTGTGTCTGTGGCTGTTATGAGCCCAGACAACGGCTTTGGATTGCCGGAAGTCGAGGAGGCGCTTTCAACGTCGCGAACATACTAAGTAGTATGGCCGTCGCGGAGATTACAGGTGATGTCGTCGCTGTAGTACATTTTCCGGTAACTAGTAAGTACTAGGTACTACTCTTCGGCATCGACCACCAGGGTGGCGTTCTACTCTGCCCTGTGGAAGTACTATTCGCCGTCGTGGATTTTGGCCGAATACTCGAGTCGCTTGCGGAGCAGCTCCAACAACATGTTGATCACGTCGGCCTCACATGACTTGAATCTCGATCGCATCCTTAGACCGTATTCCTGCTCCTGCCCTGCCCAGCGTGAGAGCTTGCTGTATCGCCGTCGGGCCTCGTCGGCCATCCCTGGATCGACTGTCTGTAGATACTGAATCACTGCACTGATCGAGATCCAGGCCGTATACACCAGCCCGCTCGCTGGGTGGTACTAGTCCATCGTTGTAGTCTCGTAGCCAGCGGACAAAGCCTTGGAACTCGCGATTACTCCACATCCAAGTTGGGAATCGCTTGAACATGGCCTGTCTGGCCTCCATTCTGCCTGGGTGTTGAGGCCAGCGTCGGACATAGTGGTCTATGGCCTCGGCGTCAGGCCAATCAACCTCTAGAGCCACAATCTTGAACCCATGCTCCTTGATCAGACGCTTGCTAATTTCGGCGCGGGCGGCGTAGAATTCCGAGGTGCCGTGGCTTCCATCTCCTAAGGAGACAACATTATATTGCCCGAGCCAGTCGAAACTCGCAGCAAATGCGGTGCCGTTGATGGGCGGCAATGCTTTGGCCGCCTTTCGCATGCATGAAGCAAGTGTAGTGGTGGACATGTTAACATCTCGGTTCTCAACGCACGAAGAGTCATACTGAGAACAGGAGAGGACGTCTTGAAGAGTGTTCGTATTCGAGAATTTGTTCTTCTGGTACCAGTTGCTAACCTATGAGGTGAAGTATGGAAATACTTATGATCGACAAGATTTGGAGTCTTCGAACTGCGAAGAAAGTCTCTCGATCCATCTGTTACCGGATTGGTTGATGTCGCTTTCTGGAAGATGCCGCTTTGGGAAAACCCGGGGCAATTGACGTCATTGTGACTTTATCCTCTGCTGCCGCCAAATGAGAGGCAAGGCTGGCGAGGCCATAATATAAGGTGTTCGCGATAGCACAGCGAGACGGCGGATATCGCACCCAATGAACATATAGCGAAATACTGGCTGGACTGGTCTGTGGCGGAAGGAGGTTGGCGGACCAGGGAATTGAGACCAAACAGTCGTCAGCGACAGCCTTGCGCGAATCGGTCTGCCGCCTGCAACATTGATCAAACCCATAATGCCGCTGTGATGTTCTGGCGACCAACAGGCGCTCACCATCGGTCGCACGGGGCGGGTGCGTGCGAACCAGCGTGGGCTTGGACGCGAACAGGTTGCTTTGATCAATGAGCAGGGCAGAGAAACAGAAGTTGACTCACTAGACTGCGCCGAGACTGATATTTTCATGGTGTCAGGCCCATGTACAGGACATGGGAGAGCAGACAGGGTAGGGTAGGGTAGGGTAGGGTAGGGTAGTGCGCAAAGACGACAACAACCTAGTAACGCCCTCGCCCCCCTGGCTCATGCATGCAACTGGCAGTCCCGCCGATAAGACTCAATGTGCTCACAGACTCTGGGGTATGCGAGATGCCGGTCAGAATCCAGCCACTTGACCAAGTTGCGTTGGCATCCTGACACAGTAGGTAGAGTTCCGAATCCGGCGAGGAAATTGGCAGCCTTGCAACATCGTCTGTGTAGTTGTGACGAGGGAGGGCCCAGGCTGCATCAATTGCAAACAACTTATCCGGTGGGCCCTCGGAGCAGCGAACCGAGTTGTTACAACATCGAGAGGTTTCCTTCAAGGACATATCGCACACAGACTTACTGAAAGCAAGGGAGATGTCCATCCAGTCAGGTTTCTCCAACTTGTGCGACATCATTAGTAGCTCACCCTAGACGTGCCTTTATCACGGCTCAGGTTTCCGTTTTGTATTCGATCTCGATGATAGGCGGCAGTAGTCATATCACGCCAAAACCTGGTCATCCGTGCCATGCGGCAATCATTCCACGGTTGGCCAAGGTTTGCTTGGTCTCGAAGTGGTGTGCTTTTCTCTGCTCGAGCGTGCGCTTGTGAAGTGGGGAGTTCTTTTCCGCGAAGGGCCCGATCAGAAATATCTCCTGATGAAACGGCACTCTGGACGAACCATTGGTCGCTTGCGCAGCGGGATGCAGCTGTGGCAGGTTCCGTCCAAGCGACGTCGGGATGATGATCCAGAGACTGATGAGTCCATGAAAACAGCAAGGTTGACTTGAAGACATGACAATCTGGATCTCTCAAGAGGGAAGGAGCTCACCAGCCACAGTGACGCCCCGTCGTTCTTTACAGAAACCATACGGACGAATTACTGACAGTAGTTTACTTGTAATGACAGTCACATCAAATATCCTCGTACAACGGTGTATCTGGTATGGTACGCAATGTTGTACCTCTTCTACACGGCTTATGCCTGGATTCCACCACACCGACTAGGAACATCTCATTAGGGAACTCGGACTGTTTGCCCTCTTGTCAGATTATCGAAACCGACCAAGGGCTCACACAAATCTCAATCCCCGGTATCAAGATCCGCCTGCGGAGCCATGCAGGAATGCCTCGCTTCCAGGCGCAATATGCGGACAGTTCGGAGATCGTCCGGCCCGTCCAATATAATCCCTCACCACTAAACACGAATTCTTGCTTACATCAACAGCACTCATCATCCTCATCCTTCCCAGCCAAGGCCGCTGAGCCTTGAAGTTGACGTCTCGCCTTGCGTATACACCTCATTGTCATCCACAGCATGATGACAGCGGTCGCCAGAAACAGGTAGCCATCACGAATCCCGATGCAGCCTTCCGAACAGCCGCTGGCTTGGAGCATTAGAAAGGTGAGAAAACAATGACAAACTTCGCACGGGATTACTTTGTCTGGACGATCTCGGTTGAGTATGCAGCCCTTGACGGCATAGGCTGTCGTTATCAACAAGGTTCAGGCGAGGCTGGTATCCCTACCCCTAGGCAAGGGTGACTTCACCCCAAGGCCAGGGTGTATCGGGCACCGAATGGCGCGATCTCCGTAATGACTTCGCGGGATATTACTCAATACTGCAAAGTCTGGCTCATCTTCCACGGCAATTTGTCTACACCCGGGAAAATCATGGGCTACCTTGGCTTTGCATTCGACCGAACCTAGAACGGTAGGATTTCAAAATATTCTACCGGTCGGAGAGCCGAAAGTGATCACGGCTCTGTATTTCTTCTCGGAGCACACTCGGGCAGGCACTGAGATCCATGGTCGCGTTTAGACCATCGTCTCATGCTGACCAACATCCTCGTGGTCCTCAGTATTGAGGCTGCCATAATGGGATTACTCTCTTGCGGATCTGTGCGAGGCTCGCCCACGGGGCAGGCTCACATAATCCCGACGTTACCTGCGCTCTCCGCCCCTGTGGTGCTCTGAGAACCCTTTCCCTTGTTTGGAGGAGGTCACCTTGCAACAAGACGACAACCGGCCCGACGGCAGATGGAGCTCTAGCCGAGGCGCGAGGATCCCGATGAGACGACTGCGCCTGACGACCAGTTCCGGCGGATCAATCACCAAGGAGACCCCTGGGTGGAAGGCAGGCCACTGAACACCGGGGTGAGATTTTCATTGCAGCATTGGCGGATCAACGGTGTAACGCAACATCGTCGCAGTATGCGGAACCGTCATGTTCATCTGCTCATATATCGATTTGTCACGCATACCCATGTCTCATTTTATCTTGAACCAAGGACCAAAAGCACATATGAAGTTGCCGTTGTACAAGAGCTCACTGGAATATGCCAAGGTTTATAAGAGGCCTCTACCATGAGATCTGCTCCCGAGGTGTTCCAGAAAGTCCAGCTTTCGTCTTCCGATAACGCGTGTTTGATTTCTCGCAGTCAGCGACCGGAAACATGAATGAATGATACAGTCGTCTCGGCAGTCATCTCACCCCGCTGGTGGGCGTTGCAGATTGGGAGTCGACGATATCAAATGCAACCATGTATCTCTGCTCGTATGCCAGTGCATAGTTGCCGTGACATATATCAATGATATGGTGGCCAGATCATGATGTCAGTCCGCCCCAGTCACCATCGCGGCCGCATCGCAGCTGAGTCCTGATCATTCCCATCAACCTTGTGGCTTATTGTGTTACCAGGCCGCCGAGCCATATCCGGTGATCCTACGACCACTTTCTAGCCGTGTCGTCAATCGTGGGACATGATCATCTTAAGCTCCAGGCATGCCCTGTGTGTTCGTTATTGTTCACATCCCTTTAATGATTGTGGCGCCCGGCCCTGGCGAGGAAGAGCATAAACAATGACGTTATGACAGCGCCAATCGCTTCACCCAATATTGCCGACCAATGGCGACTCCGGCATATGTCTTGAGTGCCAGCCTTGTGCTTCGGATCCATTGAACAAGGCTGAGTTAGGAGTCGCGCTTGGATTAATCGTCAGCACCCATGATTCCTCCCACAATCCTTTTCGTTTGGAGATACTATCTGAGCAGAAACTACCGACGCATACAGCCTGCGACACTTTCGATACCTTGGCAAAGAAACCTTCCATTAATTCATGAATCTTGTATCATAACACTGATCATGCATTCCCCAACATAGGCGCCCGTCGAATCCACTTCCTCTCCTCAATCTCGCGCAACACCCATCGCACCAGACTGCGCCTACTCAATTCCGTGGTGCCTGTGAACTGTCGATCGAGGAATCCCGCGACAACCTCGGCGTCTGGATTGCCATCCGTCAAATGCGGGACACGGAAGACCGTCCATTCCAGATCTCCAGCACCTGCACCTGCATCTCCATTTCCCCTCCCTCTTTCGCCTTCCGTGTCCGCAGCTGTTCCCTCTCCGTCTCCGTTTCCGGCTTCAACAACGGCGTCCGCTATCCCCTTCATCTCCGCATTCCCTTGCGGCGCAAAAAGCGCCGGGATCAACGTATACAGCCACCATTTCCAAGACATTGACTGGTTCTCGGCCGGATACACAAATGCCGTCGGCGTGCTCAGCACCATGATGCGACACGGTCGATGATGCACGCAACATGCCTTGATGGCCGGCAGGATCGCCGTCCGGAAAGAATCCACGATCGGATGTGTGGTGTCGCGCGTGAAGATCGCTTTGAGGGAAATGTAGGCGCCGAGGAACGATACGATGGTAGTCACATGTGGGAAGGTGGTAGCACTAACATTGGCAGTGTCCAATTCGGATGTAGAGAGTGCGGCTCTCAAGGCATTCACATCGTCCAGATGTCCTTCGACAATACGTATGCGTGATGGATGTATCTTGGACTGGGTGGTTGCGCCCTTCCCTTCGCTTTGCTGCGACGTCTCCAGTACCGATTCAGGCAGTTTCGACCTTGAGCCCGGCCGAACATATAATGTCAAGAATGGCCTTTGAGGGTCAGGCATCTGTAGAACCACATCGATGAATACGAGGCCCGATGCGCCTGTTGCGCCGAGGAGGAGGATGTGCTGATGTTCCATCATGCCAGAGGATCGCGATATAAAGGTCGGAGCTTTGCGAGGACGTGTTTGCTGGGCTGCCCAGACGGTGTTGTCACCCCAGTCGACAAGGCAGGCATGCTCGGCTGTTATATGTGGCCTATTTTTCCTTGTCATCCACGCCGGAGCCCAGACACGCTCCTTCCGCGAGGGACGCGACAGGTCGGCTGATAAAAACAGTGGTGGTGGTGATTTCTCAGCCTCGCCGCATTTTCGTCCGTGGTCGGGGATAAAAACGCCGATATTATCAGGCCGAAAAAAACAATCACCAACAATTCGGCCCTCCTTGACACCGTGGACGGACACGAACACAGCAGAAAGCACGAAAGAGCCTCGCCTCTCCATAAAGACAGTGTTGCGTATGCCAATATTGGCACACCAATCCGAACAAAGTATGATTTCGCTTTTTATCTTCAACCGCTAGTAACGCTACAAATCCACCGGAATCTGTGCCTCTCGTCCCCGATAATCGCCTTCTCTTAGATTGGCGTTATGCACCGCCTGGACTTTGCCCTCCTTCAACACCTTGGCCAATGCCTCCTTCCGACTAACACTGTCAGGAACATGCACCGGGACCTGGCCCTTGATGGTGACCCTGACGCCGCGCCGGTTAAGAGGCGCGTAATCATGCGTGGCCCGATGCGTGACGGCGCGATTGTCCCAAAACGCGACGGAGTTCTTCTCCCACCGGAACCGGACAAGTTGGTCCTGCGCGGTATGGATGTGCGTGTAGAGAAGGTCCAGCAACCGATCGGATTCGAACCGGTTCAGGCCGTCGATGCGTCTGACGAATCCGGAATTCAGGTTGAGCACTTTGTATCCGGTCACCGGGTGGGTGGTGACTACTGGATGTAAGGTTTCGACGGGACGGTCGCCGGGCTTGACTCCCCAGTGATTGAGGACGGAATCGTAGAGGAGCTAGAACAAATTGTGAGTATGAGTAGGTTGTGGGAATGTAAAAAGAAAGAGGCCAGGCTGATTATCCTGCAATTCCAAAAAGGGCATATCGTCTGGGATGGTGGCTTCGCTTACCTCGGAACTGTGCCATGCTTTCAACCCATCGACGAATTGCTGTAGCGGTTTTGAGAGTGTCTCGTACGTGCCGTAGCCGGAAATCCTGGATATTTCAGATGTTAGAGATATATTATCGAGCAAGGACAACGAAGTCCCGAAGATCATTCATGTTTGAAATCAGGGTCACTTCTTACCAGTTCGTGTCACCTCCGGTCGGAGGTAGCTCTACAACCCTTAGCATAGAGAAAGAAGGAGGGTTGGCCTGGAAGCTGCTGTCGGCGTGGAAGTCGGCAAAGGGCCATTTGAAATGGACATAGGTATTGCGGAAGTCCCTACGGAAATGGACGATGGTTGTTAGCATGCTGGAGATACCATATTCGAAGGTGAGTTGTGAGTTAAATCATACTCTTCTTGCTCTTGGATAGTGGTTGTAACAGGTTTCCCAGATTCAGGATCAGGATCGGTTTCCGGTATACCTGTTCCCGAATGTCAGTACTTTCGAACGCACGAGTCAAATAGAATCTGCAGTGTGATCTCGGGGCCATACCATAATAATCGAACAAGTCTCGTTGCTGTTGGGTTGTTATGTCTTGGTCCCGGAAGAAGACCACTCCTCGATGTGCCACAAGCAAGGCCAGCTCATCCTTTTGTTTGTCCGTCAATTTGGACAGCTGCAGTCCCGAAATGAGCGTGCCTAGCGACGGCGTCAAGTCTGTTCTTTTGATCTCGCTGTTTCCAGAAGGGAAGAGGTTTGGTAGGTTTGGGTCGGCTGCCAGTCCACGGTCTTTGGGCACGACAACCGGCGCTCGAACGCCCTTTGCTGGTACATGGTCGCCCAGAGGTTTCAGAGGTGTAGCAATCTGGTGCACTGCAGGAAGGTCGGCGGTCTCGGGGTAATCGATCACAGTTGGTTTCTCATCGTCGAGGTGGTCTGTCGGCTTGCCGTCGACCGTAAGAACTGGACCAGGGGACATGGTGGAAGTTTGGGACAGAGCAGTTGGCTACAGGTGTTGTCTTCAGGAGGTAACAGTGCCAGTCGATGTACGATTCTGGTCCAGCAAGCCTACATTTATGCGCCTCGGCGGACAACTCGAACTATATCGTCGCGAGTAGCAGCGAAAGCAGCACCCACCATTTGCAGCGGCCGTGCAGAGATGGTCCGCGTTGTAGACCTGCCACTTGGTGATCCTATCCGATGTGTGAATGGCATCATTGAAGCTAAGATTGTACCATAAGGTCCATAACTCCAGATAGGGGGTTGTGATTGCAGAGATGCTCGTTTGAAGTGGACCATATCGCGGTTTGATTCGACCGTTGCGGTGTATACCGTACCGGCTTTCAGGGAAGCGCGAGACCCACTAAGTCTCCACCATAATGGCTTGCCTTGCTCTCTGTCCACCAATGAGACGAGCCATATCCCAGTCACGTATGTGTGGGAAACGCTGGCGTGCTTGCGTTCAATATCTCTCCGTCCATTTGCTCTTCTGAAAAAGCTTGCAAATGCTTATTTATTGGCGACAAGGCATAAAAGAACCACAGTTATGGCTCCATGGCGCAGCACTGACCCATAAGATTGGTAACGATCCAGCTCACCAAATCTCTAAACACGCATTCTGAGCCGTCCAGAAGGGGTGGAGACCAATGGCGTGTATGGCGTGCTGGACCGAGATATGGCTCGGAGCATTTGTGATCTCTGCCAGGCGCATTTGCAGGGCATGGCCGGAACAAGGTCGATGTCAAACTCAACACATGGCAACCTCCACAGGCGTACCAAGAGGCTCATAAATACTGTGCACGCCCCTGCATTTGTACTCGCCAAGGTCGTTGTGAGCAGAGATTCTACCCTTGATCCGACCGCAAATCAAGGCACTCCTCCAAGATGGCCAGTCGCTCGGAATCATCCGGGGATGTCACACCCCCCTTGAAGGAAGACGACCTCGCCGTGTCCGTTCTCGACCCGGATCAGCACGATAGAAAGGACGAAGGCCTTGCGGGAGAATACCCTCAAGAGAAAATTCGAGTACCTCTCTTTCGATCAACTCGTTTTCAAGCTGCGGTCATCGCAGGGGTCTTCTTTTGCGGGCCGGGCATGTACAGCGCGCTCAACGCGCTGGGTGCTGGAGGACTGCGGAGTCCACACCTGGTCAATATCACCCAAAGCATGTCCTACGGAGAGAACGTTCTCTTTGCCCTTCTCACCGGTGTCGTGGTCAACATTTTCGGAGAACGCCTGACGCTGAGCGCCGGAGTGGCCGGGTTCAGCATATATGGGGCATCACTTTATTGCAACAATCGTTATGGCAAAAGCAGTTCATGGTTTCTGTACTTCTCCGCGGCGCTCCAGGGCGTACTGACTGCCATCCTATGGTGAGCTCCAATCCAACACTGGGCGGTCCAATCTTATTGCTTGCCGGGTGCTGATCAACATCGGCTGGATCTAGGGTCGTCCAAGCTGCCGTCATGCTAGCATATCCCGAGCCTGATTTCAAGGGAAGATTCAGTGAGTTTTCAACCGGACGCCCAAGTACTGTCATTTGCCAAGCTCATACGCTGACTGTCAACCCTGTTCAGTCTCCATCTGGTACGCCTCTATCGCCTGTGGTCAGGCGGTTGGAGGGATCATCGCCTTGGGCTTCAATGCGAGGAATGCCGAGGCTGGTTCAATCACACCAAGTAGGTGAATGCCCTTGGGTGTTGCTTTCACCTACTGACAGTTCGATCTCTGCAGACTCTTATATTCCGTTGATCGCGATAGCCGGACTCGGCCCCTTCATCGCTCTTCTCCTGTCCTCACCAGCGAAGGTCGTTCGAAGGGACGGTGTTCGAGTCACCAGTAATAAACAATCAAACCCATGGCAGGAAGCGAAGAACGTATTTTCCGCATTAAAGAGAAGAGAGGTATGCACAACTTCGGAAGCACGGTCGCCGTGGCTCCTCAGATGATTTCTTGATACTCCCATATCTTGCAGAAGACTAACCTGGCGCACAACAGATGGTCATGCTCATCCCTCTGTTCATATTCTCACAGTGGTTTCTGTCGTACAACAACAATTTCACGGCTATCTACCATTCGGTCAGAGGCCGCTCGCTCAGTGGCTTCCTCAGTGCCGTATGGGGGATCGCCGGCACCTTCTCCTTTGGGACATTTTTGGATTCAAAGACAGGGTGGGGATTTGCACCAACGCGAGCTGCTCGACTGCGTCTCAGTTTCTATGTCATATATGCCTTGTACACCATGGTGTGGGTTTGGGCAACCGTCGTGCAGTGGTACTATTCCAAGACGCATCCGGTAGGACTGGATTGGACGGATGGCGAGTTCTATGCCAGCTTCATGCTCCTCTTGTTTTGGGCGTACGTGAACATCTCCCTTTCTGCTGCAGGGCGCATTCTGCCTGTTTGACGAGGCTTGCTGACCATTTTTCATTGACATAGTTTCGTTGATCACGCCTTCCAGACATTTATGTACGCGACAGTCGGTTCACTCACAGATGACGTCGATGAGTTGGAGAGATACACTGGATTTCTGAAAGCTGTCAATACCGGTGGTGCAGCGCTCGGCTATGCCGTCCAGGTGGAATGGAGCATGATGGGTTCTGAGGCCTTGTTGTAAGTGGAATCTAACTTTGATTTCCTGTTTGGCCTGACAATTCTGACTCTGTATTTCAGGCTCGGCCTCTGGGTCATCCAGATCTGGCCGACTTGGTTGGTGATCCGTCGCTTGACCAAGTGAGGCCGTGTGGGCAATTCTCTCCGTTGAAGATGATGATTTGCAATTTCCCCACTGGCAGGCTTGGATCGAGACAGCCAGGGTAAGAGGAACTGCGCATCAAAACTCGGTTACTGCGGAGGTGCCTTCATAGAGTCAAAAGCCTGATTAGATTCTTTGGATTAGCGATAGAAGAGCTGATGAACCCAAAATCATGACCATGACACGAACTTGAAACCGGATGCGATCCCGGCGAGCTTGAACGCTGATAATGCTGGCCTTGGCGCCAAGGACGACAGCCTTGTCTCACAACTTGAACTTGAACGCGGTAGTAGTACTGTACGTACTACAGCCGGCGCTCACACATACATACTAGTACCAGGTATACCTTAGTATGCAGTGTATATCCATTTCTCAACTACAGTTACTGAGACCGCTTCGTGTACATACGGGTAAGGGCACCGTATACGTGAGGACGGATGCCAAAGATGCTATTGCCGTTTCCTCTTCCTTGCCGCCACTTCGTGGACACGCTCCGGCTCTCGTCAAGGCTACTCGCAGACAGCCGCCATACACGACAGATATGTTGAAGCGTGCAAAGCATGCATCTGACCAAAAGTTCGTGGACGACACCCATACCAACGAGGGGACAGGTTCGAACAGCCAGAATTCCCTGAAATGGTGAGCAGGTCCCTCATGCACATAAGTGCTGGAAGAGCACAAGGATGCGCATAATAGCACGGTGGAATGTTGGATGGTGGCATGAGCACGAGCATGAGTATAGCTTGCCTGAACACCAACATGCACCTTGAACATCATGAACACCCATCAATGGTCTCACAGACCCCCGCCCCGCCCCCAATCAACCGCACTCCATCCTATCAGTCTCCGGCAACCCGACTTTGACTTGACCTGAACTGAGCGGACACCCACCTTTTCATGTATCACCAAAATGCAACACTCCACGCCCCTCTCGAGGCTCCTCCAGGTTTGCCCTCTCCCCATGCGTTCATGCACGTATCCGAACGGACAGCAGACAGCAGACAGCAGACAGCGGACACCGACAGCCACGTTTCTCTGAACCTTTTCTCTGTGACGTTGTTGGCATATCTGTTCAGCATGTTATCTACCCCTGTCACAGCATAGCATACTGTGCTGTGCTGTGTGTCCCAAGTCATATGTCAGTCAGAATGACCAGAACCTACTACCTGATGCAGTAGGCGTGGAACGACAAAGCACGGAGGAATGGTAGGACACGCACGGGCTGGCAGCCAGGCGTCCCGACAAGCCTGTTACACCAGGTGGACCAAAATATATGACATTGATCACTACAGACCTTTAGACCCTCAGCAAGGCCAGGCCAGGCCAAAACATTCATCTGGACTGCTCACTGTACTACTCAAGCAATCGATTACCATGTTTACCATGTGCTTAGGCCCAGTGGTATGCGATGTATCCCGGGACGGCAATTGGTCCCTGTTCCACGCTATACAGTAGGACTTCTATAATCTATGGGTACGGCACACCATCTATAGTCTAAGAACAGTGAGGGAACAAAAGAAGCAAGCAGGAAACAGCGCGCATTTTTCAAGGTTATGTATTTCAAAACACCTGGACAAAGCAAGCCCCATGGGCGCGCTGTACTCTGTTGTGTTCTGATCCGAATCGATGAACTTGACATACCAGAGTAATACAAGACATGAACCCAGTCCGAAGCCCAACGAAGATGACCCCTCACATCCTATGGGGAGCCAGCATGCGTCCATCTCATCCACAAGTCTATCATAAGAAGGAACGATAACGAATGTTTACCAAATGGTAAGTTGTTGTTTGTTGTTGAGGTCAAGTGCCGTAGATGTCACCATTCATAGATTGACCAAATTGCCATATGTTGTTCTTTTTGAGATATCCGTATCCAATGTCATTCACCACCATGCACTATCACTAACTCCGTGCCACCGAGTTCGGTATAGTATAAGTTGGGATCCTTTAGGCCAGGGTCGTCTTGAGTGTGGCACTGGAGCCCATGCCGCCACAACCGCCGGAAGGCGCACCGTCGTAGGTGCCATAGTTTGCTCCGGGCTGCGATCCGTTCTCGCAGTTAACTAGGACGTAGCCGGTGGTGCAAACATTTCCGGAGGCGCATTGGAAGACGCAGGTGTTCATGTCGCTGACGCACGAGGGGCCGACAATGCTCATGGAGTGACCGCTCATGTTGACCTCTCGTGAGACATCAACAACACCCCATTGTCCGAAAGTGAATTCACCCCAGGTGTTGGAGGCCTGGCCATTGACCAGTTGGGTGTCAGGGTAGATGGCAGTCCAGGCACCTGAGGCTCCGTCTGCAAAGGAGACCCAGAGAGACCCTCCAGCAGGAATAGAGGCAGTGATCGAGGGTTGGACGGCATTGATCCAGGAGCCGGCAACACCCCAGATGACGATGATCAAGTCTTCACCAGATTCGTTGACGAATTCGTTCTTGTAAGCACCATCAGCGCCCAACCAGGCGTGGCCGTTGGCGACCGCCGAGTTGACACCAAGGGCAGCAACGCCCAGGGAGGTAAGCTTGCTAGCATCCACGTCGGTCAAAGCTGTGGCACGTTTCCTGTGGTCTCACTGTCAGTCCTCTTCCTGCCTCGCGTAACCGGATCCGGAAGATTGGTCTTACTCGGCCTGGACGTGGTCGTGCTTGCGTGCATGGCTGTGCAAGGCAGAGTGGACGTGGGCCACGCTGGCAGCATATGCTTGGCCGATTGCAAGGGTGGCCAGCACCAAGGACTTCATTGTGTAGCGCATCTTGTATGTCTTTGATTTCGGTGTCGAATTTCAGTTTCCTTTCTTGAGGGTCCGGTCAAGAGGAGGATATGCGATTGAAAGTGCTGTTTCTTCGCTGGAAAAGGAGCGGTTTCGTGTAGGTTGGGACGATCACAGATCGAGTCTCTGTAATGAGTGTATAGGGGTGGAAAAGGGAATGACGAAGCGAAACGAGGCTCTCGCGTGAAAGAGTGAACGCGAGCGTAGGCTGGTACGGCTGGGGGAAAGGAAAGGACGACGTTTGAAAAAAGCGTCTGTGGGTGAGGTTATAATCTATCAAGCAGTGGACACGAGGTGCACGAAAAGGAACGGAGAAGGAGAGGAGAGGAAGGTCAGGAACATACCCAAGCAACGCAGAGATGCAACAACAGACAGGCCCAGGGAGATGCGGATCCAACACAGCAGAAGCGGAGCAACAACACCAATGGGCATGGTCTGCCACAGCACTCGACCCATGGCCGTGGCGTTCGACGGCCCCAGAACACCCCTGTTGCGGGTTGGTTCCTTGGGCTCCCTAGGCTCCCTATGTGTTGGGTCCGCGCCAGTGAAACGTCCTAGCTCCAGTTGACTTCTGCCAATTTCCAGGCGCTTGACGAATGGTGTTGACCGTGTCCTTCGCGTACCTGGCGCCAACTGGAGCTTAGTCCAGCCCCTACGTCAAGCCGCGTAGTAGATCGCACTCGATCACTGCTTTCATTTCGGCACCGGGCACTTGACAGAAAGGAAGGGGCTGGAACCCAAAGAGGAATGACTCGCAGTGCGTAAAGTGCTTCTTGCAACAACACGTCAACTCCTGGAATGTGCAGAGCAGGCGGACGACCAGATGGCAGGTTGACTAAGCTGTTCGAGGCCTCGTACCGAGTCCGATCCAGCATCGTGGCATCCGGTCCGTGCGCACACTTTCTCGGGCTAAGAGAAAGGCCCCAAAACTGCCAGCACACAACGAGCCGGGGGGTCTAATAAAATGTGTTGCTTCCCCCATCAAACCGCCAACTTCCACCACTGCATATGCATGAATGGATCGTGATGTGATATGCGGTGGGAAAGGTCCTTGTGACCAACAACCGGACAGACCCTGGGTGGGAAGTCGACCAATGACATTTACAGTTGTGTGCGCTTTTCTAACAACCATATGGGTAAGCCCGAAAACTCTGTCGATGAGATGCCATGTCGGATGTATAAGGCTTCGTTCGAATGGTCTCAGGACTTCGCAGCACCAGACGGCAATGGTACACCTGTAGCTGCAGTCTCTACTACTCAACCCCGAGACAAACCGGCGCCGTTATGCAATAATAATTGAACCTGCAGCGAGATGCAAGGTCCGCCAGTGAGACCTGCACATACCATTGGCGCATGGTGTTTGATGGCTGGATCTGCTTGTCCGAGTCTTCCTGGGTGACACCTCTCACGGAGTCGTTGTCAGTGGCGCTCTCCAAGACCTGTCTGGCAGGGATGTCGCCTAAGTATTCTGTATTCTAGATGCAAGGTGCATTTGTGAGGGGCAAAGGCGAACGTTGTTGCGGCGCAAAGCACTGAAAGAAGGAAGGTGTTGCCTGGGCCATTGCCATGTGGGTTATGGAGTGGATTTCCCATAGCATTTTTTCGGGCAAATCCCATCTCTGTAGAAGTTCACCCACACACCATCGCAGCTTATACACCCGCACGGTGAAGAGGCTTCTGCAGGTACTAGCTTGGCGGCATCTGGCTTTCCGCTAAAGACCGCAGGTTCTTCCTTCGGAACGGTTGGCGCTATATTGCCAAGAGACAAGTCTGTAAGGGACGAGCCATTTCCTACTGGCTGCGTGTTAAGTAGTGGATGCCAGACCGTGCGTAGTCTTGATCATGGCGCCGGCAACTTTGATACAATCCTTGCTTGACACGTTGGGTTGCGGTCCGGACAATGGCTGTTGGCGCCGACAATCGACCAACGAGAGGGTTTGCGCAAAAGACATGTCCGATGTATTCTCCATCACGACTTTTCGAAGTCTACTTTGCTCACCGTGGTGGCTGCTGGTAGCGGACCATAAGGTGCACTTTCCGGATGCAGCAACCAGTCAGCAGCGATGACAAGGCACGGCTCCCTTCTCTGATCCCTGGATCGATTGTTAGCGCAACGGACTATCGTTATTTCGACCTCTTGGACGGGTTGCGACAAGTTCCGTAGATGCAAACCTCGGTAGGGTTATATGTGCAACCCAGAGGGTCCTTGCCGGGGAATCTTTGTGTGCTCTGCATGCATGGCGTGGGACCATCCCGCTGTTGACCACTCGTCCTCCCTGCATGCCATCCGCAGAGTCTTCCGTCGTCAAGCCCGAGGGTCTTTGCCGGGTGCGATAGTGCGTCCGTTTAGCCGATTTGTCCCTGCAACCTCGTGTCGGTAGGAATTTTCTGTGGGATGATGGGGTAGTTCAGTCGGGTCCTGATAGCTATGGAATTGTCACAGGGCCACAGTCTGCTCGGAGGTCTGAATTGTACGCTCTGCAACTTGATGAACTCGAAAATTTCAGTGATGCAGCCTGCATTTGGAGACCGGGACACGAATACCACGTCGGAAAAGGGTCGGCGAGGCAAGAAAAACAGACAATCTGGCCGAAGCAATCATGCCACGGGAGAGAGCAATAGAGAAAGAGAGAGGTGATCTGGTTCGCATGTGCACCTATTGAGCGGCATGCGAGTCAAGTCATCCGCATATCTTTCCCACCTCGGCTTCTTTGATCCTCATACTCTCTGGAACGGCGTGCTGCATGTCGTCCTCTTACCACCAAGCGTCCATGACTCTTTCTTGTGTGTGCGATAGACACCTGCCGCTTGTAGCTCGTAGCTTCGCTTCTGTCCACGCAAGGGTCCATGGACCGTCGGAGAATCGGAGGGGACGGAACCGTCGAAGGGGATCTAGTATCGTGAAGATAACAGAGGTCTCTGTTCCAAAAAGTCCATGCCGGGATCTCGGGCAAACAGCACAACAGCCATTCGTCGATGCCGCCTACCGTAATGCTATGAGCTGGTCAGAACAGTAATGGATGAAGTCAAGACAAAGGTGAGCTCGTGGGTAGGTACTTGCCCTGGCACTGCACGGTGCCACAGTGGCCGATCAGGGGGCAATCGCAGGCAAGCGCAGTCTCCGCAACAATGTTTCTCCATCTCCGGCTCCAGATCCCGTGACCCATGCCTCCTTTTCAAATCAACTGCTGACAACAGCAGTGGGCTTGCGTGGCCCGATAGTCCCACGCCAATCTTTTCAGATGAAATTAATCTCTTTCGGGCTTTGAGTCGCCCACTGCATCTTCAGCATCGGCGGACGCTCGATTAGCGCAACCACAAGCAGGCGAAACGGCTCCCCCCCGCAAGCGCCTAATATAAACAAGCAGTCGCCTACCTAAGGTAGGTCTTCTTTGGGAATCAAGCCACTTTGACCCCTTGAAGAACCGCGGCCTGAGGAACAAAGAAGAAACCAAGCTATAAGTCGCAGCAGAGAAAGAAAAGAATACTCGTGGATATGTAGAATCAGGCACCTGGCTTCAGCGATTTACACTTCTCGTTATCTCGAGTATGCATTATTGCTGAGGGAACATAGCTTTCAAAAACAGGACCCACGTCTTCATACGAATTGAGCTCCCCAATCTCCATAGCCATATGTCTATCCCAACATCGACATCCACAAGCGCGTTTTCGCGTCTGGAGCTAGGTCGTCGCCTAAGGGTTAGGCCGTCAATCCAGCCCAGAGGGTCTGTACTTAAATCCATCGTGGGATTGGCATAACATCGACACGTAATGATACAGAAAGCAGTCTGCCGCACCGTTGAGCCTGCCGAACCTGCGAGCTGGACGATGCGTGATACATGTCAGGCTCGCTATCTTGCGTCTAGTTGCTGCCACAACTAATATACAACTCCGCCCGAGTGCTAGATCCTCACCGGATGGGGCAGGTTGTCTCCGCCAAAACGCGTTGTTCAACAGACCTGTCATTGTGACTTCAGCTTTCACGTTCTCTGAGAGACGTGGCCGATCTATGAGACGGTGAAGATATCTTCTCAGCATCAGCCTGACACTTGCTGGCTAATGGGTCACCGCTGGAGATGGCTGCGGATACCATCAACGGGCTGACTTCATTTGGTCGTTTTCTGCAGGGTAAGAAAGTGAGATGGGCCGCCTTGTCTCGCCACCAAGCTTGATGATTTAGGGCACTGCTTTTGCGGCTGGCGTCCCTTCTCTGTTGACCAAAGTCATATTGAATGTAGCCATTGTAGCAATCGTTGCAAGCATAATGTGCAGAGAGTCCCTTTAACCGAGATATTGGGAGCATGAGTATCACGCTTTACAAGTTCCAACATTTCTTTTGTGTTAATGGCAGAGCCACTTATATCGGAGAGCTTGAATTCCTCTCTGGAGCAGGGGAGCTGGTCCGCGAGGTCGGGTGATCCATTGGATCTTCGAGCAGGTCCGCTAGTCTCTTCAGCCTGACTTGTTGAATGGGATCATGATAGAAGAACCTCTCCTGAAATGTCCTCAAAATATCGATCGTCGCCAAATTTGGATGCTTGGAACGAAACTGTCGGATCTGCTCTGCCAAACCTGTCGCAAGCAGCTGATCCAGAAACCATTCTTCCTCCACTCCGCCAATTGAGGAGCACATGGCCCCGACGCTCAGAACCCACATCCTCACATCGACCAAATCTCCCCACCGAGCCAGGGCACAAGCCTGTCGATGTAATATTGCTCGCAGTTTCGGAGCAATCAGACATCCCAATCTCTGTAGACCCAACAGCACCATCGAAATAAGAATCCACATGATAAGAGCAACCCGCACAGCGTCGTGGCACGGGTTTGATGGCTTCATAGACAACAGACGATGCCTGATAGCTGCATGCCGCCATTGTAGCCATCTAGCTGCATGTTTGGTGGCGTCTGCCGGCCCTGTTGCTGCGTGGCGTAGGACCCAGGCACATTCTGCCGTCTCTTGAATCACCTGTCCTAGGTCGTCCGGAAAATCGCCAGCGGTAACCCTATCCAGGAGGGCTGGGGCGATACTGGTGAGATCTGGAGCTTGAGCTAATTGAAGTGCCGGCGGCGTGACACTCCAGTATGAGCCAGGATCATATTCGCACGGGAGATCACAAGGCTCCAGGAGAACGGCCGACACGTGTCCGTCACCGATGATGAAAAGCTCCTTCACACAGGGATCGGGGATCTGATCGAGGCCGCCCCAAGAGGCAAACAATGCCTTCGCTGCTCGCATGTGTATTTTAGCTGCGGTATAGTTCTGCCGGTATGCTTCTCCTGCGTAGAGGTGGAAGATGATCAGAAGCAGTTGATGTCTCGATGCCGAGCTAAAGCGGCGCCTCACAGCCGTAAGAGCGTTCCCCATGTATTTGTCAGTACCTTGACCTGGTATCGAGTCTACATTCTCGATCCTGGCAGCCATACAGGCGAGAATAGCATTCATCTCCACCTCGTTCTGCATTGCACGTCGAATCACGGCCGGCGCGGAATGTTGATAAGTGTACGAGCCGCCAGGAGACGTCCGACTCTCGGCGCTCCAAACACTGGGATGATACTTTTCGCAGAAATACCAACACAGTTTGGCAACATGAGCGTCGAGCTTGACCACCGACTGAGAAAATGGATCGAGAGATGTGCTCGAAATCTGGGTGATGTCTCTTGGAGAGTTGGAAAGATGCGCGGAATTCAGAAGTACAACCGACTTTCCATCCTTCTTTGAGTCCTTAAAAAGCTCGTATCTCCGGGACCCATCGATGCTCTTACGTAGAGTTCTCTTCGGCTGAAACTTTTCGAACTGGCCACGACGCCGACGTTGGCTGTGCGAGCGAGGTCGAGAAGGCAACGATGATTCGATGGCATCGTATTCCTCACTTGACTCTTTGTTCGTTGGCAGGCCGGAGAAATCGTAGCTTATAGTGGCCACATCAGATTCAGATGAATCGACCATGGTACTGAAGCTCTCTCGAGCCGAGCTTTGTCTGGATCCGCGGTTATACCGCCCACGGCTGGAGGCGGATCGATTGTGCTTTCGGCCCCTCTGGACGTGGGAATTAATGGACGATTGTTCTGTAGAGTTGCTGCGTGTCAAGGATGCACTGCCGGCATCCTTATTAACGAATAGGAATTGAGGTGGCATATTGTGTAGTCAGGTACGGCGACTTCGGGGCACTTCATGCTTGACGCTACGATGCACCATCGAATCGAAGATTGCCGAAGTTCAGATAGAGGGTCTCCTGTTGACGTCAGTGCATGGATAGCCCACCCTCTCTTGTGGTTTCGCTGCGCAACCTCCAGAGGTCTCTTATCAGCTCGAGGGTTTGAGCAGCATTGCACCAAGAGCTGTTGGGCAGGTGGAATAATGTATTTTGCCCAGTTGTCAGAGACGAGCAGAGCAAGAAGCACCGACACAACATGAAGATGTGATATTTAGCCTCGGCAGCCACCAGGCGGGCCGCACAAGCCTTCCGGCGCCATACTATAAATGAAGAAGCTAGTCTATACTTAGCTTAGTGCATATGTCGTCTACTAAGGTTGAGATGAGGGTTACTGCAGTGCCGAAGGTTTCCGTAACTCGTACTCTGCTCTCGAGCATTACTGCCCTTCATGTGATGGATACTTCATCCCAGTAGAGGAATCTGGCAGTGCTGGAGGCGAGGTGCCTCCGTGTCTCCCAGACTACTCTTGACAGTCATATGCTCCATAGACCAGAGCGAAGAGCGGAATGTTCTCAGGGTGGACTGGGTCTATGCATTTTTGTGGTAGTATAGCTTATTGATCCTCCAGCCTTGAGCCGCTTGCGAACTTCTCATAGAACTCCAGCGTCATCGCAGCTAGGAAGCAGGGGATTTGCTTCTTTTCCTTCACCCAGAAGTTGACTAGCTCCCTGATTTCCTCACCGAAAGCGCTTTCTGGACCTCCGCTAATCTTCATCGTGCCGTTATCTCCGTCGAAAACAATGTAATCCTCATCCTCATCCTCATCATCGCTGTCTTCGTCTGCATTGTGGGGGCGCCCGTAATACATGCTTGACACCTTTGCTTTGCCGTTGGGGAGGAAATTGACTTTGTAGCCCAGAACGCTAGCAATCACATCGCGGAACTCGGCTGCCTTCTGTGTCCAGATTTCACGTTGTCGTCGCATGCGCTTCTCCTTTTCGGCCACCACCATCTCCATGTCTTTCAGATCGAGCTTGAGTGCATCCACGGTGCTGGTAGGTACCATCTTGACGTCCTGAAGACCCTCCCCACACAATTGGGCAAGAAGTTCGGCGTTCTCCTGCTTAAGAGTTCGGAGTGTAGACAATTTGATGGCCTCGGCATTGGCAGTAGGGTTATCTCGAAGCTGCAAGACTCGTGTTTTGGCGCTCTCCCGCAACGCTTTCAGCTGTGCTTTGGATGCCTGCAAGTCCGTTGCCAACATCTGCGACTGCTGTGCGGTCTTTTGCAACGCGATCTGGAGATTTTTGTTCTTCCGCAACAGTGCACCCAACTGCGAATTGCTTTCCTCATCGGCTTCCTGGGATTCTGCAGACCGTTTGATTCCTCTTGGCTCGCTCTGTGGTGCCGAGACTGCTGGAGGCGCGGACTCTAGTTTCGAGAGATCGGAGTGGAGTGTCTGGACCTCGGACTTGTATTGATCCACCAAAGCTTCTAGTTGTTTGATCTGCTCGCTGCGCTGGGTGTCAAAGTTCTGGTTGTCCATCATCACAGTCTCCTCCGTGTCGAAGGTCTTCAATTGTGCCCTCAGGTATTCGACCTCCTTGACCGCAAGAACTCGTTGCCGCTCTAAACGCTTGTATGCTTTGTTGTCGGGGACTGCATCAACCGGTACAGCTTGGGTCGACTTCAGCTTGTCCAATTCGGTCCTCAATGATGCCTTGTCTCCCTCGAGGGCTTTGATGATCTCGTCTTTCTCCGCCAAATCGCTCTCCACCATACCCAGCCTGTCCATGACCGAGGCATACTCGATACGTTGTTGTATGAGAGCTTTGACCACGGCTTCAGGAGACTTTAAGTCGTTCTCGTCTCCGTTGCTTTCCAGCAGCGTCGTCCATGTTCGCTTTTCGTCCTCAAGGATCTCTTTCTGTATCTGAGCCTCACCCAGTTGTCTTTCCACGTCCTTCAAGACCTGTAGTTCGATTTCAAGCCCATGTTTCTGCTCCTCCACAATCTGAACACTGCGATGAGCTTCACGCAGTCGTCGCAGCTCGCCGACTTGTTCTCTGTTAGTCGATTCAAGTCTCCGGATGTGCGCCACTTGCTCCGATAGTTGGTTCTGCAAAACATTCAAGGCCTCGGTGTCTGAGGAATGTGACTTTAGTGCGGCCACCTCGGCTTCGAGGCTGTCGACTTGGTTATCTCGTTGTGACAGGCGTGCCTGTATTGAGTCGAAATGTTGAGTCACCTCTTCAAGCTCCCGCTTCAAGTCATCTACAGTCTCTTGCAGGGCCACACGTTTCGCTTCGACATCGTTGATTTGGTATTTGTACTGGCGTTCTTGATCGGCCAATCGTGCTTGCGCATCCTCAGCGTCTTCCTTGAGCGTCGAGTTCTGATCTTGCAAGTCGCGTAAGTTTCGCTCTAAGGCGGCCTTCTCATTGATGGCTTGGTCCTGCGCTTCACGTAGTTCTCTGGCAAGCGCCTCTTGTCGCTGTGTCGCCTTTTGCGCTGCGCTTTCAGCCGCCTAGCCCTGTCAGCCACAGTCAAACATAGTGACCTCCCATACACACCTGATACTTCTTGAAATCGGCCTCAGCTTTGGCTTGTTGTTCTCGAAGCTCTTTGTCATGTTGTAGTGTCAATAGACCCCGTTCCTGCTGTAGGTTTTTCAATTCGTACTCGAGAGAGTTTATCCGAGCCCGTAGGTTCTCATCGTGAGCATGGTCTGGAAGTCATCAGTACTCTCCTGCCGCTCAATCCGTGCGCGCTTATCACACCTTGTCGTGACACCGACGGCTGGCGCAGCCTCGATTGGCGGAGTGGTTGCGCAGGGCTCGCATCCGCTGCGCCTGTGATGAAGTCGTAAGTAGGCTGTGTGCTAGTATGTCTGCTCTGTCCCGCCTGGGATACGTCTCAGAATCAATGTTGCCAACCACCAGATGTCAGGACGACCTACTGCAGAGGCCGGACGCGGAAGGGAGGACTGCCCTCCTTGTAAACTTTTCCGGCTAGAGAGCGACGATCGCGACGTCGACAGGCGCATGCGCTTGGAAGCCGGTGAGCTCATCCCGACCAATCTTCAATCGGCTTCTTCTTCAATCCCAAGGAAGAGCTACCCGACTGGAGTTGCTGGTCGGTCAGAACCGCACTCTTGGGCAGTGTTTACGAATCCCCGTTTGGGTGCTGTTCCATTGCCTTGACTGTTTAGCAGGTAGCTTGGCGCTTATCTGCATATCGTTCTCATGATTGGCTAAAATAGTATCACGTGCGATCTATCTTATCTAAGGTAGGTACGTGTACTTAGTACATCCTGTAGGCTTGCTAGATGGCGTCCCACTCACGTGCCTTGAATGACTCAGCGTTTGGCCTGCAATATGCATACCATGATCTGGATGGACTCTGCAAACCTAAGTCAAACCCTGCAGCAACAGGTGCCGGTGATGCCAGGTTCAAGTCGCACTCTTTTAGACTATTGAAATGGCTCGCGCCGGAGGAAAGCGAGCTGCAAAGTCTACAGTCACGCCGACGTCCAGTGCAAAGCCGCCGCCTACCTCTCCTTCTGGCCCTCCTGCGCCGTTCCAATACGCCCCGATTTCTATACGACCATTCCTTTCCACCCTTCCCACCGACCATATATACCTCGTCCACGTGGACAACACGCCGGCGAGCTTGAAGAAGCGTGTCTTCGTCGTACCTCTGCTACTGAACCTTCTCCTCATTCTTGGGCTGTGCGTCCGCGTTTACTATGCGGTTCCGGTATACCTTGAACAAATTATCACCATCTTCGGCTATGACACAGCCTACACCGTCGATACAAAGACGGCAAAGGCGGGCGAGCTCATGAACACAATCAGCTCTAGAACTATCTTGTTGATGGTGGACTATGCTCTTTTCGGGTTTGTCGGCAGCTGGCCGCGAGAATTCTTCTTCGGAGGCAAGACCTCTAGGTTCGTGGGACCATGGCAGTGGCGATGGACTCTGGGGTTTAAGGAGACTGAGATCATCGTTCGAAGAGGAAGAATGTGGGATACACCGTTGCTAGTGGGGGACACGCCTGAGCAGGTCAAGACTTGGAAAATCGATGAAGAACTGACCATCAAGGTCAAAGTCGACCCGGCCATGCGCACGTCGACCCTCGCAAAGACTGGATACCTTCTCCTCGACAAAGACTGGGATCTGGACTTCAAGGCGATGCTGGATGCTCACAGGTTAGTCGAGCAAGGGACTGTTCAGGCCAAGGACTTGCAAAATTTGGCATTGGTGTATTACCAGAAACAGTGGCTAATCTGGCGAGTGCATGAGGATTCACACGTTAGTCAAAAGGAGGGACCGCAAGATGATATGCTGGAGCAATTCAGGGCCAAGCTGGCAGGTCTGGGGGCCGAAGATGTTTTCTTCCGCTGGATTGAAATTGTACAATATGAGACCTCGCAACCAGGAGGCTTCACCGAAGGGCGGCAGGCCGAGGCGCTCCGAGAATTGAAGAAACTTCTTACCAAGAAAGGAGTGGACTATGCCACGTTCTGGGAGGAAATCGGTGGCCAGGCTGGGTTGCCGGGTCTCGAATATCAGGGTTGATGATAAATACCTAAGGTAGCATTCTGTTTGCGCCGTGTGCGAGACTCCGAGTGAACAGACCTGTGTCTACTTAAAGAAATGCTGTGTGCTGGCATACGGACCAGCTTTCTGTTTATGATATGGCGAAAACTTCCCCACACTACAATTAATGTTCCTGCATTGTTGAAAATACCCCGCGTCATTCACCAAAGAAAAATGATGCTGTTAAGAAACTGCTTCTCCGGAAGTGCAACCTACCAGCTGCTCACCATTTCAATGCTGCCAGGCTTAGTCTATATTACCTACTGACAAAATGCCAGCCTCAAAGCTTTACCTTGCCGTCGTCGGTGTCGGCGGTGTCGGAACAGCTTTCTTGTCTCAGCTCGCTTCCCTCCCCTCCTCTCTCCGACCGACGTTGATCTTCCTCTCTCGCTCCTCGAAACAACTTTACACGTCCTCATACGACCCGGTGTCTGCCTCTGACCTGCCTTCATCTTCATCCAAACTCCTCTCACTTCCCGAGTTGACAACCTATCTTTCATCCGCTCCGGGCAAAGCCATCCTGGTTGATAATACATCGAATCAAGATGTTGCAAACTCTTACCCGTCCTTCCTGCGCCAAGGCATCAGCGTGGTGACGCCCAACAAGAAAGCATTCTCGGGCAGTCTGCAATTATGGACGGATATCTTCGACGCCGTCGACTCCTCCGACTGCCAAGCCATGGTCTACCATGAGTCCAGCGTTGGGGCTGGCCTCCCTGTGATCTCCACGCTCAAGGACCTGGTGGCGACAGGCGACCAGGTCACGCGCATTGAGGGTGTATTCTCAGGCACCATGTCTTTCTTGTTCAACTCCTTCGCCCCTGCTGATGGGACTGGAAAGGGCAAATGGTCGCAGATTGTGGCTCAGGCGAAAGAGGCGGGATACACGGAGCCGGATCCGCGAGATGACTTAAATGGCATGGACGTGGCAAGGAAGTTGACCATCCTTGCAAGGTTGGCAGGCTTGAAAGTACAAGGCCCCGACAGCTTTCCGGTTCAGAGCCTCATTCCCAAGGAATTGGAGACCGCCAAATCAAGTGACGAATTCATGCAGAGACTACCTGAATTTGACAGTGAGATGGAAGGCTACAAAGATGAAGCGGCCAAGGCCGGCAAAGTGGTTCGCTACGTTGGGTCCGTCGACGTCGCCGCTGGGAAGGTGAAAGTTGGGCTGGAGATGGTGGAGAAGGGTACGCCGATTGCCAGCCTTAGGGGAAGCGATAATCTGATTTGCTTCTACACGAAACGATACGGCGCGAACCCGCTAGTTATCCAGGGTGCCGGCGCCGGCGGGGAGGTCACGGCGATGGGTGTGACGGCGGATCTCATCAAAGTGGTTGAGCGTCTGCGATAGAACAGATCCAAAAGTGCAAGGACAGCTCAAAGTCATGTATGGCTGCGGAAAATATATACCCAACATTCACCTCATGTTCGGGCCGGATCTGAATGATCATGCAGCGATATCACGGGCCAAGGTTACACATACGCCCAGGCCTGACTAGACAGGCGTGCTCAGCTCCTCAAATACCTCTTGACCGCTTCGCCCCAAACGACACCTCTCTTGTAGAAATGCATCTGCGGCACATTGCCCAGTCTGAGACCATCGATGGCAAGGGCCAGTTCCTCACCGGCCCCATCCTCCTTGATCTGTTTGATGGGATATAAATAGGTGTGAAATGCGAAGACTAGTGCCTTCGAATTGGGCAGACGATGCAGAGTCTGACGCTCGCAGCGGACAAAGGTGGTATCGAGGTTAACATGGTCGACTTCTTCAATGTCGTCACCCTCGTGCGCATGTACCGAGCCTTTTCCCGGAGTGAACAATTCGGCGTCCGTCGTGACTGACCAGTTCGACCGCTTGACATACTTGCCGACCTCGACCTTGGAGAAGAAGCGGTCCATGCTAGACTCCAACTTGTCACTGTAGCCCGGCACGGGTCCATGGATGTCTGCGAGACGCTTCCCGATCTTCTCGGCCGGGTCGAACCCGGAAGCGCATGCTATGACGTACGCCTCCAGCACGTACTTGGGATCGTCGCTGTCTTCTTCAGGCAAGAGGAAGAGGAAGTCTTCGTCGACGGTGCGGCCGAGGGTTTCGAGAAGACGTTCAGTAGACATCTGCGCCGTCACTTTCGCAGGGAACAAGGCGCCCGTGATAAAGTTCTCCAGCATAAAGGCCTTGCCCTGCTCGTATTCGGTCTCGTGCAGTTTGAACATGGTCGGGAAGCGGAGGGGGAGGTACGTGCCGAGGAGAAATTGGTAGAGCTCCACGACGGCCGGGCGGATGCGAAGGTCATCATTCACGTTCACGATGTGCTTGCCTTGCTCGGCCATGATGCGGCGCCGGTACGCAATGCGCTCCTCGTATGTCTTGTCGATCAAGAGCAGCTCCGACGGCGGTAATTTCTCAAGGCCTGGGTCGTCAGAGTCGGCTCGTCCTAGGAGTTAGCCTTTCCTTTATGGCCTACAAGGCTCAAAGGGAGGAAAGGATAGGCGGGTAGTGTATTACTCGCGAGCAGGGGCCGGGATTGAGGAGGGATAGCACAAAACTCACCCATTGTCAAGAAGTATTTGGATTTCAATGGCGGAGGGGGAATTGGTTCCGTCGTCTTCCAGTCGAAGTCTTGCTGTTCCTCGATTGGAGGGAACTCTGGGGCTCGGATGTACCGTTTCTCATAGCCGGCCTTCTCTGCTGCTTGCTGCGAAGGTGTGTGTTAAGACAGTGCAAAACGACCCAACCCAATGTACATGTAGCATGGAACGCAAAGGCTATCAGGCAGAATAACACTCACCTGTTTCGCCCTGGCTTGCCGGATAGCGAAGTAGACAAAGACAACAAGAAGGATAATGTTCATGTAATTGGCGAGCGTAAACCCTGAAGCCGCTTTGATATCTTCCAACGACCTCAGGTGCCACATAAAGGAGGGCTTCTCGATGTTAGGAAGATGGTTCTTCATGATGAACGGCTCGCCCAGTGACCCTCCACTATTGCACCGTTACTGGTGCTTTTCAACGACTAAACTGATGGATGATGAATTGTCGAGGTGATTTCGAGGTCCGCGGAAGGAACCTCATGACCTTAATTGATACTTGGTAGATAATATATGTAGTGACAGCCAGTCCAACACACTCCATTTGGGCAAGTGGAGCCCACGGGCGATAAGAGAACTGGGGATAGATATACAGAGTACTTACGTAGTGGATGTACCGTGAGACTTGCCTCAGAGCAGACAATACGACATTTGCACCGACAATGTGATTAAGGAAATCCTTGATCAGGACCAAACAGCAGCTAGAATAGTATCTCAGGGCGTAAATTGTCAGTCATCAGCCGTACCTCCAAAGTTCATTAGGTATTCGTACGTACTTTACCAACCTCGGCTACTGGTACCTGTGATACTGCCCAACAGTCGGTGATATCCATGGTACTTGAGGTGCCAGCGATTAGATATGATACAAAGATTAGGTAATGTCCAGCGCTGCAAATACGCAAACACAAACCCATCACCGAGCCTGGCCTTCTGTCTTGTTATATTGTGCCCCCTGACAAACATCGTCGCCACTCTTTCTCTCGCAACTTCTGATCGATATCAGCTGGACAGGAACACTGCCCGCAGAACTATTTCGTAGACTTCTTTGTTGATGCCGGATGTAAGTATCAAGCATTGTCCAGCACCACGGAATCTCTTGTTAAATCAGTAGGCTATCTAGCAGGCTGTCGAGTATTAAATAGTATGCCGCAGGCGTCTGCAAGAAGCAGGCACCAAGATTCCCGTAACTGTAGCACCCTGCTGTGAGACCTTCTGCCCAACGGTCTTCACTCTCCCCAGTGAATGGAGGGAAACGTCTTGCTGCTGACTAATAATACCCAGAGCACGTGCCGCCCCTACTCCATCTCACACGCTAAACCAGATCCTCTCAACAACGCTAAACCCAATTCATGCACCGGTGACAATCATGGGTCAGACTGTGAGCCTGAACATGCCGAATGCTGGCATAGATGCCTCCATCAGTCATCGATCTGACTACACCCAGAACTACAATGACAGAGGAGGTGAATGGGGGATGGCGTTGTTGCAAGTCTACATCTCTCACACCGGTCAAATCCTCGCCTTCAACGCCGACTCGAATGCTCGCGTCGACAACTTGCGGTCATGGATCGAATCCACCGCAGGCGTCCCGGCCGGGCGCCAGATCTTGATGACTGCCCGCGGCAAGAACGTCAAGAACGTATCCAACGAAGCCGAAATCTATGTCTACGATAAACAATTCCTCTCTACTGACTCTCGACCCCCCGCCAGAGACCGCCTCGGGTTGCAGCCGCTCTCTGCCCCCCCTTCCTCTCTTGCCGACGAGAATAGCCTCAAAGTATGGAAGGATCTGTTCATGTCCAGACGCGCCTGGGCGTTGAATGCGTTCGAGATAGCGAGGACAGGCGTGGACAACATCGAAACATGTGCAGATGAAACTACAGTCATCGGCCGATCTATGCAGGTGGCCTTGGACAATCTGCAAACTAGTGTGACCAGTTTACAGCAGCGGTTCGAAGAGACGCAGCAGTGGGCGGAAAACTACATGCAAGAGCATCAAGACATACTCCAGCACTGGCAAGCACGTGCCGAAGCACTCGCGGAGTTGCCAGTCCGTGAAGATGTTGCAAGAGTCTTACGTCGTTCTGCGGAGGAAGCCGAGAACAATCACAGCCACACCACTCCACCTATAGGTACTCTGATAGACTTGGTTGAGCGGGCTGGGCTTCAAGCCGCGGCCGATAGCGTCGAACAGAACTCAGTGGAGTTCGAGCAAAAGCTCAGAAAGTTGCAAGCAGACATGGACAAGCTGAAGACCGGTACAGCCGATGCACACAGCCAACCAACGCAAGTTGCGGATATCGACACGAACGCTCTGCTCGACGAAGCTGAGACATTGGCTAAGCGGATCACCTCTGATTACGAAGATGTCTTGCAAATGCAGGATAATCCCAAATCAGTTGCCTCGGTCTCTCGAAAGGCTGCTGTGCACACCAAGGAGCTGCTACCAGCCCTCGTGGCCGTGGTGGAAGAAATCATTCACGCCTCCAACGCTGCGTCAGAAGCCAGAAAGGCCGTTTCGAGCGAGTGGTATTCGACACTTCAACAGATTTCCAGCCTTCAATCCCGTCTGGCTGAAGCACAATCTGCCACCACAAATCTGGACTTCCACGACGACGACAACTTACAACTGCTGAACCGAGTGTTTCAACTACCTCTGGTATACGGGGCCACTTTAGTGGAAGCGACCAGAAGATCCGAATGGACCGAGCGGATGAGGGCCGAGGTTGACATGCTCCACGAAGATCTGTCCCTTCAGACCGAAGAGGAGCAACGACGCCGCAAGAAATGGACAGCAGCACACAACGAGTTCCTGGATGAGGACTTGAACGCGAAAGACCCCTTGATCGATCTGAGAGCATCATCACCACGAAACTCCTGGCCATTCGTGAGCAGGGATGAGATATTTGCTTGGATTGACGACCTGACCGCCTTGGGAATCGACGACGCTGTTCAAGTACTCACACAGCGAATGAAAGACCTGGATGCACCGATTCGAAAACAGAGGCCGAAGCCGTTCAAGAATGGAAGCATGCATGACCTCAGACAGAGTGCGGCTCTACGCACGGGAGACGAGGTTAGGAATTTACAGGACGAGAAATCCCGACTGGAAGAAAAGTTAAGGGCTTCGGACAGTCGAGTGCGCAAATTGGAAGACCTCCTCCACCGCCAAAGTCAGCTCAGCCGACCTAACAGTGGGATATTCGTGCCAGGCAGTGCCGCAGAGTTCGAACGACAGACCCCTTCACCAGGTCCGTTCACCAGACAGAGCGATCTATCCCGAAGATCGTCCCTCTCTCATCGGCGATTGTCTAGTACACAAGATGAAAAGTCGCTGGTGCAAAAGATCGTTGCTTTGGAAGGTCAAGTTCACAAATTGCAAGAGGAGGCTCACGCCGAACGACGTTCAAGTTCTGAGAGCAGAGATAAGATGCATGAAGCCGAACTTGTCAAGCAGGATCTGATGGCCAACTTTGAGTCTCAGAAACAAGAATTCGAGGAGGAACGTCAGCTGCTGGACGATGAGGTGCATAGGCTTAAGGTGAAATTGGACGAAGCAGAAGACGAGCTTGACCGCCTCAACGAGTCCAGAGACCATCTGCGCACGGAGCAGGATCAGGTCATTCTTAATCTGCGGAATGAACTTGAACAGATGAGTGGGAGTGCGGCTGATGATCTGGCACAGACGAAGCGGAAGCTAGAAATTGCTCAAAAGGAAGTCAGCGTGCAACGAGACAGAGCAGCCAGTCTGGATCGCCAACTTCATCAGGTCAAAGATGAACGAGCTGCTGCACAAGCGCAGAACATGACTCTGGCGAACCAACTCAGAGCCATGGAGGAACAACAGCAGGAAATCATCACCATTCTGCAAGGTGCGCATTCGAATCTCTCCCCTGCGGGCTCTCCTCCAGAAGATCTGCGGCGTCTCGTCAATGCTCTCGAGATCTTGTCCGAAGGCGCAGCCATCCACGCCCGGGGGTTGGATGAATCGTTGCAGCTTGCAACGGCAGAGAACAAATCCCTGGAGGAAAAAGTAACTCACAACGAGTCTCAAATCAAGTCTTTGACAGCAGAGCTATCTAATGCCGAAACGCGATCCAACGAGCTTCGGGAGAGCCTTGAGCAGGAACGTAGCAAGATCTCAGCCTTGCGATCTGAGCTCGGGAGTGAACGCGCAGAAATACACAGTCTCCGGGAGAAATTTGCTGCAGGCGAGACGGGATCCGGGGCGTTGAGACAACAGCTCACGTCAGAGGAACAAAAGGTCGCCGAACTCATGGACCGCAAAGCCGAGGACGATGGCATCATGCAGCACTTGCGACATGAGATTGAAGACCTGACACGTACTGCACGAGCAGCCGCTGAACGACAAGAGACACTGGGGCAGCACCTCAACAGCCGTGGTGAGAAAGCTAAGCAGTTGTCAGAGCGCCTCTTCCATCACCACGACCGTATCATCCGCATGCTAGAACAGTTTGGCTATTCAGTATCGAGACAGGATGATACATTGATTATTAAGCGCGCATCGAAAGTCAATGCGAGTGTCGTCCTCAGCGGTGGCGAAGGTACAGGGGCATCCGTGATGAAGCGTACCATTTCAGGCTCGGTCCCGGCACAGCACTACTCGGACCCTTCAGATTTGGAAACACTTTACTGGATATCTGACAACGATCCGGATTCCGAGTCAGGCAAATATACCAACTTCCTCACTGCCATGCAGCGACTAGATATCGACAGCACGATCGACCTCCTTACGAAGCGCTACAAAGATGTTGAGAGCCTGGCCAAGAAGTACCAGAAGGAATCACGGGCGTATCGCGAGCGAACTCACCGAAGTCAAGCAGAAGCACACGACAAGATTGCATATCGGAGTTTCAAGGAGGGCGACCTTGCTCTATTTCTTCCGACTCGGAACCAGGCGACTCGACCTTGGGCCGCCTTCAATGTCGGGGCTCCCCACTACTTCCTTCGCGAGCAGGATGCGCACAAGCTTCAGGCTCGCGATTGGCTGCTGGCTAGAATCACCAAGATCGAGGAGCGCGTGGTTGATCTATCTCGTAGCCTGTCGACGGGAATGCGCGGCAACGTCTCTACCACGGCTAGCGTGGATGACGCAGGATCGATGCGATCAATCGACGACGAAAACCCATTCGAACTGTCCGACGGCCTGAGATGGTACATGATCGATGCTACTGAAGAAAAGCTGGGGGCCCCAGGCACGCCGTCTGTCGGCAAGTCGACCGTAACAGCATCGAACATCGAGGTCAAAGGTCATATGGGGATGGGAAGGAAGGAGCACAAGTCAGGCATGAGCATCGGCGGTGGAATGGGCAGTGCAAGCGCAACAGCGAACATGGTGACCAAGACGTTGACTAAGAGCCTTGACAGCCGCCGTTCAAGTTCGGGGAGTAAAAAGAGCGTGGATCTCAAAGGCAAACACGATGTCCTGGCCGCTAGCAGAGGAGGTAGTGTTAAGGACGTGCCCTCCAAAGCGCCTCTGGCTCCGATCTCAAGCGACACCGATGCCGAGCAGTCTCATGCCCGTGCCGATGAAGCGAACGCTGAGGCCGAAGCTGACGCCGGTGCAGACGGAGACAACGCGCAGGACGCCGCACAGCCAGGACCCAAGTCCGGCACACAGACCGCTACGGCCAGCATTGTGCGGCAGCCCACCGCGGCCAGCCAGACGGACCGAGAGGAGGCACAGGTCTTCGAAGTGGTGAGGAGGGATCTCCTGCTCGGCCCATAAAGGAATCTTGAAGATTGGCTGATACGAGAAAAAAAACAGACTGGCCCTGTTCCGTCTCCCTCTGCCTCTGCGTCCATGACGAGGATGCATGCGCACCTGGCATCATCGCCTGCAAGCTGGAGACATGACAACCACGCCGAACCAACAGAAGCTGCGCGTGAGCGTATCCGCCATCATCCTGCGCTGAACCCGCGTTCTTCCCCAAACATGAGAGCTGTGTATTCCACAGTGCCGTCGAGGCGCGCGTCGCAGTCGCCGTTGAGGCAGAACACAATGGCACCCATGAATCAAACGCCGACAGCAAGTCCAGCGAAACCTCGGACCGCAGGAGAAGATGGCTCCTCCTCTCCTTCGCCGGCGAAATCGAGGGCTTGGGACAAGCTCTTCAGCATGGAATATCGGCTGTAGTCCGTCGCAGGCAGGATGGTGGCTGATGAAGAATGAAGGGAGAAGGGCATCATGTACTGTTTTCACGTCGACGATTCCGGCTGGGAGAACAGCCGTTGCAGGGCACAATCGCGGACGACTTTCGCTACCACACAGTACGTAGTCATCAATCTGAGAGAATAAGGTCCAATGCGGCACATCCCTCCCCAATTTCTAGAGGGCACAGCATAAAGACCCTCTTGCATTTGAAGTAGATGATACATTGGGTCTGCCACTTCCTACACCCTTCTACCATGGTATAGCTTGTCGGCGTTCCACCAGCCCAGTCTCCCCAACGTTGAAAGACACACTGCTTGGAGATGCATTGCCCTGGCCAACCCGACATCCTGGTGCTGTGAACCTTCGCTACTCTCGCACACCTATCTACCTACCTCACCTACCAAGGTACTAGCACAGCTAGTATCCAAGTACTTCAAGTCCTGTAAGGGAAGTAGGACCAAGGCGTATCAGATAGTAGTACCTAGTACACTCAGGTAGACACTCCTAGGTAGTAGTACGTTATTGGAGCAACCTCAGTCTTTGAGGAAGCCACCAGCAGACAGACCTCCGGGTTTGCAGCCGCATAAGTGGAATGATGGGATGCTGGCTCTATACTACGGAATCTTGTCCACCACGGAGGTCTGTACTCGCAGACAATGTCCTTGCCAAAGATATATCTCTTCAAAAGCACTGTGACTTAAGTACCTACCTAAGGTACCTTAGGTAGGTAGGCACCTCGGGTAGGTATGGAGATCCGTACCGTGAGCTGTACAAGGAGCATAAGATGACAACAGTACACAGGCTTCTAATCCTGGTACAAGGACATCGTCACTGCGGGTAGTGTGTAGTAGGAACGGTGGCCGATACGAGTGAGGTGAATGGTTGCGGAGCGGAGCAGAAGGGGAGAGCAGATAAAAAGTTCTAGAACGCAGGTTGGAAGAGTTCGCAGGGGCAAGAGTAGCTTGTCAGCAGTAGGTACGTGGTAGTAGTTAGGCAGTGATAGCGAGTATCAAGTTCGTAGTATCGTGCTCGGCGCTTTGTGAGTACGTACTTAGGTACCGACCTAGGTAGGTAGTAAAGGCAGCTACTAGTAGTGATAGCGAGTAGGTAGTAACGTCAGATGACAATTCACTACTACTAGTGGGTTGAAGGAAGGTGGCTGGAAGAGGAAGAAGGGGAGAAGCAGCGTGAGCTGAGAGTACGAGATCAGACTACGTTCAGATCAATCATAATAATAAAATCTAGTACTAGGTAGGTAGATACCTGTAGGTAGCTATCCAGTAGTAGTGCAGTAGTAATATGCTAGTGCCAATGGTAGGAAAGGTAAGTTGTCAAAACAATAGCTACAGCTTGATCTGAGAGCGCAGTTTGGCAGCATTGGCGGCATTGACAGCAGTGATCTATCGCGAAAACCTCACAGGAGGTAGTAAGTAGCGAGAGCAGCGAGAGGTGGCTCGTTTGGCAAAAGGGGGAGAAGGGGAGGCTGAGGAATGATGCAGTGATTGATGCCGTGGGTGATGGAGCTGGATGATTGATGATGGCATGCAGTGCGCAGGTTGATGGGTTGATTTGCAGTCACCTACCAGTAGCAGGACGTGGTTTACTGGCAGCACGGTGTTTTGGTGGTAGCATGGCAATAAATCATCGATTGATCTGTGTGCGCCTGGCACGGCACTTCTGGCCTGGCCCTGCGCCCTCAGCTCGCGCACACGATTCGTGCTGACTGCCGGCCCGCAGTTCGTAGTGGCAGTTGTACTAGCAGTATTCGCCCAGTCGCCAGTGCCAGTCGCAGTCGCAGTCGCAGTCAGTCACCCGCGCCCTCCCACTACCACTCTGCCCTCCCAATCTCCCTTCCCCCCCTACTCCCTCCTACTCCTACTACTCCTACTACTACTACTCCCACCCACTCCTACCACTACCAACTCCTACCACTACTGCTCTCTCTCACAGTACTGCTTCCTCTGCGCTGTACACGCCCATTTCGCTGTGCACTCACTCTACGCCCACCCTTCCTACTCATACGCCTTTCTGGTAAGTACTCACCATTCTTCTTTACCACTACCACCTCGTTGCCCACCACTTTCATCTGTTGTCGCACATTGTTTCTTGTCAAAATCCCCGTCAAAAATGCTCTTCTCATCATCGTTCGACCCTGTTTCCGCTCACTCGCGACCTCATCGTCGCCATCGCCAACGCCATCGCCGCCGGCGCCAGGATCGCTAACCACCACCACCACAGTTCGCATCGCAAAATTCTGCTCTTTGACGCGTTTTTGCATCCTTGGTCAGTCCATCTGCTCGCCAGATGCGTTTAACCCTGGGCAAAGACGCGTTTTGACCGCGAATGCACTCTCCCAAAACACCCATGCTTTCATTTGCCTGCGCGATCCTCCTACACGCAACAGACTACATTACCTGCTTGTCGCGATTGTCCTGCCTGCAATCACTCAAACAAGAACAGCATTGTTCGCTGTGCCAAGTGCCTGTGCCCTCTGTCGCTCCTTGTCCTTCCACAACCTTGATTTCCTCCACTGCGCTCCTACATAACCCTAGCTCAACTCCATCAACAACCTACTGACGCCTTACACAGCAGACTGCAACCCTCGAGACCTCTTCCAGACGTCCGAATCCTCTTAGAAACACCATAATGCCTAAGGCTAAGTCAACCAAGACCAAGGGTCGCGGCGCGGAAAAGAAGAAGAAGGGTCAGTAAACAAACCTGGCCCCGCGTCGGGCACGCGCAACTGACATGGCTAGACCCCAACGCGCCCAAGCGAGGTCTCTCCGCGTACATGTTCTTTGCCAACGAGCAACGTGAGAACGTCCGTGAGGAAAACCCAGGCATTAGCTTTGGTACGTCCACCCACTGCTCTGCACCTTCACGCCAGAGGTACTAATCGCGTCCACAGGCCAAGTCGGCAAGGTCCTCGGCGACAGATGGAAGGCTCTCAACGAGAAGCAGCGCGAGCCATATGAGAAGAAGGCTCAAGCCGACAAGAAGCGGTATGAAGATGAGAAGGCGAAGTACCAGGTAAGTCTGAGCCATCAGCTGGATCGCCTCAAGCATTCCTTTAACCAGGCTCTAGGCTGGCGGTGACGCCTCCGATGACGACGAATAAACAGCGCGACGCTCTACTACCTCGTTAGTGTCGTCAGTCTCAAACGCATTGAGATAGTCGCCGTCCGTTCCCTTATTTTGTCGTTATGGTTTCACTGGCAATGACCGGCTGGGAGGCGTGGTTTCTGGAGTCAGTCGTGGAAGGGGCCGGTGTGCTTCGTTTGCAGGGTGCTACGCAAAAACAATCGAGCATGGAAGAAGTTGTCGCGGGACGCCCAACAGTCCCGCCGAAGTCACCATGATCGAGCTGCAACATCATATGTGTGAAGCATACCAGGGTACTTGCTGTATACTAGCTCTTTATGCAATGCATCATCTGCGTACCTGAACTGTTCCGCTCTCGTCCTCTTTTCTTCGCCAATGCTGTTGGGCCGTGGCTTTTGCCCGGCTCAAACCATAGCGAACGCGTCGAACAGCGACGCGTCTTGGATGCAGTGGCCAAAGAATATAGACACCTAATCCATAAACATGGTGCAACCTCGCGCGCTGCGCAGATGAGCGTATCGCTTCAAGAACCTCGCCAGCCGTGTTATTGTCGACCTGCAAGGCGTCAAAATTTGGCCTCCATTGATCATGTCCGCGGGGGCACGGTACTAAATGCCTTCTATCGACCCCGAAAGACCCGTTTGGCCCCTTGAAGTTGTTGACCCGTGTGGCTTAGCCAGCCAAGGTGTCGCCTCAGGCAGCAACAAGGCGTAGGTGCGACTCTCGCGCTTGCTCTTAACCCCCAGCTATATGGAGTAGATCTCCTTTCCCATCTCCACCGATACTTCAAATTGATCCCTCAATAAATCCATTGTCGGCCTCAAAACACCTGCTGCAGCATTTGCAAGCAGACCGGAGACATCACTCGGACTGGGCTGTTCACGACTACACAACGCTTCCGCCGTAGCATGGTAGGACATACTTCCCATGCACCGGTCCAGTTGCGTTCCTTCGAAAGGCAAGTACACGTCGTACCGCTTGTAAGTGATCACTTGTCGGACTTCTGCCATGCAGTGAGAAGCTTGAGCGAGTGTCCAGGCTTAGGCTGCAATAAACCTGCAATATGACGCATTACGTTTGCTGTCTCACTGGCACTGGCACTGGCATGAGAAGAATCTCGAGGGTCAACGGCACTTCTGAGTCAGCTAGTCTTCTCAAAGAACAGTCGGCGATATCAACAAAGCTTGAGGGGGCCCAAGGGTCATTTAGGGCTGGTACTGAGCATGACAGGAACCACATCAGAGCTTGCGTTGCAACCGACCTAGGTATCCTCTCCCAGGCTGGGTGGACAAATCGGCGTGTGCCATGCTTCAGTAGGCCATGCATGGCCAGCGTTCTACCATCGGCTTCGCCTGCTGTCCGCTTGACACGTCAACAACCTGCATGAGGGTCGTCTCCGCGTATTACGAGCGATTCATACCACCCGGTCTCATCGACTCAGCCGCCCAGTCTTGTTGACACCGAACAGAGCCTGATCAACAAGCGCTCTCGATCGGTCGTACTTCTCGAACTTCGTTATCTGCATCTTGATTTACCATGCATGGATCTAATACTTCGCGAAGAGGCTGGCAGAGCCCAGGAAATTGCGGACATTCTGAGTGTGGTCAGGAAATTTGATCAGGACCATGTGCAGGAAATCACCTTGGCCATCACACGACTGAACGATCTGAGCTGGGCTCTGGGAGAACTCGACATCCAAATCGACGCAGTCAGAGACATTATCACTCGGCCAGTGGCTGATGACTTGGGACTGGCACAGAACAGTGTCGCATTTACACTCCAGGACATCTGGACAATTCTAGGCAAGATTCCTCTTGACCCCATCCGAGCCGATTATCAAGATGCGTGGAAGGACATCACCCGATATTGTTTTGCAATGGGTAACCAGACTTTGCCTATGCGTCTGGAGACCTATCGACTCTTTGTTTGTGCCCTATGTAGAGTGTTGAGAAGGTAGGCGACGGACATCTTGCCCTGCAGTCACGAGCGCTCAGTCATTTTCGGTGCCAGGCAATCCTACAGTCGGCACCAACTACAACATCTGCGCCATGAGATCTACGATCTGCGGTCCCTGCAGCGTGAGAACAGACGATTGATCTCGGCCGCAGAGGCTTTTGCGAACCTTTCCCTGGTCCCAGCGCAGCGAACAGGCGGGTAGCGTTGTCCAGAGCGGTGTCACCCTGAGGACTAACATTGGGTAGGCATGAGAGAACGTCCATCTCACGAGCGTGTGCGGCCGCCTCGACAGGACCAACGGCCAATGTCTCCTGCGTCTTCGCACGGCAGCTACCAGACTCTCCAGAATCAAGCAGCTCCCAGCCCACCCGCCTTGTCTTCCCCTACCACGACCTTTTCTACGTTGAGTCATACTTCTAGTGCTGACCCAGATACGGGCCACTGGGCCTCTAAAATCTTTGATAACTTACCTACCACCCTTCTGGAGGATGACCCTCTACCGTGAGTGATCTCATTCTGGCTTGTTCTCCAAGGGGCCACTGACCGGGTACGTTCAGCTCGCGCTGTTTCGGAGAAAGCTCTGGCAGGGGCCGCAGCTTTCCTGATCCCGAATTTGACAGGATACTTCAGATGTACGGCTAGTACCGTCCGGCGATGAGGGCGACAGGCTGACATGAAGTAGCAAGTTCCCTGGTGGCATTCGGACAAAATTCTACCTTCGTGCTCGCGATTATCGTTGCAAGCTGGTATGCGAATGGTCGGACAGCAAAAAGGGAACTCGGTGGTCTTGCCTGCCCCTCAATGAACTACACATACGACGGTCCGGACCATTTCTGTACCTTTGTCGTCCAACTGTCACAGCTACCAGCACTTGTTGGGCCAGCCTCAAATTCACTTCGTATGAATGTGAGCACTGTGACCAGAGTATGCCTGGTGCGATGCTGATATATCTCTAGGGCTGGTGGTTTTCCATTGCACATTTTTGTCACTACGATCCCATGACAGTCCTAAGCCCGGCAACAATACGTTGGACCATGTGCTGAAGGGGGACACGAGTTATTTTGCTGGGTATGCGCCCGACTGCGCAAGGAGACAGGCCTGCATAACGCTGACTAGGTCAGGGCTATACGAGACAGCGGGTACGAACACGCCTTGCGATTGTATCGGGACAAGAGCACGGATGCCCTTCGGCTTGAGGCGTCGGTTCTCGATGGAGCAATGCAGCAGTGAGCGGGCGATCTCATGCAAGATTTATCGTTAGACTGACACATCCTGCAGTACTCCGATATGGACGGCGTTCATCACACATAATGTTACTTCTCCTACCTGGTACCGCTGGTCGAAGAACAGCTCGACGGTATACCTGGCCGAGCTTCAGCGCCGCATTTTCTCGTCGCAGTATTCGCCGCATATCGCGGCAAGCGGGGAACACTTTCTCGACTTTGAATTGATGCAAGGTACATGTTGAAGGGTGCAAAGGTATCCTTCAGTCCAAGCTGACTTGGTGCAGACGCAGAAGACTTTGCGAAGACCATCGACGATTTCGGCGAAGAGTATCGCCGCATGAAACCGGCGAGGTAGAGCACGACATCATTTGACGATAATTATGACATTGACGATTGACGACAACTCGGGGGCTCAAAAAGGTCTTTTTCCTTGATATCACAGCGAAGCGAGGCTATGTGCTTGGATACGATACCCTGCGTTCTTGCTTTATGACCTGTTTTCTCAACTCGACTTATTATATGTGGACTACTTTGAATCCTTACGTTTCGATTGTCGCAACGGCCAGAGAGGCTGACCGGATGGAGAGGTCTCTTGCAGGCGAGGATCCCGAATGTATATTCGTGAAGGTGCCGAGGTTCCAGTGGAAAGGCTGTTTGGCTCGTTACGGCCAGCGTGACGACGGCTGTAACCTTGTCTAATATTATCAAGATATATCTATCCATCCCTCATGGACGTTGATCTATTTCATCCTATGTCATCTGCTGCTGGTCTTATCGGGCTTGTTGCCGTGTTTCCCGTGACCGGCCAATTTCCCCCAATTGCGTGGAGAAGGATGGACGGGAGACGCCTGGGTTCGGCGCATGCCGATCCATCCTCCGCGTCATGGGAAGTCTCCATCTATTTCGTACTGGATTAGTCTATATCCGTGTGTCTGGGGCAGAAACCATGGTTACACCCTCTTCTGTGTCGTGTTGTGCGTGCTGGAGCGAGAGCCGGGCTGTTCAACCATGTCCAGGTCGCAGCCGACCGAACCCGTCGCCGTGAGCAACGACGAAGAAGGGCCTTCGCCAGCACAGGAGCGTGCTTTGCAACATGCGGTCGCGGCGAAGAAACGGGGTATACCCCAGAAACTGTATGACTGCCTCACATATGTGCCTTCGCGATGTCGATACGATCCCGAGAATCCATTCAAGTTTTCAATGGGATTGAATGTACTGTTTGGTAGGCGAAGGACTCGATGCTGGTGGAGGGCGACGACACTGACGACTATGTGATATATATAGCGTTCGCCGGATGCTTCACGGTCGCGAACCTCTACTATACCCACCCCATTCTCAACCTCCTGGCAGACGATTTCCATGTCACCGGTGAACAAGCCTCCTATATTCCCACCCTCGCACAAGCCGGATATGCAGGGGGATTGTTATTCTTGTGTCCGTTGGGAGACCTGGTCAAGAGAAGGCCGTTTGTCCTATGGCTGGTTTGGTTCACGGCGACACTCTGGTATGAAGAAACTTGAAAGGCCTTCTCCTGGACATTCTATATACAACTGACTGACTGGGCATGAACAGGATCGGGCTTTGTGTGACCAACTCGTTCGCCGCTTTCGGCGCCATCTCCTTCATCACCAGCGTCACCACGGTCACACCGCAGCTGATGCTCCCTCTGGTGGGCGACATGGCGCCTCCACACCGTCGCGCTACGTCGCTCTCGATCGTCGTGTCGGGCATGCTGTTAGGGATGCTCATGGCTCGGCTCCTGTCCGGCGTGGTGGCGCAATACATCGGATGGCGGTACATCTACTGGATCTCGTTCGGGCTGCAATATGTGATTTTGTTTCTGCTGTACCTGTACATGCCGGACTATCCATCCACGAACCCGGGCGAGGTGATCTGGAAGAAATATCCGTTTCTGCTCTGGGACATCCTGAAGCTGGTCGCCGAGCACCCCGTGCTGGTGCAAGCGTGCCTCGTGGGGCTCTTCACCGCCACCATATTCACGAACTACTGGACCACTCTGACCTTCCTCCTCGCCGGCCCTCCTTACCATTACAGCTCCCTGGTCATTGGGCTCTTCGCGCTGATCGGCATCGGGAGCATGACGTGGGGTCCCATCTTCGCCAGGACCGTCATGGAGAAACACCAGCCTCTGTTCTCCGTCATCATCGGCGAGCTGTTCTGTCTGGTCGGCGTCCTCGTCGGCACATACACCGGCAAGTTCACCATAGCCGGACCCATCATCCAGGCCGTTGCCATCGACATCGGCCTGCAAACCAGCCAGATTGCCAACCGTACCGCAATCTATGGGGTCGCGCCACTGGCCAGGAATCGCGTCAACACTGCCTACATGGTCAGTGTTTTTGTCGGACAACTGATTGGCACTGCGGTCGGCAATCACCTTTACGCCGATGGCGGCTGGACGTCCTCTGGGTCTGCTAGTGTCGGCTTCGTCGTTGCGGCGCTGGTGGTCTGTTGCTTGAGAGGGCCGCATGAGAAAGGCTGGCTCGGCTGGCGAGGAGGATACAATATGCGGAAACACGTGCCGAGAAAGCCGGACAAGGTTGAAAAGGATCAAGAGGCCGCTCATGGCCGCCGAGGAGAACCTCAACCTCGACCATTCGTCCAAGAGGGGTTCGAGCAGCAAGAGAAGGAGTTGGAGGTGCGGATCCAGAGTGATGGTCTTGCCGTCGACAATTCCTCGTCACAGCGCATTCTGAGCGAGGAGATCCAGGCCCCGCCGCAGAAGGCGTGAGTCGCGCAAGGGACTGGATGGTTGCGCTTTTCGCCGGGCAGTGCTCCGAACAAGACTTTTGAGTCTCGGCACTTTGTGCTGGAAACATGGGTCTGACGGTATATGATATCTACCATACCGTTTAAACGACTCTAGGCGTCCCTGAGGTGCGCATAACTAGCGCCCGTGCGACAGGAGGAGACATTGCTAAGGAACGTCTCGACGCCCAGCTGATCGCCCGAGGAACCTCCCCTGTCGCAAAGTGCTAGAACAACGCACTATTGCCTCGATTTCCGCTAAGCGATCAACTGTTCCTTCAAGAGAAGGCATGGTTCCAACTTCAGTCGTGTCTTGTGGGGGTAAAAGTACTTGGGCTGTCCACGCGCTGGGAGAAGGGCAGAGAAAGAAGAGTGCAAGTCCGAACTCGAATGGGAATGGACCTGACGACAGATGATTTGTCGGGGCTGTCGTTGGGCGAAGAAAAATGATTCTCGAAACCGTCTGAAGAGTGTCAGTTGGCGAAAGCTGGGCGATGACCGCTTTGGATATTCCCCTTTCTCGAATTCTGGGCATTGGATGACCCGTCATAGTTTCTTTAGAAAGGATGCGGTCGCAATGCGGTGCCATGCAATGCAATATCTACCGTTCTCTTTGAGCACCCCTGTACACGTGTCACCAGCTATAGCGTCGCACTCCATGTCCAGCTGAGTAGCTTTGCGACCTTGAACAGACTCCAATATTTCTTTGAGGGATTGGCGAGGCTTCATTTGGGACCTCATGAAAGACTGGCAATTTCAACTTTCCATATCAGCCCTTTTTGGGGAGGCGGGGGATTTCGTTGGCCTGGGAAAGGGACGTGGGTGAAGTCGGAGGAACATGTTAGCGATGGTCCTGACGAGTACGGCTGAATCCATGGTCTGTAGAAGGAGGCCAGTGGAGGGAGGAGGCCAGTCTATAGATGAATCGCAGATCAAAATAGGATCCTGAAAAGACAATGAGTTGTGATGTACTAAGTAGTAGCATATAGGAGAATGAGGCGCCGGTTCGTTCGCTTTAGTAAAGCGGCATGGTCTGGGGAAGGAGACCCGCGTCGCTGCCAATACGATTTACGAGTTGGTATTCATTTAATAATTGATGCTCGCGATTGTGAAATCGATGTGAATCACAACTACACAAGTACGTACTTTCATCCGCGAGCTGACCCACTGGCGCGTCCTTTCGGTCGGTCCTCCGATGTTGACGGGGATATCAACGACAACCCACCATGGACTCTGTCGTGCTTAACCCACTCAACTCGCTTGAAACCCACCTGAATGCTCTCATCACCTCCCTCACCCAGACCAACACATTCAGCAATGCACCCCAGATAACAAAGGACCTCCTTTCGGACGACTACAACCTGACAGAGTCCCTCAATATACTCCAGAGACACCAACAGAACTACGCCCGCACCCTCGACCTTCGCGCTGAAGTCGCAAGCCTCCAAGAGCAGCTCAAAGACACCATCAAAAAGTGCGTCGCATTGAGGCAAGAGATCGGACAAATCCACCCGTCAATAGTGGACTCTGTGGACTCGGACGACGAAGAGGAGCAAGAGATAGGAGCAAAGGTGGCAGAAGTCGACTACCAGACATTACTAGCGTTCGCGGCCCGCATAGGAAGGCACAATGCCGCGGCCGCAAGGGAGGCAGAAGCCGAGGCCATAAGGAGGAAAGTTGCGGCCAGAAACAACACGACATCGGCGACAGCCACCACCAACGGTGTCTCTGACTCCGGGGCCCAAACGGCTGGCCACGAGAATGCTACCGCGGAGACTGAAGCCGAGCTCGAACGCATCCACAACACAATCGCCCTCACCCGCGCCCAGATGGGCATGGCGTTCCCCGACGCCAACATGCTGCGCATCGGCGCTCTGGGCCAGCTCCAGCTCTTCCAGGAGCGACAGCAGCATGCGTCGAATGGAGACGAGGAGGTCCAGGCTGCAGTGGAGCGAGAGGTGGAAAGAATGGTACGGGAGACTGAGGATGTTGCAGAGGCGGAGGTCGAGCATGGGGCAGAGGAGGAGGGTGACGATGACGACAACAACCTAGGATCATGGCCGAGTCCGGAGATGTCGAGACGGTCGATTGGTGGCACTGGCACTGGAATGCCTGCCGCCGTGCAACAGTCCGCTTCTCAACCTTCGCAGAGCAGGGCTGCCGTTCCTGCTGCTTCAGCGCCGGCGCCGAAGAGGAAGCTCGACCTTGATTTCCCAAGCAGTGATGATGACGACGATGAGGATTGAAGAAAGAGCTCTGGAGAACCAAGGCTAATCCAGCATTGTTGATCGGACTAGGGAGGACTCACTCCAAATCAAGGTTCTGTGCCAGACCTATCTTTCGCGTTCGGTCTGCAGGGCGCGACACCCAGTTCGAGAGCTGCCGGAACTTCCCAAATCCTCCGTTTCGCCCGAAGGTCCTTGCAGCTGAGATATTTGAGTCCACCATGTCACACTACTCCCCTGCAAATTATCTATCCGGGGACAGCCCAAGTCTGCGACTCGTCAACCGGGCTATGAACCGTACCATCTATCTCGACGACTACCAGCACAGAAGGGTTCTTACACGGTGGCTTCGACAAGTGGTTGCTATGGCATGTCTCAGGTCATTCTGCTCCGCCTGATGACAGTCCTCCCGCATCGGAGCATAGCGATGATCATAACCCGGTCCAGACCACACAAGCCTGGACTACCTGATCAATCAGCATACGAGGACTCGCTTCGCAGGCCAAACAGCTTGGATATTCGGCAGAAGCAGAAGCGCAATGGATGGAGCCCGTACCAACCGGCCAGGATTTCGACCCAATCTTGCTACTCGCACATGGCTAAATGCACATGGCTAACTTAGATAGTCGCCTTCCATAGGATCCGGTGATATTACGAAGAGCATTTCTCAGCCACTGAAAGATGGAGGAGGAAAGACTGTGTAGGAGCACCAGCTGGAGAAATTTCAATCGTGACGATCGCTCGCTGTTCCAAATTCCCTACGTGCAGATATACTAGTTGTTATGTCTTGAACATCTGATCCGTTAGACAAGCTTACAACCATGAGAACGTTGGATTTGACCATGTCTTTTTTCATTCGTGAGTAGAGAGGTACTATCTAGACATCTAACATAGAGCAACCAGCGAACGGCTGGCACAGTACTAAGCGAGTGTGTGTGAGCCTCCATCCAGGCTTTGCGCCACGGCAGACGTAGCAGCTGATCTGAACGCCATCAATCAATAGCTCCTGAACCTGCTTTTCGAGACTCCAACATCGAGCAAGGTATTCGATCATGTCACCCACTGACGCAGTTCCAGTTTCCCCAGAATTGCTAGAATTGCTGGAGATCAAGCTTTCCAGCAAGTGATTTCAAGCAGGACTGAGTTGTTGTCGACGGCCAGCAAACCAACTCTGACATTTCTTCGGACTTGGGCTAGGACAACTGCCCCTGCTTCGCTCCCCAATCGTCAATCTCACCCAACCCTTCGATTCTCCTTCTCACCTCCTCCCCCTTTCTTCAGTTGCTCTTGGTCCACAACTCTCCTTGCCAGCTTTTCGAGGGCTGGCTTTCACAAGGCTCTTCTTACGGACGATCAGCCACGCGTGTTGCACGTCGGCGCTTTCGAGGACGACTGGTCGGCTCATAGTCAGGATCATTTGCATCGGCGGTATCCAGGTCCCAAGATGGATTGCCACCAATAGCGTCGGGCGAGAGTTGCCGCTTCCGAGGACGACTGGAAGGTTCGAAGCCAGGATCAGCTGCATCGCCGGTCACCGAGTCACCAGGTGGGTTGCTAACAACAGCGGCAGGCGGGAGTGACGAAGCAAGCGCGTCACCTGCTGCCTTTGCCATGGCCTCAACTTCAGCTTCAGCTTTTGCCTGGTCCGCGGCCGACATTCGTAGCCGAATTCGTGGTGTCGGCTGCTGCGGAGTGGGATGTGGTTGTGCCGTATCACCAGCTGGTTTCACGTCCACATTGTTCACACCAATGGCCGTGCCCAGAGTTAAACCCTTGTCCACAGCCACCTGCAAATCCCTAGCCAAGTTCATGTCCAACCCCATATCCTCACCAATGGCCATAGTCGTCTGCACATCCGGATCCATGTCCGCGTCCATGTCGGTGCCTGTGTCAGAGTGTGAGTCTGCGTCCTCAGTCATATCGTCGTTCGTATCCATGTCCGTGTCGATCTCAGGGTCCATACCGTGGTCGGCAGGAGCTGGATCCACGTGGCCTTCTTCACATGTGTGCGGTATGGTATTTGAGCTCTGGAGATTAGCCACCATCCGCTTTGAAGCCTCCCATCGCGCCATCGGGTCGCTTTCGTTGGCGTCGAACAAGGTCAAAGAGATTTCTAACGATCTCGAAAGAAAGTCAGAGTGCTGTTCATGTAGTGTGTTAGTCTGACTGGCATCATGTGCCGCTTCTGTAGTCGAAACTGGCTCTGGGATTGCAGCCCCGGCTGGGCCTGGTAAAGGAAGACTGTCTTGTTGATCCCCAACATTCTGTCCTGGCCTAGTGACCACAGGTGGTAAGGGTAAGCCTAGATCGCCTCTCAGAAAATCCTCCTGAGGGCCCGCGGTCTCATTGGATCCCTCCACAGGATGTTCGCTGACTTGGTCGTGAGCAGTCAAGAAGCCAGGGCTGTCCAGCGTAGGTGGAAACGGCATACCCAGACCCTCGTTCGCAGCATAATCTGTAGGGCCCGTGGTCTCGCTGAACCTATGCTCAGGCCATCCGTTGGCATGGTCGTAAGATGGGAAGAAGCCCGGGTTACCCAGTGTAGGTTGAAACGGTACGCCCGGATCCCCGTTTGCAGCATAATCTGTAGGGCCCATGGTCTCGATGAACCTATGCTCAGGCCATTGGTGAGATGTTAAGAAGCCCGGGTTGCCCAGCGTAGGTTGGAACGGTACGCCAGGACCCCCATTTGTAGCATAATCTGTAGGGCCCGCAGTCTTGTGGAACCTATAATCAGGCCATCCGTTGGCATAGCCGTAAGATGTTGAGAAGCCCGGGTTGTCCAGCGTAGGTTGAAACGGTACGCCCGGACTGGCGTTGACAGCATCCTCTGCAGAGGTCGCTGTCTGTCCCAATTCCTCCAGATATGGCACCGTAGCTGGATCCTGGCAAATTGAGAAGATGCTGTAATTAGAGCCAAAGATGCCTGCTTGATCCTGGAATCCCGAGTCCTGTTGGACAGTTGCCTTGTCTTTGTTGGACCCGCCCTTGGAGCCTTCTTTGGAAAGTCGCTGCTTCTTTGGTGCAGCGGTGGATGAGCGCCTAGGCTTTTCTCCTGGTTGATGATCGTCGCCTGGGTCGTCGTTGCGTCGACTGCCTGCAGCCTTCCGAGTCGATGGCTCAGGGCCTGGGGAAGCCTCAAAGACTTTGACAGGGGCTGTGGGTCCGCTGGGGGACGTAGTTTGTGCGGCGTCTTTGACGTTGTCACCAGCTTCGACGTTCTCATCACCTTCCAGATCTGGAATGAGATTAGAGGATTGTGCAGATGGAACGGACTCAAAGGCTTGAGTGTGCCGACGAGTTCGCATTGTGAGGGTATGTTTAGTGGCTTGGTCAGAGTGAGGAGATTGGGTTGGCTGCGCCTGAGCATCGACAGTGGCTTGGTCAGAGCGAGGAGATTGGGCTGGCTGCGCAGGAGATTGGGCTGGCTGCGCCTGAGCATCGACAGTGTCGGACATTGCCGGATCCAACAAACTGTACCAATAGCCAGAAGCCTCCGGTAGAGTCGGTTGAGGAGCTCCTGGCGGTGCTACTGCGAAATCTAGTCGGAGATGTCGCCAGTATTGCTGACGGTGATACTCCCGCAGCGGGTCAAGAAGGAGACCGCCCATCCTATATTGTCTTCTCACTGGCGGGCTGTGCCGGAACAGAACATAAGGAATCCCTTCTTCTGGGTGCAACTTTAAGATGTCGAATTGGCTCCCCCGTGATGGGATTGGCATCCGCTTTCGGAAGGAGGGTTTGCGAGTCCAACATATCTCGAAGCGGACGCGATTTTCATTCGTCTCGTCATTGAGGCCACTGCGTTGACCGGGAGGTGGATTGAAACCAAGGGAAACCATGGAAAAGCCGAGATACTCGTCGTCGGACTGAAGAGAGCTCTGGTAGTCAGCCCGCCAGTCTGCGCGAGTAACATCCATGGCTTCTGGTTGAATGTGGTGATAATCTTGTAGAATGGGAGCAGGTTAGTGCGGGATGATGGCGATGAGGACTGGGGTTAGAAAGAGCAGCTTGGACTGCGAGCGAAACAGGGGCGCAGGGCGATGCTCTGTTTTGTTAGGTTGAACGACCTGGCTGAATCGATAACCACGCTAGTACTTGTACCCCATCCGGTCAGATGCCCCAAGAGTTTGAAACACAGTCGCCAACTAAGCAAGACCTTCTCCCTGGTCGGTTAGCATTAGTGAAGGCCTTCAAGAGGAGACTTGCACCGCTGCAATTCTTACCCTGCCTCGATCTCTGCTGCTGATAGTCAGGTATTAGACGAGGCCGTCTCCTGACATTGATGGCTTCAGACTGGGACTGTACGTTCCTGAAGACTCCTCTGAGATGACAGCATTATTCACGGCACTCGAAGGCCTCGGCTTCATCTTTCGAGGGTCAGGGACGTACAAGTGCGAAATGGTGCCCTCCGCAACTCACGTGCCGGAGTCCGAACAGCGCAGTTTTGCTTTCCTTCATGACAGCCTTTTCCTCTTGCGCCACTGTTCTTGTCAACACATACCTCAAAGCAACCGTTTTGTCCAGTGCGAGAGCCTCCTTGAGCAAATGGAGGCACAGTCTTCAAGTCCTAAGTCTGAAGGCAGCGAATGGTCTGCGCATAATGTGACGAAGCGAATAGGAGCAGGCATGACGGGGTAGCTGCCACCATTGCGGTCTACCCACGGCAAGGAAGATGACATATTCGGGCGGCAATAGGTGCTATGCCACCGCCTGTGGACAATGGCATCGAAGGCGCAATATCCTATGGGAGTATTGGAGTTCCAGGAGTCGACATACTGTCTCTTCGAGTGTCCCTCGGGAAATGGCCCATACGCCATTCCTACCACCAAGGCGTCATGCGCCCGATCAAGAGCTTGCTCAAGCAAAGTGAAGGCTGGCCACGATGATAAAAGGGCACGCCCAAAGTCCAGCGAGTTTTGCCTGTGCTTGATGGGAGGGAGCGTCTCCTCTTCGAGGATACCATTGACGCCAGAAACAAGGGGGATGGGAGTCTCCAGCGGAGCCGGGATATTGGAGGCTATGATTGTCTTTCCGTCATTCTTTCTCACGGCATCGAAGCCCTACCTACCAAGGTTGGTATGTGGTTGCATCAAAGGTGAGGAAGACAACTTGAAGCAAGCAGTCACTTTAACCTCCATGGTCGGCAATCCTTCCTAACTTGTTCTGTGCAGACTACGGCGAATCCTTACTGTCCAAAGTGCACTCAACCTCCTACCACTCACTGACTGTACTGTTCATTCACACTATCAAAAGCATCGGGTGCAAGGGGAGGCAAGAAGAGGAGGAGGAGGAGGAGGAAAAGCACAAACCAAATGACAAGAGGCAGGGAATAAAGAAGGGGACAAGAGCACGCAAGCCGGGGAGAGAACAGGAGCAGACAACCAACCCCAAGACACCCCATTAGGTCACAATCATTCAGAGATGTTGGACAGGGGTGCTTGAGCTTCAGGGCAACGGCGGCCAGGACCGGCCTCAGGATCAAGAGCAGTGCTAGATAAACAGGAAGAGGGCCCCTGAGGAGAAAGGGGGAGTGATTACAATATGGAATGGAGATGATGAATGTCAACTGGATGGGCAAATGTGCCACAACTAAATAGAGGATCTTTAACTCAAGCAAACAAGAAGGTTGACAGTCGCTACATGGCACCAATCTTGAAGTTGAGCCGCTGCAACAAGTTTTGTCCAAGTCGGTTGGTGCCATATCTGGCTACTTAGATGGCTAATCACAACGGACTATGCAAAGTCATGCTGTCAAGAACCACGCTTGCCCCATCCGCTAAAGAACCCTCCAGTACTTGCTGATGTGGCATGAGTTACTTTTGGACCATCCTTTGTCCCAGGGCTTCCCGCGGCAGTGTTGGAGGCGACTGGCGAGTCTGATGAGCTGACTCGGGCTGACGGTGACGAGCTCGACCCACCCAGGATTTTGCGAAGGGATTCCAGCTTTCCTTTGGTCTCTTCTAATTCCTGTCGAGCCACGGCTTCGGCTGTTTTTGCATTCACCAGCTCCAGCAAGAGCGCCTCGTTCGGTACGGGCTCGTGGTTGTCGGTGGCAAGGATAGCCTGGGTGTTGAGACTGCTCGAACGTTTAGCAAATGTCCCTGGTCCTAGGGTGGACAGTCTAGCAGGATCCGGTTTGCCCAACTTCAACTCTCGAAGCCCGGCCTTTGGAGGAGGCCATTTTGGATCGGGAACCTCAGTGATAGGGGTGTAAGTGTCTGAGGGCGAGTCGGGTACCGAAGTATTCCGAGAGCGGCATTCTGCCAGTGTCCGTTCAAGGCGCTGCTTCTCCCTATGGGCATCTTGAATCCGAGCCCGAGCGTCCCGCAAGTCCTCCTTGAGAGAGTTATGCTCTGCTTCCCGTTCATCGAGCTGCTTCATGAGTTCCTGGCACTTCAGCGCTTCGGCCTCGTGCCTCTCTTTCCATTCAGACACGGAGTCACGCAATTGGTGCTTCGACTGCATAATGGACAGCCGCTTCGAGGCCTTCTCACTCAGCTGCCGATGGGCTTTTTCTAGGAAAACCTCCAAGGCCACGTCTTCTTCGGTAGGCTCTCCCCCGACAATCTCTTTAATGTCTGCTGTTTGTTGTTGTAGGTGCTCTAGCAATGTTCGTGCGGTTTGGCGATCTTCTTCTCGTTCCTCGCGCTCTTTCTGGAGTTCTCGAGCCAGTTCGACCTGCTGCCGTTGAAGCTTCGATAATTCCGTGAGTAGGTCCTCAATCTGGTGGTGCAGATTACGGTCACCAGAGCTCGGTGCAGGAGCAGCGTTGGCATCTGCCACCAGGGTGATCGAAGAAACAACTTTCAATGAGCCCTCATCAGACAGGTCTGTAGCCAGTGTACTTGTCTCCGAATTGGACGTCTCGACCGAATCGAGCGTCGATGTCAAACTATGTCCTGAGGACGACTTCCTGATGGATTTGTTGTTGCCAGGGATAAGGAGACTCAAGTTCGCGGACCGAGAAGAGCCATGCGTCGAACTTGCCCAAAATCGACCTAGGAAGTTCGACGCTGCAGTCATCAAAGATGGTGCTGCGGTCAGGTTTTGCGATTGCTGGAAACTGGCCTCCAACGACTGAAGATGTTCCTGGCTGACCAAGCTTGTGAGAGATACAAAATCTGCGACGAGATCATCGGCCTGCTGAGCGTAGGTGTCCCAGAGACTTCGTGACAGTAAAAACTGCATGGCATCTTCGAATTCAGTGAATGCCAGAAGCTTTTTCTGGTTTCGTTGCATCAACGAGAGTGCCACTCGCATCAATGTTTCCGTTGCTCCTTCAGACAAGATGACGTCGTAGATTCGCAATAACATAGGGAGCGGACATGTCACGGCAAAAAAAGACAAGAACCATTGTGACACATAAAGCGGCTCGATTTTGAGGTTCTCGAAGTGGGCAGTCAGGTCGGGCAGATGGCGCGTCAGTAGTTGTTGAAATTGATAGATTCGAAGGTGGAGACCCGACAGATCGGGTAAATAGCATGATCGGAGGTCATAATGTTCCATGAGTCTGTGGAGTTGGTCAATATTGTTAGGGCACTAATCAGATATCACCATACCTCACGAGGATGCAGAATGCTTCAGACTCGGTCATGTGCATCAAGAGCGGGCCGACCACGAATCCAAGACCCTGACAATATCCGATCTTGTCATCATAAAGACTGAAGGCTTTTAGAACCTGTCCAAGCATTCGTTGACCATCGCCGTCCGTCTCACGGAACATATCGACATTTGGGAAGCTCCTGCCTACGTCCTTGCCAATCAAGGCATCGTACGGGCTCGGTTCAGTGGAGAGTCGCTGATATTCGCCGTGGAGAAAAGGATCCTGCGCCCGGGCAATGCTAGGCCACACCACGCCTCGCAGAGGCGGCGGTACACCACCACGGATCTTGTTAGACGTGAGCGTAGGCAGTCGTTGGGCAGTTTGGTTGTAGTCCTGAACCAGAGCCGCCCAAAATTCCAGTTCGGTCATCGGCGGAGCAGGTAGCATCGAATATCTTAATGATTGGCGTTGCGGACCGTCCACCAGCTTCTTCAGTTGTTGTATCGAAGGCGGTCGAGTGTTCTTCCGCGGACGGGCACGTGGTGCAATTCCTGCCTTCGGGTCTGTTGCCAGGGCGGCATTCTCTTTCTCCAGTCGGGCCAGCAGTAAGGCCGTAGACTATTCGCATCAGTATCTATCTTCTAGGTGTTGGACTGGGCAGACTCACCTCATCGGTGGCTTCATCCCGAGGCTCTTGCTCTTCTGTCTTTTCTAGATCCTCCCAATTCACCGAGTTCAGCGAAGTGGAGCTTTCGGAAGCCTGTGATAATGTGCGCCTGGATCGAGTAGATGAGGGAGAGCTTCGGCAGTCTGCAGCTGCTTGTGGAGGATGGAGTTCGATGTCCCTGTCGAGTTCCGATAGTACAGACATGTCGGAGAGTCGTACAGTGATCATAGAGCTTCGTGGAAGGGGCACATTCTCGGGGGATATCTCGTGGTCTATATTGGCGGCGTCGCAGTCGAGGGATATAGTATGGGAAGACACCTGGATGGCAACTTCGGCCATGGCGTATGTTCTTTGGTAATGGCTGACTGTCGGGCCTTTATGAGGAGTGACGGAAGGGGTGACGACGGTCAAAGAGGCAGGCAGGGTGGAGGGTGAAAGAGTGAACCCTCGTGGAGGTTGGACTTGTTACAAGGACCAAAAGAGAGACTGCTCGCAGGGTTCGCCAGCGACCGTGCGAGGGGATAGCAAGTGTTCATTCACGCAGCGGAAGACAAAGGAACGGACGTCGTCGAGGACGACCAGTAGTAGAGACAAGGAGGCAGAGGAGGCTTGAACGAGATGAACTTGAAGCACAGTGCGCAGGATGGATCAACGCAAGTGGGCCAGGGGTTGGTGAAACTACTCTGTACCGCTATTCTCTCTGTTGTTACTCCTATGGTGGCACCCTCCATCAAATGGTCCGTCCAATGTTGATTGGCGATTGTCTCCAGTAATCTCGGTTCGTCGTCATCGTAGAGCATCTCTGACTATGACTAGACTCTGTGTTGAGACGCCCTTCTACTGGTTGTGTACCTCCGCAGTCTTAGACTCCAGCAGAGAACCACGTCTCCAGGCTGAGATGAACGAGGCGCAGGAACAAGGAACACGCGGAGGCACTACCAGACATCTAGAGTCACCACTCCATTCCAGGGGAACGAAATGTTCCAGAAGCTGGAAGCTCGTGATTGCTTGTCGGCCAGACTAGCACCACGGTAGAGTCTCACGAAATCAGAGACAGATGTCGTGAAGGAGAGAACGCATTGTCATTGTAGTGTTGTGCCTGACCGCGTTTCAGGGGCTGGGTGTCAGATGCGTCCTAGACCGTGGCTGTTGTTGACCAATCGGGATATCATGATAGTGGTTGGATGTTGCTTCAGTTGAACTTCACAGGAGTCTGATACGTACTGCAGTGTAGAGTCAGAAAACCACAGCCTCGACTGAATGACTCGTTCAACCAAGAGCAACTACCTTGGTAGGTACTTCCCCTACTAGTACCCTATTGAGGCTGTCGATGCAAGATAACTCCAGCTTCTCTTCGCACCACCTGCAACGCGAAAGTCACTTATTGTTGTATCTCCCAAACAGGTTAGTCTGGGATCGCGCCAAGATCGCGCGTTACTGGCCAACTGATTCGCAAGTTTCCCGGGATTCTTGCGTTTATGTTATTGTTGACATTCGCTGAGTACATAAACAATTTGCAGATTTTCAAGGATAAACCCTTCGCTCCTGGACTCAACCCTGCTTACAATCTCACGGATACATCACTCCGTCGCATGGTGTAGGTCTTGATGCGCGCAGTGCGACTCACTTCTTCTCCCCTTCACGGGCGTTCATAATCAACAACAAATAAGAACTCGGAACCCTTTCGTAAAGATGGACGACTCCATGTTCGACCTGGATGACGGCAGCTCGGACTTCGCGCCAGCCACGGTAAGTGTCTTCGCCAGATGTGTGGCTGAGATCTGACTGACATTGTTGCGCAAAAGGCAAAGACCAAGCCAGTCAAGAAAGCTGCAGCTCCGAAAGCCGCCGCAAAGAAGGCAAATGCCCCGAAAGGAAAGCCCGGACCAAAGCCCAAAACCACAGTACCCAAGAAGCGCGCGAAGAAGGATTCTGAAGACGAGGGCTCAGACAATGAATCTGTTCCCGTGTTCGACGATGAATCACTCCTCGAAGATACTCCGCCGCAGGCGAAGAAGGCCAAGCCCAATCCAATCAAAGGGAATCACAAGAAACCGCTTGGAGATGTTGTCAATGAAGCCATTGGCACGGACGGCGCAAATGATACTCCGCAGCCGCAAAAGAAGAAACGTGTCTCGGAGCAGTATCAAAAACTCACACAACTGGAACATATCATCAAGCGTCCTGACACCTATATCGGGTCGGTCGAGCGCACAGAAAAGCAGATGTGGGTCTACAACACGGAACAAGATAGTATGGAGTTTCGAGAAGTTTCGTACGTCCCGGGCATTTTCAAGATCTTCGATGAGATCCTGGTAAATGCTGCCGACAACAAACAGAATGACAAGAACATGGACGAGATTCGAGTCACAATCGACCGGGAGAAGGGCGAAATCAGTGTCTGGAACAACGGCCGAGGCATTCCGATAGAGATCCATTCCAAGGAAAAGATCTATATCCCCGAGATGATCTTTGGCCACTTGCTCACCGGCTCCAACTACGACGATGACCAACAAAAGATCACAGGTGGTAGAAACGGTTACGGTGCGAAGCTCTGCAATATCTTCAGCACGCAATTCACCGTCGAAACCGCGGATTCGAGGCAGAAAAAGAAGTATAAACAAACTTGGACGAACAACATGTCTCAAATGGGGAAGGCCAAGATCACTGACAATAAAAGTGACGACTTCACCAAGGTCACCTTCTCGCCAGACTTTCTGAAATTCGGCATGACGGCTATGGACGATGATCATGAAGCGCTCTTCAAGCGGCGCGTCTACGATCTTGCTGGCACTTGCAAAGGTGTTGCTGTGAAGCTGAATGGCTCTCGTGTGCCAGTCCGGAATTTCAAGAAGTACTGCGAGATGTATACGAAAGCAATCAAAAAGGAGCGAGGCGAAGAGGCTGCAAACGACAGCTCGGAGATCATCATGGAGTCACCCGATCCGCGCTGGGAGATCGGTTTCGCGGTGTCGGATGGCTCATTTCAACAAGTGTCGTTTGTCAACTCCATAGCCACAACGTCCGGCGGTACCCATGTCAACTATGTGGCGGATCAAATCGTCAACCGCCTCATGGATGTCGTCAAGAAGAAGAACAAGGGCGGTGCAGCGTTGAAGCCTAATCAGATTCGGAACCATATCTTCGTCTTCGTCAACGCCCTGGTCGTCAATCCTGCCTTCACGTCCCAGACCAAGGAACAGCTTACCACCAAACCAAGTCAGTTTGGCAGCAAGTGCCAGGTGTCCGACGAATTCATGAAGAAGATTGCAAGGACAGAAGTCATCACCAACATCCTCCATTTTGCCCAGCAGAAGGCCGATCAGATAATGAAGAAATCAGATGGCAGTCGACGAAGTCGTATGAACAACCCCAAGCTCACCGATGCCAACAGAGCAGGCACGAAGGATGGCCACAAGTGCACTTTGATCTTGACAGAAGGTGACTCGGCTAAAGGTCTCGCGATGGCAGGGCGATCCGTTGTTGGCCCTGACCTGTTTGGCGTGTTCCCTCTTCGAGGCAAGCTTTTGAATGTCCGAGATGCGTCTGTTGATCAGATCTCGAAAAACGCCGAGATCCAAAATATCAAAAACTTCTTGGGCCTTCAGCACAAGAAGGTCTACACAGACACCCATGGCCTCCGCTATGGGCATCTGATGATTATGACGGATCAGGATCACGATGGCAGTCATATCAAGGGGCTATTGATCAATTTCCTGCAAGTTCAATTTCCCAGTCTGCTAAAGATCCCAAAATTCTTGGTGGAGTTCATCACGCCGATTGTGAAAGTGTTCAAAGGCGATCCCAAGAATCCTTCACAATCACGGGCTTTCTACACTATGCCCGAGTACGAAGCGTGGAAAGAGGCACATCAACACGAACGTGGATGGGAACACAAGTACTACAAGGGATTGGGCACGAGTACAACGGCAGACGCACAGCAATACTTCAACGACATCGACAAGCATCACAAGGAGTTCGACGTCATGAAGGAGGAAGAGGTTCCATTGATCGAATTGGCGTTCTCGAAAAAGAAGACTGATGAACGAAAGGAATGGTTGCGTCAATTCAAGCCGGGCACTTATCTGGATCATACCACAAAGACCATCTCTTACACCGACTTCGTCAATAGAGAGTTGATTCTGTTCAGCATGGCAGATAATGTGCGATCCATCCCTTCCGTGGTCGATGGACTGAAGCCTGGGCAACGAAAAGTCATGTATACATGCTTCAAACGCAATTTGAGGAAGGACATGAAAGTGGCCGAGCTCGCGGGTTTGGTTGGTGGGATGACCGCCTACCATCATGGCGAAGCTTCTCTCCAACAAACAATCGTTGGCCTGGCCCAGGACTTCGTCGGCTCCAACAATGTCAACCTGCTCGAACCTTCCGGCCAGTTCGGCACGCGGAATCAAGGTGGTAATGATTGCGCCAGTGCTCGTTACATCTTCACCCGTCTCTCCCCATTTGCCAGAAAGCTCTTTCACCAAGCGGATGAGCCTCTGCTGACATACAACAAGGACGACGATCGGACGATCGAGCCTGAAGTGTATGTTCCCGTCGTCCCATTGATCCTTGTCAATGGTGCGGACGGTATCGGAACAGGTTGGAGTTCATCCATCCCTAACTACAACCCTGAAGACATTGTCGAGAATATCAAGCGCAGAATGAATGGTGAGGAGTGGAAGCCTATGCAGCCATGGTTTCGCGGGTTCAAGGGAGAGGTCAAACCCGCTGGCCCGGACCGATATTCATTCAGTGGTACCATCCGCCAAACAGGAGACACGGAAGTTGAAATCACCGAGTTGCCAATCCGAACTTGGACACAGGACTTCAAAGACAAGCTGGAAGAGATCATCAAGGCCGAAAAGGTACCCTCCTTCATCAAGGACTATAAGGACTACAACACCCACGACAGCGTCCACTTCGTCATCCAATTGGATGAGAAGCACTTGAAGACAGCGGTTGAGGAGGGGCTGGTAGAGAAATTCAAGCTCACAAAGTCCGTTGCAACCTCGAACCTTGTCGCCTTCGATCCGGAAGGTCGTATCACCAAATACCCCAACGTCGAGGCTATCATGGATGAATTCTATAGCTATCGACTCCAACTGTACGCAAAGCGGAAGGAGTGGCTCCTGCAGGACATGCAGAAAACGCTCAGACGTCTGACCAATCAAGCTCGGTTTATACAGATGATCATCGACGGCAAATTGAACATCTCCAAGAAGAAGAAGGCAGTCCTCATCGCAGAACTGCGAAAGCTCGGGTTTGATGCATACCCCAAAACCGAGGATGCATCAAAACAAAACGAGATCTTGCCAGTGGCGGAAGAGGAGCCCGAAGAAGAAGATTCGCTGGATGCTAGCGCCTACGATTACCTCCTGGGGATGCCACTCTGGTCTCTCACACAGGAGCGTGTGGAGAAGCTCATGAGACAGATTGGCGAGAAGGAAGCCGAGATCGATGAGCTAATGAAGAAGTCCAAGGAGGACCTGTGGAAGCACGATCTGGAGGAATTCATTACTGAATGGAGGTTCCAGCTTGAAGACGAGCATAATCGAATCCGCAACATCCGCAAGGGTAGACGCGTCTCCAAGAAGTTTGCCACGGCGCTCAATGCCAAAGCAGGCGGCAAGAAACGCAAAGGCTTGGGTGATGGATCAGATGAGTCTGATTTCGAAGTCTCGGCCCCGAAAGCCAAAAAGAGCGCGACGGCACCAAAACCGGCACCAAAGCAGCGTACGATCACGGCATATGTTGCACCCAAAACCAATGCTTTGAAGAATGCAATGGAACAGCGAAAGTTGTATGCGGATGGCTCCAGCGACCCTGCCGAACCTTTAGAGACGACCCAGCCTGAGACAAATGGACACAATGCTACTGTCAAAGATGAGGATGAGGCGGATAAGGCCGCTCCAAACCCTCCTGGTCGACAAGCTCGTGCTGTTGCTAAGAAACCCACAAGTTATGCGCTGCTCAGTGACTCGGACAGCGATAACGGAGATGGCTTACTTGCTGATCTCGGTGATATGGTCAAGGGCCTTCCCAGCAAAGCCACCAATGACAGCGCCAGTGAGTCGAGAATGTTGTTCTCGGCATCGGCCTCTCGCCCAACCAGTAGTCATGGTCACAAAGTTCCGCTCAAATCGGCTGGAAAAAGCACGGCAGATTTGTCTGATGATGAGACTGACTACAAGATGTTGGCCCCTCAGCAGTCGCCGAGACGATCGATCATTGTGACAAACAAGGAAGACTTCAATATTCCGGAGGAATCAGAGGATGATGTTGTTCCTACAAAGACCACCAAGAGAGCCCCTCCTAAGAAGGCACCGGTCATTGATGACGACGACAGCGAGGGTGACATCGTTGAGCCCAAACCTCGCGGCAAGGCGGCTGCAAAGACAGCACCTAGCGAAACGCAGCCGAAAGCTAAGAAAATAGCTACCAAGAAGAAAGGGCCAGCTGCACAGAAGGTTGAACAGTCCCCGGTCGCTAAGGCATATGCAAAGAGACTGGCGAAGAAGAAGGTAGTGGATTCAGACGACGAGATGGATGCTCTCGCCAACGACATTCTGAAATCTCCTTCAGCTTCAGATTCAGATGTTCCTGTGGCCCGGAAGTCCGCAGCTAGACCTGCAAGAAGAGCTGTCGCTGCGAAGAAGACGTATGCATTCGACAATGATGACGATGAAGACGAGGACGGCGGCTTTCAAGAAGATGGATCCTCGGCTACCTTTTCAGACAGCGAGTGAGGCAACATTGGGACGATCCTGGTTGGGTTGGTGCTTCTGACTTGGTCAAATCATCGGATGTTTATCAGCATTGCAATGAAGCGAGGCGTCTTGGTGATACGGCAGCAGACAGTGTGAGCTCCTTCTTCCTGCGGTTGGTGGTGCATTGAAGATATATTGAAGTACAAATTGCGATTAGGCTTTTGCCCCGTACACTGAAGCACTATCTATGCCTGTGCGATCATAGATTCATGGCTCTAGAGAGAACCGCTCGCCTTCCCAAATGATGACTTGACCGTGGCTTGTGATCCAACATTGGCTGACATTGACCTTGGTAGATCGAACAGCGGAATGTCACGCCTGCAGATTCTGATACTGACATTTCTTTGTTCGTTCGTGAGCGGTGGCAAGGCTGACCAATAGCTGGCACGACTGTACAACATCGGCCATGCAACATGCCGCTTCAGGGGCCTGGAAGCCATCTGAACACATCAGGCACACGTGGAAGGCGAAGAATCTGCCTGGTCAACCACTTCTCATTGGACTGAGGCGGGCGGTGATGCCAGTTTTGCCGGTTCCTGGATTCTCTCTGCCACGACCTCCCCCGTCGAGGGCAAGCTGCAGGATGGCCAACGGCCCCAGCAACGGGACGATTCTTCGCGCAGGGTACGGTCACCGGTAAGAAGTCATGTATACAGAATACCTGGATGCCGTCCAATATGGTGTCTTCGAGCATACAGACAGCAAGGTCGATGGCAGGCTTCTCACACGTATACGCCGAGCCTGATCGAGCACACTTCGTCTGTGATGATGGATGAACGAGTGTGCTGCAGAGCTAAGAGCCCAACCGCCTCTGCCATGCCCATCATCCAGACACGATATCCTTCACCGCTCATCCCAACAGTCGGTCGAATGCAAAACCGCCTTGCCTCCGATTCGTCCAAGAAGATGATCGAAGAAAAAGTGGCATTGTCCATCCTCTGGCCCAGGCTGGCTGCCTGCTTTAGCAAGAGATGTTGCTGCATGATGTTCAAAGGGCCAGGCACTGCTTCCTGTTCGTCTTGTTCTTGTTTCTTTGATCTTAAAGAACCCCGGGGCCTCTCCATTCCTTTTATTTCGAAAGCTGCTGTAGCCTGCAGAATTCCAATCTTTGTTGCAGCAGGAGTTTGCAGATTGATGTTTGCCGGTTGTATCAAGCGGTGGATTGTGAGAGGGCCAAAAACTACATATACTCGTGGTTCTCCTCAAACTTGACGACCTTTCCGGTTCCTAGACTCTCGGACAGAACATTCAGCTGAATTTGACGATGGCCGCCATTCGCTCTCTCCTCAATCCAATGACAGATGACAAGATCCAGGACAGCAACGAGGAGAGCAAAGACGACCAATCCACCCACGACAGACCGGCCTCGGCCTTCTCTGATGCTGCAGGAGACTTCCAGCACAAGCCGAACCGAAAGAAACAGAAGATTTGCAAGGATGCTGCAGTCTTCAAGGCCGGCACCATCCGAGGAGAATGTCGATATCCACCATACGAGGATCAAGATGAAGTCCTTGCTGCTAAACACCAGATGTTCGAAGTGTACCCGGTGGGCAACATAGCTTCGTATCCCAGGCACATTCCGTACAACAGTGAGAAGAAGCTATACCTGGAGAAGACAGGCAGAGAGAGCTTCGAAGGTGAGTGTATAAAGTGAGTATAGAAGCGTCCGCCCGACTAACCTCGGTCAGTTTTTCAATATCAGTTCAAGATCCCTGGAGATTCTGTCACGTACACAATGTTGTGGGACTACAACATTGGGTTGGTCCGTACGACACCGCTGTTCAAATGTGGAAACTATTCAAAGGTGCGATAGAAAGAGAATGGCTGTGGACAACAGGCACAACCGGAGCATGTTCCTTCTGACACTGCTTAGACGACTCCAGCGAAGATGCTGTCTCGAAACGTCGGCTTGAAAGAGATATGCCACAGTATCACCGGAGGGGCTTTGGTTGCACAAGGTAGGGCTCTTTCCAGATACGTCTTTCCAATGACAAGAGGTACTGACCAGGGTCTCAGGATATTGGATACCATATGAGGCTGCCAAAGCCGTTGCAGCGACATTCTGTTGGCACATCCGTTATGCCTTGACTCCTGTCTTTGGAAAAGACTTCCCGGATACCTGTCTGCGTCCAGACTCGGAGGGTTTTGGGTCCATGCAGATCGATCCTGAGATCACCAAAAGATGTGCAGTGCAAGCCCAACTGTATCGTGAACTCGAATTGCAGGAAGCGTTCACCCCTTCATCCGGCATACCCAGTCCACGAACGCCACGGACACCGCCATTCCGACCCCAGGTCAAGAAGCTGTTGCCCAAGCCACCCAAGGTAGCCGAGACCACGAGCGAATATTCGACTGATTCGGGGCTTGAAGACAAATATGAACTCTCTTCCCCGTCTCCGCAAATCGCTTTCAGCGATCCATGGTCCGCAGTCAACTCTCCTCGATCTCCACCACCAAAGATATCGTTTACCAATCCATGGTCGCCTGCCAGTACCACCCGATCGGAGTCTCCTCATAGGGTCTCACGCAAAGGGCAGACTGCAGCCAATATTCCCCGTTCTCACACACCTCTTGATCTCCTGCCACCGCCTCGGAAACCCCTCTATCCTGCCATCAACACCATGATGGGCAAGGCCGGGAATAGTGGCATCGGCACTGGTGAGGTGCTGCCAGTCCAAGAAGTGTCTCCTAAATCGGGAGCGGGACGCATGGACGTCGACGAAGACTATGACGCTGGCTCGGACAATTCTGACGCGGCTAAGGCGGTCATGAGAACTAGGAAGAGGTCGTCCAGGGAATTCACGGAGACAAAGGCAGCCTATGTCTTGATGAAGTTGCGGACGCAGACGGACACCGTCAAGGCAGGATTGAACTCGCTCAAACGTCGAGCATCCGCCTAGGTGCACAGACTGGTATTGCACGGCATGATCAGATGAAGACCCGGATGAATTGTGAAGCAGGACTGGAATGACACGAAGGAACTGGTATGATCAGATGAGACTTGCGTTGTGTTGTTTTTGCTAGACCCGAGATGATGCCTCAGATATGCTCTGCTTGCTCATATCCTGCCGCAGTTTTCGTCCCTTCCTGCAGTGCAGTGGTGGTTGATTTCTGCCTGGCTTGGCTCCTCTGCGTTTCTCTCCCTCTCTCTCCCTGCGCAGTCTACTACTACCAACTTCGCCCGCCCATTGTCTCTTTTCACCCTGTCTGATCAACCTCATTCTCTTCCTGTCATACATTGTCCTCGGGACACCCTCGTCTGCCTCCATCAGCGTGTATCGTGTACCTGCCACTCCACTCTCCGTTGCCGTCAGTTTCTCGCTTTATCCTCCATCATTTTGTGACCTTACATTTCCCTTTCTCTCACCAGCATGGACTCCAATCCTATCAATAGCCTCTACACTTGTCGATACTGGGCTCTTGGGCCGGCTTGCCCCAACGTCGATGCATTTGGCACCATGGTCTGCTCTTATGCTCACTGGGATACAGGCCGGCTGGCGAGCCACTTTCAGCAACGTGGCACTTGCATGGCATGGAAGGTTCTCGGGTACTGTGGCCGGGGTGGGGGTTGTTGGTACGAGCACAGACTCACGGGGGTGACAGGGTTGTACCAGGGCAGTAAGCATATCCGCCTTTACTGAGCGGTTGACGGTAATACTGACAATAACAAGCCATCGAACTCACCGGGAGCGAACTTCAAATTGCCGACGCCGCGTCCAAGGCAGGCTTCGACACTTTCAGACATGAAGCTCTGTTCGAGCTCATATGGGCGGTGAAAAGAATAGCATTGCGATCAGGTTCCTGCCAGTTCAAATCACTCCCGATGCCACGGGACCTCATCTACCCTGACAGATATCGACCCAATAGAGTCGGAGACAATACCAACACAAAGAGAAAGAGAAAGGCTATGGCCAAGAAACAGGCCGCATCCAGCTTGATAGAGCTGAAGTTCCACCCAATCCCGCCTTTGATGAGGAAAAGGACCGTGAAGAGCAGACTGGAGGAGGGCGACCTCATAGAGCTGTCATATTCCGACAACGAGATCACGATGGACTTTGGCGACACTACCGCCGGCGGCGGCGGCGAACCAAAGCGGCAAAAAGTCTCAGGCAGCCAGAATTGCCAAAACATAGCTGCCCCAGTATCTACGCAGTCCAACAATCGCCGTAAGGGCATCTCATCCGCAGCAACAGGCTCGAATGCCGTGCCCCTGGTTGGTGGCAAACGCTCGAATGCCAAAGCTCTCAGAGATCCTCCAACCTCTATTGCTCCCGTCGCTCGAGCATTGACAGTAGAAGGCGAGATCTCGAAGCAACTGCTCCTCGTCAAGACCAACCTAGAGGATGCAAGGAAGAATATGAACAATTGTCAGGCAACGATGAAGGCGCTCTTTGATGTCCACCAAGAAAAGTTCGATGACGATGAAACCATGGCTGCACTGCGGAAACTCAGCGAGTGTATGAATAAAGTGTTCGATGGAGGAAAGGAGGGAGCTTGTGAGATTGACAAGGTTGTTGCATGGCTGAGTGACAGAAAAGACAACATTCTGTAGAGGGAAGAGGGGGCTGTGGAAACGAGCTGCAGTGCAATGTGTGGTCGATGGTCAGCAAAACTGATTGCTTGTGCGGATAGAGTCGGAATGATCGGGCCGCGTGCTACGGGTTCATAAACGTGGGTGTATAGCTAATATGGCGGCATAGACTTGCAGTTTGTAGAATACATGGTAATGAAGGCACATTCACAAATGCCATAATATAATGTCTCGGGTCATAATACGTAGTCTTGAAATCCGTGATCGACCTGAGAAAAAGGGGGCGACAGATAAGGCTGAGCAGCAGTCAGGGGTAAAGCAATAAAGCGGCAAGAGTCGCCGGCGATCCTCCTATTTCATCCTTTTTATTTATTATCCTCATCAAGACAGATTGAGCGCTTTGGATAGCATGACCCTTGCTTCCATGGTAAGGAGGTCTCGAGTTCATCAAAGCAGAAAGACATCTAACGGGGCCACATGGACCTTCGGCTACGAACGACCAGATCCCGCGGACGGAAGACGATAACCAGCCATATTGGAAATTCAGCCAGGGCAGAGGTCGAAGCTGAACCAGCAGGGGTTGTCGACCCTCGTGGCAATGCCTACCTAATCTCGGACACCCTCCCGAGGACTTGACTTCTTCACCACATCCAAGATGGTGGGTGAATAAAGGTAGGTTAATATATATTGACGGAGTCGCCACGATGTTCAAGATGCCCGCAGCGGAAGTCGAACAGTGATCAAGAGCCATTCACTCGTTGGCCAACCAAGAAGACTCCAAGTTCAAGTCGTACACGCGTGCTTCTGTGCTCGACAAGCTCTTCTGCATTCTGCCGCACTCTGGGAATAAACATGAAGTCCGCCAGCCATACAAGACTTCTTACTGTGCTGCTTGCTGCCGGCGGCCTCCTCGGTCAAGATGAATCATGGTTTGTTTACTATCCCATTTCAGTTCCCTTTCAGTCGCGACCTCACCTTGCTCTCACCGTCACCTCACACGCGTGCATGTGCAATTTTGGCTGGCTTTCTTTCAGGACAATCCTGCGCACAATCTCCCGCAGCTAGTATCACTCCTCTCTCTCCCTCTCTCTCTCTCTCCAAAGCCTTTTCTGTTTGCGGCCAAACCACCAACCACTGACCGGTAAGAGGGCGCCTATACCATCCTTGCTCACGGCGTGACTCGCATGACTGACTTTGACTCCTTCTAGCAAAGCCCATCTCTCGCAAGCATGGCGCCAGTGCCAATGCCAGTGGAAGCGCAGGCACAACAAGGCAGTCAGGCCTCTCAGTCCGCGACACTCCCCATCTCACCCAGCCTCATTGTCGGAATTGTCATTTTGGCTGCATTTGCAGTCATCATTGTCATCGCGAGCGTGTTCCGCTTCTGCTGCGGCAATGGGAACGGAAATCCAGGTGGGAATAGAGAATCTAAGAAACGATCTATGCGGGTCGAAGATGAAGCCAACGCTAACGTGGATACAGATGAATTCAATCCAAACCGGCCTCGGTCGGCGGCACAGCTTGCGCGCATGAAAGAGGTCAGAGATATCAACAACATGTATGCATGGGAAAGGGCCAGACGGGCAAAAATCGAGATCGGCGAACTCAGTCCACCACCGCCCTTGATGTCTAGAAGGCACAGTCGCAATGGTACTTCGGATGCGTGGAGCAGTATTGGTGATATCAGTTCAGGGTTGGCGTCAGGTTCCACATCGGCACCCCATGTAAGTGGTTCTTTGGCTTTGTTTTGTTCTCATCCTGTGAGACGGACCAGATGACTCTCTTTTGTGCATCAAAGAGAGCGCGACTTGGTCTGTTGAGCTGCAAGCATGTCCTGAATCCGTGCTGTCTCTTGCAGGGACAGCATAAGCACAGATGCCAGTATGCGGCGAGACAGCTCGAAGTCTCTCTGATCTCCCAAGGCAAACATCCTGCTCTCTCTGCCCTGCAAAGAGAGCATGGATTCCAAGATCTGCCTGTCTCTTCCCCTGGAAAGATGCATAGACAGGTCTTCCCGCTTGTCGCGAGAGCACGTCAAGCCAGAAGTCCGACACTAACATGTTTGGTAACAGAGCGAAATCCATCCAGTCGAAGACCACAGCCGCGCAGCATTCTTCTACAATACTGACGACCCCTACGCCGACTCATCCTCGCGACAGCGCTTGAACCATCTAGCACCACCGACTTCTGCCCGCAACTCGTACCAGACCAGCAGCAGCGTCTACAGCTCCCGTCGACAATCATCGGTCCTACTTCCTCACGCGGTCCAATATCCTGGCGACATAAAAGCCAGCAGTCCAAGCCCACTCCGTCATGAATATGAAGGCTTTGAACCCAATTATGCCGAAGAATCAGATCCGCCTGTCAACGTCGAAGTCGACGCTGCTCATACCAGCACCACTGAACGAATGCAAGCTCCAGAGCCGCGTGCACACGCACGTGACCATTTCCAGAATCAGAATCAGAATCAGAATCCCCGAATCATCATCAACGACAACGATGAGGAAGATATTGTCGCTGGTTTACGCACTCCAGGCCGTGCTCGGTATCATGAAGAAAACGATGACTTCGAGCCTGTGGATCTCTTCGGCGGTCATCGCTACTTCAGTGACGGTGTACAGGAAGAAGAAGACGGTATGCATATGCGCCCTGGCCCATCCGATTTGGAATCCAATTTGGCAAGACCAAGAACCAGACCTCGACTGGACGCGCCATTGCCATTGCCCGAGACTGAGACCGAATCTTTCCCTGCTTATCCCACTCATTCTCATGGTCAGCCATCTGTCAGTATCTACGACAATGAACAAGCCCGGGATGATGGGCCCGAACAGCATGATGGTATGAACTATGGACCATATGCTGGCGCTCGTAACGACCACGTCGATCTCGGTTACGGAAACCAGGATGCCAGAGACGACCCGGTGGACTATGAAACAGAAGAGCAGATCATCCAGCAGAGAGCCAGACAGGGATCTCGCGACGGCGTCAGGACCCTGATTCAAGAATGGGAGAGGGTAAATGGTCGTTTTGTACGGGAGTTATGAGTTCAGAAAGGAGAGTCGAGAGGCGAGAGGCGAGAAAGGATAGTGGACAGTGGAGAGAGGAGCAGTGGTAGGTCGCTCACAAATGAATTGAGCTATCATTGGGATGTTGGGAGCACAGAGGCATGAACAGGCATGCACATACACACGCACAGAGACACATAGCTACACACCACCTTCATTCAGTGCTTGGGGGGGATTGGACAAGGAGAGCAATGAATGGGGTGGGAGCTCCTGCAGGCACGATACGCCACAACACATACTGCTACTACTGTACAATTCGAAAAGAAAATACCTAGGTAGATAGCCTACCATACAATCGTCGGAGCTTTTCTTTGTCTTGAAGCCAGCGTTGATGGCAGATTGAAGACGAGATTCACTCAATACTACAGTACTACTAGTAGTTACTATATTGCTAGTATTCAATCACCATTTTCTGTCAGCCCACATCAGCAAGACGACTATGATGAGCCCTCAGCCCTGAGTCCTGCAAAGCAAATCTTCGGAGTCAAGACATACAAGTTGGGTGCCTAACGTTTTATCACTCAAGACACTCTCCTCTTTCTTTCACATCTGTACCTCCTTTCCACTACTCCCCTGTCCCACTTCTTCATTGTCCACCCTTGTTGACCATCCTCGTTTTCCTCTCTTGAGCGTTCCTTGCCTGAGACTTCAGGCTTCAAGCTTCAAGCTTCAGGCCTCAGGCTTGAAAACCTGCAGGGCGCCCGAAATATTCTCAGGACAAAAGGTCTACAGCACTATCGGTCCTCAAAGAGTCAAGACCATGCATGATCCATATATCCAAAAGTCTATGTTCCATATCCGTCGTCCTGAGCATGGGATGGAGTGTCCTCATACTCGTTGAACCATATTTGCTGATCATCCTGTCCAAGAACTTCTTGGGAGCATGGCGTGAGATTCGTCAATCCATTCCTCTGGATCCCAACAAGGTGGTCCTCTCTAGGTTTGTCTATCCTTTTCTGTCTCGAAAGTTGATGGGATTCTGGATCAAGAGGACCTTTTTCGGAGGTTTGTTGAATTCTGCGAAGTCTAACCGCGACGATCTTCAAGAGGACCAACCCTCTTCGTGATGGATCATGAAGGTCCTCTTGAAACTTTCCGAATTTGTGAGTTTTTTCCCAAGGAGGACCTCCCAGTCTGCTGAGATATAAGTATCACCCGCCTCTTCTCCATACAGGGAAGATGCTCCCAAACCAGATTCACAATCAAACAACACTTACACTACACTACAATCTTACTCTCCTTACCTCTGCCTCTGAATCTTTGGAGGACTCTTTGACTTCATCCATCCACATTCATACTTCCAACATGAAGACCTCGTGGGCCTTCTTCGTCGTTGCCTGGGCCTTGGCTCTGGTTGGTGCACCGGTCCTAACATGGGCCCATCCAACCAGTGTCGTCTCTTCTGCCTCTGCCTCTGCCCCTGTCTCGGTCTCTGTCCCTGTTGATCTTGCTATTGACAACTTGTCTCTGGTTCTCGACGCCAAACGAGAAGCAATGCCGGTGCCTGCTACAACAACAACAACAACAACAACAACCAGGAGGTCCAGCACTAGAACTAGCACCAGCACCACCAGGAAAGCATCCAACATGACCAAAAAGACCTACGCGCGCACCACCATCGTCACCTCCACCGTCCACCCAACCACCACGATCAGCATGGTCTACGCCAGGCAAGCGGAACCGGAAGACACCACGACGACGACCACAACGAGCACCACGACCACGGATGTCTCCACGACCACGGCTCCCTCAACCACTACCACCACGACGACCACCATCTCGGGGTCTGAGTCGACGTCTTCCCCATCTCCATCGTCCTCCTCTCCTCCCACCACAACAGACGGTGATGCTGACAGCACGACCACAACCACAACCATGACAACGACAAGGGTTCCCTCCTCCTCCACCACTACGACCAGGATTCCCTCTTCCTCCTCTTCTGCATCCCGACTCTCTTCCTCCTCTCGCTCCTCTTCGTCGTCTTCCTCCTCCTCTCGACCACCAAGAACAACAATACCCCCATCCCTGATCGCCTCCTACACGCCCCTACCGTCGCCCCCACCGCACAGCCACTTTTTCGAATGGCCCGCCCACCCGGACAACAACACGGTGCGCTGCTCGAAGCCGGACCAACACGCCAAATTGCGCCCAGGCCAGGACGAAGCCCCGCCCAGCGACTGCCTGCTCGGCTGGCTCCGCGGGACGGTGCTGTACACGGACGTCATGGGCCCAGACATGCCGTTGGGGGTGGACAAGTGGCGGTTCCGACCGTGCTGTGCCGCGCACGAGGCCTGTGTCCTGGACTGCACGGAGAACAGTTTCCGGCAGTGCAACAACGACCTGTACAAGTGTGCCTACGAGATCTGCGATGCCATGCCGGAAGAACTGTATACCGAACGCCCGGCCAGGGCGTTGTGTTTCAACCAGATGGTCGAGTTCAATTGGATCATTCGCGCCCGCGAGACTTCGATATGGTACAAGCAGGTGAGTGAGGAGAGATGTTATTGTGTTGATGATGGACTTTGAAGGAAGAAGGAAGTTGAGGGGTGGGGCGGAGAATGAAGACTCACAAGAGAGAGAGAGAGATGAGGACCAGGACTAGGAGCGAAAGGGGAATGAGGTTGGGCATGGATGGATGGACTCATGGAGAACGGAGGAGGATGGGGTGAACTCATCCAGCATAGAAGATGATGGGACGGGACGAAGGAGGAGAGGGATTGAACTGAGGAAGGGGAAGGGAAAAGGAAAGGGGCGAATTGTCTGTTGTCTGTTTGGTCTTTTGTTTGGTTTGATGCGTCTACTTCTTGAATCTTGTTTCTTGCCGGCTGAAAAGGGGTGAAGAATGAATGAGTTTGGTTTCGATTTCGATCTCGATTTGGGAGTTGGCTGGCAGTAGAAATAGCGAGGTGTCCCATGCGAACCCTCTTGAGAGAGCCCTTCTGGCGCAGCCAAGTCAATTGAGATAACTCCTTCAAAATACTATTATGTCCCTTCTCAAGTATATCCAAGGTTGTACTTCAACTCTGAATTCATTTCATCCTCGTTCTAGCTTCTAGCTTCTAGCCACTTAGTCGTCACTCCGAGTCGTATCCTACGGGTCATGACAGACCAAAGAGCACCTCTGACACAAGGCTCCTTCCTATAGAAATAAACATCAACAGCCAAACCAAAGCCTCCAACGCCGTCGCTATATGGTATATGCAGACAAGATGACAAATAAATCACAGAAGAAGAGACCTGGTCGTTGCTCGCTTCTTCCATTCCACCTCCAAGAGTATAACACAACACGACATGACACCAGACGTCGCAAGATGCCATGGAATAGATTAGCATAGCATAGCATAGCATAGGGTACCATGCCACGCCTGAAGTACCATGTCAATGGCAAATTACAATCCAGAGAAGGTAATCATATCTGTAATCATGGTCGTAAGAGGCCACCCGCATCCGAAATATTCAGATCGTCAGGTCCTCTCGGTCGTGCTGGAGGTTCGGCGTCTTCCTGTCGTGAAGGGAGTCGACTGCTCCGCGAGACTTTTCTGCTGTCCGGCTTTATGGGCGATACGCTGGGGCTACTTCGCTTCCTGCCGGCGGATATGGAAGGCGACCGCAGTTCCTCTTCTTCATGGATATGTCCGTGCCTCGAAAGAAGACCTCCAATGTCGGTCAGGAACGCCTTAGACCCTGATCGACTTCCTTGATAGTTGGGCGAGGAAACTCGACGTGTCGATTCAATGAGCGACGCCTGTCGCGAGAGAGTAGACGGTGACCCATTCGCCGGCCGATCGACAAGACCGCCAACATCGAAGAACCCTATCCTGCTCGGCGTATCGGGCTCCTTGTATCCAGGGCTGATTGGCCTGTCGGGGTGAGTCTTTGTAGCGTCCAGCCTGTTCAGGTCTTCGAGCTTGATGTCGGTGGACGTGCTGGTCATACTCTCCATGGATTTCCTTCTCTTTCGTTCGCGCGATGCTTCTGCAAAATTCCATCGCAAACTAAATGTCGGGTTGTGATGACCAGGACCAGACTCCACGTCACTGTTGTGGTTGGGCAGAGCGACCTCCGCGGGTCGAGGACTTGGGTCCAGCGTAGTTCCGTGTCTCAGCAACGGAGGTAATGATACACCAACACTTCTGGCCAGATCTTCATCAGACCCCCAGTGATGATGGGTCATAGATCGAGTTCGTGTCCGGGTAGGTGTGCGGCCCATGGAGCTGGCTTCGTCGAAGGAGGCGATGCGGAATTTGGCCTTCTTGACACCTTTGTCGCGGATGAAACTGCCAATGGCAATGGCGTTGGACACACCCGCCGCAGCCAGGATTTCCAGAGATGCCAACAACGATCGGTATTGCTGGGAGGAGCGACGGGAGATCGTGGAAGGAATTCGATAGGCGGTGATGGCGATCAGGATGACGGAGAGCAAGAATAGCGCCACCAGGGATATTTTCTTGCTGAGCCGCATTTGAGACTGGATGACAAGCGGGATGGGAAAAGCAATCAGTACAACGTCGGTGACCATATCACAGACTCCCATGACGATCAATTGCACCAACCCTTCTCGACATTGAGGGCCTGGATCCGGCACGACCTGCCAGTAATGTGAAAAGGGTTGACATTCGGTCAGAGTGGCGATGACGACTGCGATATACGTGACAATGACAAAGCCATAGATGAAACGCAGCCCCAGTTCGTATGACTTGGCCCATGATTTTCCAATCAGCCGCTTGAGGAACTCGAGGACGGTGAGTTTGGCGACCCAGATAAAGGCAGCATAGAAGATGCGGGCAGGCAAAACCAGTTTACTCCCAATCTCACGATGCCGGATCTCCAGCGGCGTCAATCCGTCGGCCTTGATGTTGTTGGTTCCCCAGATCAGGACGACATGCACGAAACCCATGCGGATCATGAGCGGAATGATGCTGTAGAACATGATCTTGTCTTCCCGAAACAATCGTTCTGTGCGCACCCACCGACCGAGTAGCCGGATCAAGATGGCTGTCAGAGCGAACAATGTACACCACCATGACACTATGAGGGTCGGGTTCATGTCCAACTTGGTCTGGAGGTCCGGAGGGACATCGTGATACATGCGCGATTGCAGTATCTTGACGCCCGGCATGATTTCCGGTCACCGGATGCAAGGCAGTATGGGTGGGTTTATGAGAGGAGGTACTGATTCAGCAGGCTGTGCATGGCCTCAAACGATCTCGTCGGGGGATGTCTCGTCGGAATGCGCATAGAGGCCATTGACGGTACACACAGGGTGTGCAGCAACTCGGTCGCAGGGCCGGTGCCAGGATCACAAGTCGAGCGGATGTTTGTAAGTCCTCCTCTTGAATTCAGTATGCTAGCAAGCTGCCCGAGAGAAGTAGAGCTCTGCGGTTGGGTCGAAATTCGGGAGACAGGAGGATACAACGTAGACGAACAGTGGCCGACGGGGACAATCGATGGGCTGGTACTTTGTAGAGGAGGGAGGCCGATAGTGAGATGGGCTTGCCATGACGGAACAAGCGAGCCAGGCAAGGGTAGGTGTGGGAGAAGCAGGCCTCTTGACGAGCGTCGCAAAAGCCGATGGTTCTTGTTGGTGGTGGCGCCGTAACTGATAGAAGCGGACATTCTGAGAGCGCGTGATAGGATGGGCGGATGGAGGTGAACAAGGCGATGCGGAGCCAAGTGGAAACCAGCAAGGTATCAACAGGAACAGTCGGTCGACCTCGTTGGCTATACTGGTGGGAAGGAGGGTGGCTCGACGAGGACAGGGGTCGATGCTGGTTCGCTGTTATCAACGCTTGCTGCACGCCGGACCCAGAAAAGGTGATTCCAGGACGGTGGGTGTATGGAGTCTAGGAACAAGTTAGATTCGGGGGAAAAAAGAGAGTGAGGGTGGCTGCGTTGAAGTTGAGTGGTGATGGTGGAGTCGAGGATGGATAGAGGATGAACACTGAACAGAGAATTGGATGGGATGGAAAGATGCAGTGGACACTGCACTGGAGGATGCTTCGTTCGCTTCGGCGTCTTCCGTGACAAGCTTGACAAGTCTGCGAGCACCGGACTGGCCACTCTCGCATATTCCTTCTGCCGTGGCTTGACCGGGGCGCATCATTAGGGCCTGTTCTAAACCTCCTTGGGCATGGGTGGTGCTGTCAAAGATAAGAGGATGCACCATAGCACGGTGGTAACTGTGTGGTGATCGATGTATGACCGTTGTGTGGTTGTAATGGTTGTTGACTTGGCCTGCCCTAACAGATACCTAACTGACCATATGACGGTAAACAACAATGGCAATGTTGATTAGTGTGATATTTTGCAGAGGACAACCCCTGGGATTTGCAATAGAGCAATGGAATGGTGTTTCTGGCAAACTTCTCACATTGATTCCCTGATCCGAAATACGTACTGAAAAAGATGCCATGTGCCTGTGAGGCCCGTGAGCGAGACTGCGATTCCAGGGTGTGATTGGGATGCCAGCCACTGCAGTCTATTTCCTGTAGCACGTACGTACCTCTCCCGAGATGTCACCATGTTAACCCTTGACCACTTGACGCGGAGGCTGGACCCAGATTTGGTCTTAGTAGCTGCCGCCCCGGTCCGAACAATAGAGCGTAGTAGAGCACAGACAGAGCACAGAGCTTGGTGGCAGTAGGTGACAATGTGACACTTACCGGTCCTTCCAGCGTGCCTGGTCTCCAAGCGCAGCCTACCGATGCCGTCTTGTAATGCTGGCGGCCTTCTCTCGATCACAGGAATGAAGCAATTGTTCCTATTATTACTGTGTCAGTTGCAATCGCTTCCAGACGCAATCTGACTGTTTCACATCCTGCCCTCCATGAAGTTGTTGACGACCTGAAGACTTTCGCCGTTATCCCAAAGCACCACCCTCTCATCGTCTAACGCTAGCGCCCGTCAAGTTCGATCGCGGTTGAAGAGGGCGGCGGGCTCGATCTCGTCGTGGAAGCGGGATCAAATGTCGACTCCTATCTGGTTCATGCCCCGGTCGGTTCCAGGCAGCTGGGGCGGACAATTGGACACTACTCAAATACGTATTTGACAATGGGAAGATGCCGAAAAAAACATTTGCTTCCCTCATATTCCCTCTTATTCAGGAACAGTGGCCTCCATGCGTACAAGACATATGCAGAGGCCTTGGACCCGACGACCGGTGGGTCTACAACGAAGAGTAGTGATCGAGACCTCAGGATGCCGGCACTTCGATATCCAGGCTTCGAAATGCTCGATGGGTGAAGTACGATGCTTGCTACCAAGGCGGCCATATCAGTACATAGGTAGGTAACATGAGAGTCAATCATTGGATTCCAGGTTGGCGTTGTCATTCCAGTCAACTTGCTGCGTTGCTGGCACATCCATGCCAGGAAGCCATGTATGCTCAGGCCACGCTTTGCTGTTTCCCCTCGTACCAGGAGGAACACCATGTTCCTGGCCAGCGTCTCAGAAGAAAGACACTGTACTTCAGGTCTCTTCGCACTCGTGTGCGGCTCTTGTGCCGCTCGCCTCCTGGCCTCTTCACCTCCGAGGCCAGCTCATGCTACCGCTGGCCGGGCTCCAAAAATCCGCACCACCCGTCCTCCTTCCGAACCAAGGTTTGCCTCCTCAACCAGACCGGGCACTGCCGCTTCAGTCTGTTTACTCTCGATGACGCTCCAGACTGGAGGAAATCCTGCCCGCATCGGCCCTCCGGCCTTCTGGCTTCCCGGTATTGCAAACCGAGGGTTCGTGTGGAGGGCAAACCCTCTCAGCAGCCCCTGCTGGATCAGACTGAGAACGACAGATTCAACCTCCGCCATGGTAGGTGGGTCTTCAGGTTGGTCGACAGCGGGCACGTGCTGACCAATGTACTCGTCAAGGTATTGTCCGCTTTCTGGATCAAATCCCGTCTCGTTGATCGCCGCATCGATGCCTGCAAACTCCGGATCGACGTAGTTTGTCCCGTTACTTGTCGTATGTAGCCCGTTGCTATTGGCCGCTCCGTTGTCTTTCAGCCTCTTCAGCGCCCAAGACGCCACGTGACGGACATTTTGTAATCTCAAGAAAGGGACCTTCTTTTCCTCGCCCATGTAGCCGCTCAGGAGGAACGTCTTGCGGATGAGACTCCTCCAAACAATGATCTCGCATCGATCTTGTAGCTGGAGAAGGACAGACCTCTTCAAAAACCATTGGCCCGAATCACTGTCCAGATCTAGGTATTGCTGGAACCGGGCCAAGTCACCGCTCTGGATGATCTTGCAGAGCGGCACGTATCTCGCCCCGATCTCGGACGCTTCCGGCCGCGACAGCAGTGCCGGCGAGGGTAACCGGCCCAAACAGATGTTGGCCGCCATCAGGTACGTCAGGATCAGTCGTCGATGTTTGATGGCTTGGCGGTGACATTGCTCGTATGCCTTCTCGAGCACGGCTTGAGCACGTCGGAAATGGTTGTTGGCGAAATGGTACCGTCCCAGGTAGTACAGGTACGTGACTCGCTGTGCGGCGGGATAATATGACAGGGGCGGAGACTGTGCATCAATGCTGGAGAACATTTGCTGCGCGTTGCGCAGTTTGCGACACTGGATGAGAAGCTTGAGGCACGAGTTGGCCGTCAGATAGATTCCCACGCGCTTGTCGTCCGCGGACGGCCTGCTGGTTCGTTGTACACCAGGACTCCCCGCCAAACATTTGATGAATGCATCCCGTAGCACGTTGGCCGCGTCTTCCACGAAGCTGACTTTCCCTGGAGCGCCTTCCGTGTTCTGCGTGGCAGGAAGATTACTGTCTCGGATCAAGGCCGGGTTGCGGTCCAAGTTCGTGGCCACCATCGCCAGAGTACGTGAGAAGGAGAGCACAATGGGTATCATGATCACTCCATATTTCGAATCTCCGAGCGCAGTGACACATTGGCTACAAGCTCGGTCAGCATTGTGCCCCCATAGACTAGACTGCGAGAACAAATCGGCTCACCTCGTCAACTGCCTGATTTTGGACGCTTTGGACTGGTTGTCGGCCGTCGTGAAATCCCGCAGATACCGAAAATATTGGATGATACTCTCGGAGAATGTAGTGCTGAAGGTCCCGAACTCGTCTTGCGGGAGAGCATTTCTGCACCGCGACACGAGTCCTCCGTCATTCGCGGGGGGGAAATTGCGGTTCAGCTCTTGATTCAGATCCGCGTATGGCTTTTGCCGGTCTGGCGTCAAGCTGTCGAAGTCGAGCTGGATGAGCTCGGTGATCCGGCCTCCATTTTTGCCTCTGACGCTCGCGATGATCTCGGTCAGGAACGAGTCCAACGCTGAGCTGTTGCTGCCGACGGGAGGCATATTATCATCAATTGCGCTCTTTGTCCTCCAATTGCTGCAGACCAGTATTTGAGTCGCGTGCTGGCCGTCTGACCGATCGTGCGAAAGCAACGATGTCTCACCGCGTTAGGTGCACATCACATCTTCATAATGGCAACTACTCTGCTGCAGCCGGAACACGAGATGATGGGGCCTAAACAGTATTCATGCGATTGCCCAGACTTGTCACGTATAACATCATGACCTGGAGTTTCGATGTCGAGTTTGGTTTCCAGTGGAGAAATTGAACCAGGGATTGATGTTGTGATTGGTCAGAATTCAACTACATACTATCACCACTACTCTGTAGGTACGTAGTAGGTAGGCACAGAGCACACAGGGAGACAATACACAATGGTAAGCACTTGGTAGATCGTTGAAATCTAACTGTGGTGTTTGATCTTGAGGCTTGCAGTCAATGCCTCTGGATGCCATGACTATCATCCTACTACTACCGTCTAGGTCATCTCTTCGTACAGTGACGTACTGGGCAATGCCGTACCATCGCTCTTCACTCCTCGCTCAATGGCCCCTTCGAGCCACTCGGCTGCCAACATTGGGCACGACAAGAAGCCCAGATGGAGCGACCGGCCCTGACGCGGCCAGTATCCGTCTTTGTGCGTACGTAGTCAGTGTTGCTGACGGCAAGACTGACCCCCGACTTGTAAACCTCCCTCAATTGTAATATGCGGTGGTCCTTACAAGTCATCGCGCAATTCGACAAGTCGGAGTCGGTCATTGGTGGAACAGCCGAAACGATTCGGGCGACTCGAGATCCGTTGCTGCGTAAAAAGATTCAGCGACACCCATGAGAGACAGTGCCTCCCCGGGTCTGCCGCGTGTCAATCACTTTTCCGTCCCCAGAATCATCTTTTCTCTTTCACTATGCCGAGGCATACTGTCCTTCTTACCATGCTTTCGAACGTTCTCCTCTTTCCTCTTGATAGATTTGAGTTCTTCTCCTTTGATTTCCGTCGCCTTCTTGATGGTCTTGGGTAGATGTCGATGTCGTTTTATTCGCCTGATTTCTGGCATGTGTGCATATCTCCGGACAAGTGCCTGATCATACTCGAGTTTCTGCCGTTGCCGTGCTGATTTGACTCCACTTCGATCCGAGGCATTGACCCTCCATATCCTCACGTTACCGTCATCCGACCCAGACAGTACGTATTTGTTGTCCGCGGTGAAACGAGCCGAGAAGACTCGTTGCATACGTTTGGTGTGATAAATATCCCTCGAATGTCCCCTATCTCTGTTCCACAACCTGATTGTCCGGTCATATGACGCGCTAACCAGGTCTTCTCCGGTTGGACTGAATTCAACATCCATCACGGCAGCCACGTGGTCTTTCAAGACGTTCAAAGCTCTATCCAGTTTTCGCATGTCAAAGATATAGATGTTGTGATCTTCGTTTGCTGCGGCGAAATTGAATGCTTCCATCGGGTTCCATGAGATCGCATTGGATGCTAACCGCAGGACAACTTTCGAGAGAGGTGACGATGTCCGTAGATCGTACAAGACAATGGCTCTGTCAAGGGCGGCAGAAGCGAGGATAGAGGTTTCGGTTTGATTAAAGGAGACAGCCGTGATGGTATCTGTAGCGGTTGGCCAGCGCAGCACTTGACTGGGGCCTGACGATGGTCTGGAGAGGTCGTAGATGGAGATTGAACTGGATGAAGCGGCAAAGGTGGGAAGATCACGATGATGTGAGATGTCCGTGAACGCCCCTTGTCCAAGATATGTTGCCAATGGAAGGCTACTCTTCTCGCTGTTGTAAGGATCCCAAACTTTGACTGTTTTATCCGTGGCGCAAGAAAGAAGTTTTCGCTCTGGAGTCCAACACATCCCTCGGACAACATTATCATGAGCTTTCGCACTCCAAACCTCCTCGCGACTGGTCAGATCCCATACTTTGACAACGCCATCTCCGCTGCCACTTGCAAATCGTTCGAGAGAACCGGGATCGTTTGCCATGGAATAGACTCCATCCACATGACCTTCACCCAATTGCCCCACAAAGGGGGAAGCAAACATACGTTCCATTTTGACGGCATTGAGGGCTCTCGTATACTCTCGGGCGCGTTCGAAGGGATGATGAGCAGGATCGAGGTTTCGAGGCTGGCGAACAGCCCCGTCGCCCGGAGGCGCGGACGGTCTCGTCAAAGACTTTATCTTCTGCCCCGAAGTTAGTCGCCAGACAATCTCTGTGGCAGGATTGACGCATACATACCATGATTACGACAGCATCCCGATGAGAAGGATAGTTGTAGCCGAAACTTGCGACCGAGAAAGAGACTGCTGCTGGATGATGGATGGTGAACTTCAACGCAGCGAACTTTTTTGTGGAGAGCGCAGAAGCCACCCGCAATGTTAATGCAGCAAATAATAAACTTCTGGACCCTGGCGTCATTCGATGGTGCCTGCCTCTGCTCCAAGTGGCTGAGAAACCACTACTACCGCTGCGTCCACCGAACCGCGTTTGGATATCCTGCCAGTGCATCTGCATCTGCGTCGTCCTTGAGTAGCCTTATCCCCATCGTACTATTAGGCAATTCCGCAACCGGCGTCAACTCCCATCACACTCTCTCTGCCTCCTCTACTACTTGTCGACCATCACATTCCAAAGTCACTTCCACAATGGCACCTCCGCCGTCGAGTGAGGCCAGAATCACGGAGGCCAAAAAGCTGGCCAAAACCGATCCAGCCCAAGCAGAGAGCATCTACAAAGAGGTTCTGGCACAGTCACCAGGTTCCAACCAGGCCGCTTTGCAGAGTTACGAGAACGCCCTTGTCGGCTTGGGAGAACTCTATAAGGATACCAAGCGCTTAGACGATCTCGCAGAGCTGGTGAAGACCAGCAGGTCCACATTGTCTTCCTTTGCTAAAGCGAAGACGGCCAAACTTGGTATGTCCATCATGGCCGCCGCTGCGTAACTTCTGCTGACTGAAATCAGTTCGGCAATTACTTGACTTCCTCGCAGAGATCCCCAACTCTCTAGAGACTCAAATCGCGACCACCAAATCATGTATCGACTGGGCGAATGCGGAAAAGCGATCCTTCCTCCGTCAGAACCTCGAAACGAGACTTGTCGGACTCTACATGCAAAAGCAGGCGTATTACGACGCCCTCACACTGATCAATGGTCTGTTGCGGGAGCTCAAACGGCTCGATGATAAGCTTGTTCTTGTAGAGGTGCAATTGCTGGAATCCCGCGTCTACCATGCTCTCACCAATCAAGCCAAAGCCAGAGCTGCACTGACTTCAGCAAGAACATCTGCTGCGTCGGTTTACACCCCACCACTTCTGCAAGCAGGACTGGATATGCAGAGTGGCATGCTGCACGCCGAGGACAAAGACTTCAACACCGCATTTTCGTATTTCATCGAGGCGCTGGAAGGATATCATGCTCAGGACGATACCGCTCGAGCCACGTCGGCATTGCAGTACATGTTGCTTTGCAAGATCATGTTGAATCTGGTAGACGACGTTAACTCTATACTGGCTTCGAAGCAGGCGCAGAAGTATGCTGGGACGAGCTTGGAGGCTATGAAAGCCGTTGCCAAAGCCCATGCCAACCGATCCCTTGAGGAATACGAGCAAGCTTTGTCGAATTATCGCTACGAGTTGGGCAGCGACGTGTTTATTCGAAACCATCTGCGACGGTTGTATGATGCAATGTTGGAGCAGAATCTGATCAAGGTCATTGAGCCATTCAGTCGGGTGGAAATTGACCACATCGCAAAGATGGTTGGTCTGGACACACAGCAGGTTGAAAGAAAACTGTCTCAAATGATTCTGGACAAGGTCATTATTGGTGTGCTAGATCAGGGCGAAGGATGTCTGATTGTCTACGAAGAGGTCGACAGAGATACTGGCTACGATGCTGCGTTGGCGACGATCGAGAAGCTCAGCAATGTGGTTGATGTGCTCTACACCAACCAGGCGGCTTTGTTAGAATAGAGGCTTGGGAACACGGAATTGGCGGGATGGTCTTTCGTGGTGATCAACAACGACTATTAGCTGGGGATCGCTCCCAGCATCCGCAGGTCTTGTGAGAGTCAAGGTTCTAGACCAAAACATCCCTGTGCACGACATAACAATAATTCAGAATTTGGTTGTGGCTAACAGTGCCATCCTCCCTACCTACATAAGGTAGTAATACGTGTGTAGTACCGCTGCGCCACCTGCAGTGCTCGAGTTCCGCCGAAGGAACGCGGCTTTGTCATTCCTCGGACCGCGCCCCCCGCTAACTGCCTCAGGGCGCCGGGGTGAAACTCATCGTGTCTAGCCTGCAACCAACTCGAAGGCTGCGATGCTTGGTTCTGCTTTGTCTTTCCACCAGCCTAGAGACGCGATATTGTGTGGAACTCGTGCCTCGAACAGTTCGGAATACCGCTTCGTGCATACCAACACGACCCAGAATCGCCTTCCTAGCCGAACACATTAAGTTCGGCGCCGCAGTTGCCATTGTCTCCCAAGTCGTCGCGGTCTGCCCAAACCTGACGGACATTTTGCACTCTCGACGCTGTTGTCCTGAAATTATCGTTACGAGTGGCCGTTGGGCCCGAGCTGGGCTGCCGTGATGGGTCAGAAGTGAGGGTCACCGTGCTCACAAGGGGCGCACCACCACCAAGAATCCCATACTGACTCGCAGCTCTATCTAGACAATCCAAGCTGTCGCCGCAACAACTGGAGGAGTTGCAAAAGTCGACGCATTTTGACAAGAAGGAGCTCCAACAATGGTACAAGGGTAAGGCAGCTTTGGGGCGAATAGAAATCAGGTTCGCGGCTGAAATGAATGCGCAGGTTTCCTCAAGGACTGCCCGTCGGGCACGTTAACCAAGGAAGAGTTCCAGAAGATTTATCGACAGTTCTTCCCCTTCGGTGACCCGAGTTCCTTTGCAGACTACGTCTTCAAGGTCTTTGACTCGGATAAGAGTGGGACCATTGACTTTAAGGAGTTCATATGCGCTCTCAGCGTGACCAGTCGTGGCAAGATGGAGGATAAACTGGATTGGGCATTCCAACTGTACGACATTGACGGCGACGGCAAGATCAGCTACGACGAGATGCTGGCGATCGTGGAGGCCATTTATAAAATGGTGAGGCTTTGGCACTTTTACTCATGCTCGGAGACTAACCGTTGTGCTCAAAGGTGGGATCGATGGTAAAGCTCCCCGAAGACGAAGATACGCCCGAGAAGAGGGTGAAGAAGATATTCAGAATGATGGACAAAGACGAGAATGGAAGCCTCGACATGGCCGAGTTCAAGGAAGGCAGTAAAAGGGATGAGACGATTGTGTCAGCGCTCTCGCTTTATGACGGACTTGTATGATCTGGCTTGTATGGGTTGGTCTATGTCCTATCTGCCTATATGTTGGATGCATGCAAGAACATGGTGTTAGGGATTGGTAGCCTGACTTCCGCAGCCTGTTGACAACATGATGTTGGAACTGATGATGATGGCACGATCCTGAATGAACGAGGTGACGGTCGGGGGTGAGCGCAGCGAGACAGCCTCAAGAGTGAACGCGGAATTGCAAGCTTGAATACCTGTGTCAGCCTCCAGGGCTGGCTAGACCAGTTGCTACCTATACCTAGGTACCTCCTAGTAGGTAGTATTGAAAACACAAGTATAGCAGGAATTTAGTAGTACTTCGGCTTGAAACAGATATCTGAACGATGGACTTCTTGATCGGGATGTCCTTTGCTATTGCCAAATCAACCAATCAGGCCGCAGTGACTCCCCGCAGCGCCTGTCAGGCACGGATGGAGCAACGCGCGTGCTGTCGAATGAACCGAACTAGCTTCGACGAAATGCCACTTGTACTCCTCGATCAGATGTGATATTCCATTATACTCCTAGCTCCTTTTAAAAATCGGCTTCAGTTCTCCTCTGTCGCAACTGGACAATACAGACTCTTCCTTTAGTCATTCCATTGAACTTCAAATTGGCTGCGGGCACCATGAGTCGGAGGTGACATCGTACCCTCTTCACGCCGTCCTTTATTGCCCTTGGCTCGGATTGCTGTAACGCTCGACGAGTACTTTTGTCTTTGTCGACACGGCATTCCCCGAGAGCGGTCGGACGCTCTTACGCTCTGTACATATGGCCCCGTTACTTTCTTTGGCACTTCTGTGCTGTTTATTATTGAAAGAGGCTACAGCTTTCTATCTTCCCGGTGTCGCACCCTCCTCGTACTCGGCCGGCGACCGAGTCCCTCTCACCGTCAATGCGTTGACTCCTTCGATTTCGCGGCATGATGAGCAAATTCATGCTGTTGTTTCTTACGACTATTACCATCCTGCATTCCGCTTCTGCCGACCGGACAAGGGGCCGCAGCGAGTGCGCGAGTCACTGGGGAGTATAATCTTTGGTGATCGCATCCAGACGTCTCCATTCGAACTGCGTATGGGACAGAATGAAACCTGCAAGATGGCATGTGAGAGCGAAGAATTCGATGCGGTGGCTACCAAATTCGTCAACGCCAGGATAAGAGAGGCTTACAATGTTAACCTGCTGGTCGATGGACTGCCAGCCGCGGAGCTCAGGGAAGATCCTCTCACTCATGAGCAGTTCTCCAGTCCGGGTTTCCCGCTGGGCAAGGTCAAAGAAGATGGCACAAAAGTTCTACACAATCACTGGGATATCATCATCGACTATCATCAGGCGGGACTGCGAGGTACCAGATACCGCGTGGTCGGCGTTCTGGTCCAGCCACAGTCGTATGCCGACTCAAAACCGCTAGGTCAGGGCAAGGGTGAATGTGCGGTGAATTCGGGGCCGGTCGTGCTCAACGAGGCGGGTGGGACCAAGGTCACATACACATACAGCGTTTACTGGCGTCCTTCTGACACTGCATGGGCAACTCGATGGGACAAATACCTCCACATCATTGACCCTAAGATTCACTGGTTCTCCCTGATCAATTCCACAATATTCGTCGTCTTCCTGGTTGGGATGGTGAGTACAATTCTGGTCAGGGCTCTTCACAAGGACATCGCGAGGTACAATCGGTTGGACAACATCAATCTGGATGATCTTTCGGGCACCTCTGCTGTGGAAGACGATATTCAAGAAGATTCCGGCTGGAAACTGGTACACGGCGACGTGTTCCGTAGCCCGCGTCACATTCTCATGCTGAGCGTCCTTCTCGGCAACGGAGCCCAGCTTTTCGTCATGACAGGAGTGACGGTGGTATTTGCCATGCTGGGCTTTCTGTCCCCCTCCAATCGGGGGTGGCTCACTTCAATCGGTTTACTCCTCTATACGCTCTTTGGGTGTATTGGGGGCTACGTCTCTGCCCGCGTCTACAAGAGCTTTGGCGGAGAGAAGTGGAAACTCAACATTGTGCTGACCCCACTGTTTGTGCCTGGCATTGTGTTCGGGACCTTTTTCCTCCTCAACCTCTTCGTTTGGGCCAAAGGTTCGAGTGGAGCTGTTCCCTTCACGACCATGCTCGCCATCATAGCCATATGGTTTCTGATCAGTGTCCCTTTGAGTGTGGCTGGTTCGTGGTATGGTTTCAAGCAGGCGGGCATCGAACCGCCAACACGGATCAATCAGATCCCGCGACAGATCCCACCGACTGCGCGGTCACTCCGACCTTTGCCCTCGCTTCTTCTGACCGGCATTCTCCCCTTCTGCGCCATCTTTGTGGAGCTGTACTTTATCATGACCTCGCTCTGGACGAGCAAGATCTATTATATGTTTGGGTTCCTCTTCATCTGCTATGCGCTGATGGTGCTGACCTCGGCATGCACAACCGTCCTGCTTGTGTATTTCCTCCTTTGTGCGGAAGATTATCGCTGGCAGTGGAGGGCGTTCTTCGGGGCCGGAATGACGGGAGGCTATGTTTTCCTGAACGCCTTGGGGTTCTGGGCGACTCGGGTTAGCTTCGGCGGCTTTACTGGGGCAGTCCTCTATGTGGGCTACTCTGCGCTCATCAGCTTCCTGGTATTTGTGCTTAGCGGTGAGTGACATCTTGTCGTTTCTCCTGGCCCGTGAGTGACCAAAACTGACTCTTGCCACAGGGACTATCGGGTTCTTTGCATCATACGCATTCGTGCATCGGATCTATCGATCTATCAAGGTCGATTAAAAGCCTGACTGATATCGACTTTGGGAGCGTAAGGCCAAGCTGGAGTCAAAAGGAGATTGACGTGTCAAGGTCTCAAAAAATCAATGGCAAGCAGACATAGAATTCCCTCACAGGGGCTTATAACGACAGCAATGAAACAAAAGGACAGGAGCCCGTCCCAAGGAGGACATGGCCGGCTTGTCCTCTTGTCCTGATTCGATGCGTTGCAGGTGCCATCGAACAGGCAAAGCTTAATAAGGTAGTTTTGTACTACCTGGTAGGCTGTCCGTGTGACACATTTGTATGGGCTGGCACTGGCACGGAACTCCCGATACTACTAGTAGCAGGATGCCAACTGAACTGCACAGCACGGTATCATCTGAGTGCAAGTAGCAATGGTGGGCAGGATACCTACTTACCACTGGTAGGTAGGTACCTAGGTAGGAGGATCCAGACCTATTGTCACACTGCACGTTGATGGTACTGACAATAGGTAGTACTGCAGGGACTACCTTGGTCAGAAGTTCTACCAGGTGCTCGGTCGGCTTGATATTCACATAGTACGTAGTAGTACTGCACGAAACCAGACTGTCTCTCTCTCTGTCTCTTGCGAGCCTTTGGAAGTTCCATCTAGTACGTACTAGTAGTTCTCAATTGGCGGGGATGATTTCCGGAAGAGGCAGTTAGTATACAGGATCGGCGTCAGGCTAATGCCAAATTGTCCTTGAGATGGAGGGCGATCGTCAACAAATAATATCTTCATCAAAAGGCCCCGTTGGTAACACTGCAGCGGACCTGTAGATGGACGACAGAGTAATAGGTAGTAAGGGAGTGTTTAGTTTGGAAATGGATGTTGAACAGCATACTGTTATTTGGTACCTATAGTAGGTGCCGGATATCAGTGGCCAGGAGCTTTAAGGTACCTGTAGATGTACTACCTTAGATCACGTTAGGACACTGTACATAGGCAGGCTGCCTTGGGCGTACCCCATAAAGTTCAAGGCTCCAAGGAAACTTAGTACCTATACCTGAATATATCTCTAGAAGTACTAGTATAGACTGGTCACTCGAGAAACAAGGGGCACTGTAATTGCTGTTAGGCACCAGGTGGGCGCCTATAGGTGCCTTCTTTAACTATGTACCTAGGTACCTTAGTTAACCAGGCGCCCACGGAACCTGTGCCGGGCTGTGAAAGAAGAACTTGAATACCCACATCGACGTCATCACGCCTCCTGTCACGGTTACCAGCCAAAAAGCCACTGGCTCCTGTAAAGTCATCCATCCATCCACTCACTACGTAGTGCCAATTGCTTTGTGGCAGATGCCACAGAGAGAGCCCTTTCTACCTCAACGCACTACCACTGACTACTACTCACCTACAGTCGGACTGCACATCTACCCTTCTTCTGCCCAAACTGCGCACACCACCAGTCCAACCAGCAACCTGCAACACACACCATCAACACCCGTCCGTTTCTTTCGTTCACTTACCAACCGCTTTGTATCACGCGGCTGTCCATCGATCGTCGCCTGCCTGGTTGCCCGCTCGCTCAGCTCACGCTACGTCTTCATCCAAAGTACCCACACCGAGTACCTCTTCCTCGCTCCATCGACAGCACCCACGCATTCTTTTCGCTAGAACGTCTTCCTCCATCATGATGCGTGCCACGACCAGACCCGTTTTTTAAGACGTCGTTTTCGTCGCAGCTTGACACTCACGCCTCTGTCGCATTATTGTCGTCCGCCCTGCCACCAAGACCACCGCATCCTCTCTCCATGACTACCGGTCGATTGCCTATAGGTTGCAGACACCGAAGCTGGACGTGTCTGCATCCGCAATGAAGTCCACCAAACCGGCTAGTGCTGGATTGCCACAACATGGCCACTCCTCCTCACCTCGTGTAGAGCGCAGGTCGTCCGACCAGAACAAAGAAGAAAGTATGTCGGGAAACAGGAGTGGCAAGACCCCCCCAACCACGACCACACACTCGCCGCTTGTCCACGGTCGGGTCAGCAATCAGCTGGCGCGTGAAAACTCTGGTGGACTGGAGGCTATGCGACGTAGAATGAGTGCTGCTCTGGCCCAGAAAAACCAGAAGCGCGCCGCTGCGACTTCTGACTCTTCGCCCGATCTTGCGAAACGAGATGAAACCCCCGAGCGGCCAGCGACTCTTATCCATACAGAATCCAGCTCAGATGAATCTGTCAACACTGGAACTCTTTCCACGGACTCCGCCAGGACAATCAAGGCGGCTTTTGACACGACTCCGGGCACCATCAGAACGCCTTCATATCCTTTCCCCAGGATGTCTTTGAAATTGAATCGTGGTGTCAGCCAGCGGTCGGGTCCGTCCCATAAGCCGTTTACACTGTTGTCACCGACCAACGAACCCGTATCCAGCAGGGAGCCGTCGTCAACCCCCCAAGCAGCAGCCCAACCCCTCAAATCTGCCTCCGGCATGAGTACACCACTGGGTCAAACACCCATCAGTGCGGATTTTCCCGAAGACCCCAACTTCCCCACCCCGGATCTATACGACATCATTCTTATGCTGAATGCTGAGCCCGGCTTGGACATGTGGTGGGTCAACGTGACGGAGATACTTTCAGAGGCGTACGGTGCTGAACGCGCCTCGCTTGCCATACCGGGTGACATTACAGATCTGGAGAATGTTCCCTGGGGTCAGAAGGCCACTTATAACGTTTGTGGCACTGATGGAGTGCCAGCTTCCCGGGTCGGTTCGCTCGCATCGTCCGAAGTTGACGTCAACTCTACGGGCAGGCGGCCAGAGCCATCGAGCAGGATGCCTACCGATGTCAGTTCTGCGTCTGCGCGTCGGCCACCTCTACTGTCCCGACACTCTATTGCCGGTCCTGCTCCAGATTCTTCTCTTCGAACTTCGCGTCAAAGACCTGCTGCTCCTGTTCGGGCCCACAGCAGCATCCCCAAGGAACAAGATGAGCAGGTGGCATCCTTGGCCTCGGCCATCCTGCCCCGGTTGACACGACAAGCGGCAACACCTTTAACGCTCTCAGCGGCCGAATCTGAGCCCATGTTCAAGGGACAATACTATTCTTCAGGTTCTGGGTCTTCTACACTACGATGCCATGTGCATCGATCCATCCAGCCATTGGAGGTGGAACCTGACCCTCTTTTGGTTCGCACTGGGGTCGTCTCCCTGTTTGGTAAGAGGAAGCCAGTAGTCTTGACCAGAGCATATACAGAGGAAGTACCGAGCAAGTCCCCGACAATCAGAGGATACGGCGATAAGGGCAGCGCGCCATCTACCCCTAGCGGGTTCGACGATCGAATGACCCCGAGGACTGAAGGTTCACAAACTTCAACGCGTCAAGTCCGCGCGTTTGATGAATTTGAACAACCGGAGCCTTCTCCGTGGTCGCAGAGTCCTGCCCCTTCACCTGCGGCACGCCCTGATCCCGTGGAGTCGCCTTTCTTTGTCCAACCGTCAGCGTCGATTGACGAGACCGCGTTTGAGCAAAATCCTCCCGCTTATGACTATGCTAACAGCGCCAACCAGTCATTGAATGCAATTGGTGCAGATATGTCAAGGACGATAGTCCATCTGCCACTCATTCAGCCGGTCCTGTCACGGGGGCAATTGCCGTCGAGCCTCCGTTTTCCGATAGCCATCCTGTCTTTCTTGTCACACCTGAACCCTTATCCACGTAGTTTACGGCGTTCATTGGAGGCCCTTATCCCACATCTGGCAAGCTCATATTCTCTTGCGCAGCAATATAGCGCTCTCCAGGCCCGATTGCGTGGCAGCCCAGGGAGTCGACACGAAGCAGCGTTTGGGTTGGGAGGCACGTTCTCCGACGAGGGTTCTGAATTGGAATTGGTTGCAGAGCTGAGCGGACAGGTTGCCCAGGACAAAGAGAAGTCAAAAACGTGGAAATATGAAAGCCCCTACAGTTCGGTCGGAAACACGCCGCTTATGGATCAGTTCGGCCTCAGTCCAGGTCACCCACCGACACCGGGGAGGTCTGGAGTTGAGATGATCGACAGCTATTTCTCTGTGCGGAGGCAAAAGTCGAGCCAGCAGCCTCTGACTCCAGGCCAGCGAATGAATAGGGATGAGGCGGGGCAGACGAAGGGATCGTCTGAAAAGCCGCAATCGAGTGCCAAACAAGGCAACAGAAAGGCCAGTGCAAACATGGCAAAAAGCCAGCCAGAGCCACAAAGTCCAGTGACTACTCGATCGGCGAGCAATGCTTCAGAGACTGAGATGGGAGACTCGTCTTGGACTCTCTCCTACGACAGACTCGATCCCAGTGGTCGGAGGCAGCTGCCACGGCGGGAAAGCCAGAGCAGAGAAGACGACGAGAGACCGTTACCGGAACTAATATCGTCGCTGATGCTCAACTCGGTGCCACTACAGTTGTTCCTTGCCAAACCTGGTACAGGAGACTTGGTCTGGACCAACCGGAAGTTCGACGCCTTTAGAAGCCAAGGAGAAGGTCGGGTTCGTGACCCCTGGAAAAATGTGCACCCGGCAGACAGAAACGGCCTGGTCAAACTGTGGAATGATGCACTAAAAACTGGCAGCCAATTCACTCATTATATCCGTGTCAGGCGATTTAATAGCGACAGTGATTACCGATGGTTTGTCTTCCGGGCAAGCACCCTCCTCAGCAACAATGGTCGACTTTTGTATTGGATCGGGTCATTTCTCGACGTGCACGAGCAGTACATGAAGAACTTGGAGGCGAGTGAAAAAGAAGCAACTATGGCCCGCGACACCAAACTCCGTGCATTGGCAGACGCCATTCCACAAGTCCTGTTCGAGGCCATCGAAGGAGACGGCATTGTTTCTGTGAATCAACAATGGCATGCATATTCCGGCCAGACACTGGAGGATGCCCGTGGCCTCGGATTTGCTAAGCATGTCCACCGCGACGACTTGCACAAATGTGGCATTCTGTCGCCCGGTGACGTTGCGGCAATCGCAAGGTCATCTACGCCGGGCAGTCACACGGACTCTTCTGGTGACTCCAATCGAACGGTGGCCCCACCTTTGCCGGCGCAAAAGAGCTTGTTTTCGCCAGACCCGTCTTCGCTCGATGCCATGATCAAGCAGGGGTCGGTTCTAGTGGAGAAAGATGAGAATGGCCGCCTGTCTTATCTGACCGAGATTCGGTTGAGATCCAAGGGGGGCGAATATCGATGGTTCCTTGTGCGACTTTCCCGGGTGGACACCGGGCTGTGGCAGAGTCAGAGTGGTCGGGCTTCCTGGTATGGCACCTGCACCGATATTGAGACGCGGAAAAACCTCGAGAGGGAGCTGAACCAAGCCAACCACAAAGTGCACTCTGAGATGGAGTCCAAAACCAAATTCTTTGCCAATATGTCTCACGAGATCCGGACGCCCTTGAACGGCATTTTGGGTAGCATGCCTTGGCTGGTTGAATCCACCCTCGACCATGATCAAAGACGGACTGTCGACACCATTCAAAACAGTGCCAACAATCTTAGGGAGCTGGTCGACAATATTCTCGACGTGACCAAAGTCGAAGCCGGAAAGATGACGCTGCTCCCCAAATGGTTCCACGTGCGCACATTATGCGAGGAGGTCATAGACACGGTCTCATCCCGCGCCATAGAACGTGGTCTGGAACTCAACTATTCTCTTGACGCAAACGTTCCCTCAATGGTGAAGGGCGATGCTTTCCGAGTACGGCAAGTACTGCTCAACCTGTTGGGCAATTCGGTCAAATTCACGGAGCAAGGCGAGGTGTACATGAGGTGTTCACTTCGGGAGGAGGCAACGCCTCGCCAAGAAGACAAGCCACAATCATCGGCTCTGCTTTCATTTGACGTGGTCGACACCGGGCGTGGGTTCAACCAGAACGAATTCAAGCGACTATTCAAACAGTTCGGGCAGATTGGAGGTGGAAGCAATCATGAGGCAGGCTCGGGGCTGGGACTGTTTCTATCCAAACAACTTGTTGAAATGCATGGCGGCGAGCTGTCCGTGGAAAGTCAGGCGGGCGAGGGATCCACGTTCAGCTTTTACATCAAAGTGGAAGTTGCTCCGCCTGGGTCCGACGTTGCTCCTTCAGCCATGCTGCGACCCGGGCAGCAGAAGTCCAATGCACTCACAGCAGGAAACCCGCGATCTCGATCGGACAACAAGACACCTACCATTGCTTCCTCTAGGGGTTTCACACCTACGGAAGGGATCATCCAGACGCCAGGTCTCTCGCGATATACAAGCTCACCCGCTCCTCAGCTGGTGACTTTGCCATCACCGGCTGGGCCATCACCGCCAGTGGTTTCACCGCCTCTTCTGCCATCTGAGAGCTCTACAATGTACACGCGGTCGGATTCGGGCAATATAGTGGGTGCATCGTCCGCATCTTCCCAACTGCCAACTCCGGAATCCGCGCCCTCGCGTGAAGTGATTCCCAGTCCAAACGAACAAGAACTAGTGGCCACCAAATTGGTATCGTCGCCTCCGACATATCGGCGAAGCAAGAGTGACAATCAGGCTAGCGGATTGGCAGCTGAGCTGGCCCATCCACAGACATATTCCATAATCATCATTTGTCCTGCCGAGCACGCAAGGACAGCCATCAAACAACACATTGAGCACGTGGTGCCATACCAGATTGCGGCCAACGTGACCACGATCCCGGACATCGGGACATTCCTGGAGCTCATGAATGGACCATCAACCCCTACATTCACGCATATTGTGCTGGATATTCCCGCCACGTCGGACATTATGCTTTTCATGCGGCACATGATCAATTGGACCGGGTCGGTTGTTCCGGCGTTGGTGATTCTCACCGACCACTACCAGAAGCGCGACATCTTGGAAGACTTCACTATTCTGACGGCCAGTGGGCGCAAGGCCTATCTGATCCACAAGCCAGTCAAGCCTTCCGTATTTGCCATGATCTTCGATCCGGCGCAACTGCGCAACCTGAGCAAGGATCGGGCGCGAGAGGTGGCTCAGTCGAGTTCCGACGATTTCCGGCACATAGCGAAGCTGGTCAAGGACAAGATTGGAGGCCGTGAGTACCGGGTGTTACTGGTGGAGGACAGTGATGTGAACCGAATGGTGATCCAACGTTACCTCAAGAAGGTGGCGCTGGAGAATGATTCGGCCAAAGATGGACAGCAGTGTGTTGACATGGTCCTAGCGAAAGGTCCAGGATATTACAACCTGGTTATTTGTGATATCCAGATGCCGATCAAGAACGGATATGAGGCGTGCAGTGAAATCCGAGCGTGGGAAGCAAGCCACGGGTATCCAACAATGCCGATCATGGCATTGACGGCCAATGCGATGCCTGAAGAGAGAGCGGCGGCCGCGAACGCAGGGTTTACAGACTATCTCACCAAGCCGGTGGATTTCAATGTGCTGGGGACGATGATGATGACGCTGCTGGATCCCAGCGTGCCACACGTGTTCTTACGTGACAGGCCTCTGTCTTGATGGGCAGAGACGGGAGGGAGGGAGACGAGATCTCTTTCATGGTGTACAGGGAGCTCCGTATGGGAAGAGCATCGCGATACGGAGGTTTGCGCCTGTACTCGCCAGAAGAGCGCATGGTTGAAACTGGCGTTATTGCACATTTTGGTGCTGCGCTTATTGTGCGAGTTCGGTTAGCCAGGATGGTTTTAGGATGAGTCCAACAGAAGGCTAAAGGGGCCTTCTCTTTTTTTTGGGGCCGAGCAAGTATGCATCAGCAATGGGTTTCTGGGGTTAATGGAGCAAAGTCGAATCGGATGGGCTTGATCGCTTTCGGAGTTGGGAATCACGATGACCCTTATGAACAGGTAGAGGGGCCAAAATATTCTCCAGCCGACTAACAAAAGGGACGGACGGTATATCCCACCATGAGGAAATGAGTTGATCCTGACCAGGACTGTCGACTTCATATTGATGGAGGGCCGGATGGGTTGCCCAACAGGCGCCGGCATGTCGCAAAGGTTCCAAGATTGTTATCTGCAAGGAGGAGTTTCGGGCGGTAGGAACAAAGGTCCATATGGCTAAGGCTACTACTGGGTTGCCTGTACTGAATGGTGCTCAGGCAGGTATTTGGCAGGTGTGGTCGGTCATTAGGTACTCAGGCAGTAATTAATGCAGTACAGGAACAGTAGCAGCGAGAATGCCTTAGGTACTGGGTACCTTGGGTACATGAGGTAGGTACGGTACGTAATGTATGAATGGAAGTCATCAAGATGAAGAAGATGAAGCATTGATTTTGTTGACTGCAGTGTGTAGCTATGACAGTGGCCGTGTAAAGTCCTGCATTTTGGTGAGGCGAAGATTTGGGAGATGAGATAGGTATTCTGCCGAGCGCAGTCTTCAAGTCTGAGGTGCCAGTTGTTCACCGCCTACATAACTTACTGGTTCAGGGGTCCTAGGTATCATAAGGGTGCTCTCGGCTAGGGGCCATAAGGTTAGGAGGTACTACGTACTGCCAAAGTCCAAGGGAGTCGACCGCCTGCTGTGCCTGCGCTGCGCTGCATGACATACCTGGTCCTGCCACGGGGCGAGGTCGTTCATAGGGCTGGCATCTTCCTTGCACACATGGCACTGGCACTGCAGTCGACAGTTCATGGGACATTGGCAGACGCATATCATACCTAAGGTATTCTACCTGCGTGGTACACTCCGAAGTTCTTACTGCGCCATCCGCATCTATTCCACCTCCTCCCCACAGACGAGTACGTACTGCGAACGCTCACCGCGACTCAAACAGAGCCACCACTACAACAACCATCACCGCTACTTCTAGCTGCGCTCTCCTCAGATCCATTAAGCCAGGCGCCCTCATCCTTCCCAGACAATCTCTTACACACAATGATATACCTTACTCTACTCACAAACCCCTCCACCACGGTTTCAGAACCAACAGCCATCGGTCGACACCCAACTCGTCATCCTTCACAATCACTCCTTGCTGACCGGGGTGTTTCTGCTTGGTAGTCTTGTATCGACCGACCGAGCCACTACCGACGTATCCCCCCTCTCCATGCCGAAAGACCAACCAAACCATACCTCAGCCATCCTACGAACCCATGTTCCACACAGTCATCCAAACGATTCCTCCCACGCTTGACCATTTCCTGACCCAGCTCCTTGCTGCTTCACCTGCTGGTCACTCCGACCTTTCTGACCCTGATCCGCACGCCGGGGCGTAAAAAAATCCACAATTGCAGTGATATGACATCCAATACCCAGCATTGTTCGGTTTACAATCTCAGACAAACATGCCCTCCAGATACCATTGATGGTCCTGTTTACCATGCTCCCTATCTCGTCGCTCCCCCGCTCACAGGCCGGTCGTGACGCCTTGCGTTCAGAAGAAGCCAACATCCCCTGCTCAACGCCGTCAACCCTTCTCGCCGTTCTCGCTCCCTGGACAGCCACTCCCGTCCGCCGTCTCGCTCCTAGATCCCGCGACTAAGGAGTCCAAGGAAGGGCAAAATGGCCCTTCGGCCCAATGATCAACGGCGGCTTCCCGTTCCCTGGCCTGGCTCGGTCTCCAGCTGAGACTATCATCCCACCCTGACTTAATGCTGCCGCTCGTGTCATGGAGGGCCACTCTCCGCTCTCTTTGGCCATCCACACCGGCGATTGCTGTCCTCCCTTCTGCCGGGCGGAAGGCCACGGACAGAGCCGACCCTGCCTCGCAATCTTCCTCACTTTGGTCCTACTTTCCTGCTCATCCTGCCTCCAGAGCGGGGTCGATGGCTCTTCATGACAACACGGAGTCCTTCTACTTGCCATCATATTGGTCAACCTCCTGGTAGGTGTGAGTTGGCAATTCTACCCCCCTGCGATGAGAGCAGGGGCCGGTGTGCCTATATAAACACGTTCATCTGTCCTCGAAGCCCTCCCTCCTCCATCTTCCTTTCTTATCACTCCTCTCCCAGAGCAGAAGACCCATTCCGTGACCTGTCCAAGTCCACTCATACCTTACGTGAGCCCTCAGTCATATCTTGACTTGTACTTGACCACTACCCCTTGACCCCTTTCTGATACTACCTACCTGCCAAGATGGCCACCTACACCTCTCGTCATCCTAGCAGCTATGCTCCTCACCAGAAGTCTTTGCCCATCATCGTTCCCAAGACTGCCACTTATAGCTACCCTTCTTCCAAAGTTGCCGCCTCCCCACCAGAGTTGCCCGACACCAGCACATCTTATGGTGGAAGTCGAATCTCTGCCGGCTCTTACTCGGCCAGATCCAGCAATTGTGACTATGCCCCGAGTTTGAGCAGCGGCGATTATGACTCCTACAATTCTCCTCCCGGAGTTGATGTCGTTGACATCCTCAGCGAGAGAATGAACAACGCTTTCGATCCCATTCGCATGGATCGCTCGCTGGCCCAACAGGCCCAGACGTGAGTACTTCATTGTCGCGTACGAAATACGAAACAATCTGCTGATTTGAAGCAGTTCCGGTCAGCTCAATGCCAAGGAGCGAGAATTGCAAGAATTACGAGCCCTCGCGCAAAGGCGATTGAAAACCGCGAGGGTGAACTTTGCGGAAGGCGTCGAAGCGGCCCGCGAAGCACGCAGAGACCTTGATTACACGTCCAAAAAGATCTCGTAAGTCCGCAAATGAGTGGCTGTCGAGCGGTTCTCGTTCAGAATGCTTACTTTTCCTGCGCCAGTTCGATGAAGGCCAAGGCCGAGAAAAAGCATCCTGAAGCCTACGCCAAAGCGAGTCGCAGTCGCCGTGCATGAAATGGGCATGGCTGCGATGCTGAAATAACGAAGTGATGATTTCCCTTGTTTTCCATTTCTGAGCGGATTCTTACGACCACATTTCTCCTTTTGGCGCATTTCGGAGCGGTTTGATCAGGGGTTGTTTTTCATGCCGCACGGCCATACTAGCCGGATCTTTGGATGACGTCTAACAGCAGCAAATCAGCTTCCATCCCTTGAAGACGAAATCATTCGTTCGGAGAGCGCAAACGCAGCCTTGGCGGCAGTCCGCCGGCGTCGTTGACGTGGCAGATTGATTTAGGTTCCGCTCCACCCCACGAATCGGGCCAAGTGACTTGCTGCTTTTGTTGGTGTCCGGGGAGCCAGGAGGATGGCGTGCATGACGCCGGCCCAAATGCTGACCCGGAGAATGCCAATGGTGCGCCGAATAACACTGCAGCGATCGACCGCACAACAGCCGGCGCCCGCCGTGCCACATGAGGCCCATGCAGGTACGCTTGCTGTTTTCGCTCGCTTGGTACCACCTCTTCCACCGTCTGATTGGGCGACAAAGCCATCTTCCCTGTGTTTTGGCAGCCCTTTCGGTCACAAGACCTGCAATCTGCAGGTGATGAAGCACGAAGGCTGCAGATGGTGTGGAGATTTTATTTTGGCGTCGTGGCTAAGCCAGATTTGGCTTTGGCTCGAGTTCGCTGGAGGGTGAAGGGGATGTGATGGGGGCTGCCCTGGAAACTGTGAAGAAACTAGCCCATGTTTCCTCGTGGCGGGTGATGGATGTTTGAGGCTGCCGTGGTGAAGCCTGAGCATTTCCCAGAAGAACTCATGCAGCCACGTGTTTCTGGGAGGGTCGGGTTTGACTGGGGTGGTCATGGCTGATATCTGTTGGCTCTGTGGCTGCTGCTGCTGCTGTTGCTGTGGCTGTTCTCCCCCCTTGTATTTGTATCCATTCTGACCAGGTATTTTTGGCCCTGGAGATCTCTTTTCAGTCACAAATTGCGGATTGTCCAGTTCAAAATCCGGCCGACTTGGCACTTAATCTGCCCCTAGCAGTAAGTAGTGTATTGCCTTGGGTCGATAGGGATTCTGCTTCCCAAGCTGGTTAATAGGGGGCACGATTGGGAGTAGGAACAGATGTTTCCACTACCTAGACTCACCCAAGGCACCCGGGGTACCTAGTAGGTCCGGGCTATCCTAGCAGCGGTACGGGTGCCTGTAGGATACCTAAATAAGGTACATGACCTTTGCTCTAAGCTGGTCGGTAGGTGGAGTCCTTGGGTATGAGATGTTTATGCCCACAGTACTGACAACGGTGGGGGTTTCTAGGGCTTCGGGTTAGAGCCCATTGATCCCAAGAGTCTTCACGGGAGCCCAGCTTTATGCCCACCCCCTTTTTACTTGAAGCAATCGAGGTGCGTCCCTTGGTAGATGTATAAGCTGTTGACCGTTGGCTGTTGGTTGTAGACTTAGTAATAGGCACAGAGCTTACAGGTAATTGACCAAGAAAGAAAGTAGGTAAGTAAGTATATACCTTAAGTTTGTTTGTGAATCTGATCAGGTATAAATAGATGAATAGATGAATAGATAGATACTAGTAGACAGACAGACAGATTGATAGAGAGAAAGGTCAGCGGTTCACGTTACAACCCTGAGTCTCATTCTCCTCCCAAACTCGAAGGATATACTAACTAGTACTAGTAGATAGACTCTGTATAGAGGTACCTTAGGTAGGTACCAAACATTGTCGTCCTTGTAGTATTTATTCACTACCTACCTACCTTAGGTACTGAAGTAACAGGAACAGAAACAGAAAGAAGAGACAGTACAAACACCTTACAGAACAGAAAGAAGGAGACAGTCCAAGTACCTACCTTATAGAACAGAAAGAAAGGGAAATCATATTATCTATTGTATTCGACTGGACGTACTTTCACGTACCGTTGACTAAGGTAGGTACTACTAAGGTACTACTAAGGTACTACTTAGTACCTTCCTTACCTATACGACAACCAGTTCTTAGGTATTATAGAGTTGAAAAGGTAGGTAGGTATTTGACAGCCAGACTACCTCCATAAGGTATACTACTAGAGCACGTCGTCTTAGAATCCGTTTGGGACAGCAGCATGCCGCTTTACTTGTACTTAAGTTGGATGTCATATGAACTGCTCCACTTCAGCTCAGCCTTGCTCAGCCTGCTCAGCCTGTTCACACACTCTTCATTCTTCTACTATGTAGTCATCTACTACGTAGTATACCCAGTCCCGTGTCTAGGGCTCCACAGTCATTGGATGCTCATGTCATGCTTAAGAAGTATCTCTATTTGAGGATGTGGAAAGTTCACACGACTATCTGCGAGGATACTTGTGGTACTAGTATGGGTTTGGGGGGGGGCCTTGGAAAGGTCTCGGCAGAAGCTCTCCACTTTTTCTCGAGTGTCTTCGGGTCACGGCCCTCAAACAGTTGAGAGACCTGGATCCCATGATGGCCACTGCCTATCTTCTGCATCTTCTGAAAGACAGCCATCATCTGGGCCTTGCGCGTGAACTCCTTGACAGCCGCTTGATCCTCGTTGAAGACGCGCAGCATCAGAAGCGACAACGATGCAATGCCCGCCGCCAGTGCCGTGGCCACAGACGACCCGGTCACGGTGCCCCTCGTGAACTTTTGCATGTAGACGGGTCCGTCGGCGGATATGTCCTCTCCGGGAACGAGGATGTCGACGCCCTCCTGTGACGCCGGCCTGACATGGCCGTAGCGATCGGTGGCCGCCACGGAGAAGGTCTCCATGTATGCTGCAGGGAAGATCTTGCCCGGGTCGACTCCCTCGTCGGCTGTGGAGGAGAAGATCAAGATTGGGGACTCAGCGTGGTCACCCGCTGCGAGTTTGATGGCTTTTTCGAGCTCTGGGTGGTTGGTCCTGGTGGTCCAACTGAGTGACAGCACGTCGACTTTCTGTTCTATGGCCCACTTGACTGCCTGTATAACAGAAAATGTGAGTATAGGGGAAGAGGTACGTAGTGATCACAAATAGGCGTCGGAGAGGGAAGTAGCATGGCCGGTGCCTACCTGAGCAGCCCTTTCGGGAAGGATATCCTTGCGACCGGTCCCGACTCGGGCAATGTACAAGCGACAGAAAGGATTCGCAGACGTGATGAGAGATGCCATCTGTGTTCCGTGAGGGTCTGCAACCATCCACCACGGTAGGATCCTATTGTCGCCATCCGAGTTGGCCGTGACAAATGAAACGCCCTTTTCAATGTGTTGTTTCAGCGTGGATCGAATCTTGTCGGCGCCGTTGTCCAGAACGGCGATCCGGACGGGCCGGTCATGGAATCTGCGGGCGTATGCCGACCAGTCCTTCTCGTCCTTGTGTTTGATCTCGTCTTTGAGGCTGAAAAGGTAGCGCTGGCACTCGGCCAAGTTCTGGAAGAGCTGAAGTCTGTCGGTTCGTGTTAAACCAAGTAAAAAATCCTCGAAAGCTGACAAAAGAAATGAGAACCGTACTGTGGTATTACTGTTTGTTCGTCATCCGAGATCTGAAGCACTGGAAAGTCCCACTTCGCATTGGCGATAATTTTATAGTTGAATTTCACTCCTGTCTCGATGAACTTCTGAGCCAGTTTCTCCTTGAGATGGTTTGCGCGCTTCTCATGGACCTCCTTGGATCGCTTGTCCTATAATTTCGCGCAGTGTTAGCCGATGGACTTCAATGACCAATTCAGGCGCTTACACTGGAAGGCTCGAGTTCCACAATGTTGATCTTGACGCTCCGCAACTAGATGAACCGGACGGTACTGTCAGCCCAAGTTTACTGTCTGGGAGGAATTGGGTCCAGGCATACACCTTCCTCTTCTCCCAAGTTTTTCAGACCTTCTTCACTAGCCCAGTGGTATAACACACTCCAGTTTCCACTAGAATAGAGTGTAATTTCTTTGATCTTGTCACGAAACTGCGGCTGAGGGTCGCACTCTGAGTCAAGCGCCGTGATATTGTTGCCGCTGCCGCCCAATTCACCCCTGGGCGCGGTGAGCATGTCAAGGCTCACGTCGAGCTTACGCCAATCGAACTTCTCAATTTCAAACTGATCAATGATGGCTTCTTTGATAAGTTCCTCGCTCGGGGGATGTGTTGCACTGTCGGGTATTTTCAGGTCATTGATGATATTGACCTTTTTCTCGTTCTTGAGCCAAGCGAAAAATTCTCGTGTTCCGCTATGTCAAGGTTTCGGGAATGTGTTGAAGTCTGGCAGTGTCAGATAGAATAACGTCTCTCGAAACTTGAAGTCGCTCTCGGGAGCATCTCTGAGTTTCTTGATGAACCTTGTGAAGTCGTGCGACGATCGATTGAAATCAGACATGTCGAGACAGAGCTCGTACTCTAGAAAACACAAACATCAGGTTACTCTCACTCTTCATCCCGTTCAAGACACGGGGAAAACGTCCTACCAGAGGCTCTCGCCGACGCTGGAGAGTAGACACTTACCTTGACTTCCATACAATGCTTTTCCAATTTTGGCTATGTCCTTTATCTCCGTCATGATGATTGTTCGAAGTCGTTCAAGAAGTTTTCTGTCCTTGCTCCTGGGGTCTTTTCCGGCCTTACGCTCGCGAACTTGGTATAATGACTCTCCGTCGCTGTTAATGGCTGTCATCAGTTCAGTAATATACTGGGCCTTAGACTTGAATCTCTCGGTCGGTGACTTCCATTGCGAGATCATGGTCTCCATTATCTCCGCTGGGTCGAACCCTTCCTTCTCGGGTTCATTGTTGTTCCTCGCGGTGAGAGGCCCACGCTGTTTGGAGGTATTGGGGCCAATCCCGGGACCTGAATCAACCCTGGCTGGGGGGTGAGTTGGGGCTGGATTCTTGAGGTACGACGTGTTGGCCGTCGCCGACTCTTTTGCTGACCTAGGAGCAGCATTTCGAGCTGTCGGCTGCTTTTCCATGAGCGAGTGTAGCGGAGTGTATCTGGCAGCATTGTCGGACTGCTTCACGATCGTGTCGAGGTTGCATTTTGTAACCAGTTTCTTGGTGCATAGCAGTCTTTTTTCGATTGCAGCGTGGAGGCAATTGTCGCGTTCGAGGTTTTCTTGTGATAAAGCATGTTCAAGCTCCTTTTTGGAAAACTCAAGGATGCAGTTGAGGAATGCAAGACGTTCTTTTTCAATGGCGATATGCAGAGCGGATCGTGCCTCACGACCCACGCCTTTCTTTTCCAGTATTCTGGTATCCAGCGACGACAAATCGCCTTGCCTTAGCACCCATTTGGGATCGTGTCCTGCCGCTTTACTCAGAACTCATGTGACCTGGCTCAACTTCGGGTTCAGCCTTAGCGTGAGCTGCTCAGCCTACTCAGCCTACTTAGCCCGCTACTCAGTCTTCTCTTCCTTGTCATCACCGTTCCTCGGTCCTGTTTCTGGACCCCAGCGCAACTGGGTACTCCCGCTATACTTGGTGGTATCTCTTTGAAGACATGGAAACTTTACACGATTCTTCACGGAGGCATAGTTTCGGGCGCAAGGTTCGAAACTGGGACACCTTGCACGGATGGAAATTACAGTCTCTCGCAGCCTGTGCTCTTTGGAACCAGATGCATTGCGCTTCTTGTCCTGTCTTTACGTAGGTACCTCTTACTCCTGAGGTGAATGCGACTCTTCTACATGTTGCATCCTCTCCATCAAGATTTACTTCTTGCCTTGGTCGTGCCTTCTGACGCAAGCCCTCTACTCTGTCCCTCCATTCTCTTCCTATCTCGCTAACCCACGAAGTCTGCTCTATTCTTTCTTTTATTCTGTTGTTCTATCTGCTACGATTTCGTCTCGACGGTGAGTTCGGAACCTACGCAATGGGCAAGAAGCGAACCCCCAGCGGGACTCTTCGAAAAGCCAAAGAGAAGGGTGCTGGGCGAGACACCGGTATTGTTGATGGTAGATTGAGCTTTAGGAAACTTGAACCGGGAACGGAGAAGAACTACAAGAGGCAATTAGATCTCTGGCATAGGTACGTGAATTCCATCTTGTGCTTGGAATATTTCATTAAGAAGGCTCAATAGCTTCGTTCAAGAGAACCCTGGAGCATCTCCATACGACCTATACTCGCTGCAAAAGTTTGTGAGGGAAATGGCGTACGCAATTGACGGCGCAGAAGGTATTGAGAAAGGCTGTACTGAGACCGTACGCAAGTATTGGAACTGTTTCACGGCTTCATGGCGCCGAGCCAATCCCGAGAGTCCTGAAATATCCCGTGCCACTACCAGATCAATCACAAATGTATTGTTGCTCTCTTAAAGTGATGCTTGAATACAGCGTCTAACATATGTGTAGTTCATTAAGGGCCCTTTAGCCGCAGAAATCGGATTGGCCAAGGCGAAACGGCCACGGAGATTTGCAACTAAAAATCACTTGCTTCACTTTGCCAGACAACTTTGGATGACGGACTGGTTCGAATATAAATCGCCTGCGACGAGATTGGACGATTGGTTATTACATTTATCCAATACATTTTCCTCCTCACGAATTGGCGAATACATTGAATCCAACTGCCGGCGTACCTATAGCTATTAGGATAACGTCGTGTGCTAATCTTCGCTAATCAGGATATCACCTTTGGTGCATTTATCAACGAGTATGGAAATCCAGAATTCGCCGTTCAGCTTACTCGTGACGCCAAAAATATGGCAGACACGCCTGAGAAAAGGTAGGCTGGACACCATGCACGACGTTGATGAGGTACGCTAATTTTGTTATAGACCACAACATGCCCTATACGAAGGTGCAGTCCCCGTGATCCTCTGCTTTAATCCAATGCTTCCGTTCCTTGCTCGTCTCCTGGTCCATGGAGCGTTCAGGGACTACGACACGATCGAAGAGCTTTTTGGTATTATACCACCCGACGACGAGATGTTGCAATTACATTGGAAAGACGAAGTACTAGACACTCCATTTTTCAAGGCTCAATCTTCCAAAAGCTCTACAGACAGGATCGAAACTGCGGACGCATTTAGCAAGAGAAATCGGGCTCTGGGGCTTCGCGCTGGTCACTCCAAACCACCTACTGGCCATGACTTCAGAGCTGAAGGTCTTTACTGGATTGGTATGTTTCCAACGTTTCATTTCCATTCCAATTGCTAACGGGACTGTCCGTACAGACAAGTTCTACTCTGAGGCGACGCGTATGGTCCATGCTGGTCACATGGATTCGAATACCCTTCGTCGCCACTACATGCCTACCAACGGTGCGGATGGACAAGGTACCTACCTGGGTGGCAAAGGGCGAACTATCGTTGCGGACCTATTTCGGGGTCTTACATTACCTCGTAATCCGAATTTATCGCAATGCCTCCCTGCGGAGAAGCAGTGGGAGTTAGAAAACACGCCTCAATACCTTGCATTGAGTGAAGAGATCACGAATTTAGAGGGAAAGACAGACACCAAGTCTGTCAATCGTCGGCGGAGACTGTACAGCGAAAGGCGTACACTGACGGATAAAGAGCTACGTGATTGGCAAAAACGACAACCGAACAGGCCAAACGACCCGGCCGGCTACTATCGAGCGATCTTCAATCGAGTCAGTTTTCTGATGCCCGAGAGAAAAAGCCTCAGTGAGAATCTTTTTGAAATTGACACCTTACGAAGTCCAATGGGTCTCTCCACCCTACGTGCAATGATGACCCTGTATCGCCAGCAGTCTGAAGTCGAATATCGGCCTGGTTTGGAACCAGATAAGTGCTGTTGCTCCAAGGTATACGAGAACGAGATTGAGGAGAATCGACCAGCCTTCTATGACTGGATGCATATTTACGCATGTTATAAGAGAAGCTGCGAGAGCGTTTATGGCTCGGTCGAACTATGTTTTCTGTGCAATGAGTGGGTCTTCGGAGAAATCAGCTGGGAAAAACATTGTCACCAGCATCTAGCCCGGATTCAAGACCTACCGACGTTCTGCGACCCTCTTATATATGGCAGGGTCCTTGCCACCGCTGGGTATTGTCCCTTTTGCCTGACCGATGAGAGACTGCCAGCATCCGTACGCTTGAAGCAGTTCCTCAATCGTGGTAAATGGCTGACCCACATCCACAAGCACATCTCTTCTCTTGACGTGAAGGAACCGCTGAAATGTGCACACCCGTAGCCTTACTGTGCGACGCTATTCGATTCAGTTATGCAATTACAGTTCCACCTCCAAGACGCTCACGGCATCCCTTTCATGAAAGGGACGATAAGGTTGAAGAGAAAGCGAGACGAAAGCGATGATGAACTTTGGCATTAGTATCGTGTTTGAGCCGTCTGCAGTGACATCCTCAAAGCACGTTTGCGGGTTCAACAAGCGGAAATTCTTGTCGAGGATATTGATCCGCTTTCTCATATACTTGATTGCAACTCGCGCCACTTCTGATGGGTCTGAACGATCAATTAGAAGACTGTGCGCCACCCTTTCCATTCCTCGTTCCAAGATCCTGAACTCTATCCTCACCCTTTCATGGCTTGTGTTCTCCTTGGAAGGATCATAGTTCTGAGTTCTAATATTACTCGCCGAGGGAGTAATAGTTTTATTAGTTAGACTCGAGGAGACTTGTTGTTCGTCCTGTATAGTAGGACTTAGAGTTCGATGCGAAGTCTTATCGTTTTCTAGATCTTTCAATATTTCCAGCTCAAATTGAGTATTTCGTTTCTGGTTCTTCCTTTCAGTGGTAGAAGAGTGGATAATAATAGGCGCTTGACTTATCTGTTCTATAAGGTTGGCCTTCGTTGTATCTGATATCGAATTCTTGCTTTCTTTCGATTGTCTAGCAATGTTCATAGCTTGCTCGGCGACCAGTCTCTCTTGCGCGGCCAGTCTTTCTTGCTCGGTCAAACTTTCCATGTTATACTCCACACTGGTGCTACTGCAATCGGGCCAGGTTAGAGTGGGATGGAACCCTGAATCAGTCCCCCTTACGCCTTAATATTAATGACATCGAATATTAAGGATTTAAATAGGGTTCAGTATGTGCAAAGACGTAAAACTATGACTTTCTTTGTTTACCTAGAAATACTGGCTGTCTTTAAGGCGATCGACATCCAGACTTAGATTTGCACTGACTCTCAGAGCCATGGGAGAACCAGTAGGGCGAATTCCCTCACACTCCAGCAGTTGACTTGCTGACATAATGACAGCATACCCTGTATCAAGCCTCCAGCTTGACTACCCCTTATATGCTCATGACGCTGCAAGCCAACGAAGCGCCGTGTAGAGATAACATATTGGCAGCATCGTTTTCTTGGCTTATCCTTGCTGGATACGTTGTGTTTCCGGGCACTTTCACGTCTATGGGGAGATCCACCAGTCTAGATGGCAGCAAGGGTGGCAAAGTGGTCAAAGATGCCATAAGGAATGTTCCGCTTGCGCCATTTGCCATCTTCTGCTACGTCATTGGCATGTATGGAACCTTTCAATTTTGGAGAGCGTGGCGAAAGAAACTATGTTTGGCTTCTTTCCCACGTATTTCTGTGAGTAATGCATAATTCTATTCTTCGAAATGGCCGCTGAGTGCAATGACGAAGCCCTGGTCTTCTCAATTCTATGGCAGGCTGGATAAACATCCTTGTTAGCATTTACACTTCTCACGAGGGATACTGGTCAGCTCAAGCAATTCTTGCTCTCGTTTCTATCAGCATCTACATGACTAGTATGCTTTCAATGACAATACTGTGCAATTGGCGTCTGGAAAAAATCAAGACGCCTCACGATACAGAGTTAGCGAGGCGAGACCGGGAGCACTCTTGATCATGGAAAAGAGGAGACTAGTAGTCAGACGCGTGACAGAGCTAGCTATTTCTTTCGGAGGGGTTTAAACTGAATGTTGTCGAGTGCAGAACTAACAAGTAAACCTGAACTTACTACGTATATTTATCTTCTTTAATATCATACCATTGATTGTGTCGTCATATTGTATAGACGCGTCACGAAATACTCAGCATGGTACCTTCTGATAGCCTACGAGGCAGGCAACCAGACTGTACCCGTTTTAGTCTTGAGTTAAGAAGCGACGTCTCTGTAGATCATTTCAATAATAACAACTTAAAGGAAGAAGGACAAGAGCCTACCCGCAGCAGTTTCTCTTGGAACCAGGTTGTTGCCGCGAGCAGTTCCTTCCTAGAAGCAGGTGGTTCCCAGGAGTAGATCCCTCCCAGGATGAGTCCCTCCTAGGAGCAGGTGGTTCCCAGGAGTGAATCCCTCCCAGGATGAGTCCCTCCTAGGAGTAGGTGGTTCCCAGGAACAGGACGCAACGGAGTCGGTATTCACAAGAATGAGTTATTTGCAAAGATAAGCGATAGACTGACTAGTATCAAGGAGAAGAATAAGTATGGCTTTAGCGTACGCTTTAAGTCATTCCCAACGTGGTTGTCTACATATTCTCTCAAGGAAAACCTACCAGAGATGCCTGCTAAATACTAATACTTTTGTGACGGCCGTTTTCTCGAAATATTTGCTACCTAGTAAGTAGTTCATTCATCATAGTAGTTGTCCGCAATAAGAGATACTAGTACTTTCCTCCGATAAGCATCGCTACTAGATAGATAGGGAGTACCGCGTGAAGAGAAAGTTCGTAGTATCAGAGCGTCAAGGTATTTAAAAGTACCTAGGCACCCTAGTACCTTAACGGCTAGAAACTTCTTAAGGGATTACTAGTGGCAGCGACACTTCGATGACTTTCCTGAAGGAGCCTCGTTGATTTAGGCGTCAGGGTATAATGCTTGTGAATTGAAATCTATATTATCGACCCACGCATTGGAATATCATCTTTGACTTGAGATCTTCCAGAACAGGTATAGCACTGTTCAGTCCCTCAAGGCAATACCTGGCGCGGCCAGTAAGACAAATTGCTAAGTCCGAGTATTCCTGAACCCGATACTTTATATTGTCTACTACATTATTAGAGCCTCTTGAAAAATCATGCCTCTCCTTGCGGTAGCTCTATTCTCTGTTTTAGGGTCGAAACGTGCTCGCGACTCCAGCAAGATTTTGGAATGCCACCATGCCTGAGCCAACCTTACTTCCGCTGGAAAATGGTACATTCCCGAATCCCAATGCTGAGATCCGAATTCAGATCGGAGGCCTCATTGGAACTGCTACCATCACTCTGAATTACGTTGGAGCCTCAAGCACCGTCGCGGTTACGTCTTCTTCATCTTTGCCCACCGCAAACGCGATTGGGTTTTGGCCCAACACAACAGGACTCTACTTATCTCTTCACGATCCTTTGTGCTATTTTTGGGGTGCTATGTTAGATTGGCGTGCTATATTAGGAAGGCACCAACTAGAAGCAGTTTATAGGGGCAGGTTTTGGGAAGTATATAATCACCGGACTAAAGTAAAGCCCGATAGTGATTGTAAATTAATGTCTTTTTCATTTCTTTTTCACCGTCAATGGCAGGAGCCTTCTCTATTTAGTTACATACTTGAAAGACTGCTGCAACCAGCATGAGAATAACGGTCTTGGGTTCGACCCCTAGTCACTGGAAATTCTGTTCTTCTACCGTCACGGTTCGACCAATCAGAGCGCTGGTGGCCTGCACCACTCGCGGCTGCCGCACCTACTACTACGCACGAGGCTGCGCTTTCCCGCACAAGGCTGTGGGCCTGCAGATATCTGTGCATCGAGCGCACCAACACCTTCATAGATTCCTCGTACTAGAATTCATATCACAATTGCATCCCTACCAGTTGATTAGATCCTGTAGGAGCTGCGCCGCGATATCTGCGTACCCCCATATCACCTGGCTACAAGAAGTCTGATAGCCTTTGTCAATGAAGATTGCGATGACCAAACTGCGCATGAGCATGAAGTTCCCCAGTAGAATGACAACCTGGGAAGCAAGCCCGAATATGTACTATGTCGCGTGAGATACCGAAGAAGGTGACAAGAAATGTGCACACGAAGACAACAACGATCGAACAGAGATTCGAGGGAGCTAGTTGCTGATTATTTGCTCGACACCAATGTGACAAAGGTAGGTTTTGACGAAAAAAGGTTTTCTATTTCGTAATGAAGCCAGAATTAGTCCACACCAACGGCGACACATGAATTATGTGAGGTCTGAGCTTCAAATATACCTACTTGGTCTGTGTAACTGCCAGTGTCAGTGTATTAAGACCGATTGTAATCAGTCGCGATGGTGAAGCTCAGACTTGGAACCAGACTTCTCATGGAGGCTTGTCCTACGGCACGAATATCTATGACTCTCGTTTATGTAGTACTGCCCTCGATGGGGAACTTGTCATCTTGTCTTCAGCCCCTACATTCCAAATGGGCATACGAATATCGAGGTGCATGTGCTTGGTGTAAACCGTAGATCTACGGGTGACACTGATGATGCCGAAAGAACTCAATATACGACAGGATCATCTGGGATGATCCACGGAGTTGGCCCCAAAACGGACAAAGCCTTGATTACCACCAAGTGGTAATACGATCTGGTTTGGAGCCTATAATCCCAAACCGGAACGACGACGATACCAATTTGGGATAGTCATGTAAATGCTCCAATATAGTACTATATTAATGGGACTCTGTGAAAGTATTTTACGGTGGCTGCTTAATTTCTTCCTGGATATGTAACCGGGTTCGCTATAAGATAGATTTCAAAACACCGACAACTATCAAAAAAAGTCGAGCAATTGTCGAAGGAGAACCCCTAAAGAAGCTCAGCTATACTTGCTGAAATATCAATCATCGAAGCATCTATCATACCATCGCCAGATCTCACGGACAAGGGGGAAATAGAAAATTTCGGCTATCATATTGTCCGCACGATTTTAAAGAGCTACTACTACCTAGTAATAGTAATCAAGGGGGTCGGCAGACTCCGGGCTGGAAGGGAGCTCATAGCGAGCAAGGTTCAGCATTTTGTTCTCATGTAGTTCGCATTGAGGTAGGTTCGGGCACCTGTCGTCCTACATCTGAGGATTGTGGATATTCCGGGCTTGATTTTCGCTGCGAATTATAAGTAGGCCAACGATGCTATGCAAAACATCCACGATATCGTCGATGGCTCAATCTCCAACCGCCGGACCATCATTCTCGCTATGGTCCAAGCTGCAAAGGATAGGTACCTACTGGTATCGCCAACCAAAATATCACGCAAAAGACTTGCTCGTACGACAAGGACGGAGAAACTGTTGGAATTATCATGAAACCACTGCATTCTTGATAAATGAAGGATCAGATCAAAGATTGCGTTGCTGGCATCAAACAAGTATATACGTACAGCGAGTTTGAAGTTAGAGCTTTCCTTGGTTGAACCCCCGACGCCAGAAGGGCCGGCGAAAGGAATCACGCCTGAGCAGAGACAACAGGACGAGATCCAGTAGGTGTTTCAACACCCTTTCAAGGAAGGAACAATCTCTTGAGTCTTAGTGACTGGGGTCCATTGCGCTCGATCGGCATGTTGAGAAAGAGTGGCCCAGAGTTCGCAACGCATGTCCGCAAACTTATTGCTTCACAAAGACTGAGGCCGATTTGACGACAATCGGCTGATGTTTTGACACGTTTGGCTATGGTGTTCCACTAGCTTTTGACTTCAGCATTGAATGGCACCTATGGAGACATTGACTTATCTTTGCTCAAAATCGAGGGAAACACCATGTTTCGACGCTTCCGTGCCACGATTCAGAAATTGAACACAGAGTTCGCCGATACCATGAGAGATCGAACCTTGGGGACGTACTTCTATGTCCTCCTGGCGGAGTTGTTTATTGAACACTCTTCTCGATGGATGAATAATGTACTATATGTTACTGTATCGCAAAGGACAACGTGCAAATGATTGGGACGGTCGTCCGTGACTCCGTGGAGGCTGGCCATGTAGCACATTAGCCTGGACGCAAACATCGCGGATGAGATTGTAGACCTGGTCAGAACATATCTGCAAAAGAAAGAGGAACTACTTAACATTAGTTGTGGCAAGAAGGGCAATATCAACCCATCACATACAACCACTACAGTACTTCACGGATAATATCCAGAAAGACTCGAGAGCTGATACTAGAGACGCTCTGAGACAAGCTGTGGTCAGACCAAAGAGCCAGACTAGCACGAGAAAGCGCATATCTGCAACCTTCACATGACATGATGTACTAGTATTGTTTACATCGGGTCTCTAGTAACAAGCCAAGGTTAAAATAACCGAACAGGCATGTGTCGAAACATTGTCGGCACTACCAGTCCGTTACAAGGTATGGCTTGCTCGACTTATCAGAAGAAAGGGAACTGACTTTATTAGGGCGTCTTCAAAGCTAAGTTCCGTCGACAAATCCTGTAAGCAGGTTATCGAAGGTCTCATTGTAGTACTCGTACGCTACCACTAACAACAAAGATTCATCTGATATGGTACTATCAATTCTGTACTGATCTCAAGGGACATTTCCAACTCCACTGCTCAAATCCTGGACCAGGTTGACAACCATCTCCTTGAGTTCTTTATTCCAGCTTTCCAATTTCCTTACATTAATCTCAATCTCCCCACAAAGTCTGCTTTATTGTTAGTACCCAGACATTAACAACGGAGGTTGAATTTATGCTACCGTTCTCTTTCTTTTCTCGCCTGCGAGTATACTGTCAGCGTACCATAAAATTTATTTCTCTTGTACCACTAACTCAATTTGCAAAGTTTGAAGCGTCTTCTCAAGTGACTCTATCCTTCCTTGGAGTTTCAAAACCGTCTGTTCTAGTTTGCCTTCCTGGCTCGAGTCTTGCACCGTTTCGTAGTCGTCTGCCACAGGATTTGAGTCATGGACCAGATCTTCAGTCGTATCTAACGAATAACTGATAGATTGATCATTGAAGTCTGTCCAATCGAGAGTTGGTAGTGGCGGTGTTACTAGCAGGTCCTCTGTGGCATCTGGCAACCAATTATAGTCACCGAAATCGTCGGAAACAAAAACGATACGGACAGTTATCGCCAAATGTAAGGTCCGGCTCCGGGAATTGGAAGAGATCTTGATGGGTATGAAACTCTCCTGTGGAACACGGATCTTATTTCGACATGGTTATGAGAGTGACTGCTGTATTGTTGAGACCGCTCAATGTAGTAGGTATAAGTTTATGTATATCATGAACCTATAGGTGGTAGTATAAACAGAGATACATAGTTCTTGTGGCTTAGATCTGTGACCATCATCGTTTCAAGGGCAGGATTCTAGGCCTCTTCAAACTTCACCGTATGGTATTTTGGAAGAAGTCTTCTTTTGGCAGTAAGTGACAGTTCTCGGCACTCCATCTGTTCCTCATTTGGTACCTTCAGTTAACTTTCTGGGCCAGTCTCTGGCCCAGAATCAAATCAGGTAGCTATGGGTCCTGAAAACCGTTCTGATAATAGCAGTAGTTGCTTTGGATCTGTTGCTTCGGATGAGAAGATCCCTGCTTTCAATCTTGTCGCCCCCAGTGAGAATATCTGTGGTCATTTACCTATGGGTCTCAAAGTAAAGTCTGGGATACCGAGCGCTCAGACATCACAGCCAGGGGCCCCCCTATATAATGTCCGCTCTATTCTCGAACATAAGCACATCAACATAAACCAAAATACTGAGAAGGATTCTCGACGCAACTTCCTCCAGAGCCAATTCCCTTCTTTCTCGTGATGACTTCTCAGGAGCTTAGTCAAGCAAGTGAGCAACTGCGTTCCACGCCAGTAAGTGGCACGATCACTATTTCAGGATATTGGCTAACTGAATTTAGGCGCGCTTCCCAAATTTAGGCTTCCACCACTATGGTCCCCTAACGGTTGTATGACGGATTTATTTGATAAGGTATTTAGTATTAAGTGCAGTATAGATTGTATTGCGGCAACATTCCTTACCGATCCAGGTGGGAAGGGAGTTGAGTAAGCATCTGCACCACCTTCTTGTAGCCACGCCCTGATGCCGCGTATAGTGCGTTGCTATAGTGGCCTCCTTGTATATTGACATCGGCACCCTTGTCGAGTAGTATCTG